GATGGTTGTCCGGAAGCAAAAGCATCGTCTCTGACAGAGACGGAGAAGTTTTGAATAGATCCATACGCGAGCTGGCTATGAGGAGTAGAAATCCCTGGCCGAGCGGTTTTGGGATGTGAAAGTCGGTACATCATCTGGGTGCCGGTGAGCTTCACATCGTACTGATCATTCGATGGACGGATGCCTCCGTCCTGCGTCAGACTGTTGACAAATCTGATATGTGCAAACGGCACTTGTACAGCGAAATCAACAATGTGGCCCTGATCATCATGCTTGTATGTCTCGAGTATACGCTTCATTACTGTCATCTGCATCTTATCCAGCTGGTCGACAGGATGGTCGGCAATGAGTTCCGTAATCAACTCACCTATCGAGAGAAACAGTGCTGGGGAACAAAATCCGGTCAGGCCGTTTTGCACCATGAAGATAACGCCATTATGGGGAGTGCCCTCAAACTCGTCCCCTTCGTTCTCAGGATGTTCGCTTTCCTGCGCTGTCAAGGACGCAAAATCATTCCGTCGTGGATCTAGTAATTGTGGCATGTGTTTTTTCTCGGGCTGGACCTCCTGCAGTGTGAAATGAGGTGGCGTCCATGGGCTGGAAAAGGTAACCAGTGCGTTGTGGGCATCTCCATGTTGAACATGTAGATGATCGAGGCGATGTCTCTCGTTCGTTCTCTCGTTCGTAGCCGGCCGTTCAGAGAGAGGTCGCCAAGAAGTATCTGGGTTTGGGCGCGGCTGATGTTGTACATACGAGTCGCTAGACTTTCTGAGGGAAGGGACTGATACAAAGGAGCTATTGCGGTTTGAGCGTTTACGGCCAAATCTATCCACCGGTTCAGGAAAACTTGTTTTCTCTGGTGTACCCAAAGGCTCAGGCATTGCAGGTATTGGCATAGCAGGGGGATCGCGGGCCCATTCAGGTATCTTGTGGTTGGGAGGATAGTGCTTACGACTGTCTAATAGCCAGTCCGCTCGGTGAGTCCGTTGATCGTGATAGCGAATATGCTGTTGCTGCAATGCTCGTGTGTGGGCCAAGTCATCCGTTTTATCCAGTGTCCCAATCCGAAGAGAGGTCTCGAAGCAACCATAAGTCTCTACAGGGCCTGATTTGCGCTCGTGATGTCGTAAAGCGCACTTGTAGTCCACGGCCGCAACTTCGATTTTAGGAACGCTTGCCCTCAACTTTTTGGCAAAGCTGGAATTGGCCCAATCACTGAAAGAGACATCAGTCTCTGATAGACCGATCATGTAGGCGGCAGCCCCTGCAACGAGCCAGACACGAAGACCGGCAAGGTTAGCTCTAAGAAATGTTACATCGTGTACAGGGGTCCGGTTGAGAGGTGGCAGTGAATTTTCAGCGTCGTCCAATGTGTAAATGAAGGCCATGACAGCGTTGAGCAGTGTCTGGACAAATTTCGAAGTGCATTCCCCCGTCACCTCACCAACGTTGATGTCCCAATGACAGGCGTAGGTCGGCTCCAACGGCGGAGATCCGAAAAGTCGATGGCCGTAGATCCCGACTCCCTCAATGAACAACTGACAATTCGTGATGTCGCTGCGCGGCTGATTGTGCTTCAGCGAGATTGACTCAATCGAAGCCTCAAGTGGACTTGAGCTGACTTGCAGATCCATGTAGTAGTTGGTGAAACGCATGTCTGCCTCCACGAGCAAGATATCCACACGAAGGTTTTCACGCCGGGAGTAAATATTGCCCGGCATCAGCACAGCTGCACTATCGGCACGGACTGTCAGGATGACGTCGAGGTCATTATCCTTCTTGGTGCCCGGTCGTGGCCCTTGTGGTTCATTTCCAGCCAGCATATCTTGATACTCCTCAAGGGTCCTAAAGTGAAGATCTTCGCCAAAGTAGTTCTCCTTGACATTCATGAAGTAGCGGATAAGATAGCCGTGCAGAAAGAACTTGGGGGCATAACCCGTAATAGTCATGAATAAGGAGTCCGTCAATTTTGGCGATACATTCGGGTAGTAGTTGTACGAGCCTTCTAGATTCAGCTGCTTCAGAGTCATCATGGTCGTGTTCTCTGCTAGGGTATTGAGCGTGTTCCACACAGGAGTGACGAGTTCCAAGGACGCATTGTGGCCCTCTCCGATGAACTGAACAGAGCTCTGACGGGGCGAAAAGTACTGCATGGGTATATCCACATCCCCGGCAAGTGTTTGAAACCCGAGGATCAAGAACGCGTTCTCCTCGAGGTCGTTCGGACTGTCAATGATATTGTAGTCATTTGCATTTAGGAAAAGCTTCATTTCAGGGAATGTGAGATGAAGCCGGTAGATAAAAGGCACGAATGTCATGTAGTCAGATTTTTGTCCAGCCGTAAAGTCGCTCACGAGGTCGGTCAGCATAATCATGTGGTCCCTCAGGATGAACATCTCCATAGCATTGCTCTCGACATCAAAGCCCCAGCTATGAAGACCGTTCCATACCAGCGGGTTCGACAGATCGCAGGACACCTTTTGCGACGGGCAACGCCAGAGAAGGGCGTGGTTAACACTGGAAGTTGCCTTTGTGTTCTTGAGGTCGAGATGCAGATGATTCCTGTAGCCTTCGGCTCGGGGTAACATGTCCATATCATATCGTACAGTCGAGTCTTGTCCCGCAGAGACAGTCAGCCAGCCAAATGGGCGAACATCTGGACCGAGTTTGGTCTTCGCGGAGCGGCGGAATCGAAAATGTCTCTTCTCACGTTGCTTTCGTGCTGCAGCTGCTTCGCGGACAGCATGTGCCCCATTCCTCCATTGCCAGTCCTTTGATCGTTCTCTTGTCGGCACGCGAAGGCTGACTTCATCCTCAAGGTGGACACGTATTGTCATCATCGTATACTGCCGAGCTTCTCCCGGCTTGACTGGGGAAGCTGGTGTCATGGTTCGGTAGGGGTTTGGGAAGAAGGCTGTCTGTAGTTCAAGGCGGAGCCGGTCTGACCAAGGCCCATAATTGACGTAGCCTCCCTTGACGACCAGGTCCATGCCATAGGACGGAGGTTTGGACATGTTAATGTCGTCAATATTTGTTTGAGCTGCCAATTCGGCGTGTTCCTGCAGTACCTTCCCCGCCATGTCCCAGAAGAATTTGAAATGGACTGCAGGACAGTCTAGAATCTGGGAGAATCTCGCATAGTCAATGTGTGACCAGCCTTCGTGGTCGTCGCGCTCGTCCTCGTCCATATACCTGCCCAGGCCATGCCATGATCGGTTGTCGTCCTGAAATTCGTCGTAAGCATATAGCTTCTTGTCATAGTCTTCTTGCGATGCAGTAGTACGTAACGAGCCTCGCGAGCTGCCGGGAAGGAGACGCCTGAGGCGGCGGAAAGTTCTAACCAGGCGACGTCGTACGTCGAGGTGTACGTGCCACCAGCGTGGCCGATGCCTGAGCGACTCGGCGGCCAATATGATCCTCTCAGCAGCCGCGAATTGGGACCTACGGAAATCAGGGTTGGGCCTCATCTCGACCTTTGGTTTCTCGATTTCGAAATCGAAGACTTGCCGAAAATAGTCTGCGGGCCCAGCGGCAGCCGCATCGATATGGCCTTTGGCGGACGCGAAGGTCGTGACAACCAGCGCTCGAGTGTTCTCGTTTCCAAGGGAAATTGCGCCCTTCGAGCATTCGACCGCAACTGGAAGGACGCGGAGGATCCAGCTGTAGAAGGACGGGACATCAGCTGTTGGCACGTCTACCCCTGAGGCCACACTCGTGAAAGTACCGGCACGGACGACGGGGACCTGAAACTCGTCGAATGGTGACTGCTGCTCGTGCTTTTCGCCAAGCGGACTGTCGGCGGAGATGTCGCTGCTGGGTGCATCTTTGGAGTGAGGCCTTGTTGCATCCTTGCGGTGGCGAAGCTTGGGCATTTTGTGCTCGTGCTGTTGTTCGGTAGCTGGAGAGTCTGAGCTGCCATGCCTGACCTCGTGGACCAACACGTCCTGCACAATGGACTCGTAGACCGGGGTACGGTTGTAGACGAACCACTCTAAGCCCGAGATGAAGATCGAAATGCGAGCGTCTGCAGTGTCTTTCTTCCTCACTCGCCCCGATTCAGGGTCCGTCAACGGTGGTTGTGGTTCGTCCGACCCGTCTGCTGGTGAGCGTTTCTTTTCGGTCTGTATTGGATTCTGCTCATGTTCACTCGAATCGCTCAGATCGACTTGCCGCGAGGATGACTGCCAATACCTCCACGTGATGTAGCCACTCTGAATCAAGACCGTCTCGTTCTCAGCATGGTAGCGAACACCCTTGAAGAAGACCCGACCGGCCAGAAAGGACAACTGGAGCGCCTGAATGTCAATCCATGCTCTGTATTTGTGCCACGTCCAGGCCCTTATGCCATAGGAAACAAGAGTAGCGAACAGGCGATTGAAGTAGAAGAGAAAGAAGAGCGTCAGGCAAGAAGCTGTCGCGAGCTCCACAAACCATGTCCTGGGGAGAGTCAGTGTATAGGCGTCGTGTCATCCTTGCCTTCTGGATACTTACCAGTTGAACGAAGTATTCCTTGATATAGGCTCGCCGACCAAGGCACTATTATCCGACATGGTGCACGCGCCGGTCTCCGCATGACAAGTCACTCATGGCTGCCACTTGCGACGAAGTAGCATGTCTGTACCCTTCCGCGGCAAGCAACAGGGAGAAAGCGCGTCTGCCCAGGATGTTGAAGGATAAGAGACGCAGAAAGACAGAGTCGAGATGCGCAGCTGCTGTGAGTGGTGGAAGCACACGTGCGATGTACACAGTACAATGACCAGAACATTATTTCCCCGCAGAAACGCCGTTGACTTGATATCATCTGCCATTCCTCTTGATCACGGTGCACGACCCTATATCTCCATCCCATGCGCATGTCACCTGGCTGAAGACCAGTTCCACATCTCCCAGAAAAGGCACTCTTGCTCAAGCTCCCCGAAGTCGAGAAGAACCATGCCCATCACCACCTCTAGGTAACAAAAAGTTGCCAGTTCGTCTCTCCACTGCTGCCTCGAGGCAACATGGACGCAATGTCGAGTGGTGGCACGGGCAACAAGCTCACAAGGGTCATTATCATCTTGACTGGGGTCGCGTCGCTGGTAGCCACCTTGATCTCAGTGTTGTACGTGCCTGTCCTCATAGTGCGCAGTCGCGTTCGCTGCTAACCGCGCACCAGGTCGATATGGCTTCAATCCAAGAACTACCGCAAGCCTTTGCTGCAACGATATGTTATCCGAATTCTTCTCATGGTGCCCATCTACTCGGCGGCGTCATGGGCTTCCATCGTCTCCCTCAAAGCTGCCTTCTACCTCGATCCTCTGCGCGACATCTACGAGGCATTCACAATCTACACTTTCGTTCAGCTTCTCATCAACTTCCTTGGAGGCGAGCGTTCTCTGATTATCATGACGCATGGGAGGCCTCCCGTCTCTCATCCGTGGCCCATAAGTCTGTGTTGCCCGAAAATGGACATATCGGACCCTCATACCTTCCTGCTGATCAAACGGGGGATTTTACAGTATGCCTGGCTGAAGCCTGTCCTGGGCGTCGCCACCATCATACTGAAATCCACCGACACATACAAAGAAGGGTACATTTCGGCCGACTCGGGCTACTTCTGGACAGGGCTTCTTTACAACGTCAGCGTGACCTTGAGCTTGTACTTCCTGGCCATGTTCTGGGTCTGTATGCACAATGACCTCAAGCCTTTCCGACCAATGCCAAAGTTCCTGTGCATCAAACTCATCATCTTTGCCTCCTACTGGCAAGGCTTCTTCCTCTCCATTCTGCAGTTCCTTGGCGCCATTCCCAACGACGTCCCCGGCTACACGCCCGACAACCTGGCTGCAGCCATACAGGATGCCTTGATTTGCTTCGAGATGCCCATCTTCGCCATCTCCCATTGGTACGCATTTTCGTGGCACGACTATGCTGATGTGACCATTTCAGCCGCTCGTCTCCCGGTCAGATATGCGCTAAGGGATGCATTTGGCCCTAGGGATTTGATTGAAGACACCAAGGAGACATTCAGGGGCAGGAATTATGATTACAGGAGCTTCGATTCTGGTGACAACGTTATCGCTCATGAGGAATCCCATTCGCGCGTGGCCCGGATGATGGACGGCATGAGGTATGAGAGAGGTGGAAAAGGCAAGTATTGGATCGTAAAGCCACAAGATGCCAGCAGTCGGACCCCCCTACTAGGTAAAGATGCTGTATCAAGGGCTCCAGCACCTGAATCCAGAGGCAAGGCGCATGAGTACCGCGCTACCGAGCCAGATATCGAGATCGGCATTGACGCCGAGGACGAGAGGTTATATACCAACGCGCGAGCTTTGGAGTTTGGTGATTGGAATGTGAGTTGTCCCGTCTCCCGGACTCGAGGAGACCTCTTGCTAATGTTGCGTGCAGTATCACGTCATAACAGCACACGAAGCACGGCGTGAGGACTGGATGCGGCGCAATCCCGATATACTGACAACAGCCACGAATCGCAATCTGCTTCAGCCTACCCGAGACCATAAAGCGCGGCGTCGGAGTGAACTACAAGAGCACATTCGGAAAGGCAAAAACCGAAGCACTTCACCATCCGAGGGCTCCTCTCAACAGGGTGCAATTGAAGCCAAATTAAGACGACAACAGGAGCGGTCGCCTTCGGCCTCGGGTAAATCAGATCGCAGCCAGTTGGTTGACCTCGTCGTGGAGGATACAGAAGCAGAAGAAGCAGAGATCGTGCGAGCACGCAAGGAAGGCAGCGATGCCTGGAACCGCAGGCCGCAGCGACACTTTGTTCGTACCTACAGTATTGACGAAGAAGCCCCAGAAGGCGAGGACATTCGCCAAGGTTACGACCCAAGCAAGGTGCCGTCACGGCCGCCAGCTCCAGAGAGGGCCGTGAGCGATGATGAGAGCAACACACTAGATGAAGGAGACCGAGGTCGGCCACTGAACCAGAATGGCACGGAGCGCGGAGAAGGACAGTATGCTAGCTTGGTTGAGGAAGACAATGTGTGGAAATGACGCCGGGAAGCCTTGCTGTCAATGTGCAATGCCCCCAGCCGGGGCCGAGGAGCTGCTTCGTGGTTAGTCTTAAGAAAGCTCCTCTCGACTGTTGAATACAGCCTCTTTTGGGACGTTTGGGCAATGAGAGCGTTCAAGCGAGTATCGTTACAACCACCAGCATTAAGAATCCTTCTATCCTCTCATCAAGATGCCAATGGTCCTACTAGATTTCAGGACGAATATGCTTAAAATGGAGTGAGGATTTCTCTCTGAGATTTTACTTGTACCTTTACTCTAGTGCTCCAAGATCACGAACGCTGGGCCAACGATGACTCCTAGGCACCTTCGCCAGACCTGAATAACACTTCCACGAATTGCCTCTTGATCAAGCTCTCGTCGATGGTACAGAAGGTTCGCCATTGGATGCCCTCGGTGAGTCACAAGTCTCACAGTAATCTGAAACAGACAATTGGCGAAGCGTAGGAGTCAAGAGTCACACCTCGGTCACTTGAATGTACCTCGTAGTCACCTAGTACTGTAGTCCGAGTCACACTCTGGTCACTTGCCACGACTTGCTTAACTCCGGGCAGCCTCCGGGGCAGGTCAGAGACACCGCCACCAGTTCGATTGCCATTCACCACATTGGTGGGGTTCATGTGATGCTTGGCAGTGGCCCGCACTGCTGAATTATCAACCACCAGGATTTTCAGAGCCCCTCCTTCACCTCTCCCCTTCGAGTACTTTACCGTCAACGCGCGGCTTCGTACAGCTGCACTTCTTATCGTCTCCCTCATCGCATTCAGCGCAGGTGACGCTAAGTGCTCCAACAGGTTGAGCGAACCCTCAACTGTGCCCTAATTCCTCGTCAGCTCAAGAGAGCGCCCAATCCGCCGTTCTAAGGCACTTCAACACCCAATACCGTCAAGATGGTCAACGTAAGTTCAGATACCAGAAGTAACATCAGCATGGTTATGCCTAACACATCAACAGTTCACCGTCGACGAGATCCGCGCTGTAAGTCGCCATCTGACCCTGATGGACACCCTGCTACTATCGGATGGGATGATCATGGGACTATTCCAAATGGCGCGGACTAACAACGCAATTGTAGTTGATGGACAGGCCGGCAAATATCCGTAACATGTCCGTCATTGCTCACGGTTGGTCTCCAAAGCTTTGTCACACAGCATCTTGAGACTAACAAGAATCACAGTCGATCACGGAAAGTCTACCTTGACCGATTCCCTCGTCCAGCGAGCTGGTATTATTTCGGCAGCCAAAGCAGGCGAAGCGTAGGTGCAGCACAAGAGAATCAAGACAAGAAGCTTAATAACAATCCATCAGTCGGTTTACGGACACGAGAAAAGACGAACAAGAGCGTGGCATCACCATCAAGTCCACTGCCATCTCTTTGTACGCTCACCTTCCCAACGAGGAGGATCTCAAGGACATCCCACAGGTACGAAAATTCATGCGCAGCCACACTTTCTTCACCCACTAATATAATTCGTAGAAAGTCAATGGTAATGAGTTCTTGATCAACTTGATTGATTCACCTGGCCACGTTGATTTCTCGTCCGAGGTGACAGCTGCTCTCCGAGTCACCGACGGTGCCCTGGTCGTTGTCGACACCATCGAAGGCGTGTGCGTTCAGACCGAGACCGTGCTGCGACAGGCTCTTGGTGAGCGTATCAAGCCCGTTGTCATCATCAACAAGGTGGATCGTGCTCTCCTCGAACTGCAGGTCCAAAAGGAAGATTTGTACCAATCTTTCCTGCGGACAATCGAATCCGTCAACGTCATCATCTCCACCTATCTTGACAAGGCTCTCGGTGATGTCCAAGTTTGGCCCGAGAAGGGTACTGTCGCTTTCGGTTCCGGCCTCCACGGCTGGGCTTTCACCATCCGCCAATTCGCCGTCCGATATGCCAAGAAGTTCGGCGTGGACAAGAACAAGATGATGGAGCGTCTGTGGGGTGACAGCTACTTCAACCCAAAGACCAAGAAGTGGACAAAGGTTGGGGAGCACGAGGGTCAACGACTCGAGCGTGCCTTCAACCAGTTCATCCTGGATCCTATCTTCAAGATCTTCGATGCCTTCACCAAGGGCAAAGTCGACCAGCTTGTCGACCTTTGCGCCAAATTGGACATCAAGATCACCAGCGAGGAGAAGGAATTGCCCGGCAAGGGCCTTCTCAAGGCTGCCATGAGGAAATTCCTGCCAGCCGCTGATGCGCTTCTGGAAATGATGGTTATCCACCTGCCATCACCTGTCACTGCACAAAAGTACCGAGCTGAGACTTTGTATGAGGGTCCTGCCGATGACCCGTCCTGCATTGCTATCCGCGACTGTGACCCCAAGGCCGATCTCATGCTCTACGTTTCTAAGATGGTGCCTACCTCCGATAAGGGTCGATTCTACGCCTTCGGTCGTGTCTTCGCTGGTACGGTTCGATCTGGCTTGAAGGTCCGTATCCAGGGCCCCAACTATGTTCCCGGCAAGAAGGAAGATCTCTTCGTCAAGGCCATCCAACGCACGGTCCTCATGATGGGCAGAACCGTCGAGCCCATCGACGACATGCCTGCCGGCAACATCATTGGGCTTGTCGGCATTGATCAGTTCCTGCTCAAGTCTGGCACTCTCACTACGTCGGAAACCGCGCACAACTTGAAGGTCATGAAGTTCTCCGTCTCTCCTGTCGTGCGACGCTCAGTCGAAGTCAAGAACGCCAACGACTTGCCCAAGCTTGTCGAAGGTCTCAAGCGGTTGTCCAAGTCAGATCCTTGTGTGCTGACTCAAATTTCGGAATCCGGCGAGCACATCGTTGCCGGCGCTGGTGAATTGCACTTGGAAATCTGCTTGAAGGATCTCGAGGAAGATCACGCCGGCGTGCCACTTAAAATCAGCGACCCCGTCGTCGCCTATCGTGAGACTGTTGGCGCTGCTTCCAGCATGACCGCTTTGTCCAAGTCACCCAACAAGCACAACCGCCTGTACGTCATCGCCGAGCCTCTCGGTGAGGAAGTGTCCAAGGAAATTGAGGAAGGAAGAATCAATCCCCGTGACGACTTCAAGACCCGTGCTCGTATTCTTGCCGATGACCACGGCTGGGATGTCACCGACGCTCGAAAGATCTGGGCGTTTGGTCCCGATACCACCGGTCCCAACTTGTTGGTTGACCAGACAAAGGCCGTTCAGTATCTCAACGAAATCAAGGACTCCTTTGTGTCTGGTTTCCAATGGGCCACTCGTGAAGGTCCTATTGCCGAAGAGCCCATGCGGTCAATTCGATTCAACATCATGGATGTCACCCTCCACGCGGATGCCATTCACCGAGGTGGTGGTCAGATCATCCCTACGGCTAGACGTGTGCTCTATGCGTCAACCCTGTTGGCCGAGCCCGGTCTTCTCGAGCCCGTCTACCTGGTTGAAATCCAAGTGCCCGAACAAGCCATGGGCGGCATCTACGGTGTCCTTACCCGAAGAAGAGGTCACGTCTTCTCCGAGGAACAGCGTGTCGGTACTCCCCTGTTCACTGTCAAGGCCTACCTTCCCGTCTTGGAGTCCTTCGGTTTCAACGCCGACCTGCGTGCCGGTACCGGTGGCCAAGCCTTCCCTCAATCTGTCTTCGACCACTGGCAGATTCTTCCTGGTGGTTCGCCTCTTGACCCCAACACCATGGTTGGCAAGATTGTCACGGAAATGCGTAAGAGGAAGGGTCTCAAGGAGAACGTGCCAGGCTACGACAACTACTACGGTAAGTCCCCATGCTTCTATCGCCCCAGTGTGCACAGATTTCTGACATTGCTACAGACAAGTTGTAAAGCACCACTCGTCCTGCAAAGAGTGATAGATAAAACCATGACTTTACGACACTGCATACCAGAGGTTATGGTTTCGCAAGCATTTGTATGACAGCAACGCCGAAAGCATTATGACGAGGTGGCTTCAAAGCAAGGTGTGATGAAATGGGCATCAAGTGGATGTCGAGCCTGTAGGGATGAATGCCATGGAATGAGATGATGACGGCAGTCATTGCAACGGTCCTGATACGCTGGGGTTTTCGGCCCTGCGATGAGGATAGATAAATGTCTCGTCTGCTCCAAACGCAAAGCCGATAGATAAATGCCTGTAGGTAGAGAACAATCGAGATTCTGTTGAATAGGACTATGTCTTTTCTCACGGTCGACATCAGTGGCACAGATGGGTCATCCTCATGTGGCCCGACTGTTACATGAAAGGGGGGAATCCCAGAATCGTCCCAACATCGTCCCACAACCTCGAGGCTCATCGCGCAACGGATACCCGCACAGTTCATACAGTCTCGTACAGTGTGCAACCCCCTTGAACACTGTGTCCAAACAGGTAGGGTACCGACTACGTAAAGGACCTACAAGAAACTCCTGATCGCTTGGCTGTAGTGACGGCCAGCGGCCGGTACAAGTTATGGGACATAGATATCTCTTCCATGGCCTTGCCGCTACGATTGTACAGCATCAGCTGTCATTCATGGGAGGCGCCGATATCATCTATCAATGACAGTTCTTGATGGGGCATGCTTAAAGGGCTCGAGGGCTCGAAGGCTCGACAGCTCAACTACATACCCAACAAACAGCCTGCCTACCGTACTCAACAGCTTGACCAGTCCATCGTCGGTTCTTCGCCAGACACGTTCACATCGCTACCACACAGCAATGCACCGCGCCGCACTGCCTTGTCCTTCATGTTCCATGTCATACGTTCATCGTAGTGCATTTCCACCTCACACACACGCCTTCTTCTCCTAGGTCTGGCCTCGATGCGCCATCGCGCGCAACGACCGACGGTCCTCTCCTGCCTCCTTCTGCTCCGCCAGCCTCGTGGTGACGTTGCGGGCCTTGTTACGGGCAGTTTCCTTTTCCTGCTTTGGCTTCCTAGCGTTAGCAGGTTTGGTCGGTTGAGACTGTGTTGTTTGCTGCTGCTGCTGCTGCTGCTGCTGCTGCCGCTGATGCTCCTTGTGATCATCATCACATGTCTGGTCCTCCTCACTCTGACTTTGCGCAGCACGGGTTCTCTCGCTTGCGGCGGCACTACTCCCGAGACGCTCGAATCCGTGGTCGTCGTGGTCTGTAAGGTGAGTGTCCGGCTCTGGCTCCGTTGCATCCTCATTGTGCGTGGTGGTTGTAGCTACCGATTGATCTGCCAATCCTTGCTGCGTGGACGACACTTGGTGCACGGGCTTTGGCTGTCGAGGTTGTTTTCGGTCGTCTGCTTTTTCCGGTGCTGCTGCTGCTGCTGCTGCTAATTGACGCTCGCTAGCCTTGGTTGTAGATCGACCACCTGCCCTGAGGTTATGGCCCCTCATGTTCCGCGCTGGTCGCTCGTTGAGATTATAGCAGCGTTTGCGGTATTTGATGCAGAATTGACATGGTCGCTCACCGTTGCAGCGCAACTTGGATTTCGTGCAATGGTGGCACTTGTCAATCTGAGGGTGTGCGCCTGCAGTCTTCTCTTCTTGGATACCCGGATTCGATGGGCAGGTAATGTCGACGTTACCATCCATTGCTCGCTGTGCTTGTGAGAATTTAGTCAGACGCCGAGACCCATCGTCTGCAGCTTCCCCATCCTTGGAACACACGGGCTTTTCAGTATTTTCGAGCCTACCGGCGCGCAATTGTGCTTCTTGAGATTCTCCTTGTTCTGCTTGCGTCTGGTCTTCCTCCCCAGAAGGCACTGTCTCTTGGACACGTCCGTCTTCGAGCATTCGGTCTGCGTTGTTCTGTTGCTCGCTCGCTAGCTGTTCTTCTGCCTGCGGCACCTGCTGAGGTTGGGCCACTTCGATCGATAGCATCTGTCCTTGCCCCTGGACACCGATTGACAGTTTATCTTGAATCTGACCACGCAAAGTCAATGCCACGACATCATACGCGTCGAGCGATGCTTGTAAAACCCCTTGCAGCGAATGTTGCAGCCCTGCCTGAATCACCCCCTGGAAAAGAGACACCTCGGATGCTTTGGCCGGCTTCGGTTGCGTTGACGGAGCACGAACCGGAGACAACTTCTGTGCGTGCTGTTGACTCTCTTCTTGGGGTTGGAATGGGAATAACTTTTGTGCGTGCTGTTGAATCTGTTCTTGAGCTTGGAACGAGAACAACTGCTGTGCGTGTAGCGGTCCGTGTTCTTGAACTTGAACCGGAGCTGCCGACTGCGCTGTAACTGATGCCAATTCTGCCGCTGGGACTGCCGCTGGAGACTGTGCCCGTAGCGAGCCTTGCTGTGTTTGTCCAAGTCCTTCGTCCTGCACATGCTCGTACACGACGTTTTCCATAGGGTCTGGATTCGAAGCTCCTGTAGATGCCTCCTCGCACGGACTTGCAGCGAGTTGTACTCGCGCTTGGACTTGCGGTAAAGGTTGAGCTTGCTCCGGCTCATATGATTGATTGCATACCTCGTCTTGAGCTTCTTTCCGTGCTGGCGTCTGGCTCTCGGCCGGGGATATTGTGTACACCTCCATACAATCCTGTAGCTGAGCGGGCTCCGTTGCTTCTGCCTGGGCGGTGTCAGCCATCTGTGTGTCCGCTTGCACTTGGTGATGGACCGGCGCTTGGTTCGAGTCTGGCATCTCGGTGTCCCCATACTTCGGTTTGTGTCCTTGTGTTTGGATCGGTATCAACGACTGCGGCTGCGTCTGCGCTTCGTTGAGAGCTTCCACCTGGCGCTGAGTGTGACCTGAAGTCGGTGTCTGAGCCTTCTGTTGCATGTGCGCCAGAAGCTGCGTGTGGTCAACCGGCTGTTTCTGGTCACGGGCCGACACCTCACCATGGGTAGTCTGGTCGTGCACCTGTGCCTGAATGGGACTCTGCCCTTATGGCCGATCCTGCTTTTGCACCTGCGCCGTAGCGGCAGGTTGCTGCGCACCCACCGGAAGCATGTCGAGTTTCAGACCAGTGTTTTCTTTTCTGTTGCGTTCGTTGAAATCCTCCAGGCTTTCGGTCTTTCCATTCCAATAGTCGAGGACGTGGTCGACTTCTTTCCGATATCTTTCGCCGATACATAACTTAGATTGCTCCGCCACTGCTATCGTCCATTGCCTCAAGCTCTGCCGCTGCTGATGCATGGCTACCATGCGGTGTCTGCGTCCGCGCTCGGTCTGAACTTGGAGTGACGCCGTGTTGGGTATGGGATCATGGTGGTTCATGCGTATGGCCAAGAAGGACAGTTGGCGGTCAACAAGTTCTGTTCCGTCCCCGAGCTCGAAGTTGAGGTTGGGTTGTTGTCGCAGCCATTGAATTATCAGCTGGTAGAGGGTGCTTCCCATCAGCTTCCTCGCCTCGGCCTTGAGTTGCGTCCAAGTCAGGAGATTTGCATCGGGCTCGCGACCAAGGCAACGTATGTAGTGGCTGGTCAACGACTTTGACTCCTTTTGGACCCAGCTCTTGTGACTGTCGCAGGTATTCCGGTATAACTGATCGTTTCGAGATATTGCCTGAAGCTGACCACTGGGGATCTCGAAAAGGGTCCGGCGGATGTCTGGGAGATCAGGGAGTCGCACCATTAAATGAGGCCGCTCTGACAGATGGTGTGCCGTAGGTCGATCATGTAACTCGTCTCTTCGAGGGTCGCGGGAGGTGTAGACACGGCCACCTCCGCCCGAGACTACTCCATTGATTTGACCAGGTGGCTGGATACTTCTCATCAGATTTAAACCCTCTTGTCGCATCATTTCTTGATACTTTGGTATAGCCGAGGACGGGAGCATGGGCACTGCGTGACAATGTCAGCAGCGGATCAATTAGTAGCCCGGAACAAGAGCACTTACAGGCAAGCTTCACTTCGGGACCGACTTGCTCACGGATTGCGTCGCGTTCCATGTTTGCTATGACGAACTGCGTCCATTCGTACTGCGCAAGGGCTCCAGGCCAGTGCTCAACCTCATATAGCGCATACAGCTTGGTGATGTTGAATCGTGAGTCCTTCTTCGTATCTCTCGGCTGAGCTTCACTGAAAAAGCATCGGCTCTTTCCTAAGCGAGCTTCCACGACTCGCATCAATCTTTTCAACCGAGTACGTGGGTATTTGGCTCCTGCGGCTTCTTCGGTCATGCTGTGAGGCACTCGCGGACGTGGTGCTTGGATGACGAAGTCCGTGTATCTGAAGGTCTCTGGAGGGTCAAGACGGAAGACATTCTGGGATGGCGGTAGCATCGTTGCGGTCTCAGAAGGCCAAGTCTCGCTTGAATGCGCCATTATAGCAGAGAACAAAGAGCTTCGACAGGGATTCGGGTGATGACGATCAAGACGTTGGCACCCTGGACGCGACGAAAGAAAAGCGCGCGAACAGGTCCGGCAGTGGTTTCAACTGCCTTGTTGTTGAAGATTTCAACCGGGTGCTGGCACGCTTCACAGTACCGCATAGTATCATTTCACCGCCCAGTAGATCAATTCGTACCATCGACATGAAGGGTTGCTCAGTAAGTAAGATCGATAGCGGGCAGGCTGCCTCCTCCGGACCCAGGGCCACGTTGCCAATCGCAGTTTACGCGTCGTCGAGGTTGAAATTGCTGCAAGTAGGGCACTCGATTTCTTCAGCCAAAGATAAATCTCATCCAGTTTTCTTTCAGCCGTCGCACGCCATCCTCCACTGGCCACTCTTTAACCTCACACACCTTGAGCACAATCTCTTCCAAAAGCTTGTCCATCCTTTCCCCAGCACAATGCAAATCACTCTCAACTAGTATTCGGTCATCCGGAACCGCCTTGATTACACTGGTGACTTTTGCGGTGGATGCATTCGAGAAGTTGATCGCCATGGAGAACGAGAAGTAGATGTCCGCAGGAACGGAGGGCGCGAGGAACCGCTTGAGCGCGTCTGGAGGGCCGGAGTAGGAGTGCATGCATAGACGCGGCGGGAATGGAGATGCCTTTGACTGCTCCGCCACCTGCTGCGACTTCTCGTCATCATCGGGATGATGAGCCTTTGCCGCCTCCCTAGCTTTCTTTCTCTGTGCTTTTGAAGGTCTCTCGTGCCCCTTCCACAGAGCTTCCATGACTTCAAACACTAAGCCGTGTGCTTGGACGCTGTGCACGGACACCGGCCGACGTAGCTTTGCTGCAAGTCCGAACTGGGCCTTCAGGATGGCCTTTTGATGGTCGATGTTGACCCGATAAGGTGAGAGGGGTCTCCCCTCCCGGGATCCGGGTGTATATTCTTCTTCAGAGCCCCCGGTTTTGCCCTTCATATCGCCTGTCATGGAACTCGGCCCTTCTGGGAGACGGAAAGAACGGTCCAACCCGACCTCTCCAACGAGCGCATATGGGAACTCTTTCAGCCTCTCCTCCGTCTCTTGCAGAAACTGGCGGAGAGATCGCGGTCGCGGTAGAGCCTGCATGAATCCAATATCTGCCGGCTTCGGTGTCAATACCATTTCATAGTGCTGCACCTGGTCCGGCTCGACATCCTTGTCCAGATCATTATACAGCTGGTGTGAAAACCAGGGGTGCCATCCGAACGCCGGAATCACGTATCTTGAGTCATCTTCCAAGAAGTCCGGGCGTGAGTCCTTGAGCAGGTATCTCCCGGCAGCTTCGCGAACGAGGTCCTGATCTTGTAACCTGGTCGACATAACTGCAAGAACCTTGGCTTTCATGTTGGCGATGTCCTTGATGGACGCTAAGATATCGGTCGGGTGACAGTGAGCATCAAAGACGCCAATCTGCCAGATGGCATCGACGCGATCCTCGTTCCCGTCCATGTTGGCACCAGAGCGATCTCTCGCGCGCTATCAAGGAGTAGATGAAGGGCGACAGGGGGGAAATGTCGTTTCGTGGAGTTGAGCATCCCTACCTACGCGAATGACATCATTTGCTCTCATTTTACGGCGAATGGCGAGACTGACAGGTACCACAGTAGGTAGATGACAGGGCAAGGAGGGCTCTGAACATTGATTATTGTCCGGACCGGAGCTGGGAGAGGAGGGCAGATGTCATGGACGATTATCAAGTACACCGTCGGACCGGTATCTGGTTGTCCATGACCAGAATGATATGTTATTCAATAGCATGTCATGAGCCTATAGCCCAGCTCCTCGCCCTCAGCGCTCTGCGCGACATCGGCTGTGGCTTTGCCCATCTATATATTTACACCTGAAATCCTTGCCTTAGCGCCATGTCCAGGTCATTACTACATCTTGATTCTTCTAGGTCGACGTCCCAGGCAGACACCGAGGCGTCCTGGCTCTCGTACCCGGAATCGGTGCTGATCGTGCTATACCGGCGTGGCGACTTGCCTTTGCTGCTTCTCAGAACCGACACGTCAGCAGCGAATATGTGATCGTGTGGTGTAATGCCAACCTCTTCTCTACCAGCCCGCGCTGGTGTGTTAATCAATGGCAGCCGCCAGAGAAGATGCGTCAACGCTGCTCGGGCTAGCAATTGGGTGCTGTTGATCTCGAGAGTCTTTGCCTCGAAGTATGCCCGGGCTTTGTTCGGATCATTCTCGTGGTCCAGAATTTGCAGCGTCTCCGCGCAATGCAGACAGTTTAGGACATCCGTCCTGGCTGATATCGGTGTGGAGGAATCGATGATAAAAGGGGGCCGCACTTTAGCTTCAAGCTGCGTATTTGGAGCGGGTAGAATCTCCATCGCTCTCGAAGCCTGCTCAAGACATGCACGGCGACCAGTGCTGCGGAGTACGGAGCTTGCAGCCAACGCCCGCGTTTCAGCTGCTGAGCCCGGTGGTGCTATTCTCAAGGCAGTATTCAAGTGTTCTTGGATGAGCTCGGAAGACTCGGGTGATTGCAGAGACAGGTCCAGGGCCTGGGTCAATGACAGGGAAGACCTCCAGGCAGCAACTGCGTCCAGTGGGGACCGAACTGCGTGGTCTTCGACCACAACGTCCAGGAGTGGATTGGCAGAGCCTTCGGCGGTGGGCCGGTCGTACATGAGATTATACGCTCTCTGGCAGACTGTGTCTTGGAAGACCTCGTCGCAAGGCATATCGAGCATTTCTGACAAATGACGAGGCAGCCGATCCGCGTGATGCAGGGGCAGATTGTCCTGCGATGTTTTGGCACGGCTCCATTGCCGGTTTGAAAAGAATTTCCCAAGGCGGTTAGCGACACTGGATAGGCCAGTTCCGAGTGCGCCCACGTTCCACAAGAGCACCCGGCAATGCAGCGACTTGAGCATCAGTCGCAAGGGCGTCCTGGGCAGGTTTCCAGCCCCAAAGATGGTCAGGAGGAGCCTGCTCCGGCTCACTTCGGCGTCACCACCGGCCAATTGAGCGTCAATAGCAATGTCCCATGCTTTGATCCGGGCCACAGTGTCGTCAGCAGTGCGGCCCGTGAGCCAAGCATAAGCCCGCGGGCCAAACAGGTAACCAAAACTGTACTTGAGCCACTCGGAAGTGATAGCTAACCACTCCGGGAAGAAGTGGTGGTGAGGTAGTTGCAGCTCCTGCATGCTTGTGCTCCAGGCGCGCCGCCTGACTTCGATAGGGGAGGCCGGCACAGGCGCCTGACTGGACCCGGTGGCCGATTCCTCAATGTCGGATTTTGGTGGCGGCTTGGAGTTGAACAGGTATGAGAAGATGAGGAATGCAAGGAAGGTCAGGGCGATAAAGCCTTTGATCAACGGAATGACACCTCCAGCTTGGCAATACCGGCTGAATGTGGCCAAGTAGATCCGCGGCGATCGCAGGAAGCTCCAGCCATCCAGTATCTCCAGAGGGATGCCGAAGAGGCCTTTTTCGCGGGATTCTGTGCCCATATCTGACTCACTGAGGCCATCCATAACCATCAGAGCGGCCAGTGAGCCCAGCATGATTTTAGTAGGCCATTTGCCCTTGAACCTAGAGCGCTCTGCCGGCGTCTGATAGATGTGCCCATAATGGTCTTGAGTTTGAGTTTGACGGAGACGCCTCCAGCTCTCGGGCAGGGGAATGAGCCCTTGAGCGGGTTTGGCAGGCGTAGTCGACGTTGACGACGGAGACTCGGCGGTCGACGAAGACGATGATTCTTCAATTACAACGTCACTCGTGAAGGCTGCAGCTCTCTGAGCATCATTGCCTCCCTGAGCGATGACTTTGTCAAGTGTCTCAAGCCGATCTTTGAGTGCGTTGTTTTCTTCCTCCAGCCGCTTTGTACGGAACTCGAGGTGTCGGATATACTCGACTGCCTTGGTTAAGATGGAAGCCTTGTTCAGCTTGTTGCTTGGAGTAAGGCCATCCAAGTCGTCTTCGTCGGAATCCCCGGTTATGTCCCGTATCTTGGATTTCTGCGCTAGACGTAGACTGGGCACGCTGTCCCTGAGCTCGGCTATCTTTTCATTGAGATTGGCACGATATCGCTTCTCAATGATATTGTGTGGTCGCTTCTTTACCGCCGGAGTAGGAGCCTCGGAGCGGTAATCTGTCGTCGGGATATCGGTTGGGGATAACTTCCGCTTGAGCATAGGACGCTGGCTGGGAGTAGATTCGTCTCTCAGCGTATCCCCACTAAGTCTCATCTCTGCGCTCGAGCGAGATTCTGGGGAAGCTGAGCTATGGCGAGGGGTAAGGAGGTCGTGTGAAGGAGGGGCGGTGAGGAAGTCGGTCTTGATGTGAGCGAGGAGTGCGTCACCGCTCACGGTCGATGAAGGAGATATCGGGAGGCGGACCAAGTTGTCTGGTCTTGCGGCGAGGTTACTGTCGAAGGCAGTTTCGCTGGATGTGTTCGCGGCGCCATTCCAGTCGAGCCATTTGTCGAATTCACGACCTGCGGACTCTAAGTCCAAGGGGGCCGTCATGGTCGGCTGGGGAGGAGTAATCATTGTTCTGGTGGAGGGCTTGATGTACCGCTGGAAAGAGAGGTTCACATTGTCATCGGGAGCCCCCCATCTTATATTGACGTTATTTGACCTCTACTGCTGAGATACGGGGGATCTGTGGGAGGCGAAGGGAACTTCCGACGAAGCAGAGCAGCAGTTGAATAATGTGGTCGCAGGGTCCCTGGCTAGCCACTTCGAGACGGGCACAATCTGCCCTTCCCCCAAGCAATCATGGTGCCAGAAATGAGGAGCAGGAGGAGCGCGACGAGCTGTTGGACTCGCTTATGTGGTGGCTTCCAGGCTGCTGTAGGGCACGACTGCGACGATTGGCGGAAGAGGAAACCCTCTTCGGCGTGCTCGACATCCGCAAAGCTGCGCCACCAAAACACGATAACACAATACGAACACCTCCCCCTGCGAATGTCAACTCGGGCTCTATACGATGACTATTTTGACCTCTCCGGGTTGTCTACGATACCACAACTGTGGCTGATGCTGTCGATCTCACCGGTATTCGAGCGAAGCGAGCCCACTCCGGGACCTGAGCCTCTCGTCTAGGACGAACTGCCGTTCCCGAACGGTCATCCTTGGGCGCATGCATCCATTGTGAAGAGGGAGCGACTGGGCCAACACACCGTGCGAAAGTCGAAATGTGAGCGATGGACGATGTCTAGACAGGCGCGCCGCAACAATGGTCAGCCTTTCCTCGGCGACATGACGAGCGTGCCATGGCGCAGCCGCGATACAACTTGCGACTTTTCTGTCAGCAGCCCAGGCTTGCTTGAGATATGCCCCTTCCTCAAGGGCACAACCAAGCAGCGGTATGCGTTCAACAACGCCGTCTTCGTGAACGTGTCACAGCAACCAGTGAGTACTCGTGCCACAACAAGCTGCTGATGTGCAGGCCCGGAGACCTCAACATTGTTCCCTCAAGCATTTTTCCACACGCCTCGAGCCTTTCACGAAATTGTATCCATACAGCACTGGGTCGCCTTCCTCGTGGTCTCCCTCTGCGACTTCGCCCAGAATTTGTTCTTTATACACCTTAACTTATCTGAATACAAGCTTCTGTGCAGCAGAAATATCTCTTCCCACTACCGTTTTGTGTGACAAACGCCAAGGGTCCCGTCCGAACAGACGAGGGGTCGTCCTCAGAAAACCTGCTATGCGTTGTGCAAATGCAGTATGAGTAGCTATTGGAAGCCGCCCAGTATTCCGCATTTGTAGTCTATATCGGATGTTACCTGCCTCTGAAGGCAATCAGATCGAGGATCCTGCTGAGGCGAGCCGGATAAGTCGGGGAAAGGACCAATGATTACTCTGTCAACAGGTCTACGTTGGTTTCAGTTTAAGCACAAGATCAGGATGACTTGCGAAAAAAAGTTTGCCTAGGTGTGTACTCCTTACTGCGTACAGTAGTACCACTACCTTTATGCAACGTTCGTCTGGTGAAACAGCCGAGTGCGGAGGAGAAAGGTAGCGTGGGACGGTTGAGCGGCTCACCGGCTCGTCGGCACGTCCAAGTATGCTCCTGACTACATCAAACAGGCAGGGATCGGTTCCTGCAGATGGTAAGGAATGTGCGAACCTATATCTGATTTGTGGCAGACCGGCCATCACCAAGGCTACCACGTTTCGAGGTATGAAGGGATAATGAGATTCGTCGGCACGCTCGTCGCCGTCTCAGGTCTGAGCCACGAACAGCGACATGCAGGGCAGCTGCAGACTCGGTTCGAAGGAGGCGCCGCAAACTCGCATTATTTCGGAGGTCTACACGTACTCTCAAAAGTCAACGACGTGGTCCGATTCCAGATACCATCATAAGGACTCTTGGTGCGTTCATTCCGGAGTACGAAGTGCGTAGCCGACACGCTGCCCCGCAAGTAGCAGGCCCGAAACGGTAAGCGAACAATGGCAACGATGGCACCATTTGCCCTGCAGAATGCCCTGGACATCGCAACACAACGTCAGCACTGAGAGTCGCGTTGCCTGAGTTCTGCTTGCCTCTCGGAGGAAGAACTTTCCAAGTTGACCTGCGCGAGTACGCTCGTTTTTCTGATGTGGTCGGTACCTAGTAGCCGTCAACTCCTGATCCGGGCGTGGCCCCAGGCAGTCTTGTAGGTCGGAAATTTTGAGGCGAGATCCAGGCTGTTAAGGTTTCCTAGCAAGGTCCCTGATTGCTGGCCACGTTGCCGCCCAAGTAAATGCAAGATAGACTACTCCGTATGCTTCAGACCAGAAGTTGCACAGCCCGAGCGGGAAAACGGGCTACGATCCCTCGGGAGCTCAATTGGCCGCTTGTCAGACGCTTTCTCTGGGCTTTGTGCGTCCCGTGACGATAACTAGTCGGGCCCGACATCACGATCGGTTCATCGCTTCTTGAAGCATGACATCAGTGGGTGAGAATCGAGTTGTGGCTGCCAGCGTTGTTTGCTGTTCGGGACTGGTGACTACCTAGGTACCTACCACCGCATTGTGTCCAGATATTCTGTAGACAATATATTGTGTTCAGCACCTCTGTGATCGCAACCACAGCCTCTATGTCGGCAAGCATCAAAAGACTCACTCGGGCCTCGTTTGATCTCCGGCGGAGCCCTGTTCATTTGGCTCCATCGCCTGTGTTTTGTTGGCTGTCAGGGCGGGTGGCGCTCATTGGCGTTCCCAATTCCACGCTTACCGTCATCGCTTCGTTCGGGGTCTCTGCTCGCTGTCCCCACCTTTCAGAGATTGGCCAATGAGCGCCGAGGTACCTTTCCATGTTCCTCGGGCGGTTGGCTACTTTGCCCTGCATACAAAACATTTCAAAGCATGGCTCCTTCGCGTTTCTCTCATCCAACGTTCTAGACTTCGCACAAGCACGAAGATCTTCTCGACTCCTGTGCAGTGACGAGTCGATAGCCAAAGTCTGCGGTGGACTGTTTGCAGGGCCAAGACCGTCCACTTTGTTCGCTGGTACTCATATTACTCGCGGCTTTCGTTGCTGATAGTCTCTGTCACATTTCAACCCACCATTTCGCGAGATCAACTCTTGCTCTTAGCCACTGACGGCGCTGGGAAGCTGTTGATCGCCGCCCACAACTATCGGTCATTGTAACTCAAACCTCCCCCCAACGTACCTCGTATCACAGTATACTTGGGCGGTCAGGCTCGGTCAAGACTATCCCACCGAGTCCACCTCGTGCTTTGTGTCTGAACCTCATTGACCGACAGATACTCTGCGAAGGACAAGGCCCAGAAGGAGTTGACGGAAATATCCCAAGTCACGGTCGTCTGTTGAGTTGTCTCCAGTGCTTGATCCATCCACCTTTTATCCTTGTGCGACACGCGGTTTCTGGGATTCAAAACATCAACCCCTCTTCCGTCCCATCCATGTGAACCCTGATCTGTTGCTCTCCGATATTCGAACACCGGTACATCAGAGGACCACTGATATCCGTGGCGCCCTCGGTTCGTCCCAAGGATCACCTCACGTCCAAGTGTCGAGAAGGTGCTGAGCAACGCAAGGGGTGATATTCATCGTCCCAGCTCTTCAACAGAATAAGTCACCACGCATTGCAGAGGCCTTCCGTCTTGCTCCGGGACTGGGCTTTTTCAAAACTCTCAAGTACAACCAGCACAGCTCGTACAGCCCAGCGACCCGACGTGCAGCTGCCGCATGCAACCAACAACGGCAACCCGGTCGACGTCGCAGAGATCCAAAGAAAGCAAGGGTCCGCGGCGTTCATCCCCTCGACTTGGCCACACAGCCCTTTGTTCAATGGGGTACTCTCAAAGGATGAATCCTGATGGATATTCGGGGCGTTACACGCCCACCTCGCCCTTGTCTCCACGACTTCACTCCAGCCAACACCCGCTTTCACCTCCTCCGACCCGGGCTCGAGCAGGAGGACAACACACACGGCAAGCCGCCCGCAACATGCACATGACACTCCCCCGGTTTCACCCTGGCAACTTCATCCATCGTGATCAAGCGGCGACCCCATCTTCGGCCATTCAAAGCCCAGCAATCTCGCTCAATCGTGTGACAGAGCCGCTTGAGATGGAGTCACCGAGGCTGATGCGCGAGAAGCAACGCGAGTTCCTCGAAAGAGCACACGTGTCGTCGAAAATCGCAGCCTCGTCAATGGGTATCAAGCCTGGCGCACCCCGGCTGGATCCTCTCGGCAGTCCAAAGGGACCCGTGACACCACTGGCTCTGGAAGAAGGCGATGACTACTTCCAAGTTGCTGGGGTAGGGAAGATCTCGCCAGCAGGAAGCCCGGGTCCAACCAGGAGTCCGCGTAGTGAAGCCTCGTCAGACAAGGAAGACTCGCAGAAGAGCAAGCAGGGTAGGCAGACCGATGTCTACCAATGATGGGGCTCACGACACCCCGAGTCCCGCGCAATGAAGAGTCCATTCTCCATTATGTGTGAGATACCCAAAGCGAATGTACGATTTCTCTTTGTCATGTGTGCACAGCACTCGGAGCTATAAGCGACGACCAGATGTCGCCCTAAGGGCTTATGGATGCCCACAGCATTCGTTTTTTTCTTTCGTTGATAACAGACGGTCAACGTCCCTGCGGGCTGGACTCGTGCGGCTCGAGACTGCATAACAGCTGCCCGTGCCACATAGCTGCCTGGCGCAACTTGGTTTTCCTGCAGGGGTTAAAATTTACATACTCAGCATAGCGCAAGGTCAATGTCAGGACTGGGCTGGCACAAATATAGTCTATCATTGAAAGCACAGATCAAATCCAACCAAGAGGTTGTTGAAACAAAAGATTCAGTCACCGTCACCTGTCTGTGAATGAAAGTGCGCCAGGACAGTGTAGCCAGGACGCACCGCCACTGCGCCACATGACTCTCCTTGTGCCACTGCCACTGCCACAGCCACAGACAGGAATACGAGATACGACTCTGTCTTGTATGTTTCACAATGCCAAATGCCAGTGTCAGTTCTTGCTAGAGGCGCAACATTCAGTAATTCACTTGATCTTGTTGGTCCTTTCGCGCGTCCTCTGTAGCTACTGCCTCGTACCATTGATCTGCGGTCGTTCCACCCTCAGCGCGCTCTTCAGGCCACCCTCCTGACGATGCTCCTTCACATCCAGGTACCGTTGTTAAGGTGACACAGTTGCTGTAAGTCTGTCTGCGGTGAGCGCATACCCTCCCTCGACATGCGGTCGACACGCAACAGCGGCACGCGGACAACCTCCCTCGCCATCCTTCTGGGCGTTGTCTTCCTCTACTTCCTCTACAGCATCCACAATGCCTCCGTCGATCAGTCCGAACTCCGCCTACGAGTCCAAACGTCTGCGGCTGAGAACCCTCTTTCTCCTCCCACCTCTGCTTTCCGTCGGCAGCCCAACTCACAGAATGCACACGGTGTCCGCCGTCCGCCCCCAGTCGTTCACTACCAGCTGAACAATCTGACTTCATCGGCATGGCCTGCCCAAAAGAACGAGAAGGTTCTCATCCTCACGCCCCTTGCCCGCTTCTATCCTACATACTGGGACAATCTTCTTGCCTTGAGCTATCCCCACGAGCACATCAGCTTGGGTTTCATCACACCAAAGACCAAGGAGGGAAATGCAGCAACAGCTGCTTTGCAAGAGGCCATCAAGGAGACACAATCTGGCCCGGTGGAAAAGCGCTTCCAATCTATAACCATATTACGGCAGGACTTTGAACCTCCCTTGACGTCGCAAGACGAAAAAGAGCGGCACAAGATGGAAAATCAGAAAGTCCGGCGGGCCTCTATGGCTCAGGCACGCAACAGTCTGCTCTTCACCACAATCGGCCCACACACCGCGTGGGTGCTATGGCTCGACGGGGATGTGGTCGAGACTCCCCCGACCCTCATCGAAGACCTGGCCAGCCATGACAAAGCAGTCATTGCGCCAAGCTGCATGCAACGGTTCATTGACGACGAAGGACAAGAAGAAATCAGGCCATACGACTACAACAACTGGCGAGACAGTGACGTCGCACAAGAACTTGCCAGCAAGATGGGTCCTGATGAGGTCCTCCTGGAGGGATATGCTGAGATGGCTACATACAGGACACTCATGACAAAACTGGCCAAGACAGGCAAGGATCGTGACGAACGCCGTCTGATGCCCCTCGATGGTGTCGGTGGAACAGCTCTCTTGGTGAAGGCCGAGGTTCACAGGGATGGAGCCATGTTCCCTCCTTTTCCGTTCTACCACCTCATCGAGACGGAAGGCTTTGCGAAGATGGCAAGGCGCCTTGGATTTGACGTCTGGGGCTTGCCTGACTACTTTGTGAGTGTTGCAATTTCGGTCCGAAACGTATGAAGGAATTGGTTGACTGACTTGATACCTATCAGGTGTATCATCACAACGAATAAGGACATCTAGACGACTCGATAGAGAAGGAAAAGCCTTGCTGTACGCAAAGTAGACGCAATTCGCCGGCTTTGCCAGGGATCGGCTCGCCATAGCAACAGACGACACACTCCCAGCCAGTGAATCAAATGCGTATGCCGAGCCGGTTACCTGAGTCCGTGTACACACCAGCACAAGCTTCGCTGAGCAGCTGATGTAACCCTGTATCAGCAGAGCAGGAACTCATCTTTATGGAAGATGGCGAACCAGGACATCGCCTTGATATAGAGATACCCCAGTTCCGGGAAGCCATGGAGAAACCTCTCACTCTGGAGGGTACGCGGGGACGCCACCGAACTGGAGGACTATTCAGTGAATCCGGCAATAGCTATCTCGGCAGATAGCACCTCTCTGCATGCATGCATGCAAGCTTCGGCGCATCTGGCAAAGAATGGATGGGGAAGATGAACGAGGGCGCAACCACCGTAACGCCCCCTTCTTCACATGGCATGAAGTGGCCTGGGGTGGCAGAAAAGCACGTTTTACCAAGTCCATGTCCAGTAGTCAGCGGCGGTGCGAGAGCTGTGCATCCATCCACACGGCCTTGCAAGTAGTTACTATGGCATGAGGTAGCCTAGCGTCTCGTGTCCCTTCGCGTCGCTTCACGACGGTCTCTCCCCAATAAACAAAAGGGCTTTGGCGGAAGCGAGGGAAACAATCCCAAGCACGAGCACGCAGAAACCAAACAAGACCAGAAAATTTGTTCTCTCATCATGGGCCGCCGGTGATGTTTCATGAGATTCCATCTCGTATATGAAGTGGTTCACTGTCCTTGAGCCACAGATCCCCCCTTTACAAAGTCAGCCACCCACTAAAGTTGACATTCACGTCCTCCTCGGACCTCCTGCCCTTGGCCTTGGCCTTGGCCTTTGACCTGGACAGCCTCCTCTCAAGCTTCATCCGCCTGGCCTCCTTCAAGTTATACCTCGCCCTCCTTGACTGCCTCTGAGTCTTCGGCGGGTCCCCGGTACCTTCGTCCCCACCACCTCCACTCTGAGGCAGGTTCGTCGTCGTATTATACACGCTCCCCATGGGCGTGACCTTGAACTGCACGGTATGATTACCCTCGCGGAACGTCGTCACGTCAGGACCACTCGTGCGATACGCTTGCGTGACCACCGTCCGCCCCGTCGCGACATCCAGCCCGTTAATCGCGCGATCGACCATCTCGAGCGCGGCCAGCGGCTGGAAAAACGGCACGAGGTGGCCCGACTCGTAGATGCGCACGAACGCGAATTTACCCGCCTGCCGGACTTGGCCGTGCACGACGCCATCGGTGGTCCTGAGATTCGTGAACCCTGCGGAGGCGTAGCCCGTGGCTGCCACGTGCGAGGCCACGACCTCCCCGCCCAGCCAGTTGCAATTATAGTCCGCGTCGCCGAAGTACATCGTTACTGAGACGTTCTGGGCAAGTAACCTCTGCAGGGCCGCCACGGTGCCGATCTCGCGGTCGTCGTCGCCCGTGCTGCCGAACGCGTTGCCCACAGCGGCGTTGGACTCGGAGTAGTTGACGTAGGCGCCGATCGCGGCCTGCACGCGCGGGGTGTTCAGGTAGTCGATGTAGTAGGATTGGGGGAACGGGTTCGGGGTCAGGTACCGCACGTCGTACTCGTCGCGGGACAGGTAGATGTCGTAGAGGTTTTCGACTTGCTGTTTTGGGCCACACACATGTCAGTCGTCTGGAGGACGCCTCTAGGAGGCAAAGTGTGGCAATGAAGGGAGAGAAAGCACTGCTCACCTGATAACAGAAGTTGTCTGCCGCGGAGCAGATCTCGTCGACGCCTCGCGTGTTGCAGTCTACCGTTTGGTCGTAGCAGTTTCCCGGCCCGTAGAGGTTGTTGTACCATTGGTCTGTTGGCCACTTGTTAGCTTTGTGTCTTTTTACCCACAGGGCGGGGGCGCCTCACTCTTGACGCTCTGGTTGAATGGGCTGACGTCGTAGGTGTTGCCCGGGAAGACACTAAAATTGTAATATGCCTGATATTGGACCAGGGGATCGTACCATCCGTTCCCGATCAGGACGTGGTGGAGGTTGATGTTGTGCGCGCCGCTGATGTTGAGTGCGTTCTGCTGGATGAAATATTCGGAGACAATGGGCGCGTAGTGGCCGCCTACTCCAAGCATTAGTGCTGTTGTTACTGCGGCGTAGGCCGCACACTCACCATACGACTCTGTGGCAAAGTTGATCTCTTGCCTCGCATACTGGGGAAACGCGCCCATGAAGCCTTGGAGCGTCTTCCACATGTTCGGCGCCACGGCGGGCGTGCTGTTCGCGGTCAAGGACTCGTTCCAGTACGAGTACGTCCCGCACGCCCAGTCGCTGGCATAACCGGGGCAAGTGTTGCCGGGTAGCTCGACGAGGTATCCCGAGTTCGGGTCTTCGTAGGCGGGCACGGGGCTGGAATAGCTGAACCCGACTTGCGTGGGTTGGTCGATGAAGATCATATTACTGACGTTGGACCATGAGTACGGATTGTTTACGGCGTCTCCGTCTTCGTTGACTCGGCAGGGTCCCAGCTCTTGAAACAGTCCGATCATGGACGACGAGCCAGGGCCGCCATTGATCCAGATGGTCAAGGGCGCCTCCGTGGGGTCGACGTTTCGGCTTTCGAAGAACCACCAGAAGATATGCTGGCCCGGCGCCACGTCCGCGTAGCCTGCATAGCTTTTCACGTCGGGGTCTTGTTCGCAAATGCCGGCTGGGACGGACTTGTAGCGGACGGTCACATCTGCGTAGCCTGTTTTGCTCGTGAGGTTCTTGGGAGGGGGCACGAATTGAGCCAGAGCGAGCTGGCTGGCACTGGCCAGTAGCACGGCTGTGGGCAGTAAAAGCATGGTGGTCAAGCTTCCAGTCTCAGATGCCAGCAAAGAAAAGCGAGACAAGAAGAACACGCGCTCGGAAGAGAGGGACTTCTTGTACCCCGTGGTAGCTGTAGCACGACAGGATCTGTCATGCATAACCTACCTTGCAAGCTATCTGCATTTCTTTTTGTTCCCTCTTGATCCACGGCATCCTCGCGTTGCTCTAGCGAGGTAGCTCCCAGCTGCGACAGGTACAGCTAGGTGAAGATGCTGCCCCACGCGCTCGGCATTGGCCGAGAGCGAGGGCAAGAGCTCTCGAACGACGACGTGAGGATGGACGAGGATGACGCTGGACCTGCAGCGTTAATAAAGGTGTCCTATGAGCTGGCCGATCGTTCATTGCCGGATTCCACAGAAGAACCAAGTCGTCTGAACAGCTGCCTCTTAGGGTAAGTCGATGGTCGTCGCAAGCTTTCTGCAAGCCCTGGCAAGCTTCCACGGCCTCGATGGTGGCTGCAGAGATAAGAGAATTGTCGGCCTTCTCCAGAGGCCAAGATCCATCGTCCCGTCGTCGTGGAGAAAGGTAGCATCCCGGGTTGAACTGCAGCGCACGACCACGCCGCATCCTGGACATGCACTGTGCTCGGCCAGTCTACGCCCACCGCTCATTGGCCGGGACCAGGCGTGAGGATCGACCGGAGGAAATCCAGGTGAATACGAGGGAGCCGCTAACGGGCCTGACTTCCGCTAAGAAATCAACCAGCCGACTAGTCGCGCCGCCCACTCCCGCTTCTTGATAGAGCGTCGTGAGCGTGCCCCGCGATGGAGGGCGACTCGTGGTGCTGTGGCCCGAGCTCTGTTTACACTCTTCTCAAGCTCCGCGCAGAGCTTTCTCATGAAAAGGTTCGTTGAATTGAAAGGCGTACAACCCGCGATGGAAAGTCCACAAGCTACCAAGCAGGAAAACATTCCAGCAGCGCAATCAGGGCACAAAAGCCCTAGGCTGATCCGGCCTCGCCTTCTAAAATGTCAGATGTAACATGGCATCATAACTGAAAATCGCGCTTGCGAGCATGAGAAAACCCCGAACGGCACTGCGATTGCCCCATTCACTGATCAGACTCCTCACGTCTTGGCCCCTCGCCGCCGGATCCCCGCCAGATTCCTTGTTCGCAGCCCTCGCGGTCAATTCGCCGTTGGTGGAACCCAGCGCCACGAAAGTGTATGGAAGGATCGCTAGGCTCAAGGCTCCAGCCGCGATGAATCGGTACTGCTGTGGCTGACCGTGAGTGAGGTACGAGTTGACAAAATTCGCACCCGCGGCAATGAGAGCCAGCGGAGGTAGAGCGACTTTGCCCAGGGCGCCCATGGTCTGCCATTGCGTCAAGAGGGAATCGTCCGACGTGTTCTTCACGTATGCAGGAATGTGCAAGTACGATGTGAAGAGCAAGCCACCTGGGGTACGTCATCAGCAGTGAAGGTGACACAGGCTACTAGTAGACAAACCAGCACCGACGGCAGAAGTGGTCGTGCCGAGGACGAAGAGGTTCTTGAGTAGGGCGTAGTGGTCGAAGGAAGACATTGCGCTGGTACGAGTATGATCTGTGGAGTAATAACTTAATCAATGGTACTCGTAGCTTCTGATGACTTGTTTGGGCCAGCACTTAGATCCGATAGACAGCAACTACTGTCGACAGACAACCACAATGCCCAGCGTCTTCCTTTACTTCCAAGTGTCCGAGGCTTCGTCGTCTATCACGGGCGGGGAGGGCTGAACGTGTAGACGTGTAGACGTCATCGAAACAACCGTGATCATTGAGATTGCTCCTTTGCGGCACGTGCGACCTCTTCTCCTTCCTGCATCTACCACCATGCTTACGCATAGCAGCGGCCTCCTTACGATATATCAGGGTGGAAGCTTGATGTGACTTCTGTAACAGGCTTGCAGTCCGGCGCTCAAGGCAGACTGAGGTGTTAGCATGCAATCGTGACAACCTGCGACGTGTCATGCCCCTACCACCAACCTCATGACTGAGAGGACAACAAAAGTTCCGTCCCGTACTAGAGGTTCAACAACACGTCGCTGAAGAATCTGTCATCCCAGCCACTTGTGCTACCCGAGGCCGTCATACTCATCAGGAGCTCAAATGTTTCGCGATGATCATGTGAAAAGTAGGCAGACTTGGTTGGAAATAAGGCCTTGATTGGCAAACAACATCTCATGATGTCTGTAAGTGCATAAGGCACAGCAAGCAATGGTTCATGATGGCTGTAGGTGCATAAGACACAAATGTCACCGGTTTGTGCCATGTCGATAAACGTACAAAAACAAAGCTTTTGTCAAATCCCCCCAAACGCCGAAAAAATCACAAGAGCTCAAAGTAGATGTGCTCCTGTATCGCAGAAATGCTGCTGTCCATGTGTGCCATCAGATCAAAATTTTCTTCGTAAAGACCACCAGTTGCTCATAGATGCTGTCATCTTCTTCCATCACAACCACAGCATCTTCATCGTAGACCTTCGCTCTGTTGTCCCTGAAGTATGCATGCTTCAGCTGGCCTGTCTTGCCGCCTGCGTCAAAGTCGTCGTCCATCTCGTATTCTCTGCAGATATGCCCTTTGGCGAGTTGAGCATCGTGGTGTTTGCGCCATAAACGCTCACGCTGCGCATCCGAGAGCAGTTTTTTGGGTCTTGCTGGCTGTACTGGTTTGTCGTCAACAGCTTTCGCACCCTTTCGCGGCTTTTCGAGGACATTGCGATTCTTGATCAAGTGCTCCAAGCAGCACTTTGCAGTCTGATATTCATGGCTGTGTTTATTGTGCCTGCCGCCACATCGCGCACAGCCACGACGATGTCTCCAGAAATCCTGATGCAGATCCGTCGCGATGCTTGGGGGAATGAGGCTGTTCAGGTGGCTGCACATCTTGTCTTCGCTATTACACCAACTTGGTACCTAGCCAAGAAGCTTCGACATTGCGGCGACGTGCGTGTCGACAGCGAAGACTGGAATGCCCATGTTGAAACTCATGAGGCAGGCTGCTGTTTTGACTCCGACCTGTTTAAGCGCGGTGAGTTCATTGAACGCAGCTTGCTTGCCACCTTGTCTGTACGCATCCCAAACGAAGTCCATTGAGAGCAATCCAGGCACAAAGTCTGTGGCGCCGGGCTCTTGTCCGTAGTAGACGACTTCGCCAGGCTTCAGAAGCGACAGGTTCTTCTCATAGATGACGTCCAGGCATTCCTTGATCGGGTGGGCTTTGACTGCTTGCAGGCCAGCTCCGGTCAGGACTTTGAGAAGCTTGGACACACTCTGCTCCCGAATCTCGTGGTAATTAGGTTTCGTACCCTCATATGCCTCGCCATCAACCTCATAGGGGTAGTTGTAGATCAGGGACTGTTGCATGTCCAAAGCCTTTTCGTTCGTCAAGGACTGGGAAAGAATGACGCGAACAAGACTGTCGACGGTGAGACCTTTCGCAGCATGGAACGGCTTCGCTGCTGTTCCGGTTTGCGCAGCAGTCTTGGTCAACACCATGCGCTCCGCTTCCAGGATCTTCACAACCTCACGCAGCTCGTATGGTGTCGGAGAACACCAGAAGGGCATCTGATTGCGAGTAAATCTGAAACCCTTCTTATTAAGGCGTTTCTGGGGTCGGAGCCTCCACGTTTTGTACTTCTCGGCGAGACCTGGGACTTTCAGGGTGACGAAGGAGGGACAGGCATTCCTCTTGACCATTTCCGAGATATTCTCTTTGACTGACCCGGGGTCAGCCACTTCGTGCATCAGCGGAGGGGGCGCAATACCTATGCCGGCAGATGCAATTGCTCCAGTGACTGTCCCCTGCACAGTGCGAGCGCGCAGTGACCGGATTACGCGCACGGTGTTGTCTGAGTTTCTCAAAGCGTTTGCATCTTCGTAATCCTCGTCTGCGTCTTCAGCGGACCTCTTGCTTCTCTTTGCCGGCGCTGCACGAACATCTCGGGTTGTCAGCTCAGATCAAGACACAGGGGCATGCAAGCTTACTTTGGTTGGGAGCGCCACGCTTCGTACCGCGAGCTGCTGCACCTTGTTGAGAAACAGATTGTGTCTCAGTTATGACCATGGTCTTCTCGAGCTCCTCAGCCTTCAGGACAACGTCCGCATTTGACACAGCTGCGAGCTTAGTGACCCGTAAAGTGAGTTTCAGAGTGCGGCGTTGACGCTGTAGCATGGTGTCGGAGCTGGAGGACTCTTGCTTGATGCCGTCTGGACTGGTGGTCGAGGATGGCTGATCCAACACTGGCGTATCAGAGTCAGCGCCTGAAGGCATCGGCTGTAGGGCCGTGAAGCTGGAAGATTCCTGCACAAGGCGACCAGAGACGACGGTAGACGAGATGGCGGCACATGCTTCGTCAATCTCCTTGACGTCCTTGGAGTCTTGAGTAGCGGACTGTGAACGTGTTAAGATGGCCATGTTGACTGTTCAAAATCGTATCAGGAAACAAAGTCGAATGGGAAACTGTGTACATTTCGTCAGCCCTTGCGTCCAGACTGGCAGCGCAAGACAAAGTGTAGATTTGACAAAACAAGGGTATATCAGAATAATAGTGGGGTACTGCTGGGATGTTGTGTGTTCCTAGAAGCACCACAAAGGGCGCATGAAAGAGGGCTCGATGTATGTCGAAGTGATGCGCAGCCTGACCTGGTTGATGTAGGTATGTAGTGCCATGTCGATTGAACCTGTTGAATTCCTGTGGTGGTCATACAAGTCGACTTCCCGTGGTGGTCAAACAAGTTGACTTCCCACGGTGGTCATATCACAGTACATGTCGACTTCCAACGTTGTTTGCACATGTCGACTTCCACGCTGTTTGCACATGTCGATTGGCCTCAGCACGGATTCACCCTCTAAGGGTATAGTATCGCGAATTCATAATACACCCAGCCTTGCCAAGGCACGGTGTTGCCCCGCTTGCCTGAACAGGGAAGCTAACGACCAGATCCAGACAGTATACGCTGGTGAGTGAATGCAGGAGGCACGGCGTCGACCCGCTTGCCTGAACAGGAAAGCTAACGACCAGATCCAGATAGCATATGCTGGCGAATGAAAGCAGGAGATACTGTACATCTGCCATTGTCGAACCGAGTTTACTCGATATAGATCGTCCACCACAGAGAGTATATCGAATCCGCTAGCTGTCGACACTTCTGCGTTCTGAAGTTTAAGGTAAGACATCAATAGTCAAAGTAGGCGGTTCAACTTGTTGAGTTTCGAACCTTGGCGCTGCAGAAGTGGAGCTGAGAGCACGGGGGTGGTGCTTTGTATGTAGTGCACCCAGTGTACCACCCGAACCAGAAATGCTTTGACGAACGGACAAGTGTGGTGAACGAAGCAGCGACTTACCAGCAAATCAAAGTGACTGAGCCGTCAAGAAAGCGAGGTAGCTCAACTGTCAGACTGGGCCGTAGGTGCTAGAGGCCAGTCAAAACAGAATGCCGCTAGGAGATGTCGGTGTATATGACAGAAGTCTCTATCGATACTTGATGGACTGTATAGGCGTAAGCTCATGGTACACCAGAGGTGGTGACCAAAGGAGAGGATGGAAGCAAGGAAGATGTCTGACGGCACGGGATGGATGGAGCCTGTGGAGGAAGGAAGAGGACGGATGAGAGAGGAGGGAAGGGGGTATTTGTAATCGACGACAGGAAGCACATGCTTGCCAAGAGCCATCAAGATGATGACGATGACGGAGGCGACGACGGAGTGACAGTGTCACTCCGACAGCGTCGCCTGATCACTAGGCTATCGTCGGCCATCAGGGCTTCGACCCTGAATGACGTCGATATTGCCGTGGTCATGGACTGGTACACTTCACACCAGTAGGGTCCGTGAGCCAGAAGGTTCTTATGAGTGACAGTATTTTCGTTGGCATGTGCAAAGGAGGGGGCAATCTGGTCGCATGTGCAGGGGAGGGGCAACGGTCGCATGTGCAGGGGAGGGGGAAGGAGTCTGGTCGCATGTGACAGCTGGACAGCAGCGTCGTTCCCATAACTTACTGGAGACAGGGAGAACCTGGGATAGAAGGTTAGCTTGCCAGTATGATTGTTGCGGGGACAAGCACGGAAATACCTGAGGGTACTGAAAAGGTTGCCAGGGTTTCCGGGAACAACTGATGCTGTCAAATATCCGCTGTGTCTCTGTGCTTCTGCGGCTACCAGACTGTATACAATATGTGAGTAATGTCTGTATATATTGGTTGTGTTATGTTGTACTGTGACAGGTGCGGGACATAGAGAGAAGGCTGAGCCCCTTATATGTGAAGCCACATGATGAAATGTCAAGGGGCCAGCCACAGTGCAAACAAACTCCGCTTGCGTTTGTCATTGACAAACGACAAGCTACATATCGTTCGGCTGACAGTGCTTGGGAGTCATACTCACAGAAAGAAATGCAGAGAAGGACAATGCCGCACTCGTAGGATTCAACCTATGCCTCGGATTGCTAGGGTCAGTAACATTTTCAACAAGCACCGTGTGGCGACAGACCAGCTCGAAGACTGGGTTGGGCAGTGCTGAAATATTTGTCTTTTGTGTTGGGTGGGTCGATGGGACATACCTTGCTTGCTTAGTGCGAGCGACGTGAAAGACACGAAAGCTGGAGGTTACGATAGGAGAAGAAGCCCTTAGAAGCTCCAGGAGGGAGGGTAGAAATAGTTCAAGATAGTAGTTGGTGGTGAGGAGTTGACGAAGGAGGAAGAACAATCTTGGGTGGCAGAAAGATCGCCGTGGAGGAACCAGCTGCGAGTGGTCTAAGAGGACAGCTGTTGACAAGAAATGGGAAAGGACGAAGAATAGTCCTAGCTGCAAGAGATATTGACGAGAAGAAGGTTTGAATACTTCAAGGGAGTAGTCCTTGAAGAGGGACTGACGAAGGAGGAAGAATGATCTTGTGGCGAAGAAAGGTTGACGGAGAAGGAAGATTGATCTTGAATGGACGAAATGTTGACGAGGGAGAAAGAATAATCTGTGTCGAAGAGAGGTCCACGAAGGAGGAAGAATGGTCTTGTGTCGAAGAGAAGACGACGAGGGAAGAATGGTCTTCTGCCGAAAAGAAGTTGACGAAAGAAGAAGAATGGTCTTGTGTACAAGAGAAGACGACGGAGGAAGAAAAGTCTTCTGCCGAAAAGAGTTTGCCGAAGGAGGAAGAATAGTCTTGTGTCGAAAAGAAGATGACGATGGAAAGAGAATGGTCTTGTGTCGGAGGAGGTCGACAAGCAGGGAAGTATAGTCTTGCGTCGAAAAAGGTTGGCGGAGGAGGAAAAGACGTCGGGTCGAAGTAAGGTTGACGGACAGAAGGAGGCTCAAGTAGTTCAAGAGAACAAGTGTTGACGGGGAAATAACGAGGGAGAAGAATTCTTCCAGCGGAAGGAAGGTTGACGGAGGAGTGAGAGGGAGAACGAATAGTTCACCTCAGTTCCTGAACGCAAAGTAACGAGATGCTGACGTCCTGTCGAGGCTGTAGGGTCTCAAATAGGACACAATCGATCACTTCAACTGTGTCCTGTAGATGACGGCCCGGTGACGGGAGAGAAAGAGAAATATTGAAGATGTGAAAACACATTCGACTTGGGAAGAACAATGCAACTCAGATGCAACTGAGCTCAGAACGAACCATGACGGATCATGGGGCTCCCAAATAAGCTTATCTGTGGTGTGGCCGCCGATTGGGTGATGGGGAAAAGGGCTTCGAGGGGTTTGGGGAGACCTCTGCTTCGCGGGGATTTCATGCCAAGAATGGAGTATAACTTCAGAATCTGGCGGATACGGGCTGCCTTGCTGTGTTGATTCAACACCGTGGAGGAGGCGAGGAGAAGGAAGGTGTGTTGCGACATGGAGCACTTCGGTTAGCATGAAGTATTTTGCTCAACGATTTTCAGCAAGACCACCACCATCTTGAATCTGCCATTGAGAGCTTCGGTCCTGCTAAGGTCTGGAACAATCTGGTCAGCACCGTTCATATCCTCCGCATGATTGTTTCCAGCTCTTGAAAAATGCACCCACTACCTGCGCCTGCGCTTGCGCTTGAAGAACCATGAGGATGCCATATTCCACTCCATCGGCTCAAAGATGTGAAAGCTCCTCAGTCATCGCTGGAGCGATGAGATATGTGAAAGGCCGACCAATCAGCTCAAAGATGTGATAGCTCATCAGTCATCGCTGGGGCGATGAGATATGCGAGGGTCTACCCAATCAGCTCAGAGTCGTGGATGCTCATTTGTGATCGCTAGGGCGATGAGAAAGGTGAAGAGTCGCTTGGGGAGTCACCAGGGTGACAAGCAAGTATCAGCCTGGGACCCTGTGACAGCGACAACACTGAGCAACAACCACGGGTGTACTGACCGTCCGAAGCTGGGACCACAGGGTTGACCCAGCACAAGAACACAATGCATGTCGGCAGGTGTCTTGCACACCTTGCGGACTAGCCTTGTTGACTGGGTGAAGAGTGGGAGTCAGTCGCAACCTGTCCAACGTGGCCCGAGTTTCTTGATCCGTTCTTCATTTTCTGTCTTCCAAGCGACATACTCTGGTTTCTCGTTGCCGTCTTCATCGTGGAGGTTGTAACAGAGTGTTGACCACAAGATCAGCTGTTGTTGGAAACCTGCGTTGGGCCGGGCCTTTGAACGGCTGCTGCGAACATAGCGGAAGGCGGTGTCGTAGTTCAGATTCATCTCCTCCATGACGAACGCGATGACAACAGCTGGAGACCGTGAGATACCTTTCTGACAATGTACGAGGACTCCGCCGTCGTTGTTCTTCAGGCTGGTACCGATGAATGTGCACGCTTCTTTCAGAATGCTGAGCAAGTCGCAATTAGGCAGGTCCCGGAGCTTGACCAGCTTCAGGATAAATTCTGATTCGCGTCCAGCGGGAACTTTCGGTTGTCTGGCGGGGCTGTCAATGACGGAGAGAACATATTTAATCTTGGGGCGATCCAAGCCTGGCGCACAGTAATTCGGACTCAGGACTGCCGCTGCTGTATGGATGCTGTCCGACGAAGATCAGCCCCACGCTGCGCTGAAGCCTTCTTGCGCATAGAATCACATCCACTTACTCTGAAAGATACAAGTTTGGGAAGATCCTGTCTGGAATGAGTGGAGCTGTTGTTGTAGAGGGAGCTGCACAAGGGCTCGACATCTTGACGGTAGCTGTGGCTGTAAGAGGACTCTTGATGGGTAGCGATTTGGAAACGACATTGCTGACGCGTATTTGATTAGATGACGAGGACCTGGACGGCGGTGACAGTGCCAGCATCATGGTGGTAGCTCTGCTGCCGCACCGGCACGTGTACTGGGACTTCACGCCCTGGCAATGGCTATGAATTGGGCAGATAAGACAGCCTTGGGAAATACTGTCTCTTTCGACCACCCATCTCCCGATGATGTAGATAAAGCTGAAAGTTTTGCGACATCTTGAACATCATACACGTAGAGGCCGGAGACCCAAGCAAGAACGCCGGAGCCATATATCAACAGGCTTATTGCACGGGAGCTTACAGCCGTAGGGATGCAATCACGATGGGGCGATGGGCAGACAAGCTCGGAAGTAAAGGAATCAACGAACTGGTGATGCTATTCATGGGCGAACCCGGTGCTAGAAGACGACGAGATGGCGAAGTCAGGTTGCACGAACCGAGCACGAGGCGACAGAGAAGCAGCCGCTTGGTCCACCAATCTCGGTCACGAGTCGTTCTGCCAATTTCTCTGCTCGCTAAACTCTGGGCATGTCTCCGATTTCCGAGCACGATTAGACGACAGAACTACGTAATGTTCTCCATCCTTCAGTTTCAACTCAGCACCTTGTTCAGTATAAGCTATCAAGGGCCAGGAACACGTCCAAGGCAGAAAGAGATTTCATCCTAAGTACTCAGCAGGACACAGTCTGGAGTGGATGATTGGGATTGAGAAGTTTATACATCAGTCGGAGCCGCTTCGAGATCTCCGAGGCGCCCCCGTCTCCCTAGTTAGCAGGTGTCCCACCACGCAGCCCCCCCAGCTGATCGCCTTTCAGTGCTCACACAAGCCGTTGAAAAGGTGTTGGTCCCCTCGAGCCTGTACGGTCAGTTGGTCTCGCTCCGGAAGCCCCTGCACCCTGCAGCTCAGCCTTGCAGTTGAGCTTGTTCCGGCGCAGGGCCTGAACGGGGTTGTAACCACCCGACGCAGCAAGAGACGGGGCCATCTCCAGCAAGATGTTATCCATGGAGGGGAGCAAGTGACTTGTGCCACAGAGACCAGATAGCCGTTCTTGGATAAATGACCTTTCGTTCCCCGAATACAGCCAGGCTAACCAGAACAATTAGTCCAGCTGTCGTTGGCCATTGGCGCATTGTTCTGGCCGCAAGCACAGTTGTCCGTAACCTGAGCGTGCTTTATACGGATCCAGGTACCGAGCTGTCCCACAGCACTCATAGTCGTAACGCGTTGCCCATGCCAGACAGTGTTCTCAACTTGTGACTTCGCCGTGGCTCGCTTTCCATTTCTTTAATCTTCGACCAATATCCCCTTCCGTCTGCTGCATGGGATTGAGTTTGCGATCCCGCACCATCGACTTAATATCATCACCATGCTTCTCTACCAGCTTCGACATCCATTCTTCCTCCCTCTGGCTTTGTTGTCTTGGGCGCTTCTTCGCCAGAAGTTCTTCCTCTTTGGCTGCTTGCGCTTCCAGTTGCGCAACAACATCGTTGCCTGGTTTTGATGCTGAGTCTGGGGTCTCGTAATCTATAATGTCGTTCAAGGGGTCGTTCAGAGGATTGTCCCTCTCTTCATTGTCCTCAGGCCTGATGATTCTGATGATGCGCCCTGTCTCTGGGTCCCTCTCAACCTGTACCTCCTGTGTCGATGGATTTGCATGTGCCAGGCCAGCTATTGCAAGCGAATCTCTCTTTGAAGTTGTGTTGGCGGTGCCCTTGTTCACTTTCTTTTCTGTGCCACCCGTCGGAGCATTCAACTTGGACGACAAGCCTAGTCGCTTGTAGTTTTGCGACATGGTAAGTTTGCGATCCCTGTGGACGTTAGACTCTCCGATCTGCTGCCCCTAGGAGGCTACAGTGATTTCTCACCAATTTTTTGCAATTGTCTCATTGCCCAGGAAATTGACCTTCTTCTTACCCGCTTTTGTCCGGTTGTCCTTTGGTCTGGCCTTTGAGATAGAAGACCTGTTCTTCTTTTTCTGTCTTTCGCGACCCATCTTTGCAGACAAAGTCTGTCTTGTGATGCTCTTGCGGGGTTGTCCTTCGAGAGCCACTGAACAAAACCTTTACTTGGAGACTTGCGCAGTTGCTTGCAGGAAGCGAAAAAGCCGGCCGAAGATCAGCCGGTTATCGATAAGGGCGGCCCCTGAATATGGATCTGACTTGCATGCACTTTGAGCCTTTCCGTCGCCCTTGGGAGTTGTCGCGTGCTGTTAACGAACAAGGGCAATTGGTAGCAACAATGGGTGTCCCGACCTTGGCTACAGGAAAACTGCATAGATATGCGTTATGCGCCTTATTACTTGGCCTTGTGGTGACCGTCTGCGCAGAGGCGGTGGTTGCTAAGGACATTGGCTTGCTGACGCCCGACGAGATCGAGGAGAATCTGCAGGTATGTTGGACCCATCCCATCCCCTTCTGGATCAAGCGGCTGATCTGGCGATAGCAATGCATGTTCGTACAGTCCTTGAACGAGCACAAAATCAAGACCCAACCGAGTCAAGCCTCGTTGACGACCCAACTCTTCGCCTACCTGTTCCCCTCGTCCTCACCTGCCATCAACGCCCTCCTAGCAACAGCATACATCTCGGGCCCGCCAAACTTTCTGCTGGCACTATGTCCGCCCAACATCGACCCCTCGTCGCTCAGCATCATGGTGGCATTTGCGGTAGGAGGCCTTCTGGGAGACACCCTTTTCCACCTTCTGCCCGAGATCTTTCTGGGTGAAGACGAGCACGACCGAGTCAAGTTTGTCATTGTCGAGCCCAACAGGAACCTCCTCCTCGGAGTCGGCATCATCGGCGGTCTAGTGACGTTCATGGCCATGGATAAAGCATTGCGCATTGCCACCGGAGGAGGAGGGGGAGGACACAGCCACTCGCATGCCCAAGAAAAAGATCACAGTTCGGCGACAGCGACAACCACATCCTCGACAACAACCGCAGGAGCAGCCGTGAATGGGGATCTCAAACAGCGTAAACCGCCCTCCTCTACTCCAGGTAGCTCCTCCCCTCCATCCAGCACCAGCCCTCAAAACCCGTCCGTCAAGCTCGCGGGCCTCCTGAACCTGATCGCCGATTTCACACACAATATAACCGACGGCCTCGCCCTCTCGTCGTCCTTCTACGCCTCCCCCGCCCTCGGCGCCACGACCACCATGGCGGTATTCTTCCACGAAATTCCGCACGAGGTAGGCGACTTCGCCCTGCTCATCCAATCCGGCTTTTCGAAGCGGAAAGCCATGGGCGCACAATTCGTGACAGCGGTGGGCGCGTTCTTGGGCACAGGCATCGGCATCTTCGTGCAGGAGTTCGGTGGCTCCCCGGCTGGAGATGCTACAGACGGCGGCGTGGCCAAAGGGATCTGGGGCACAAGTCTCAGCTGGGGAGACATGTTGCTTCCCTTCACGGCGGGCACATTTCTGTATGTCGGCACAGTGGCTGTGATTCCGGAATTATTAGAGACAGGTCCTCACAAAGGAGAAGAGTTGAGGAAGACGGCTCTCCAGTTTGGGGCCATGTTCCTGGGTGCGGCGATCATGCTGGGGATTTCATGGTCGTGAATTACATGCGTGGCTCATCGAGAGGCAAGCCTGGCTTTCAGAGAATGTCCCTACTCAAAGTAAGACGGGTTTGGGTCTGGGAACCGTGCAGAGATTAAAAAGGACGGAAGACGGAGGCCAAGGCCACGTACACAGGGATTAGAACCTGAACGTCGAGAATCACAAAACTTAAATCCACCCACAGGGCAAACAAGGCTCCGGTGGTTGTTGGACGAAGGTTGCAAAAATTCCTACACGCTGATGCTGTACATGTAGCCATATGAGAGGCATTAGAAGCCACAACTGCCCCTATACAGTCAGAGACTTCTGCCTCTTCCCTGTTCATCCGGCTCATTCGCCTTTTGAACCACCCTCAGACCGCATCAGCGCCCTCACCAACCGCAGAACCCATCCTGCCCATTCGGTTAAACTGAGGGTTTGCGCATACCCAGTGCCTATCACACCTTTACAGACTTCCCATCCATGCCGACTCACGGGATACTGCAGCTTCAGCGGAATACGGGTCTTGACTCCCAATAGTCTTGCCCACCAAGCATCTTCACAGACGGCTTTGACATTGCACAGTGCCCTGAGTCCTTCTTCTCCTCCGAACCGGCCGTACCCTGAGCCTTTGACTCCGCCAAAGGGCAAAGAAGTAGCATAGTAGGCGCCAAAGTCGTTGACGGCGACCATCCCTGCTTTGATTCCTCTGACACACTTATCGATATCAGTAGGGTTGTGGCCGAAGACCCCGGCGCCCAAGGCGTAGGCGGTGGAGTTGGCAATGCGGATGGCATCATCGACGTCTTGGGCTTTCATGAGCAGGAAGACGGGCGCGAAGAGTTCCGTTTGCGCGATTTCCATATCTGGCGTGACATTGCTGAGGAGTGTTGGCGTGAAGTACGTTCCCTCGGGGTATTCCGGGTGATGATACTGCTGTCCGCCGCAATGGAGTGTAGCGCCCTGCGCAACAGCCGAAGCTATAAGCTTCTCGAGACGAGGAAAGCTGCGAGAGGAAATCATGGCCCCCATGTCCGGTGGGCTGTCGGCAGGGGAGTCGAGCACCGAGCCCAGTCGCAGGAGCTTGATTTTCGGCAGAACCTGTTCAAGGAGCTTGTCGTGGATGCGAGGTAGTGCGATGACACGCTCGATGCCAATGCAATTCTGCCCAGCAGATTGAAACACTCCACGCATAACTATGGACACCACATCGTCAATGCCTCTGATGGTCTTGGTGTCGTCGAGTATAATGGCGGGATCTTTCCCTCCGAGCTCAACAGTAACAGGGATCAACGCCTTCGAAGCAGACGCACATACCTTATGCGCAACTTCTCTGCTGCCTATGAAAGTGATGTGGCTGATCTTGGTGTGACTGGTCAAGTGATCCGCGATATCTGGCAGGCAGATGACGTTCTGCACGAGGTCTGGATCGTGGCCACACAAGCGCAAGGCTTCTTGAATAATGGCCAAAAAGTAGGTCGTGCTCCAGCAAGTCTGTTCGCTCGGCTTCACCACGATTGCATTGCCCGAGAACAATGCTGAAATGACGGGCGAGATGAAGTTGTGGAAAGGATAGTTCCAGCTCACGCATGCGGCAACCACGCCCAGAGCCTCGTAGACGACAGAATTGGATTTGTAGGACATGAGGAGATTTGTGGGTCGTTTTGACCGGCGCAACGCCTTTTCGCCATGCTTGATTGTCCATTGCAGCTTCTCGACTGTAACAAGTATCTCGCCGAAACAAGCATCAATCTTCGTCTTTCCAGAGTCGCGGCAGCACGCCGTCACGATCTCCTCTTGGTGGTCGATGATGTATCGCAAGAGTGTGCGCAGAACGCGTCGTCGTTGGGAGAACGTGGTCTGGGACCATGACTTCTGCGCTTTCTCCGCGGCGGAAATGGCGGCATCGATTTGAGACGCGTCTGCTGGGTCGATGGAATCTCCTAAGCGATGACCATCTGCTGGAGAACGGGGGTAGATCCGGCCATTGGAGACCTAGGCGCATGGTAAGCGAGTGTTGTCTGAACGAGCTATATCCAGACATACCTCTTCCTGTCCAGCATCTTTGTTGTCGAGGCCTTTTCCATCGCTTGAGCACACACGGCTATTGCGCAGCCATACCGAGGGAGAGTTGCCCTTTACCAGGCCATCTGGCAAAAGTATAGCATTCTCATTCTCCGCAGACAGTAAGCCACCAAAGACAACGGCGAATACAATGGTGACAAGGAATGAGCATAGCAAGACCACGTTCGTCTGCCCTTCAGTGGACCATCTTTCCAGTACGTCTTCCATCTGTCATGAGGGTTGTGCGCAACAGCGATCTTATTGGCGTTGGAGAAAATCTCCTTGCACCGCCACCTCCAGGTTTTAGGCACGCATGCGGCTGAACGTTTCCAGCCACAGACAGCCACAGATAGCCACGAGCAGCCACACCTGGGCTCAGAATCGGACTTCTCCCGGATCGAGATCCCGGCGAAACGCCACAACCGCCACAGCAGTTTCCGAGGATTGACAAGGATAAGTCGGCGCAAAAAGACGCACGGACCATTTCATGACGTCGGACGCCGCCTTATCCGCCGCACTTCCAAGTTTTGTTCCCAAACCGGACACCAACCTGACGTCTCACTGGTGGCGTGGTAAGATCCTTGCCCTTTCGGGCGCCAGAATTAGCGTAACGACAAGCCCTTCAGAAGGGCATTCACGATGGCTGGCGCAAACCCTTCGGTTGGCCAGGTGAGATGGTCAGCCTCGCTACCAAGTATGATTCGATATCCCTGGTCCTTGAGATCACCAAGGGCGGACTCCGACGTCATGTGCACTCCCGCGATATCTGCGCATCAGCTCGTATTGGTGGATAAGGCGAGCACGAGGTTGGATGCAAGCGTCTAACGCTGAGTGTGGTTAGAAGTAGTGCTAGGCGAGAGTGAAAGACAAGCAGAAGTGCGCGTCCTGCGACGAGAAATGCATGGGCCGGTTGCGATGACGATGGCGTCAGGCAAGTGATACAAAGGAAACCACGAGGGCGACCAGCTCTTCACTTCCAGGACCCCACTCTGCCCTCTCACCTCTGAAGCTTCTAGACAACCTCAAGACATACAAATACTCGCCTGACCACCCTTTTGTCCAACCGTTTACTCCATACCCAAAAACCACCAACAAACTTCCCCTACACAGCCATACCAACAACCACCAACACACCTCATAACATTCCATCACAGTCACAATGGGTGCCGTCGTCTCTTGTGTATGTCACCACTTGCCTCTCGCCTTGTATTGAACCTCACACTAACTCACCCTCACAGTTCGAATCAATCTGCCGAACCATCGGTTCCGTGCTGATGGCCATTGTCAACGGCATCGGCTCGATCCTGACAGCCATTATCAATGGCATCGTGTCACTGTTCGACATTGTCATCTCCTGCCTCACCTGCGGTCGTCGCAAGCGGACACACCGATCAACGCGTACACGGACTCACACGACGAGTAGAGTCTAGTCGGTAGTTGTCCTGAAGCAACAAGAACGGTGTTCACCGACATGAAAAAATGCGACCAGGAGTTGACGTGGAAGGCTTTCTGACGAGGAGGAAGCCATTCATGACAAGAAGTATTGGATAAACAGCACTGGTGCCTCTTCGTCGAGGAGGCCAAGAAGCTGCGGCAGGGATGGAGAGCGGATCATCACGTTTATGCTTTTGCATACCACTTAGTACCCTTGTACCACTAGTCCTTTCTTACGACGATACCCGATACCGTCTTGATGGCTCTGCCCAGCTAATAGAGAAGAAATGATAATGAATTGAACTGGACGACTATCACAGCGTTGTAACATCCCGATTCTGGTGTCTCTCACATTGCCTATGAGCTCCGTATCATTTTGCATATGATGGTATTAGTTGTAGACATATCGATCCTAGTCATGTCGCTCACATCGCGCCGGACTCGACCTCTCCTTGCGTCTAGTGGTGTAATTACAGTGTTCGGCCGCGGCAGTCAATCTAACTGGTAAGACTAACCATCTCACCCTCCCACTTCCCTTTCCTTCCCTCCACAGCCTCCTTCACCACATGTTCCCATACCCACTGCGCAACATCCCCCCTCTTAATACTATACCCGACCGCGGGCTTCTGTTCCGTACCCGCCCGGATCTTCTCCAAACCCACCACATCTCGATAATCAGCCGGCGAGTTGTCCAACGGCGTCAACAACGTCGGCCTGATGCCCACAATGGCGCTGAACAATCGATCCCGCTCGGGGGTGTCGGCATCCGCGCGGTAAATATCCTCCATCTTCTTCTTGTCCGCGTGCGGAACCGTGAGGATTTGATGGTACAGAAAGCGGATCCAAAATGGCACGTCCTCGGGTCCCCTGGTGATGCCTGTCGTGGAAATAAATGTCAAGAGAGGTTGGGGATGCTGCTGCTGCGTCTCAGGCGCAATTACAGATGCAGATGCCCCTTCAGAGCATATCTCGGTCAACGCCCTCGTGAGCGTCGCGGCCGCGGTCTCGCACACGTGCGGATCATCGAGCGTCGCGAACTGGAAGGGCCGGGTCCATTGGAATTGGAACGCCGGGGCGCCGCCCAGGCCCGTCACGATGACGCTGGGGAGTGTGTGGGGTCCATGCGCGGTAAGGGCGCGCTTCACGGCCGCGACGTCCAGGGCATTGCCCTGCACGATTGTGAGGTTGTCGAGGAGGTCGGCGGCGAGGTCCTGGCGGAGGAGTTGATCGCGCAGCTTCTGCGGCGTGCGCACGAGGGCGATGGCCCGGTGTCCTCCGAGGAGGGTGTGGATTAGGATGCCGTTGGCGACGCCGCCTGTTGCGCCGAAGAATGCGACGGTTGGAGAGGGAGACATGGTGACTTTGGCCTGGAGCGTTGGGTCGGATCCCGTGAATGAGTATTGAAGTTCGGGTCGAAGTCGAGGCTACTGGCTATGTTATGCTGTGTTCTTGCTTCTGGGTCTGCTGCTGTTATTGAAGTATGGTTCTGTGTCTTTAGTGAGAGCCTAGCAGTCGGTCACCCACGGTCTTTATACAAAGTATGCAGGATACACCCTTTCATGCCCGCGCAAGTCGCGCACACCTGAGGACGTCAGGTTACAACGGCGGAGCGATTCATGATGGCGCAAGGCGTTCACGGTAGAAGAGGCTCAGAGCCACAAGCGCGTCAATCATCGAAGAGGTCAACCCGCCGCCAGGGTTGCCTTGATGTTGAGTGCCAGGCTTGAGGCCAGGCTACAGGAGTGTAGACGGTTGACTGGGGCATTAGGGAGTAAAGACGGGAGAATTCCAGCAGACACGGAGGAATAGTCCCTCCGCCCGGACGGCTGCATTGTTCCTATTGGTTTAGAAAGTTCCGGGCTCAAGTTGATTGGCCAGCTCGGACAATCCTAACCCATGCGAAACGAGTCTTACTCGTAGGCATTGTGGTACACCAGCTCTGAGGACTTCACTAAGAGACACTCCAGCAGCTACTTGTACGGGTTGGTCTTAGGTTCTGCGCTCCCGCAAAGAGAATGCTGACTTTGTCTCCAAGAGTGGGGAGGGCTGAAGTGGCGCTTCTTGTGAGTGTAGCGGAAAATTCAAAGGCCACAACCGATCACCCAGTCCTGTACACGGTATCCGCAAAGCAATGCCCTAAGCTGACGGCAGCATTCGAACGGGGACGTGCAGATCAGAAGGACAACAACAACCTCTTGCAGCAGGTGACAGACGTCGAAAAAGCGCGAGAGGTCTAAATACCAAGGCGCCTCGCAAGACGCAAGCGCCTGGCATTATCACTCAGAAGGGAAGATACGTTTTATGTGCCGCGTCGGGCTTCTATTACAACACGAAGAATCTATAAGCTAGAAATGATCTGATCAGTGCGCTGCCGTAGTAGCACAGACCCATCCAGAGGGCGGTGTCTTGACAGTCGACGTGATTCTGGACGGGCATTAGATAGGCACTTCGGAAAGGAGGCCAGAGTACTTACGTTGCCCATACAGTGGATGTTGTCCAAACAGTCTCGTAAGTACGAGAAGTGCGTGTGCGTGTGGGTGTTGGAGCTGTGATGGTGGTCGTGGTCTTCGCCTTGCCACTGTAAGCCGTAACTGGTGGAGGCGTACTAGCATCGAGGTTAGCCACGGCTGGTATCTCGACTCTAGGTGACTTACACAGTGGTGGTGGTTGTCGTGTTTTCCGTATCGGTCTCAGTGCTGGTAGGTGCTGTAACAGTGGTGTACGACGAGACAGCCTTTGCAGTGTCGATAACAGTAACGGTGCACATATCTGTAGCTATTAGCATCTGTTCGGGTCTTAAAGCAGGAATACACGTACCTGGACCCATATCAACGGAAGCGCCGTTATCGTCTCGTCGATGCATGGCCAGCCTGTGACCTCCCCAGCCACCCCAGCCGCTGCGGCCTGTCCCGGGCCTCTGGAACTGCCGTGCCCATTGGCGAGGGACGATGCTGATAGACGCGGCGGCTGCTGCAAGGGTAGCCTTGGTGGGCCGAATGGTACAGAGTGGATCTTTCGAAGGTGTTTGCGTCTGGCACGAGGTGGTGACGGTAGTAGTAGAGACCGTCTTGGAGAAGACCCTGGTGGTGCGTGTCCGTGTCGAGGTCGAGGTCCAATATACGGTTGTCTGGGCTGGGGTTGTCGTGATGGTCCGGGTCGAGGTGCTTGTGGGGACAGTGACGGTAGAAGCTGGCGCAGTGGTTGAGAAAACGCTAGTGATGGTCGAAGTTATCGTTGTTGAAGGCACCGTCGTGACGGTGAAGATGGCAGTAGGGGTTGACGTTACTGCCACTGGCGGTGCTGCAATGACGGCGAATGATCGCATGTATGCGAATGTCAAGCCTTCCATGATGGCAGTCCACGTTCCCGAGAACATATTGTTCTTGGTCAACTCGTTTCCGGGGACGTTACTGAGGGTGTTAGCTGTGGATGTGTGCAAGGTATCCGATGGCTTACCATATGGACACCATATCTTGTCCATCAGGCTGCACTCCTATATCGGAGCAGAAGTACTCATCGCCATTAGGGTCAATGAGAATCGGAGTGACTACATCTTGGACGTCGCTTGGCTGGCAGCCTTGTCATTGTCAGTGCCAGCAGAGTGACGCTTGACGGTCTGGCGGCTTACCGAAGAACTCCGTGCCGAAGGTGAAGTATGAAGTCGACGTCGTGTTGATACAATATGGTCCTCCACCATCCACAAAGTCATAGCCATATGACAGGCAGTCAGCCGCACTACGGCCTGACAGAGCAAGCAAAGCAACGACATAGGCGGATGAGGAGTACATTCTGTCGGTACAGGACGAAAAGGCGCTATGGAAAATGCCAGCTGAAGACGGAAGCCATTGTCCTATATGAGGGACGAAGACCGCAAGGCTAAGCTCGTCGATGGTATCGGAGATCAAGGGTCAGCCCCTTTGCAGCAGGATTATTGTGACTGAGACAGAATGCCTTGCTGGCTTGACAGTCATGCCTCGAGACCCTGCATCCATGAGTTCTCTTTTTGGCAAAGCCAGACTGAGACATCGGCCCATATTCCGAACCAAGACTATGAGCACGGACTGAGAAGGTCGAGGAATGGATCGCCCGGAGGACTGATACAACAGGCTTCTTCCACAATGTGATTGTCTCGGCCGCTGCCGCGCTGCCATTGCCAATGCTTCGAGTACGAGGTACCGGCAATCGTTGTTGTGCTGCTCAGAATCCGGGTCTCTGGTTGTGTCCTGCCTCGAACCATGCTGCCGCGCAGAGTGACACAAGCGAGTTAGTAGCGTTCCAATAAAAGCAACAAGAAACCGGCCTCGTTTAGTTGAGGAGGCACAGCATAAGCTAGCGCTACTCTACCGGAAGCTGCAAGGAGCATAGAATTGGAATTGCAGCCCGATATCGAAGCTGCCCGGATGATGCGAGGGGGACAACAAGATATAGCGGAGATGACAATGCCTTTGTTAGCAGCGGGAACGTGCTGACTGTCAGGGGGGCGACAGGGGGGTGGTTCGAGGCCAAGCCGTTTACGGAAAGAGAAGACGACACATCCAACATCATCGCGGCTTTCCCACCACCGCTGTTCTGGCCCACTCGATGCTTCTGCTCGCTTCAATCTGAACCAGCGCCTTTCGGGCTCCCAAAGCATTCTTCACAGCTGAATTGTAAACAACAAGACCGGTCGTATTGTACGGAAATTGCGTCGCGCGTCCTGTCTCGGTCTATTCTTGCAGCCGACGGCCCCTTCGCGCATCCGAATACGGCTGTGCCAGATGAGGTTGGACAGATGCCTCCATCTCAGTGGTTCCTACGACATGCCGCAATCCCTTTCTGTGCGACAATAAGCCGCTGAGCCTGCTAAGGGTCCGAGACACGCAGTCAGGATCTCGTGCGTACCACGTTTTCCACCTCGATCATGCCATATTGAAGGAGTATGGGGCTTCAGAATGACTCTGTGCCATGGCAAGGGAGAGAGAGAGAGTCACGACTCTGACAATCCTACTATCCCTTTATATTGGATGTCTCGCGGGTTCCATCTGCTTCTTCGTCCTGCATTCTGTCGCTCGTTGTTTCTCAATCCATTCCAGTCGTTCCACCTCAGTCACTCGCTATGCTGCTCTTCTTGTCGCTCGTTTTGTTATCTTTGCACCAGGCCCTCGCAGCCTACATACCCACTGCTGAGTTGGTACAGATCAACGATGGTCTCGCACGCAGGCAGGCGTCCTCGACGTCAAGTACTTCACCAAGCCCCACTCAAAAGGCCGATTCGCAATGCACACACGGGCCATTTACGCGGGCGTGCTGGGGCAATGGCTACAGTATCGCGACCAACTACGACGCCGTATGGCCAAACACTGGCAAGGTAGTCGAGTACTTTCTCGACATCCAGAACGCGTCCATGTCCCTTGATGGATTCTCGAGACAGCTCTACGTGATCAATGGCCAGTTCCCAGGACCTACCATAACTGCCAACTGGGGAGACACGCTGAGGATTCATGTCAAGAACAGCCTTACCACGAACGGGACCGGCATACATTGGCACGGTCTGCGTCAGTGGAAGACGAACCACATGGACGGCACCGGCGGCGTGACTGAATGCCCTATCGCGCCGGGCCAGTCACGCACATACGAGTTCCTGTGCACGCAATTTGGCACGACATGGTACCACAGCCATTTCTCCAGCCAATACACGGACGGCGTCGTGGGCACGATGATCATTAATGGTCCTGCCACGTCCAACTACGACCTTGATCTCGGCGCTTTTCCAATCACCGACTACTACCACCGGCCAGCATTCGAGCTTGGGCCTCTAATCCAGAACGGCGGGTTTCCACGTGGACCGCCCGCGGGGGATAACATCCTGATCAACGGGACGAATGTGAATCTCAACGGCACACAGGGTCGATACAGCCGCACCACCATTACCAAGGGCAAGAAATACCGCCTGCGACTGATCAACACCTCGACCAACGACAATTTCAAAGTCAGCCTTGACGGCCACAACTTCACCGTCATCACCGCCGACTTTGTCCCCGTTAAACCTTTCACAACACAGTGGCTGTTCCTCGGCATCGGCGAGCGTCACGACGTCATCGTCGAAGCCAACCAGCCCATCGACAACTACTGGTTCCATGTCGTCCCCATCACGGGCTGCAGCAGCAACCTGAACAAAAATGCCCTGGCCATCTTTTCTTACACTGGGGCCAACTCCACGGGGTTGCCCTCCAACGCGACTCGCTCCAATGCACCCAGCGGCGCGGCCGCCTCGGACTGCAACGACCCCAACGACAAACTCATCCCGTACGTCAAACTCGACGTGCCCAGCAACTACACCATCCCTGCATCCTCGCGCCTCGACGTCGGGTTTGCCATTGTCCAAAACACAGCGCAGCAGACGCTCTTCCAGTGGAACCTGAACTTCACCGCCATGAGCGTCGAGTGGGACCGGCCCACGTTGGAATACGTGTTCAACAAGAACACGACCTACCCGCCGGCGATGAACCTGATCACCCTACCCGGCAAGAACACCTGGTCGTACTGGGTGATCCAGGCCGTGCCCACCATCGCGCCTCCGATTCCGCACCCGATCCACCTGCACGGCCACGACTTCTACGTCCTGGGCGCCGGCACGGGCATCTACAACAACAGCCAGACGCTCAACTACAAGAACCCGCCGCGCCGCGACGTCGCCATGCTGCCGGCCTCTGGGTACCTCGTCATCGCGTTCATCACGGACAACCCCGGCGCCTGGCTTATGCACTGCCATATCGCGTGGCATGTGGGGCTCGGTCTCGCCGCCCAGTTCCTCGAGCAGGCGGATCAGATCCCGAGCTTGGGCATCGGGCAGGAGTTCCAGCAGGGGTGTAGCGCGTGGGATACGTACAGCCAGAACGCCATCTTTCATCAGGAGGATTCGGGGCTGCGAAGACGTGAGATTGCCGGGTATTGAGGTGCGGTGATGGTGTGGTGGCAAGACAGCAAGCATGCAGCACATGATCTGATTACTACGTGTCCTAGTCCGTGTCATCTGTAGGTTTGGACTGGTTCGGGATTGAGTCTTCTGTAACCATACTTACAATTGGAGTTGGACTTGGAGTTTGAGAATGAGAATGAAAATCCTTCCTGGTCCTGGTTGTCTCGCGTCTCGATGATCGGATGGTCTTCTCTTCCCTCTCATCGTTCTAAATCTGCATTACAATCATCTGATAGCTCAGGCGTAAGTGGAGTACCAGTCACGCAAGGGACATGGGGGCCTCTCAAATGCTAGCTGGCAGAACACGATAATTTCAAGGACCTAGACGAGAACGAGCTTCATCTGCCTGCAAAATTGAATGCTGCAATGTTTCGAGTCTAAGCCACTATACACGCAGCTCTGGATGACAGACCAAAGCATGGATTCTGGTCTCCAGGAAAGGGTCTTCCGAGAGCTGCCTGCGACGCTGCCAGCTGCACGCGCCACACGTCGTTTCGGCCACCACCGTCTCTGCTTCTTGAACTTGGCACCCACCATGCCATGACACCGTAGCGCTTACAACACCGATAGGTTGGGGAAATTCTCCTGTACCCCACAGAATTAGCCACCAGTAGTTCACGTTTATAGTGACGTCCTCCACGAGAAAGAGGCCAGAAAGTCAGGGAATAAAGAAAACGTAGGCATTCGTACCTGGTACCCGGGTGGCATCCACCGACCCTTTTTGACCAACCTGGCCGTATACTCGTCGATCTCGGGCGCCGCGCTGGCGATCTCGTCCACGGTCGTCTCCTCCCACGGTCTCGCGCCCTCGATGTCGTTCAGCGCCTTCTCCAGGCTCCGCAGCTCGACCGCCACTTTGTCCTTTGTCTCCTCGGCGTTCTTGACCGCGACCTGCTCGAACGCCTCGATGGCCTTGATCTGCTTGTTGACGTCGTACGTCTTGGGCTGGAAGCCCTTGAAATACTGCTCGATCTCGTCGATGACGGCCGTGTTCTTCAGCACGGAGCGGTAGTGCCCGAAGTCGACGTTTGTGGGCTGATCCGAGAGCACCTGCACGCGGCGGCGGGCATCGTCGTGGCGCTTCTTGAAGTTCGAAAGCGAGGTCGCCGTGCTGCCGCGGAGGCCGAGCTGGGTACCGACTTTGGACCAGTCGAGCTTGCTTGCTGCGCGTGCCTGGAAGAGGGGAAAGATTGAGATGTCAGTCCAATGCTCGTTTCTGGGATGCAGCAATCCGGTCTTCTATGGTGCGGGGGGAAGGCGGTGGCGGGGAGTCGAGCTGCACCACTTACCGGAGCGGCCATTGTGACGGGTTGTAGAGGTTTTGTTGGTGAGAGGGGAGAGTGAGTGGCTGAATTGGGTCTGAGAATCAAGTTACGTCCCTGAGGTTTGAGCTCCGGCGAAGTTCGGTTTTGATCACGTGATTTAGCATTTGTCCGTAGATTATCACGTGGCATGTGCCCGATGGTTCTGATTCTGGTTCTGGTTCTGACATCCGCTGCTGCTTGAATGCTCCACAGATATCGAGGACATCTTCTCCCACAACGGCGGCGTCACAGAAGCAGTGGTGTATGGGCTTTACAGCTAAGACCTGGTAGACAAGCATTTGTTCATTTCGCTTATCTGAAGCACACTCCTCCCTGTATGCGCGCTTTGTGAGCACCTCGCCGAGGTTCGGCATAGTTGGACATATCACATTCATGACTTGGGCAATCCCTTCACCAACCGATGCAGACCAGTCAACACAACTTTTTGCAACGCCCTGATTCTCTTGATCATACACTTAGCGCCATGATAGAGTTGACTATGTCGTTGCCGTTTTCCTTCAGAGCTTTGACAGCTTTCTTCCTCGACACTGACGCCTGGGTCATGACGAGTTCGATGTCCTTAGCCTCAAGGCCGCTGTCGTCCACTTCCTCATCGTCGTCTTCCTCCTCGTCCGCCTTCTTGTCCTCGACTGCCTTGCCCTTGCCGTTCTCATGTGCATGATCATGGCCGGAGTGGTCTGCGTTGGCGGCTTCAGCAGCTGCGAGCTGTTGAGCGGCGGCGGCTTGGGATTGCGAGTTGAGGTCTTCGATCTTGGCTTCACCAAAGATACTGCTAGCGTGTTAGATGGTCATGTACCCAAGCAGGGCACTTGTAAGCTTACATCCAGGTGTTGCTGGTTGGCGAGCGGTAGACGTCAGGGTTGGAGATCACGAAGAGGATCTGTAGTATCACATCAGCCAATTTGCCACGATTTGCAAGGTGCATGCAACCAGCACCCAGGAATATCATCTGGGTTTGGCTCTGCGGAGGACGACTCACGCCTTTCGGTCTTCGCAGCGTCACCCGTGTGATACCCGGGACATGCTTCAAGCCCAATTTGCCAATTGCCTTTCGTGCCTTTTTCTCGTTTCGGCTGTGAACTGCGACTGAAGCTCCGGCTGGGATGTTCGCGTCTCCTTCACCAGTCGCTTCAGGTTCGGAGTCGGACGAGCTGGATGCGTCCTCAGCTGCTGCCTTCTTATCGGGCTCGTCGTCCGGAAGCTCTTCTATTCTCGGGTTGGACATGGTGAATCAGCTGGATTCCGTCGGCGGGACCGGACCTCGATTTGCAGGCAGAATAGGTGCCTGAATGAAGCTGGGATTTGAATGTTCATAAGCATGGGGTACCCGGACAGGTGCAGACTGGAGCTCAGCAACTTACATCTGCGATTCTTCAACCAGTTGATGAGCTCTGTGATTTTGTGAAGTGATCCGGTAGGTGTTTGGATTGTGGAGGGTCACGTGAAGTTATCGCTTGGCAATTAAAGATGGTGCACTCAGCTGCCCTGCCGCCGCTTTAGTCCAACATCCTCACGTTACCGCCCCGGGGCTCTACATTCGACCTCGAGCTTCAAGGCAACACCACCTGTGCTGAACAGGCTGGCTTTGGTGTAAAGGTGGTAGCAAAGGGAAAATGTTGTCCGCCCTGAAGAGCTGACTTCTATGAGATCGTGGCTCGCCCGGAAGATGTCAACCCTTCCACCATTTACCAATCATCTATCCAACACATTTGATGCCGGACTCAGTCCCGAGGCCAGGTTGCTACAATGCGGCATAGACATTTGGGATTATTATTCGCTCCCGTGCAGCCTTGCTGGGACTTGCCATCTGTGCCTTGTTGCCAAGTCCAATTGTCCTTGTGCAAAAGAGTGACTGCCTTGACGAGCAAGGCCATCAAACCCTTGATCGGCTTTCCGGACAAGATGGCTCCAGACCAGCCCGTCCAGTTCGGAAACGACCCTTGGGACGGAAAGGCTTCTATGGCTCGACGAGGTTCTGCTGAAGCCATATGGCTCAGCATGAGATATCTGCGACACAACCCCTCTGTTGACAACTTGGGAAGATGCTGCTCAGAAGCATATTAGTTATTAAGACGACGACGGACAACTCTCAGCACAGGCATACAAGACTGGTACTCCGTAAGTAACATGGTCCTAGCCCGTGGCTCTCGCGGTACTGGGCAAACCTGACCAAAGAGCCACTACGCTTACCCAAGGAGGCCCTCATGCAAACTTACTCAGCATGCTTGCTGGACAGGACAAGGCGGTTTCGCAGCTCCTCTTGTCACTAGGGACACGACGTAAAGAGACGCGTCCTGGTGAAACTTGTCCGCGAACCGCAACCGATCAAGGACGAAACGCAATAAAAGGCCCCGGCCAGCCACTAGCTTCACGCAACCGTTCACAGACAATCTTGAACATTGCTGTGAGCTGGAATATCATTGGATGTGCGAAAATTCGTCCAACGAAAGGAACGCGAGTCTATCAGAGGCAAGACGACACCCGTCTCTACATGATATAGAGCCTGAGGACGAACAGGTGTTCAATCGACTCAGGTGAATAGGTGCAAGGGGAGATCTTGCAAGATCAACTGACTGTGCGTTGGAATTGGTTCCGTAAGTACACCTTTGGAGGGTTCGCCTGGCTCTGCCTGATCAGAGTCGATTTCCCTCTTTGAATCTTGATCGCATTTCATGAATTTATTGAATCATGTTCTGCAGAAAACCCGCGCGGGCGGAGAGAAGAAGCCACAGCCGCGGATGCTGGTGCCAATTTACATTGACCATTTGACCTTCTTGGCATGCATGCACTCAGCATGCCTCTCACTGAAAATGAGGATTTTGAACTCGATTGTGACGCCTGTAACCATGTCGCATTCATGCCTTGGCAGTTGCTCGGACTTTGGCCTGAGCCTTCAATGTCTCGAATCGTGCCTAGAAATCCTGTTCGTCAGCCCTGTAATCCCACACAGATACACCCGGCTCCAGTCAGCCGGGGATGCGGAAGCCCAGGATGTGTATTTGGTAGAGCTCGTAGACTATAGCCACCTGTCTCAACTCACCTGCTTCTTCAACCTCATCACCTTGAAACGCTCAAAGTCGGTAAGATTTCTCCGCCGCTCCTGCTGCTCTCGCTTCTTCGCCCACGACGACTCAGCCCACTTAGAGTCAATCTCGTTCTTTTCCCAGAGCTTCTTAACCGGACCTGTGCCTGCGGCTTTGGGGAGGTTGGGGATGACCCAGGGTGTGAGGGAGAGTGTGCTGGTGGCGATGGCCTGTCGGGGGACTACGGCGCCTTCCTTGCTCGACGGACCGTCAACTAGGACCTAGAAAAAAACAAAAGTTTTGTGAGCCAAATCTGTTTCTCTTCTATCTGGCATGATACCAAAGCGCCCGAACATCAAACATACTCTGCCGGGATCTATTATCTCCACCACAACGGCCAGCTTGCCATCGTAGGGACCTGCGCGGATGGTGACAATCCGGCCGACCTCGACGAGTTTCCACCCAGCGGCCTTGATATCGACGTTGGACATCTTGCCGGCAAAGTGATATGAGACTGGGTGAGGCTGCGCGCGAGGATCAGTATGAGAGCCCGTGGAAAGTCGCACCGGATGTCGAGCACGTACGAAGGAGGGAAATGTATTTGTTGGTGCCGTCCGAGTTCAATCTGGCTGAGTCGAACGCCCTTCGTGCGCCGGGGGAAATTCGTTAGCGCCAGGCCAAGAATTTGTGTGCCAAGCAATATCGGTAGACCTACCTTTTATGGCGGGCGAGATCTGGAACTTTTCGAATCTCTTGGGCCTTTTTAATTTCTGCTTGGTGAAGCAAGAATTGTAGGTAGCTCTTCATCTTGGGCACGCCATACACTCTCTCGCTTCGACTACTATGCGAGGCGTCTTCTACTCGGTCTCTGCCTCTACGACTCTGGAACGGAAGCGCCGATGACTGTTCGCCATCTGATCCAGTGGTAGCCCAAGCAGGTCAGTTCTTCCGTCTGCTCCTTCCTTTCTCACCCTTCATGATGTTATAATTTGCGATTGAATTCGGTGCTGGAGACTCTCGCCGGAGCCTCTTAACAGTACCGGAGACATGATATTCTATTCTTACATATGCTGAACAACTCGACCCATTTACTGCTCCCATCTTCGGCTACAATTTCGTGGGGCACGACTGACTAACCGCTTGAACAGCGATGCGGGTACCATACCAGATCCCAAGATGTCCTATGTCCGCCTCCGTTGCCGCAGTTTCTCGGACTCGTTGTTTACTGAATCATGTGGCGTCCGTCGGCTGAGTCGAGGACGAGGCCTTCAAAGGTACGCGCCTCTCTCCCTTTATTTCTTTACCCAGCACCGCGTCTTTCCGATGATTACAACCTCATCTGCCTAGATAGTAAATGATCAAATTTGACATGATCGTACCCTTCACCAAGATCTCTGAGGAAATTTGACAGCAGTAGATGTTACATTTGTTTGCGTGGGTTCACTGCTGACTCCTTAGCAGGTAAGACGAGGATCAAATCTTGCTTGCTCCGGCCTCATCGCTGCCGCGTGCTGTCGTCTTGATGTCAGAAGTCTTGCGCTGGATCTGGCGTGTGTGATTGCTCCCGGCTTCAAGGGAGGCTTCGTATCTCGCTTTCGTGTGCGCAGCCCGCGTGATACCCCGACCTGCAAATAGCCGTCATCTCCTATGGACTTACCGACGGTTCGAACCTCGCTCGTGCCGTTCCTTGTTCACCCTTTCTGGTTGTCGAATAGGTCGATCTCACCTTCTAGGATTCAACTTGACCAATTTCTCCCTCACCTGAGCCGCACAGATAGCTCCTCCTCTTGCGATGCCCTTGCTGGGCTCTTTGGCGACCTAGAATGAATCTCTGCAGTTGGCATCTCAATGCTGACACGTCCAGCTGTAGACAGTGATGTCTAATCTGGGAGCCAAACCATTCTTATGATACTGGGGAACAAGCATGAGGAAGGATACTGCATGTACTCCGTAGGTTGGTGACTCCTCGTGCGGCAACGTGTCTCCATCGTAGATATGCTGGATACCAATGCACAGTCGGTGGGACTTGCATTCGGCAAAGCGGTACAATCCCGACCAAGTGTAACCATAGCAAATAACTTTCTCTTCGAAGCCTGTCTCGGGTAGAAATACCAATGGAAACAGATCACACGTGTCAAAGGTTTTGCGCTTCGGGACAAGCTAGCCTCGGAGGTTGAGCTCACAATTACACAGCCGTAAACGTGACCCCACCGCCTATTGGTAAGTACATGTAGGAGTATGATAGATAGCTCGCCAGAAGCGAGAGATCTGGGATGCTCGCGTGATCTCAGATGGCGGGATTCAAGAGTCCACTAGCTTACGGACCAGGATAGTGCCGTTGTGTAGTCGACTGGGAAATGGGATTAAAGGACACCCATCCGCCTCACCAGTCCGGCACACGAGGCATCTCACAAAGCAGATCCGTCGAGCTTTGGCAGGGTGGTACAAGTACCATGCACGGAGAACAGACAAGGGGGAGAACGTGGAACGGTAGAAGGGTGTTTGGAAGGTGACTGGGTGGTCTCGACTCCGCAAATGGCGTGTTTCTTTGTCTTCCGGGCCAAGGCCGCTAGCTGTCCTGCAAGGCTTGAGCTGGTCAACCAAACTTCTTTGTCTTCTCTGCATACTCGTCGACGGCAGATCCATCACTCTTTAAGTAGCCGTCATCACTCAGGCCGGATTACAATTTGGTTGCGTCCAGATCTCTCTTTTCGCCTCCTGCGTGGAAGGCAGGGACATTCAATCTGCTTGGAGGGGTGCGGGAAATAATTCTCCAGGCAAGTGCCCGCTGCTGAAACAGTACATAAAACTCATGGTGTGCCGCACCCAAGGCGAAAATGAGCGAGGGGCACACAGGATTGAGAGCCTTGTGAACTGAAGGTGACAGTCGCCGTCAGCTACCACTGACAAACAATTGATTCATCGTTCTTCTTCTGGCGGACTGAACTGTCTCTCACACGTTCCATGTTCAATCCCGCCTGCTGGGCAGTGTGTTCTTCTTACTGTGTCAATTCATTCTGTCCTCCCCTCTTGCCTTCTATCATCCTTTCGCTCTTACCGTTTCCCTGTCTGCTGTGCGACCCCGATAACATCTCACGCGCCAGTCACTCGCAGCTCTCACAGCAGCTCGGCCCACGCACACTGCCGACCTGGGTCGACACGCGCTCGTCTTACTTCACTCATCTGTCGACATCACCATCCTCTCCTTCTAATCTCTCACCGTCATATCGACATCGGCACATTGGCTTATTCCAAATCCACTGATTGAACACGCTATCCGCTGGCACGGATGGCTTCAACGTCTTCACCATGTACAGGCTCCATGCCGAGGGCCGTTAATAGTCCCGACAAAGGCAGCATTGCTCCCTCGACTCCTCAGGCTCTCACCCAGCGTCGGTTCGCGGATGGCTATGACATGGCTTACAGAATCAACACCGACGGACTCGGCATCGTCTACATTGGCCTCGTCATTGCCTGGACATGCCTCTTGCTGCCTGCTGCAATCTTCCTCATCCGTCATCGGCGCCAACCTTACCTCCGTATGCGAAACATTCCACTGGCAGTCAGTGCTGTCGCAGTCCTCCATGTGTACTGGGTCCTTTGCATGATCGCCTATGTGCTCAATGCGTACTTTCCCTGTGCTACCGAGTTCTGGATCATGAGCATCTACCTGCCCTTGGGTATCGCTCTCTTCCAAGCTACCAATGCTCAACTGCTCTCGGTTGCCACTGCTCAGAAGAGATACGTGGAAGGAGATCTTCGCACTGGAACGAAGCCGACTTTCACCTCCAAGACACCAACCTGGCGGAAGTGGTGGGAGAAGGTCAAGACATACAATGCCACGAAAAATACAATGACTTGGATCGCTATTGGCATGAGTGTTCAAGTAAGTGAATCCATGATGACATCGATGGGGCTCGGCTAACGATTTCTCAGCTGCTATTGACTCTCATCATCTTTCTGGCTTCCAGAAGATTTCATGCTGGTTTCGGCATGACCGGTAATGCCCAGACAGGGACGCCTGACCAGATGAAAGAGTGTCGACGAGGATGGGAATGGTAAGTGGATGAATGCTTGCTGGAAGCTCACCTGCTGACCTGGTTCAGGTGGCCTTCGATTGCATGGCAGATTTTCTGGTCATGGATCTATGCGCCCGTGCTGCTCTGGAGGGTCCGAAGGATCAATGACGTTCACGGATGGCGCAAACAAACTGTTGCTTGCGTTCTCGCCGGGTAGGTCTCAATTGCGAGTGTCACCCAACGTTCACTGACGAGAGATCAGTTTGCCAGCTTCACCAATGTGGTTAATTGCATTGTATGCGCCCGGCATGGCAAAGGCAGACTTCTATTTTGTTCCCCCACTATGGTGAGCCTCCCTCTGGTTTGATTGACTCATAGAACGTCACTTATGCATATTCAGGTTCTCGCCATCCATCGTGATCATGCAGGCGTCAGTGATATTTGTCCCGTTCTTTCAGATCTTCAAACACCGACGACTCGCGACCGAGACTCGTGACATTATCGCAGAGTGGGAAGAGAAGCAGAAATATGGCTCCATCACAACCAGTTCCACAAAGCTCGGACACCAATCAATCAAGAGTACCGTGAGCACACGACAAGGTGTCATGTACACTATGAGCGCCCTCGAGCGAGCCTTGAAACTGGACCCCACCGGGCTGCTCATGTTTTCGGCTCTGAGAGATTTCTCTGGCGAGAACATCAGCTTTTTGATCCATGTTCGTGATTGGAAAGCCAATTGGGCAGCGACGAACGCGAAGTCGGCAACGCTGCGCAAGCAGGGACAAACCAAAGGCCATGAACCAACACTGACGCGACGACAATTCCAACAGGCAGTCGGGATCTATGCTTCGTTCGTAAGCCTCAAATACTCGGAGTTCCCGATCAACATCTCTTCGGCGCATTTGAGAGACCTTGCAGCTACCTTTGAACAATACGCGGCCCTCGTCTGCGCCGAGCCAACCTCCAATGCGGCTACGCCATTCGACAACTACTACTCTTCTACCGTCTCAGAGGATCTGGAAAGCCAGAGCGGCAAAGGTCCACTGTCAGTTGTGTCGACTGTAATTGGCGAAGGTGGAAAGGACAACTGGAAGCGTGATGCAAGCCAGTCGATCCAGATGCAACAGTACAAGATGACCAATTTCGGAGAGAGACTGCCTGCTAACATCGGCATCCCGGACTCTTTCGACGAGGCGATCTTCGACAAGGCCGAGCTCAGCATCAAAGAGTTGGTCTTGACAAACACTTGGGCCAAATATGTCAAGGCAGGGTTCGCGCAGAACAAGGTCAGATCTGGCTTTGCGGCTCGTTTGCAGACGGCGGTCGACGCGTGGCGAGTAAGACTTCCGGCCCGACTTCCGAGATTTGCTGGCAAATCCAGGAAGTGAGCAATACCAATATTGTCTCGGTGGTATGTTGTGTGTTCGGGTGGGAATTGTCTTGTGGCAGGGCGTTCGAAAAGGGGAAAACCTGATGCGAGGAAAAATGATACCACTTGTCACGAATTTGCTTGCGTATGCTAAGAGGTCTAGGGTTGCTCATCAATCATCAAGCAAGATGGTCTCGCTGGAAAGGAGCCACAGTCGATATACTTGATGTATCCGCATGTCTACTTTTCGGCAGGTTTCGGTGTATCGACAAGGTCATGCACGTGGAAAGTCATGCCTAAGGGTATCGGTGGTTAGTGGTTGTTCAGAGCTTCAGAAGCCATGTGGTTTCCGAAGTGTCACGATGCCTACATAGTATGTGTGTCGGTTCCATCTCTCTGGGAATGAGAATTGTAGCAGATACTGTGCAACGAGGCTGCATTGGCATGAATCCAGACAGGCCCGAACTCAAAAATAGGTGCTACTACGTATTGTCGGTGCCCTCATTAAACAGCCTATGACTACCACTACATCTCACTCTCACCCTCATTCTCACTCGTTTTGGACTCCTCGTCCTCAACCCACTGCACCGCACCAATGCAGAGTGTATGCGGGTGCAGGCGTGGACGTGGGTATAAACTTGTGCAACAGATCGTGCGTGTATCAATCTCTCGTTCCAGCTCATCTCGTCCTCATCTCAACGTCTCGACGCCTCCATCCCGGGCATTATGATCGTCCGTCCTGCCACCATCATCACCACCACCACTGGCGGCTGCATCCTCTCCCGTGGCAGAAGCGGTGGGGTGTTCCCCCTTTTTGAGCCTCTGCTCCCGCTGCTGTTGTTGCTGCTGCTGCTGCATCCTCTCCCTCGCCCACGTGCCCCATGAGCTGAAATACGCGCCCGCCTTGACGGCGCTCTCGCGCGCGGAGGCCTGGATCTGCGCGGTGTCGACTTTGGGGGCGCGGTCTCGGATGACAAGCGCACTCCACACGCCGCCGGACCTGGATTCAGGAGGCGTGGGCGAGGTGGAGGTGGGTTGTCGGGCGTCGGTTTCGGGCACGGCTGTGGAGTTTGAGTTTGGGTTCGAGTTCGAGGTCGTGGGGGATAATGTGCCCGGGTCTTGATTTTCCTTCTCCTTCTTCTCCTGCGTGTGGTCTTCGGCGAGTTCGGCGGCGGCGTGCGTCCGTGTCTGGCTTGGACTCTGACTCTGGCGTTTCGCTGCTTGGCGGAGCTGGCGCGCGCGCTCGACCTCGGCCCACACGCCGCGCAGGCCGGCCTCGACGCGCTCGCGCCCGCTCTGCAACGTGCGCCCCAGCTGTTCGCGGCCCTCGCGCACGCGGTCGTCCAGGTGCAGCTCGGCCATGCCCTGGGCGAACCTGCGCTGCAAGTCTTCGACACCCAGTGCCCCACCCGTGGGGTGGCGCGGCTCGATGATGTCAAAGATGCGGTTCCCCGAGGTGAGTTTGTCGAAGAGCTCAAAGTTGTGCGTGCTCCGCCACATGGCCAGAAACTCCGGGTTGAAGTCGCCTGCCGTGTCGCCTGGGTCGGGGAAGTGGTCGGGGATGTTGGCCACAGTGGCCGGAATGGCGTTGGAGACGAGGCTCTCGTGGTAGATCTGGTAGGCCATGCTCGATAGCAGTGAGAGGATGTATTCTTCGAATTGCATGCGGATGCTGTCCTCGCTGCCGGCGTAGCCCATGTGGCGGGGGCGGGAAGGGTTGTCGGGGTCCCAGGTGTCGAGCACGGTTTGGGTCAGGAAGTCGATCCATCGGCGGTCGGCGGCCGAGAGTTGCAGCGCGGATCGAAGGGATGGAGATGTCATGGTGATGGAGTTGGATTCGTCCAGGTTGATGAGTATGTCCGAGTATTTCTCCTTTTGCTGGAGGAGCAGGCTGTTTGTCGAGCCGACGACGTAGGATTTGGTGTCGTAGTCGGCGAGGATGTCGAGTTGTTGGAGGGGCGTGTAGGGGCCGAAGAAGGAGCCCTGCAGTGGATAACGGGAGTCGGCGTTAGTTGCGAAGATAGAGTATGGGGACGATCCCGACGAAGCATCGAGGTCCGGGGATTTGCTTGTAACGGCTTTTCTTACCTTTCCAAATATCTGCAGTGGCAGACCCATATATGCTAATACTGTTGAAAGGCACATTAGTTCTTACTGGATACCAAGGGAGACACGCCCAGACCACAGCGCGTCGAGGGAGCCACACGTACATGAATTCCTGTCACTAGTCCTCAAAGTCGCTGCTCGTTGGGCATTCTGCGCATAAGAATCGAGACTCGGATCCGCCGCATCCTGCAGGTTCGCTATCAAGCCGGGGATGAGAGAGACAAGGGCGAATTGCATCATGCAGAGGCGTTCGCACTTTGACCCGAAGAAGAGCATCTAGCATGACGTGAGCATGGTGCGCCGTTCGAGCCAGAAGCCATGGAAGGCAGAACGTTGTGCTGGGGCTATGAGAAAGATGAAAACGCACCTTCCGCTGCAGCAGTAAACATTTGACCAAGGCGAGTGTCTGATGTCGAAACTCGTAGATCATTTCTCGCAGAGAGAGGCCTGGCAACCGAGTATCAGTGTAAGAATACACCAGTTGTGTGTCCGTAGGTCTTCATTCGAGCTGACTACCCAAAAGCCATAGGTGTATATCTGGCAGGCACGCAAGGCCTAAACACAGCAGGAAGACGTACCAAAGTTATGATCCTTGCCGTCCTCATGCGTAGGCGGGGCTCTGACAAGACTTGCTTGAAACTCCTGCATGTTCGGGTCGCATCAACTGGCCACGTCCCGGAACTTGCTTGATCGACGCTACTACAACGCGCAGGGCACTCACCTACCTGTAAGATCGAAATGTCCGAGAAGTCTCTGGCACACCATCAGCGCCTGTGTAACAGCGACAATCTCACGTCCCAGACGCGCATCAATCCACACGGAAATCACAGGGGAGCGAACATAAAAGAGGACACTTACTCCTGCGCAAACCACGCCGCCGTCACCGCGCCCAGCCGCTCCCTCAGCTCCCCCATTCCTCTGGCCGTCGGACTCACCACCACCACGGCCTTCTGCACCGTCGAACGTGTCACATCCAGGGAGCGGCGTTTCAACTTCTCGCTGCGTATCTGACGCGTGCACGAGATGCCGAAGAGGGAGGTCGGCCTGCCATGATTTATATCTGGACTGCTCGACGCTGAATGGCTGTGAGTATCATCCGCCGTGGCCGCATCGCGCCTATCCAGCAACGTGAAGTAACTAAACTCCTCGGCCATGGCGTGGGCACCATCCGAAAGCGCCATAAACGGCAACAACGACCAGTCATTCCGCTTGGAAAGCGTCCGGCCGTCCTCGTTGATCCAGAATTCGACCTCGGGACCCCTTCAAACATCCGCGTGTTAGCGAGGCCTAGAACATGCGGTGCTCACGAGTTGCGCAGTCGCGTGAGATCGCCAGAGAAGATGTACACACCGAGCGTGGTGGAAGTCGACTACGGCGACTTGGGGCGGAATAGTCGTCATCTTGTCCGCAGGTAGCACTCGTATGGGCCAGACATATCAAAGGCCAAGATTCTTGGATACACTGTACACTGTTTGACTCGCACGAGGTCAGGGATAGATACGATGAGAAGAACACCTTCAGCCGCGGTCTGCAGTCGTCAACGGCCAAAGGAAAGGCCGTGAAGACTCGGACAAAATGCGAGATGGCGCCGAGGCCACGGCACGCTAGCCGCATTGGTCAGAATCGGCGTCTTGGCGGGCATCCGTCTCAGCAACACTCCCGGTAGGTATTAATTACTGTAGAAGAGATGTACGGAGTACTCTTGTACGGTATGCTTTTCATTGCAGGATCTCGTCGTCTCTCATCCAAAGTGCTGAACCATCGGTTGAATCCATTCCCCAGCGTCACGAGTCTAGGTTTTGTCTTGGTCTTGGTCTTGGTCTTGGTCCACCATGCCCTTTCGCGCCCAGCCTGGAGATTCCAAACCCGGCTCATGGAAATGCAAGTACAGTCGTGTATTCCCAGCTCTGTTACCGTCACACGCCACGCTTCACCGAGAGGCTGAGCCACGGCTGTTGCCTCGGTCTTTTTACGTCTCCAGTCCGGTCCGTGATCTGACCTCGTTCTCCTCCTTGACCTGGAGCGGCTCAATGTTCCAGATGCCGTCGGCATATTCATTGATGCATCGATCTGAATGGCCAGTCAGTAATGAACTGCCGGGATTATCATGGCCACATACCTGAGGTGAAGAAGCCCATTCGGGCCACACTGGTGATCGACTTGCTCACCCAGGAGTCCTGGTCCTTATAGGCCTCGTCGATAAGGTCCTGTGTCTGGCAGTAGCTGTTGAAGTCATCGCTCACTGTTTTGCCCTGTGGTCAGCTCATTTCCTACGGTCTGGGGGCGGGAGGTCCTACCAAGATAGTAATCGCCATGCTCGGCGATGCCACTGATCAAAGCACCGAACGCACCCTCGTCGCCGAACGTGCCCTTTTTGATGAAGTCAAACACCTTCAACAGCTCGGGGTTCATCTGGTAGTCGCCGTAGAAGTGGTGATGGCGCAGGTCCTCCACGTCCTCCGAGAGATTGCCGAACAAGAAGATGTTCTGCTCGCCGATCTCGCGAGTGATCTCAATGTTGGCACCATCGAGCGTACCAATGATCAACCCGCCGTTCAACACGAACTTCATGTTACTCGTGCCTGACGCTTCAGTACCAGCTGTCGAGATGTGCTCGCTGATATCCGAAGCCGGGATAATGATCTCGGCCTTGCTGACGTTGTAGTCCTCGAGGAAGACAACTTTGAGCAGATCGCCAACATCAGGATCCTTGTTGACCACCTCCCCGACCTTGTTGATCAAGTGGATTATGGTCTTCGCCATCCAGTAGCCGGGAGCCGCTTTACCGCCGAAGACCGACACCCGGGGAACGAGCTTCTTGCGCTCATCGGGCGACATGGCCTTGATGGCCATATAACGATGAATGACTCCGAAGATGTTGAGTTGCTGGCGCTTGTACTCATGAATTCTCTTGACCTGGATGTCGAAGAGAGCCTTGGGATTGACACTGTAACCTTTGGTCTTCTGGATGTGTTGGGCAAGTCGGACTTTGTTGGCATATTTGATTTCCGCCCACTCCTTCTTGAAGTCCTTGTCATCCACGTAGGGTTCGAGTTTGTTGAGCAGTGTCAAGTCCTTCAAGAACTCGTAGTTTCCGAGCTTTGACGCAATCAGTTCCGACAGGCGCGGGTTGGCTTGGTGCAACCATCTTCGCGGAGTAATACCATTGGTGACGTTGGTAAATTTATCTGGGCCGTAGACCTTGACAAAGTCCTTGAAGATGGTAGTCTTGATCAGGTCCGAGTGCAATTCGGCAACGCCGTTGACCTTGTGCGAGCCAACAATCGCCAAGAATGCCATGCGGACCATCTTCGGCTGTGATTCCTCGATGATGGACACTCTGCCCAGGAGATCTCGATCCTTAGGGAACCGGCGTTCGACTGATTGAAGGAAGTAGAGATTAATCTCGTAAATGAGTTGGAGATGACGCGGGAGGAGGTTCTGGATCAACGGTACTGACCACTTCTCCAACGCTTCGGGCAACACTGTGTGGTTGGTATAGCCAAATGTGCGGGTGACAATATCCCAGGCGGCGTCCCACTCCAAGCCCTCCATATCGACCAAAATCCGCTGCAGTTCGACAATTGCAAGCGTGGGGTGAGTATCATTCAGCTGAATGGCCACCTGGTCGGGAAACTCGGACCACTTGCGCTGTGACTTCTTGAACCTGCGCACAATGTCGTGAAGAGAGGCGGCGCACCAGAAGTATTGCTGCTTCAACCGCAGCTCCTTTCCCCGTTCAAGGTTGTCATTCGGGTACAGCACGGCCGAGATGGTCTCCGCTCGCTGCTCATCTGCCACGGCACTCTCATATTCGCCCGAGTTGAACTTGGCGAAGTCGAACTCGCCACTTGAAGCTTTGCTCGACCATAGACGCAAGTTATTTACCGTGGGAGTCCCATAGCCTGGCACTGGCACGTCGTAGGCTGTCGCGGTGACGATCTCGCCATCTTGCCAGGACACAATCTGTTTTCCCTGGTCGTCGGTGTACTTGTTGACCCAGCCATAGAACTGCACGTCAACGGTAACGTCGTGGCGGGGAAATTCCCAAGGGTTGAAGTCGAGCCAATAATCCGGGATTTCAACCTGGTAACCGTCCTGAATCTCTTGCTTGAAGATACCATATCTGTAACGGAGGCCGTAGCCCCAGGCTGCGTAATTCAACGTGGCCATGCTGTCAAGGAAGCAGGCGGCCAGTCGGCCGAGACCGCCATTTCCGAGAGCCGCGTCGTGCTCTTGTTCAATGATGTCCTCGATACGGAAACCAAGATCCGCGAGACCCTCTGTTCCCTTGTCAGCTTGTGGGATTCAGCAGCCTGAGATTGGACCCACCTTTGGCCACATTCTTCAATCCGACGTTCAGCATTGCATTGTCAAGCGCTCGGCCCATCAAGAACTCGAGGGAGAGGTCTGCAAGGTATGGGTAAGCAGTCCGATGTCAACCCACCTCGTTCCGAGAACATACAGTAGATTCTTTTCTGGTCGGCAAAGGTCTGTCTCTGTTGGGTTTTGTTCCAATCAATGATAAGACGGTCTCGAAAGGCCAGCGCAGTCCCGGAGTATGCGGCCCTAAAGCGTGGTCAATGGTATTCACCCCAGAGTCGGGTGACAAGACCTACAGCTCATCGCAGTTGAAGAGAGATCTCGCCAAGGTAGTTTCAATGTGCTTGACAGCCTCTGCCTGTTGCGCAAGGTTAGCCGCTCCACCCTACTCGACGGCCCAGGCATGGAATGTGACGCACCTCGAACTCTTCCTTTGTGGTGAAACCGCGCGGAGACTGTGACCTTGGCATCAGAGAGGACAAACGGCTTGCGCTAGCATCTCAAACATACGAATTTCCTCCATCTGTGTACAAGTTGTCAGTGGCCGTGCAGGCAAGCGCACCGCGGGGCTATCCACTTACGCCTCTCGCATGTGCTCGGGAATGCTCGATTCAACCGCCTTGATGTCTCCGGCACCGAAGCCCGTGGCGGTTCGCTTGTGCTTCGGTCTCGTGAAGCCGGGACCGACAGGACCTGTCAAGGTAGAGATGGGGGCACTCGTCGAGGGCTTGCGCTCCCGAGGATTTTGAGCGACAGCTGCGGCAGCCATCTTGTCAACAGGCACAGAAGAGCGGCTCGTAGTGCAAGTGAACAAGACTCAATGATAAGAATGAGGTAGAAGAGAAAGTGTCTATATGAAGGTAGGGCGGAAAGGATAGAGCAGGGCGGTCAAGAAGAAAGAAGGCCGCGAGAAGAGGACACAGGGTTGGTAAAAGATGTGTATGTGCGCGGGAAGGAAGGGGAAGCTCAAGCTAACTGGGGCTCTTCTTGCTCGTGCTTTTCCACTGGTACAAATGCAGTAGTATGATGATTGCCATGCAGCAGCGTCAAAGGATAATCCATGCCAAAGCACGCACGAATGGTCGCCGGGTGACTGGGTCTCGACCGGGATATGGGTATCCATCATTCAGCATTCGCTGTGCATTAGCGACATGCCTGGTCTCTGCTCAGACCGGCCTTCAACGCTCTACGGCTGCGATCAGGGAATGCGGCGCGCACGACGTCAATGGCACGGCTACGTTCACTAGAGCTCTGCTACTATGAGCCGAAGGAAGCGGTGAGCGAGAGGGAATCCCCATGTTTACTGCATGACTGCAGGTTGAAAACCCGGGCCTGCAAAGCAATGGATGCGCGGGACCAAGATACTCTGTTTACCCCGCCTTGTGAGATGCCACTTGTATGGGGAGTTCTAGGGCAACAGACAAGCTGTTGGCATGTGCCGCACGTTGAGCGCACCCAGGAACACCGATGACATTATTTTCCGAATCAATCTGCTTTTGCCGGGCGATCATCCTGATCTGTTTGTTAGCTGCGATTTCCCCTGGGAAGCTGCACATGCCAGCAAGAGTGAGGGTGAAGTGAAGGGAGCGGGTGTGGCCACTGCATGGCGGGGTAATGGGCGCCACTGGGAGGCGACAACAAGGGTGCGTCTTATCGACCTGTCCACTCCTGCTGGGGGCACACGGGCCTATACCATTGGACACAATTACCATCTGTCTCAATCGTACACAACTAGTTGGAGTCCGGCCGTCTGCGCTGGGGAGCATTGGCAAGAGTACCGCAGTACATGTTCAGAGCACCTGCTCCTGCGGTAAATCTGTCATAACTGGCTTTATCCAGCCCGGCTCAGAGGCCCGAGGTACCACATGTCAGAAAGCATATCCCTGTCAGGGTACCTCGTACACAGTACATTCGTTTCGCAACGGGTAGCGCTGGCATAACGTCAAGGCTGTCGCATGAACATATCGATCAGACCACCCTTTTGCTATACTTCAGCTCCGGTTCGCATGCTGAGGTCATCACCCATCGCTCGCGACCCCAGACCTTCGATCATGCAACTTGTGTAATCTGCGGCTTGCTTCGTAACTGCTTTCCTCGTCGGGACGGCCTTGTACAACACTGATCCGCAGCCATTGACCCCGTGGAACGACTGCGCATCCTCGCAGGTGCGATTGATATCTTTATTATGAGTACACGGCGACGATTGCGGCCTGTAGATGCCTTATCACGTCTTCTGCTGTCCGCCAGGAGGTTCAATGGTCTGCCCGCTCTCGTACTGTTCGGCAGAGAAGTAATTGTCCGAGGCGAAAGATCCCAGCGAGGGACCAATCCGACGGAGAAATCGATGCCGGTATGTCGAAACTTCATACATTTCACTCGCCGGAACCCGTTGACAGTGCCACAATACCCAAAGTTGGCCTTCATCCCGAGCCAGACAGCCAAACCTATTGCAATGGCGGCTGCCTCCATGCAATGGCAACAATCCTGACGTGCTCCCTCCCTCTTCCCCGCGAGCAAACCAAAGTATTGCAAAGACGCCAAACTTTTTGCATCAAAAGACCAAAAGGCGCGGAGACCGCAGCAACAAAAATCCAGGGCTGAGTACCATTGCCAAGCAAGAACGCGTCCTTCAGCGGCAGGAAAAAGTAGAAGCGCATACTGATGGCGCCTTTCCAGTCCGTCATGACTCCCATTCATCACATGACACGCTAGACGCCGGGGAATAAATGCATAACTCGAGGCGAAACAAACATGGTGTGGTCGTGGCTTCATAATATTCCAGAGTCTTTCAGGGCGTTTTGTAATATGGTCTCCTTGACCGCGGCGAAGACCAGCCGGATGTTCGTGGTGTCCGTAGCTTGCGTGAGACTGAAAAAACTCAGTTAGCGAAGGTCGGTCTGCGTGTGGCTCGTCGGCGATCACTCACTGGGGATAGAGGTTAAGTTGCGCTCGATTCACCTGGTTAAACCGCCACAGCAGGTATTTGGCGGCCCGATTGACGTCGTTGCCGCCAGAATAATCAGGGAAGTAATTCCCTAGGGGTGATCGACCCAGCTTCTCTTTGAACAGATCGACCTTGTTCAGGAACAGAATGATGCTGGTCCTCATGAACCACCTTGAGTTGACCACGGAGTCGAAGAGCACAAGACTTTCCATCATCCGATTCTGGAATATCCGTCAGCGACACACCTCACCTATTTGCTCCGAGAGCCGCATACCTGGTTCGATTCTTCCAGCAATACTTGGTCGTATTCACTTAGTGCCACGCAGAAGATGATCGACGTGACATTCTCGAAGCAGTGGATCCATTTCTTGCGCTCACTTCGCTGCCCGCCCACATCGAACATACTGAGACATGTTAGCCACTCGTCTCGCCCAGGAACCTTCCTCCGGCAGATACTGACTGCATGCTCAGCTGGCCCATGGTAAACCTCGTCTCGTATATTCCGGTCGTCTTTGTCCGTGCCCGTAGTACGTCGGCTTCATTGGGGATATAGTCGGGCGCTGCCAACCTCCGGACCTCTTCGAAGAAGCTGTAGAGAAGTAAGCAAGTGGCCGAGGCCATGATTGCGACTACATACTAGGGGGCGGAGTCCATCAGGTAAAACTCGCTCTGTCTTTCCATCGTTTTGGTCGCGGCGGCATCTTTCCATATGGCTTGCACGGCATCGGCGACTTTGGGATCTAGAGTGGTGTCGGGGTCCGGATCCACATTGAACTCCATTATATATTCGACGTAGTCCTTGACTGTTTGATCTTCTGGTTCGATTTCGAATTGCTGCATTGCGCCGATCAACGCCTTCATGCAGTCGATCAGATTTTTGTAGATGGTGAGCCGATACAGCGCCCGCTCTTCCTGCGTGTAGCCATTCTGGTGGATGATCTTCATCTGCTTCACAATTGTCGACTTTCCACTCTCACCCGACCCTATCATAGGCATGTGTCAGTCTTGGACGGGCAACGCATCTATCAGTACTTCGCATACCCAGCAGTAGAATCTTGCATTCTCGCCGTAATCTGCGGGAGTCTTCCTCGAGTTTCTTGTCTATAGCCTGACTCCTCTTCTTCTGTTCCGTATCCTCGGTCGAGGCCTCCTTGCTCCCGCATGCACCCATATCGAAGGAATGATGTGAGTTGTAGCGCAGCGACAGCGAGAGCGCTGCAGGAGCAGCGCCAGATGCGGCTGCAGCTGCGAAGGAAAGCTGCACGGGCTGTCTGCTCTGGCTGCGGCCTGATTGCGGGGAAACTAGCGACTGTTGTTGAGTCGAACGAGCGACGGACGATGCACCGTGAGCGTCAGAGAGAAAGCCGAGGGGTCAAGGGATCTATGCGCGAGTGGTTGTAGGTGAGGGCGTCGATGACCTCGTTGATGTTGGTGATGCGTGAACGGGGCCGAGACCAGGATTCAGTTGGTTGTGGAGCTCGACGCTCACGGACTGGAACGCCTCGAAAGAAGGACAACAAATGCCGGCTCTCCAGACTGGCCAAGCACGGTTGATAGCTAGGAAAGTTAGATGCACAGGACGTATCAGGATATTGCTGCTGCTTCACCGCAAAGGGTGCGCCAGAGGCCGAGACGGTAGGGTGGAAGCAGAAAGACGTACGAGCACAGCAGCAGGAGCAGTGTCGGTGGATAGCTGACCAGAGGGACGAACGGGAATCGCGGAGAGGGCGAGTTTGCCTCGTGCCAGTGCCAGGTGCCAGAGCCACTCTCGAAGGGCTAGGCGGAGTAGCCGAGAGCGGGCAAGCTGGGCTACATAGACTCGCAGTGGCCAGTAGCTAATTGAATACCGTCGGGCGCTTTGTCTTTGACGCGCATTACCCATTCACAGACTATTTGATCTCGCTGGTTATTATTGCAGTCGAGTGTCTCTCGTTGGTAGGACCGCCATATGTGCCCTCCGCCGTGTCTTAGAACGTGTCGGCACAGGCGAGTCGAAGGCCAGATAGATATAGGCGAATGCTCAACCAATTACGCTTGCATGGCGCACTATGAGTTGTCGCGAACTCGCTCCGAGGCTCCTCTTCCCGTTGCACACGAGTCGTAGTCCTCATTGTCCGGTCAGTGCCCGCTTTGGTCGACTCGAGTGACGTGTAGGAAGTCGCTCGGCCTGGAAAACACAAATAGCTTTAAAGAGTCTCTGCCGCCCATGTCATCACCACGCTTTTTGTAGACGACACATGGTATGCCTCATGATTACACAACTCTCCGCGCCAGAAGCAATAACGGAGTTACTTCAGAGCTCGGCACCCGCCTGGCTAACCATCTGGTGTCCAGGCACCGTGGTGAGTAGACGGGATTGGCCCCTTCTAGAATTCCCGGGCTTCCTCAACGGCGAGTGCTCCTCATACGAACCAGGACGCTCTATTGGCTTCCCTGGCTTGACGGAGCCTTGTTGCTTAACCACGGTCGAGTTGTGAAGCTCCTGTATGGCCATCGTCACCATCTTCTCCCCGGAAAGTCGATCGTCAAGCAGTGCACATTGCAAGCAGCAAAAGGAAGCAATGCATTCCAACTTAGGGGCAAGTATCCATGGGAAATCCCCGACGGTCTGGGCGCTGGGCACTCAGGGTTACACCTTCGCGGAATTATCTTTTCTTTCTGTTCTTGGACTTGCAGCTACAGTAGTCCACACACAATTGATTGCGGTATCCCAAAAACTACGGGATCATGGCTCAAGCCCTTGGAATTGCCATCTGCGTGCAATAAAAAGATACAGCACCAGCCTGAGCACAAAGAACACGATGACTCTATGAACCTCACCGGAATATACAGCTTTTGCTCTTGGTAGAAGTCGCTGTTGTCACAAACACCTTCGCCCCCAAAACACCGATCAGGGCTATGCTAGGATCCAACGTGCTTGAGGTGAGACTGTGCAACGACGGAGCGAGCAGGAGGCTGGCGTTGAAATGTAAGTCACTGCCACAAGCACGCTCTGATTCAGTGTCAACTTTGAAACGCAAATGTTGGGCTTCAGTGGTGGAGCCATATCTGGGTGTTCTATTCAATCGCACGGAGTCAGCATCTTATGTCCCGCTTGTGCACCTGAGAGATTGCTCCCGCCGAAAGAGAGTGGCCCTTCGAGAAAGACGTCTGTGTTGAAGTTAATCCTTTCTAGAGAGCTGGTGGCATGTGTCGTGATGATTATTTCGTCACGAGAAGAGGTGCTGGGAGGAAAGCGGGACGCGAGAGTGGTTCGATCCGTCGGCGAGCAGGCCGTGTATGGGTTATACCCGATCCCTCAGACAACTTGATAAACAACCGACAGGCCCTCAGGTCGCCATGAGTACTATCGGTTGTGATCATGGAATTCAGATGCCGAAGTGTATGCGCCCTCAGCGGTAGTTCACCTCGACCCAAGGAAAGAACATCCAGACTCACAAGGTCGCATAGAGAGGAATCATCCCTAGACAGCTTGCCGTGCGTGGTAGACTTAGTCTGGGCAGGAGGTTGTATATATTTGCCCCCAAGGTGAGATTGTCAGTTATTCTACACCTTTGCGCGAGATTCGCTGGTTCTGAAATGCATAGCTTGATGAAGCAATCTGGTCGGTGAAACAGTGACGATCGAGATTGATTGGGAGGATACGAGATCTGACTAAGTAGAAGTCTGGAATCATGGTCAAGCAACATGTTCCCTCACTAATTCGTCTCGACAGACTGCCAAAATTCGCTGGAAGATTTATCCGGCCACGCTGCAGCTGGAAGACTCGGTGTGGCGAGCTGTGCCTGGTATTGTACGAATACATAGCAAGTCCTGTGTACTCCGTACGGAGTCTGGTTCCGTAGGTGCCTGCGCCCCCAGGAAGAGCTTACCCGGGGCAGCCAGAGTCCCAGCGGCTGAAGGAAGGTTGGAAGGGGATCGGATCGCCCGATCGAGGAGCAAGTTACCCAGCCGTAGGCGCACTGTGGACCACCGAGATTCTATCCCACCGCCTACCGAGAACCGCGATGGGCATGCCGGGCGCAGGATGAGATCGTCATCTTTCCCAGCGGCCACACAGTGCCCTAAGCGGCCGCCTAAGCCTGTTCCAGCGAACTCAGAGCCTTAGTAACCATCTGAATCGGTGGTGACCTGAGTTGCCCCACGCTGCTCGCTGCCTCTTCAGAGTTCTTCTTGCATGCTACTCGTACCAAAGCACATGAAAGCTCTGTTGACGGTTCGTGACATTGGCCACCCATACCAAGTCACTCGCCTCGTCCGAGTACCATTTTTTCATCCTACACCTGCTTGCGCCACTCGCGCTTGAGCTAGAGGTTCGTGACTTTGGACAGCCGCCGTCCCTTCACATCTTAATCTCTAACTGCAATTCAGGACTACTTGAAACATCTTCCCAGTTTCCAAAGTACCAGCACCCTCACCGTCAGTCTATTGCCCTCTTTTCGTCTCTTCCTCCTACCTCGACCCTCGCCGGCAAGCGAGTAGCTCTTCACTTCAGGCTGCGCCTTCCCACCACGATCACTTCCAACATCCTCGACGTTCCACGACCGGGCATCCTTTCTCCCTTCAGTTTTCCGCCCATTGGCTTCTACTTTGAACATTCCACACAATGGCGGAGTTCGTGCGAGCCCAGATCTTTGGGACGACCTTCGAGATCACGAGCAGGTACAGAGGACTTGAATCTGAATGCTGGGATGCCCAATTGATTTCCTCGTGATAAGGTACACCGATCTACAACCGGTTGGCATGGGAGCTTTCGGCCTTGTCTGGTGAGCAATGGTGCCGTTTGAGGGCGGTAGGACACTCGTTGACACTCATCAAGCTCTGCAAAGGACCAGTTGACTGGCCAGTCTGTCGCGGTCAAGAAGATCATGAAGCCCTTCTCCACACCAGTCCTCGCAAAGCGCACTTATCGAGAATTGAAGTTGTTGAAACATCTCCGGCACGAAAATGTGAGCTGGACCGTTCCGGCGATGTTCAAGATGCTAATCGAGCAGGTCATCTCTCTTAGTGACATCTTCATCTCTCCACTGGAAGACATGTATGCCGAAATATGGTATCTGACCATTCCGCCTCAATACTGACTTTGGACTTAGTTATTTTGTGACGGAGCTTCTGGGCACGGATCTCCACCGTCTTCTGACCTCCAGACCACTCGAGAAGCAATTCATTCAGTACTTCCTTTATCAGATTCTGGTACGCCGATCACCCCGGAAGCTCTATCCGGTCCACGAGGATTCTAACAATCACGTGTAGCGCGGCTTGAAATACGTTCACTCGGCCGGTGTGGTGCACCGAGATCTGAAACCTAGCAACATTCTCGTCAATGAGAACTGCGACCTCAAAATCTGCGATTTCGGGCTTGCTCGGATCCAAGATCCCCAAATGACGGGATACGTGTCTACCCGGTACTACCGAGCCCCCGAGATCATGCTTACCTGGCAGAAGTATGATGTCGAAGTTGACATCTGGAGTGCCGGCTGCATCTTCGCTGAAATGCTGGAAGGGAAGCCATTGTTCCCGGGCAAAGACCATGTCAACCAATTCTCCATCATTACCGAACTGCTTGGAACCCCCCCACAGGATGTGATTGAGACCATCTGCAGCGAAAACACCCTAAGATTTGTGCAATCTTTGCCCAAGAGAGAAAGACAACCGCTCAGTACGAAGTTCAAGAACGCCGATCCTGCCGCCGTCGACCTTCTTGAGAAAATGCTGGTGTTCGATCCTAAGAAGCGGGCATCAGCAGCTGGAGCCCTGGAGCACGAGTATCTCTCGCCTTACCACGATCCGACAGACGAGCCTGTCGCGGATGAAAAGTTCGACTGGTCGTTCAACGATGCTGATCTCCCCGTTGATACCTGGAAGATCATGATGTACTCGGAAATCCTCGACTATCACAACATTGACAACGGGGAGACTGAACTGGGGGGCAAGCCTTTGACGGTGGAGCAAGCTCAAGCTGTCAATCAGCAGGTAGTTCAGTAGAGTGTCTATCTGCAGGCAGGGGCTAGCATGAAACAAGGCATGCAATCACGACCGTCGAGGGTGCTCTTCAGTGAGCATGGAGTGAGACGAATACCACGAAACATTTTTGGTTAGCAAGAAAGCATAAACAACGCCCAAGCCATTGCAGATTCATGTTTTCCCTAGCACCCAGCGGTGCTGGATTCGTTTTTCATAGAGGCTGTTCAACTTTAGTTGATTCACCAGTACACGATGCCCTTGATAATTAATAGCATCCGTCGACTTGCTCACAGCGCCTCGTTCAGTCATCACGGTGTACACAACCCTGCTTGTCGTTTCCGGTAGGTGGTCTCTCTGCTACTGTCCTCTTCATCGTCCCAACGGAAGTGTTGCCTACTGCCCCCCGTGGTCCTGGTCCTTGTCACCAGCTTTCCCGGAGAGGTGCTCCCAGACGTTGCCTCTCGTATTGGAGTCATCGAGCCGCGCATCGTCGAGGTATAATTTACCAGTGGTGCTTCCCCAGGCGACAATCTGGGCGCAAGTGGCGGAGGAGAGTGACTGCTTGTTTTCTTCCTCCTTACTGGACTTTGCGCCGTCCGTAGTGTTCACTGGTGTATCTGCCGGTGAGGACATCTTTGATATGAACAGTTGTGCGTGTAGATCTCCAGGTGACTGAGTGACTGATTGATGACTTCGCCCTCCAGATTGTGTTCCTGAAGAGGATGTTTGTCGTATGTGTAGGTTTGTTTTCCGCCGCTGTCTGCCATCAGGAACAAGAAAACCAGGACATTGCGGTTCAAGGACGAACGCTGCGCTGCGGTGCGCTGTCTGGCAGCCATGTCACTGACGGGCTCAAGTCGACTTCCTCATATAACACTTCACCCAGCTCGGTACCATCATTGTGCGATCACATCTCCTCACACCTTCCTAGGGAACCCTTGTCACTCATCAAGACCGCTGCACGGTAAACAAAGTGAATATCTCTACGAGGTGAAATGATATCACTGCGTCAAAGACTGAGATAGACGTGCTCTTCCGAAGGCCCATGATGGGACGCGTCGCACGGGCAATAATGCTGCCAGATGAGGCATCAGAGCGTCTTTGTACTGATGCATAGTAGCGCAAGAAGTCTATAGCCTCGTAGGCATGTACAGTAGAGAGCGTTCAGCTACGACATGGATGTCTCCGACATGGTGCGTTGGAGATACAGAGTACAGTACTCCGTACAGTGTAACTGGATTTGCCTCGGCTCGTTCCGGGCACTGAGCTCTGGCGTAAGACGGCAACATGGCTTTTTCGGTCTTTCCGTAGTACTATGTATGTCTGACTCAAGCCAGTGGGGAAGAAGACCTGGTATCTCGCAGGATCTCGTGGACGCATCATCTCCGTCTGACACTCTCTACCTAAATACTCCAGCATCTATGTACTCGATCTCGGCCGGAATCTGTTAGCTCGGGTCATCCTTTGAATCATCGAACGCCCACCAACTACGTCCCTCAAACACCTCGCTGACCGGACGAGCATCTCAAGCTGCCATCACAATCTTCAGCCAAGCTGGCTCAACTGTTGGCTTCCTGATTACCACCAGCACAAGCCGGCAACATGACTGCACCTCCAACAGCCGACCAGGCTCTTTCTACGCCGATCCACCAGGTCTCGTTCCTGGAGAAGCTGGACGTGTTCCCAGGACTTCTCTCGATCGGTAAGACTGCCTCGCTGCTTGCGTCTTCTGAGCCTGATGACTTGCAGTGGGGACCGCGTTGTATACGGCGGCGACAGCTCCGTTCCGTGGAGAGTCGGGAGCCTACACATACGGACAACACATCAGCTTTGCCGCAATTCGAAAGGTAGACCACAACTGCCTCCAAGCCCGCTCATCCTTGCTGACTGGTGCCAGATGGTGCAGAGGCTCAGTACCCTTCAGCTTCAGTGAGACACCCCAGTCCCTCGGTCAGGAGCTTGGCTTATGTGCACAGATACATCGGCGCTCCTTTCTCCAAAGTCTATGAGAAATGGTGCAAAGATAACGGCATGCAACCCAATTTCGTGACGCTGAGATCAGGCGTCAAAGCGTTCTGGGTCGGCGACCCGCAGACTGCTAAATACATCTGTGTCTACTATCATGGTGGGAACAACTTTGTGTTGTCGTCGTCGCACATCTACTGACCTTGAACAGGTGGCGGCTTTTCGCTCGACGGTGATGACACCCACCTCAGATTCTGGCACGGCGTACAGAACGATGCCAAAACTAGCGACATCACCATCGCGTTCTTGTTTCTCGAATATACTCTTGTGCCGCATGCGACCTATCCCAAGATAATGTACGAAGCCGTAGAGGCAGTCAAGTACGTGTTGGAAGACTTGAAGCGACCAGCCTCTCAAATCATCCTCGCCGGTGATTCTGCCGGCGGCAACATGTGCCTGGGAGTGCTCTCACAAATCATGCATCCGTCGCCTGAGTTCCCGGAACTCAAACTGGGTGAAGGTGAAAAGCTCAAGGGCATTGTGGCTGTCGCACCTTGGGTTAGTTTCCGCTTAGACTGGCCGAGCGAAGCCAAGAACCGGTACAAGGATCTTGTCACTCAATACGCAGGGGGGAAGTGGTCGAAGGACTACCTTGCTGGGAAGCCAACGACGACATATGCAGAGCCGCTTACTGCTCCAACTGAATGGTGGAGAGACGCAAAGGTCGAACAAATACTGGCCGTTTCCGGCGCCAACGAAATCCTGCTCGACGCAATTAGCGAATGGGTGGAGAAGTACAAGGTAAGTTGGGCGCTGCTTCTGTTGAGTAGACGCTGGTGAGTCAGTCGCTGACGTTGACCTGAAGTCTGTGAATCCCGACAACCTCACATACGTGATTGGGACCAACGAAGCACATATCGCACCCATCATCCACTTGCGGTTCAACGACACTGCCGAAACAGAGCAAGGAAAAGCCATCAAATCGTGGGTCAAAGCGAAGTTGTGATCGAAGAGAACCTGCAAGATGGTGTAGAGCTGGGTGATAGACAATTTAGGACATTGTTTGGCTACATATACTAACCTTCCCGAAGCTCGTCACCTATTCCCATCCCCTTCTTGCCCTCACGATGACATCGGTCCTACTTGTTCATCGTTAGGAGAACCTCTATTGACGACGTGGCAGCCTCATGTCGATCAGATGGAGTGAAATGTGCACCAGCGACACATGGGATCACATGGTCGCTTTTCACCACTCTGCTTGTTCGTGAGGATCCCGAACAAACAACACTCCGTTCTCGTGACCCAGACTTCCGTTCCTGGCCACTTCGTCTGCGCTATATTGCAGGTCGTCGATCCGGCAAACCCACGCTCTTTTATGTCACTAACCAAGCAAGTGTCAAAACACTATGACCTGTCTGGAAGGATTCCAGAAGGATGTCCGGAGGCCGTGAAGTCATGGCGACCTCACCGAATCCCAACCTCAGCTCGTTTGGTCGAACGAGTCCGAGCGGCATAAATCGTTTTGAAACGTCGTCGCCGATTCCCGCACTGGAGAATATCGCAACATACCTGATACAGATCCATGGCGCCACCGCTAACTCCTGACCGTCAAAGTCAATCCAGCTGGACCTCAACAGAGCCTACCAGTCCTCAGACCTCTTGGTTGCTATCAGCCAGTGGTCGCAAAAGTCAGGCCGATACTCCTTGTACGCGGTTCTCTCTTGCCAGCACGATCTTATCCGGCGCTGAAGCACTGATCAGAAGACCCACCGCTGAAGTTAATGATCCCACCGTCCGGCCGCCCGTCAATCTCAAACGCAAGACCTCGTTCTCGCCATGGTCATTACTCCAATCCGCCAAAGGTCGAAATACTAGTACTCCGAGCCGGGGCCCTCCAGTTGTCCTCGGGGAGCAGCCCAAATCGAGAACAGGCTTACGATGGTGGTCACCCAACCGATCTGTACTGGACAACAACAAACCTCGCAAACGAATCAGTCCACCTGTCCCTCCTCGACCGGATGCTCTCCAGACTCCGATGTTTCTCGAGCCACAACCCGCGGCGTGGCGCAAGACCACCGGTGGCGGCGCGAAAAACGAAGGAGCACAGGTTCACCAACCGGTTTCGTCGTCGAGAGCAGGATGCCCGGCTTCAGTCGGCAAGTCCTTTGGTGAGCTAGATCCAGACAAAGATCGGGGAGACTTTTCTCGAGCCCATCAAGACGGCTGGGACAATGTGATACCGAAACAGTGGGTGGAAGACCAGTTCAGCGTTACGCTCTCCGAAACGAACGAGGAGCGCAGCGTTTACAGTCAAGACAACGGCGAGGAGGAGGCGAAGAAAAGCATGACCTCTCGGCTTACGCCGGTGATTAATGACCATGGGTTTCTTGCAGGCGAAATGACTTTGTTCGAGCCGGTGACGGAGATCGTGCGCGACGCCCATCTAGATGCACAACGTCGTCTTGACCGACGCGGGAGATTCCCGGAGGCCGGGCAACTTCAGACGAAGGGTACTCCACGGTGGCCGTTTGACGCATCTATACCGCCGGAATCAGCAACATTGACGTCCACTTTGACGTGCTCGCCTGTTCAGCACTGGCTGCCCTCCCTTCGACCTCCTTCGAACATTCATCCCTCAGCCCCAGCAGTGTGTGACGGTGAAGCCATCGTCGAGGCCAGGAACTGTTCCGGCTCGGACCTACAGCAACATGGCGGCAACAACAACCCGGGTCTTCATTACGCGAGTGAACAGACGTCGACGTCCTCGTCCTACGCTACTCCACAATATCCCTCGACACGGAGTATTCAGCACATGGCCATTCCGACCACGATGCCGTCGTGCAAATCTGGGACCACGACCCTAACGCCACAACCTCTAAACGTCCACTCACTACACCTACCACGAGCACCTACAACATCCACCGTCACCATCCCGGAGGAAGGTACATCTCTCTCGCACGACACTCCGGCTCACGCATCGCCAGGAAACCAACAGCCGCGGACGGTACCGCCAATACCGGTAGATTCCTCGTCCTCATGGTCTACAATCCTGTGCACCGATACCGACAGCAGCAACGACGATGACGACCCCAGCAAAGTTAGTTTGTCTCGAAAACCAATCTCAAATACCAACCCCCTGCCGACGAACCGACCAAGCGACAAAAACAAGCCCCTCCCCCTTCTTCCGGACGAGCCGACCACCACTCCAGATGGACCAGAAGCAGAAGAACCACCAGCACAAGAGCCAGAACCAGAACCGAAACACAAGTTGATCCAAATCCAGAGGACCTGGGACTCCCTCAACGATACTATTGACCAGATTCTGGACCTATACCACAGCCCCGGCCACGGCCATAGCCATAGCCACCACATTACCAATGACGAAAGTCACGAGCACCACCAAAGCACCACCACCATGCCGCCCAGTTCCTCTTTTTCTTCTTGCTCTTCTTCAACTACCACGACGAGTTGGACCTCGACCCCGACATTGACCTCAACGGCGACTCTCCACCCAGGGCCCCTTGAACCGTCCAGCCGGGCACTCCACACGCCCGACACGGATGTGACTTTCATGATCGCGTCTGCGAGATCGGCCGCTACACGTACACTACACGTACGCCTACATCTACAACTACCCCGACACCTCCACCTACACTAACTCAGACTCCCACTCAAAGTCCTACTCGGAATCCGCCGCCTACATCACCTTGTTCCACACCTATCATCTCCATTAGGACCGGCGCAAATGCCTGCTCCGCCCCCAGTCGAGCCCCGCACTCGCATTTAGACTTCAAAAAATCATATCCAATCTTCTACGATGGCATGTCGTACCCTGAGTTGCACTTTAGTGGTGTGAGGCGGAAGCGGGGAACGCGTCAGGATGAGCGTCGCAATCGGCATCGTGGTCGGCACCACCACCACCACCACCAGCAGTCTGATCTGTATCTCAACATTAGCGGGCGGATTCAACCTCGCTGGTCAAGCTCAAGGGCAGGAAGGGCGGTCGTCACCTTTGTGGATGATGCGGGGGTATCGTGGATTTGATGGCGAGTGTGGTTGAAAGGATGGTTGACTGTGTATCAAGCATCAAGCATCGATCAATGATCAACGATCATCGCTGAGGTCTGATCGCTAGGGGGAAGATCCCGTATAAGCTTGGAATTGGGCACACTTCGCGCTCGTGGCTCTCTCTGTGCCGTTGATTGAAACGTCATCTACTGTGCCATTTGCACAGGTACGCAGTACTGCGTTGGGCGGCAAATAGGTCACGCGTTGAACTCGACTGTTCTCCGTATAGGGGACTTCTGGGCGAACGTCTGTCTCATTACAGTATCCCAGCTCGTCAGCGTTTCCGGGTAAGGTCTCGCGTTGGAGGCAATATAGGTGGTTTGCAGGTTGCGGGTTGCGGACTACTGCTTCTAGATCAACCAACGTGAAATGAAATGCAAACGGAATGAAGACGTAGGTAGTAGCATCGTGATACGGATATGACTCGACTTGACCTGAGCTGATCTGATCCAGGTGCCCGAACGAAGGTCCATCTCGTCAGCCGAGCTATCTCATCCTACGTACGCAGTTACAATTTCCCAGCACGACCGTCTCTGTATCGTAAGGTTGAAAGTCAGCCCATGGCCCAAATTTTTGTTCATAGCTTCCCCCTTATTGTTCCGTGCCCCTGCTCGTGCTGCCTGCACGGAAGTTGAAGAACTCACACGAAACTCTGCACCAGAGCCTTGACCTCGTCCTCGGAGAACCCCTTCAATCCCAACAGCTTGTTATCATCCCTCCCCTCAGAGGTTCCACCGGTCTCCTTCCCCCCAAAGATGCCGGAAAGGATGAACCCGACCATGGCCTTGCCGATGTCTCCCCCACTCGTCAACTCCTTCATACTCTCGTCATACACATCCTTGGTGCTCTTGACCGTCGTATCCCACTCCTTGCCGTCCTTCTCCTTGGCGTACGCGATCAGCTTGTTCTGCGTGGTGACCGCATCATGCACGTAGACGGCCCGGTTCTTGGTCTCGTCCAGATGGGCCACCACGCCGACGACGGCCTGGCCGATCGACGCCAGCGTCGTCGTCGAAAAGTCCATGTCTCCGCCGTTCCACAGCGTGCCCGTGTGGGCCTTGGGGTTGAGGATGAAGCCGTGCTCGAGACCCCAGTCGAAGAACGGGCCCGTGATGACCAGCGTGTAGCTGAAGGACGGGTTCTGGGAGGCCTTTTCCTTCAAGTACTCCTGCGTGGCGACCTTGAATTTGAAGACAGGCAGCTTCGAGGTGGACGGGTTGACTGTGTCAGATCCAAACTCGGAAGGGAGAAATCTCTCGACTCCGGCGGCGACGGCGGCGTCGATGAGAGGGTTCTGTTCGCCGATCGAGGCCGTGGCGAGGGTCGAGACCACGACCTTGACGCCCTGGAGTGCTGAGGTTAGGTCGTCCACGGATTGGTAGTCGACTTCCTTGACAGTGAGGTTTGATGCCTTGGGCAGTTTTGACGCGCTGTCGGACCCCTTGCGCGTGAGTACGACGACGTCGTGGTTGGCGTTCAGCAGGGCTTTGAGCGTCGGGACGCCGATGTTGCCTGTGGCTCCGGCGAGGGCGACTTTGGTGGTGGAGGCCATTTTGACGTGGATCTGCTGAGCGTCACTTTGGTGTTCTAAGGAACGCTTACTATGGCGGACTGACTTGAAGGGACGATATCTCGTCGATGCTGTGGTATGATGTGGGGCTGGTCTGGAAGTGTCAATGCGGGATGTGGAGGTGAGTTTGTGTCTGATTGCGGATGGCTCGACAGAAATGATGTGATATGGTGCAATGGGGGTCGAATGGTTGAACAGTCCTTCTGTAAGGAAAGGTGCCCTCCTTTATACCTTATTGTCAGGGACTGTATATACAAGTCATTTCCTTTTTCAGGCGTGCCCATGCCTGCCTGCAGCTTAGAAATCCCCACCTCTTTTCGACCGGCCGAATCGTCGACCACTGCCACAGTCTCGAAAGTCTCCGCACGAGATATGCGCACGGTAGCTGACTGCGGTTTGAAATCTACATCGCCCTTGACTAAAGGTGTTGCGCAAGGCTACGCCTCCTCCTGTGGTGTGCTTGCTGGTGGTTGCGCTGAGTCATGTTGATTTGCCGTGTTCTGCCGGGTCCGACGTGTCTTGGTCGAAAGTCGCCGACATGTGCCAGTCGGAGCAGAGTTGGTCCGACCCACATGGACTTCAGGCACAACGCCATCCTGGCCTCTGCTGCGAGGAGACAATCCGCGCCAGCTTGGTAGTTCACTCTTTACGATGTGAGTGTACAATGCTGGTGGGTAATAGATTCCCGGAACAAGTCCTCAAGAAGGAATACCCTCGTACTCCCATCCATGATCTCCCCGTCTCCTTGCCCGGCCATTCCTTCGATTCTGGTTACATTTGACTAACAGAGTCAGAACGCTCAAGATCAAAATGATAATTGCTGCGATGGTAGGGATGAGGATCTGTCGCTGTTGCTGTCCTTCTTGAAAGTCCGAGTATGGACACGTCCCATTCGGGCCGTCTATCACCCAACAATCAGGCTGATCGAGGGAGTTGAAATTGATCCAGATCCCGGACATGATCTCGTCACAATCATCATCGCAGTCGCCGGAGGTGTCATTCAGCACCTTATGATACAGGTATGTGTTCTCAAGCCCAGTCCTTGGGAGATCAAACTCGGTGTGTTCTGGACATGCGTCGGGAGCGGCACCAAAGGGAACGTTGAACGTAGACAGCCGCCACGCGTATGGTTGACCAGCAATGCGACATGCAGCCCTGCGTGATTTCTGGCAGGTTTCGACGCGCCAGTGCCCTCTGTACGCGCCGGTTGCGTCCAGGACAGCGCACCGCAAGTCCTCATTCTCCTTCATCGAGGAGGCGTTCGCCGGCTCTCCGGGAGCCCACCCAAAGACGGTTGACTGGACAAAGTCACGATAAGAAGACATGTTATTCTGTGCACCGGAGCCACCAAGGGTCATGTTCAACACCGGAGATATTCCACATGCTGTCATGTTCCGGGCAAGAGTGGGGAGAGCGCTGGGGTCTGTGTTATCGATTACAGCCATTGCCCAGGTCGCGTTAGTCGCGGTGACAGAATTGTCCCCTTCGTGGTAAAAGCAGCCTGAGGTTAGATCGCCGCGGGCGTCCCATGCAACTGCCGGACTTGTGTTCAGATCACTTGCGTTGAAGACGTTGCTTGAGTCGGTCAGGAAATCATACTGTGCCATCTGAGCATCAACCTCACCCCAGCTCACCAGAAGTCTCCGACTGTCGGTGAGCAAGACCCAAGCTTCACCTGGCCAGCCATCCGGGGTGGAAAGCACACGATCCTTGGCCGTCGCTACGGTGCTAAAGTATGCTGTGTCAGTATTGACTCGATAACTGTCTCGAAACCAGGACTGATTAAGATTCTGCCGATCGTCTTCCAGGTCCTGTGGCGTGAAGAGGTTTCTAGCAAAGTTGTTGCGAAACTTAGCTCCTACGAGATCATCGCCCCCAGGGAGTCGGCCGGACATGGGCGTATGGGCAGGTGCTGAAGGATCTGTAAACGGTGCCGCAGCGTGCAGATTGATATCCAAGAAATGTAATCGTGCTGAGATGGTATCCGATGTGTGCTCAAAGTAGTCACTGTACAAAGAAATGATGGAGCCGATATTAAGGTCGAGGCTGCACACGTAAGGACCCAACTCCAGTAAACTGCTGCCAGAAACACCCGTCGAAGTTGGAACTGCCACATCCGTGGTTGAGGTGGCAGCACTGCTACTGACCGCGGCAGTGGCATTCACAGATGTGGTAAGCGAAGGATTTGTTGATGAAGTCGAGGCGGTCAAGGACGAGGCCGAAGATTGGCGCTTCTCGAAGGACGTTCCTACAGATGTTGTCGCATTTGACGCAATTGTGGTGGCTGGGTCTGTGGGACTGAGCGACGTGGACGCTGTGATTGAGTAGAGCGCGGAAGAATCGACGCTGTAGCCCGTCGATGAGTTGCCAACCAGAGGCGGTAATTCGACTGGACAAAGGTTGAATTGGCGGTTGATGTTGTCCCAGTAGAGGTCGATGATTAGTCGGCGAAAATGCCGGGCGAACAGATCTGAAATACAGGTTTGCGTCGGGAGGTCGTCATACACTCCATCGGCAAAGCATGCTTGAGTGACATGCACGCCCGGATGGGTTATGTAGTTGATGGGTATCTCTCCCGACGCATCTCGCATGGACAGATAAACCGTGGCCCAGTGGTCATCTGGGGTAGCGCCGGGGTCAGGTTTGTATTCGAGCGAAGTCATGTGTTCAACTCGCTGCGGATGCTATCTCGACATCTTGAGAAGTATAGCTGGCCAGCCCTGGGCACCGGGGAACCGCAGATGCGACCTGTCGGTGCTTTGAGAAAGAGACCGCACACGTTGGCGGCTAGTGCTTTTGTTGCACAGGTAACACGTCGGCAGGTCGCGCTTGACAGCGTCTGGGGTCACAGACTCGGGATGGAGAATGTCGTTTGTGATGCTAACGTCGAGTTTGGTCATTGCTGTCGACGATGATACTTTGGACGCGAGATGCGACTGCACAGCCACAGCTCCGAATCTGGGCCTAGAGTTACGTGCAGATCCCGCCTCGTCGTGCTTAGTCAGATGATGAGTGGCTGAGAGATCGTGGCGCAGCTGCGCCACACAGGACATGCCAGTGTGTCTCCAGAATTTTGGACCCTGAAGTCCATCTCAAACCGTGTCTTCTCGTGAATTGTAATCGCACCCTCACACCACACAACCCTTCTTTCGCTGCTAGTGTCTGGCCTTGGAGACACTTTCTTGCTGCTTCCTCTCGCGAGGTCTCAAAACACCCGTCTTCTACACTCAACTGCATCTTCTCCTGCTCTGACATTCTCGGAACCATGGCATCACCAGGCGGACCCCCGCCCGGCGGGCCTCCCTTCAACCAGCAGCAAATCCAACAACTGATCGCCATGGAAGCGCAAAAGCGAGGCATGACCATTCCACAGTTCCAAGCCTTTCAGCGCCAACAGATCGAGACCGAAGCCGCGAAAGCGGGCATGACCCCGCAGCAGTTTGTCCAGATGAAGCAGGAAGAGGCACGGCAACAGTTCATGCGGCAACAGCAGATGCAACAGGCTCAACAACAGCAGCAGGCACAAGGACAAGGCCAACCACAGCAGCAACAGTCAAGACCTGGAGGACCTCCGCCTGGGCAGCAAGTTCAACATATCCCAGTGAATGCGAACGTCGAGGCGAAACCCGAGGCGCTCGCTGTCGCAAAGTTTCTACGTGGCCAGGACCTGAAGACCAGGACGTGTATCTTCAACGGAGAGAGAAAGGATATGTTCAAAGGTAAGACTGCGTTCATCCGCTCCTCCCACCAGGGATGCTGACCCACCATCAAGTCAAACGAGCCTTCCGAGCCCTCCAATCCGATGCCTACAAGAAAGCGCAAAAGAAAAATCCTCTTCTACCCAAGGTCGAGAACGACGTCGATGCCCGCCAGACACTACAGCTTCTTCCCTTGTCGATGCTCGCCCTGCGTGTGTCCAAGAAAGACCCGCACGAGGGTCACAACCACGCCAAACCCAAGAAAGAGAAACGAGTCAAGGGACTCTGGGAAGTCAAGATCGAGCAACAACAAGATTTCGACCCGATGATGCACTATGTGTGGCTATTTGAAGGATCACAATGGAAGACGAAACTGTGGGCCGGCCTCGCCCTGATTGCAGTCTTCGCTGTGGTTCTCTTCCCCCTATGGCCGCTGAAGCTGAGACTCGGCGTGTGGTACCTCTCGGTCGGCTTGATGGGGCTCATTGCGCTCTTCTTCGCTATGGCCATCTTCCGGCTCATTCTCTTCGTCATAACATTCTTCCTCGTCCCACCGGGTTTGTGGTTGTACCCCAATTTATTCGAGGATGTCGGCTTCTTTGACAGCTTCCGGCCACTGTGGGGCTGGCATGAGACGAAGGAAGACATCAAGAGGAAGAAGAAGGAGAAGAGGGCCCGAAAGGCGCAGAAGAAGCTCGCTGAGTCTGCAGGTAGTGGTGGTGAGAAGAACCAGACTGCTCCGGCCGTGGTGGCTCTCCCCTCATCTTCGAATGGTGCGGCTGTCACTTCTGGTGCCGAGCCAGGTGCAGCGTCAACGGCGGCCAAGCGGCACGTTGCCCCGACTGTGGAGGAAGCTGATGATGAATGAGTCGTGTTTCCGGGCATTTGCATCTTCACGGCGTTCCGCTTGTCGCACATCTGGAGCGTTGACGCACGATAGTGGCTGTATCACCAGAGTCGGGCCGGTGGTATCGGCAGCAAATGCACAACATCTTTGATCTCTTCACCCCAATCCCATGACGCGTGCGAGCTTTTGTTGATCTGTCAGTGGTGCCGGGGCATTTTCCTGCAGTGTCTTCCCACCTACCCCCGAATCGCTCATCCCGTTGATTCGTCCCATCACTCTTGCCATTAACACCCTCATCCGGTCCAGCTGCTGGCTCAATTCTCCGTCCCTCGTGACCAAATTCGGCTGCCCATTCTCCTGCGGTTCGTTCAAAGGCTCAAGCAACCTTTTTAGCTCTTGATACCGTGCCAACTTCCTCTTCAACGCGTCTCTCTTCTGACATGACTCCAACAACCGCTCGCGCAACAGGGTATACCTCTCTGCCTCGCCTTCCTGCATTTCATGATCCGGATGGACATATAGATCGTCATACTCCTGCGGCAAAGACCGTATGACCTGCGCGTCCGTCAACTCTGCATCGCGAAGGATAACCACAGTATCAGCCTCCGCGCGCTCCAAGTCGCCCGAGACGAGGTTCCAGTGTAGAGACTCGATCTGTTCCGCAACGTGCCGTTGGGACTGCGTCGAGAAGATCAGCCGGTTATGTTGCCGGATCTTGTCGTTGGCTTTGGTGACTAAGTCCGCGATCGTCTTGTCGCTGAGCTGGCCTTCGTCGGCGGGTGCGGGCAGGAGCTCGCGCCATCGCTTGGATGGTTCGAGGAGGGTGTCGAGTTGGCGGACTTGAGTGCGGATGAAGTCTGCCTTGAGGGACGTTATTGAGGCGTCTTCCATGCTTGTGTGCAGGCTCATGTACAGGAATTTGGTATCCTGATTTTACCATATGGGTGCCTTGTTTGTCGGTGATGCTCCGAGTGTATTGTACAGTACTTGGACCCCACGACGCGGAGCAGCAAGCGCATAGGGACGCGTCTGGTGTTTATGCTTTGGCGTATGGTCGGTACGGTGAAGTAGATACCTCCCTGCTGGTAACATACATCTCGTAATCCTCGCCAGCTCTCTCCCTCTTGACCTCCCTTCACCGCTGTATACTACAACACATATCGCATGAGGTAGCATAGCTCTAATCTGATCAGAGGCTTGAAGAGAGTTGTATCGTAACTGTTGCTCAGGACCTCGGCGGCATCCACTTCCTCGTCCATTTTGCGAGACTGCACTTCCTCAGCGTAAGCGTCCAGCGAGCTCGAGAAAACATGATTTAGAGCTTCGAGCTTCTTTCGCGCACTACGCTGCATATTCAGGGTGCTGTACGGAGCACACTGCAGGTATGTCTGGCCAAAGAAGAATCTCTCGTGACAAGTCCCGAACTCAGTTTGCCTACCGCATCTATCAAGCAAACGCGCTTCAAATCGGTAACCTTGGAAAACAACACCAGCTCGCACAGGAGACTCGCAATGGACGTGGAAGATACGGTGAGTGCGGCTCGTTGCGGAACTCCATGTCCGGGAGAGCATGATGGACGAGATCCAGGGGAAAGGATGCTGCACCATCGATAGCTCTCGAGGGACCCACCAGCCACAGCAGAGTTGGAGGAAAGGCACCCTGGAGAGGTCACCATTTTCGTGTCGGTGGTCATGGCGATGTAATGCAAGGCCGCGACTCACTCGAAGATTATTCGCTTTTGCAACTGCAGTAAGTGTCGAGGTAGGGTGCGTGCTTACCGAACGTGAAGTTCTGGCCGGGTCAGATCTTCTAGCCGCTGCTGCCACCAGGAGAGCCGTATTTGATCAGTGCCATCTCACAACAAGCAGGTTACGTCAAAAGAAGACGACGTTCCGCAGAAGTATGCGGGCACCAAAAATGAGTCGTCAACGTGCTGCTTCGACATTCTCGAGGGATGATTTTGTTTAGTCCAGGCGGCGACGGTGGGCTCAGCTTCATCCAACACAGCCAAGCCAGCAAACGACCTGCTGAGCCGATGTTATGATGGCAAGGGATCGTGATCCCCTGACAGTTAGTATTGTTCTCGCAGACAATGGAGCACATTCTCTGGTTTATGTCTTTTACGCACAGGCCAACTCACCCTCTCAGCCTCGTCAAGCACACCTGCCACTCACGAAAGATACTGTATCTCCTGTCAAGCGGACCCCAGTCATTCAAATCGTGTCGGCACTGCAGCTTTGTCGGGATTGCCAACATTCAATTCAACACTGCTAACGTGTAGAAATTACGCACGATGGGCGATCGTGGCGGCTTCTCGAGGAAGATCAAAGACTTCGCCAAAGTCACCGGCACATTCTCCTCGCACTACAATGCGAACCACGATGATGCTGACGATCGAGACCCCGTCTCAGAGGACGCCCACAAGGCGAGACAGGGGAAAGCGGCGCAACTTGTTGACTCGTAAGTACCTATTTGTCTTATTTCGATCCGCGACTCTCAGAGACCACAACCGAGAGATACTGTATCGTTCGCAGTCACCTTGAAGTCTGTATCTTTTCTCATAACGGCTTCAACCCCCCAGCCTCAGGGCCAGTACCATGAGTGTGCGCACTCACTAACAACAATCCCCCCTCCCACTACAGATACTACGCCTTCGCCACCGCGGCCTACGAAGCCGACTGGTCAACCCACTTCCACTACGCGCCCTTCGTCCCCACCTACCCGCCCCACGACTCGACCCTCGCAACGGCGATGCAATTCTGCGAACACCGTCTCGCCCACCTCGCCGGCCTGCGCGCGGGCATGCTCGTCCTCGACGTCGGATGCGGCATCGGGGCGCCCGCCCGCGCCATCGCCCGCCTGACAGGCTGCACGGTGGTCGGCCTCACGATCAACCAGACCCAAGTCGACCGCGCGATCTACCTGACTCTGCTCGAGGGCCTCTCGGAGAAATGCACCTTTTTACAAGGTGACTTTATGGCGATGCCGTTCGCGGACGGGAGCTTCGACGCCGCCTTCGCCTTTGAATCCACGTGCCATGCGGGCTCGTTGGGCGCCGTATACGCGGAGATCCACCGCGTGCTGAAACGAGGCGCCCCCTTCGCGTCCTCAGAGTGGGTGCTCACGCCGCGCTACGACATCTCGGACCCGACGCACGTGCGCATGCGCAACCGCATCGAACGGGGCAACGCCATCCCGGATCTGCAGCGGAGCGAGCAGACGAGACGCCAGTTCCTGGCGGCGGGGTTCGAGATTGAGCATGAAGAAGATTTCGCGGCGTGTTTTGACCGCGCCGACACCCACGGTCACTCAGGGGACAGGACGTCCCCCTCATCGGTCCTCATCCCTTTCGTCTCCGGCCCGGATTACGCGCCGGGGCCCTCCGTGCCCCTTCCTCCACCTGACGCCCTTCACGTCCCCCGCACGATGTATCGGCCCTGGACGTTCCCTCTACGTGGGCGACACGACCTCGCCACGACGTGGACGGACTGGTGGACGTGCTTTAAGATGTCGCGCCTCATGCGCCGGCTGTGTTACTGGTACGTGTATTTCGGGGAGAAGGTCGGGGTCGTGGACGGGGGCGTCATGCAGGCCATGGACACGATGGCCGTGTGTGTGGACTCGGTGGCCGATGCGGCGGAGGCGGGCATTTTCAGCCCGTGTTGGTTTTTCGTTGGACGGAAGAGGGTGGAGGATGGGAAAGATGAGGAAGTTGGGGAGGGTGGGGAGCGAGAGGGGCACGCAGCGGGCGAAGGGCGATGAGGTGGCTTGACAAGTTCGCCCTTCTGATGTATCGATGCCGTGTTACGTGTGATGTGCTGTTGGACCGACGTGGATTAGCAAGGGGCTCCGAAGATTAGAACTTGGGTGCTGAGGTTTCCTGGTTTGCTAGTTCATCTTCGCAGTCAGAGGGTCAAGCTAGAAGCGGTTAAAATGACACGAGCCCTGCTAGGTCAAACGAGAACACGTCGGGTAGAATTAGGATAGGATGAGGATTCGTTCTCTTGAGCGTGTTTCACGTTTTGGCCGCTCTGAAGAAGCAGCTTCTGTTCTTGCATAACCTCCATTGTCGTGTGGGAAGGAAGCTACTAGCTGAGTTGTCTCGTCCCGTCCTAGCACCGGAGGCTGTTCAACACCCTTGCCCTTCTGCATTTGTCGTGCGTTAGAGTTGTGCATTTCTCGTGATTCATCCCGTTGGTATTCATTCCCATCACCATGATCTTGCTTCCCAGCATCAACAACCTTTGATGAGACCGTGATTGTAGGGATATGTCCGTGAGAGACCCGGCAAATCCCGCTCCAGCACCGCGCAATGCTGAAAAAGATGGATCAACTTTGCGCTTTCATCCCCCCTAGAATGTATTCGAATCCCGATTCGCCGAAGGTTCAGTCGGACTATTGACTGCCCAAGGCGTCGCAAGCAAGATTAGCACAGCACACGGCACCCTCATAAGCCCGCAGCGCCCGAGCCCTAAGAGATTGATAACCCATGAGAAAGTTCCGTATGTTTGCAATCGCAATATCGTAAAAGCAATGGCATGGGTTATTCAAGCAATGTAAGCCAGCTCGTCGTTATCAAGTCGCTCAATGTAGTCTTTCTCCATCAGGGCATCGATGTTCTTCTTGATGTCAGAGATCTTAGGCGGGAAACGATTTCGGACTTGGTTGATGACTTCTTCGACAAGGTGGACGTGCTTGAGCTTCTTGCGGCCCTTCATGATCCGGACAATAACGGCCTAGAGCAGGTCAGTAAATAAGTACAGCAATCACAAAAGTAGAATCTTGCCTGAAGCAATAGTTTCCGATCCTCCTCAATCGTCTTGTGGGTGTCCTCGGACTCGACCTTTTGCTCTGTCTTAGGAATAATATTCAGGTTGATCTTGACCTTCTTGTTCTTGAAGTTGTAGTTCAAGGAGTAGCTGGTACCAGGCTCCGCTTTGCCGTCTTCCGGTGTTGCATTCAAGACACGAGCCTTGCACAGAATGTTGATGGCAGGTTCGATAGTCTCCTCGGTCAGCTTGGTGATTTCCTTGATGTCAGTGTAATCCATCTTGTCGGCGTCATTGAACAGTAGCAAGATGGCCATCTGATAGGTTGACACCTGAAAAGTGTAGGGAACCTTTTGGCTCTTGATGTAGTTGGCACGGATCTCCCCTTTGCACAAGTTCCAGAGCCATGTCAACTTGCGGCCGTTGTGCTTGCCATCATAGAATTTGGAAAACGAGTCGACAGCTTTGCTGATCTCGGCAGGAGGGGCGAATGGTGTGTTCGGTGCGTTCAGTGGCCAAAATCCTGTGCCGAGAATCTGGAATGTGGAATCCACAATCTTTCTGTCAGGGTTATCCTCCACAAGCTTGTCGTTGAAATCTTTGTAAGCAATATTGAGATCCTTGGAGATCTGGACGTCTTGGAACATGCGCTGAAGCTTGTTGGTGTATTCGTAACCGCACGCCTCTTTCAATTTGCTAATCATGCTCGTTTCCGCGTCATCGGACACTGAGCTAGTGTGGACAAGGCGCTTGGCCAACATTCGTGAGTAGAATTTCTGGAACACATCCTTGTCCTCAATGTACTTGAAGACAACCATGATCTGGACAAGCAGTTCTTCGAGCTCAGACTCGTCTGCGGCCTTGGCTCCCTTCTTGAGAAGTTGATCGGCGTACTTGGCGAGTAATTCCGGTGATCGGGTAGAATTGGTTTTGCAAACTTGGTTGTGGTTGACGAACTCCTGGCAAGCGTTGTCGAGCGACCGCACGAATTCGGACTCTCCATTGAAGGCAACGTTGACGAGTTGCTGATATTTGCTGTGGATCTCAAGCAAAGCGTCGACATAGATCTTGGGCTCGAAGTTATCACCCTGCGCCGCGACCTTCTCGACCGCTGCAAGTCCGGCTTTCCGGACATGTGCTTCGAAGCGGGTTCTGAGAGGCTCCAAGCCATCTTTGATGCGCGACAGGAGTTTGTACATCCGGGCGAGATCTTCAGTTCGTTCGTTGTCGAGCAGCAGCTGGAACTCGTCTCGCAGCAAGACCGAATGAGCGCTAATCAGGGCTTCGTTGCAGGTTTCCATGAGTTTCTTCATAATGTCCGGATGCAGGAACAGACCAACACGTTCCTTCTCTTCCTCGAGCCGTGCTTCCGCCTTCTTCATGTATTCGACAACACTGTTCTCTGCTACGAACCGTCTGGACTCGTTGGTGTAGTACTCTTTTGTGGCGGCAATGAAGGGACGTTCGAAATACATGCGGTAGACATCGAGAGTCGACTTGGTGCTATCGAGCTCGTCCAAGCCGAGCGAGACGAAGGAGTCGACGATCGCCTTGATCTGCATCTGGTCGATGGTCTCGCCGTTGCGCTGCTTCTCCACAAGCCGCAGAACAGCGTCCATGACTTTGGACTCAACAGCCTTGAAGAAATCATCCTTCCACTTGACTAGATGGAGTGTGTAGACATCGTAAACGTTCTTCTTGCCTTCGTCGATCTCTCGTTTGACCCAATGCCGATTCAGATATCGGAAGAGATGGTTGTTGTACTTTGCCGCATCGGTGTATCGCTTCCACTCGCGGATGTAGAAGGTGAGCAGGGCTTCGTCTGAGTGCGACTCGGATGCGACCAAGACGCCTTTGAGGTGTTCTGTGAGGTACTGACCGAGCAGCTGGTACAGTTCTTCGCCCAACAGATGAGCGCCACGGTGACTCTGGCTCAGAGACACTTGTGAGGCACCTTGCTGGCTGGTTGCGGCTTTCTGCGAGGTACAGAAATTGTGAACTGCTGTGTAAACGCCCCTACGTCAAGGTTAGATAAATGGCGCCGGATAGACGACAGAAGTGGGCAACGCATACATGTAAGTCTTCATGTCCAGACCTTCCTGCAATTTGGTCATGACGTTGTTGACGTTCTTCTCGAGATATGTCCACCTAAAACATGTAAGCCAAAGAACACACCCCATCTTCTCCCACACCTCTTACGTCGAGTCCAGATCATCCCGGGCCCTCATGGCCGGATTGGTCGCCGTGGCGGGAGGCATCTCTGTGGAGTGTTCGAAGGATGCGGAGAGCGATGAACGGGAAGGACGGACAGGCAGACCGGTCCTGAGAGGCAATTTCGCCGGGCCGTTGAACTCTGTAGGGTAGGATGTATCTTGGCTCGTCGTACCAGTGCCCGGTGTCAGATCGGTGCGCAAGGTCCTGGTGACAGAGGAGACGAAGTTGAAGTAGTGAACAGTTGCCTTGCGCTTGAGTCACTACCACAGCGCAAGGGCCTCCTTCATTCACCTACACAGTACTGTGTGTAGGTCCACGGTGCGAAGATAAAGAAAGAGGGCCTTTGCCTTGCTCACAAGCAAGCACAACAGACTTGTCTGGATAATGGTCAGTTGAGAGCGGACCAGAGCCTGAATGTCACTGCCTACATTCGCCCCTGCGAGCCGGATTATCGTTGTTCCCATGGCGGATGACTAAAGTGAGATCGGCGCAGACGCGCCGGATAATCTTCGGACAGGAAAAAGCACAATTCTGACAAACTACGTCATTGTCCATGATTCAAATCAAACTGTGCCATCCTGGGTATGAGGTCGCCTGAGGTTGACGATTTGAACAAAAGGACAGTCCTGTGTCTTGTTGATTAAGTCGGCAACGCTTGGACGCTGGCATCGACACAAGCAGCTGCGGCGATAGCTCTTCACTGGCGGAAAACGCTTCGTCTTGCTTTCTTTCTCCTCTATCAACCAGCATGGCCGTTGCTCCCTTGAGCGTCTTGCGCGTCTCTCGACACCAAATCCCTGCCTATCAGCGCATACCAAACACGTCGATCCAGCGCAAACCACTCATGATCTATTATGGTGTCTTCTCAAACCCCGCTCCTTCTTCCGTCGAATCTCATCTGAGATCTATCGGGGTAGTATCTCCACAATGGACCTACACCATGTTTAGCGAAACGCACTTCCACTCAAATACGCATGAAGTACTCAGCGTTGTGGCCGGATCTGCCAAATGTTGCTTTGGTGGGGAAGAAAACGAAGGGCGCGTGGAACCTGTGCTGAACCAAGGTGACGTGGTGATAGTTCCTGCCGGAGTAGGCCATCGGTTGCTGGAGGACTTTGGCGGGTTCCAAATGGTAGGCTCCTATCCGACAGGGAAGTCCTGGGATATGTGTTATGGTAAAGCCGGTGAGGAGGAGCAGGTCAAGCAAATTGAGGGCGTGAGTTGGTTCAAGCGCGACCCCATCTATGGTGACGATGGGCCGAGCCTCTCCCCGTGATGGTGCATTGAAGCGGCACTACGAAATACCAGAATAGAGTACATGTGCAACAGGACTAGCGCTGTTCATGTTATTCCCGTCTGAGAGGGATATGACTGTGAACAGAAATGATGCTACTTTATTGAGTGTTCAATCATTATTCGTTTCACTTCGTGTCGATCCGTTCTACCAGCCTGGAATTCACGCCCATTAGCATGGGTTGCAAGGAAAGATGGGACAATGCTTACCTCAACACGCTAACAGAAAATGTCAGCAGCCACGCAGTAAGTGACACCAACAAGACCGAGCTCAATGACTCGGCCCTGTCGCAGACTTTATCGAACCTGCCAGCTGTCGTTGGTTGTGTAGGAGCCTTACAGGCCCCTTCATCTACTGTCAGAGATTCGAAACTCAGGGCAAGATTGGCAGACTGAAACACCACAAAGAACAAGTCCAGTAGCACCAGTCGTACTTTTGCCCTGGCAGGTCGGAGTCCCAGAGGTTTCGAGAAGTATTCATCGTAGGTGATGTAGACGGTGTACACTATCGCGATGGAATCGACAATTATGGCCATCAAGCCGGAGGGGTCGCGGTAGTAGTCCGTGGCCGTAGGCCCGATGCGCTCGAGACAATCCGGGCTGCGCCGTCCTGGTGGTTGCGCGATGCATCTGGCGATCTTACCAGTTTCATGGTATATTGAGGCACCCAGAGCCATGGCGGCAATGGCAAAGACCAGCACGATCATACGGAAGATCAGAGGGATGAAAGGGTTCCGTAGGACAGTGAACTGGGCGCGCTTGTACCAAACTTTCCTCTTCCGACGAAAAGCGCGGTATCGACTGCTGCTGTCCTCCACGTCGTCGTCATCGTGATCGGCCAACCACGCCTTCGAATAGTCGGTCATATTCCGATTCAGCCATTCCTGGTCCACCTTTTCGCCGTCGAAGTTCTCCTGCGCATAGGCGCTAGGCTGGGCAAAGGATATCCATCTGGAGGGCTGTGAAGGTGTTGCACGATTTGAATGCGTGTAGAGTCCATCTGTATGGTGGTGCTGGTCGCCTAATAGCGGTCGTCTGGAGGTAGAGGGGCTGTAATGATGTTGCGCAACAAGGGCCGAATGCGGAGCGTCCGGAACGAGGAATTGAGGGTCATCGAGGTCGCCTTCTTCAGCGTCTCTTACCCAGGCTATTGCAACGGTTAGCCATCTCTCGTACTTTCTTTTGGAGAACGTATATGTCTACTTACGCGGAATCGTTCGGACTGGGAGAGGGGAGGTGGGCTTGGAGGTGATGGGATCGGCCGACGCATTGAGAATGGGATGGTTTACTCTCGGAGGACCTTTGACTGAGCCACTGTGAGGTCTCCCGCGTAACGAGTTGTTGTGCTTGCGAGGCTGGATGTTCTGCTGTGTGGTGGTGATCTTAACAGGCGAAGCGGGTGCCTCGTCTCCTTTCGTTTCATCTGGTCGCACATTGTTGACCGGCTGGACTGCCTTTACAACCGTCTCTTTTTCGGGATCTCTTGAGGGAGCCTGCCAGGGGAAGCCAGCTTCATCCGCCATGTCCATCCCACCGGACGGCACGAGGTACACAGTCCCTAGCAATCGCGGCGATGGCGGAGACGCATGTCGAGTGGCCGGCCCCAATACGACAGTGTTTACGATCAATATGTTTGGTTTCGCGACTCCTGCAATGTGGTCTCCTGTAGGTCAGTGCTGTTTATGCAGCCTTGTGAAAGTGATGTTGAAAGTGGTAATGATTGTCCTGTTAGCATCTAAGCAGTAAACAGCGCCTGCCAGCGTGCCAACAACTGGGCGCCGAAGCTGCTTGGCGAATGGGGTGCTTTGGTTGCCGCAGACGTCGCGACAGGGATCCCTCACTGGGGGCGAATCAATGCATCGGTTGTAGCCATGACGTTGAGCGAACAGCTCTCACAGCATTGCGACGCAACGCGTGAGGAACTAAGGCACCACTCTCATAATGACCCGGGAAAATTGCTGAATTGTGAAGCTACATACAGAACCCTGCTTGCGCTTCATCCGCTTCACCTACTGTCGTATCAGTCATCGTCGGCGTCTGAGCACTCAATTGCACAGTTTTCCCCAGTCGTTCTTTTCTACAAAGTCCTTGGTCCATTCCAGTCATGACGCCCTCAAGACTTCCTTGACTTTGCAGAGGGTTGTGGCCTTCTTTTCTTGCACCATCCCTTGAAGCGTCGCGGCTATGCGAAAAATCATCCTCCTTCCTCTCACCACGCGACAAGCCCTAGTATTTTGCCAAAAAGCGATCGAGAAGCCGACCAGCAAACCGAGCATTGCCGACCGAATAACTAAAAAGGCAGCGGAAACATGGGCGCAGTGGGAGACTGCTAAAAAGGGATGGAGGAAGACACTCGTTTACTACGGTAACCGGGGCCTCCAGCGCATCCCTTACCAAGAATGGGGACTGAAGAGCTTTCCTCCCTCGAATCCCAAACTGCAGGCCGAGCAGATCACAGAAGGGAAGAAATTCGACGTCATCTTCCCCAGTAATGTCATGCACAAAGAAGACGTCCCAAAGGTGCTGGCCAGGCTGGCGCGAGAGAGGAAACAACTGCATTGGAACAGATTCATTGGTAGTATGGTGGCCATGCCAATTTGCATACCGTTTGCGCTGGTACCCATGTACGGACCGCACTCGTCTGGCTTTAAAAATACGGGGTCGCTGACAAAGGTCCAGAATACCTAATATCCCGTTCTTCTATGCTGCATATCGGTGTTGGTCACATTGGAGAGGTACTGTTGGCTCGAACGGCAGCAGGAGTCGCGCTTACAGATAAACAGCTCTAAAAGGTTCAGATCACCTAGACTTTATCCTCGATAACAGACTGTACCGCCCCGTCTCACCGCCAGAGATTGAAGATCTGTACGAACAAGTCGCTCCTGATGCCCCGGATTTCACGTTTGTCACACCGAGTCAAGCCTCGGATGGCACTGCACCGCCGGAGCAGATTATACTTCCAGCAGAATGCCACAATCTGGTGGCCAAGGTGACAGGTGTTCCAGAGCTGAGTGGCGAGGTGGAACGGGCTGTGTGGCAGATCCAGCGCCAGTTCAAGCGAGAGCAATCGCAGCAAGAGAAGCAGAAGCAGCTACAACAGCCACCCAAGCACGATGCTGGTCAGCGTGACCCAGAGAAGAAGGGTAGTGGCTCATGAGTGAAGTCTGTGTTATCAGGCTACTCTGGCTGGATAGTGAGACGACGACATAGAAATAGTGGTGCCCGCTTGATGATGCATGCCACATGTGCTTCCTGTACAATACCACTCAAATCATAGCCCCAGCATTAAATGGGCAAAGAAAGGATTCTGTTGACAGTGAGACGGGGCATCTGCACCGTTGTGTCACAAAAAATAAAGCTGAAGTGAGGCCTTTTCGTTACTACCTACTCTACGGAGTAGGTATAATGTTGACCCCAAGTGAAGAGCTGCAGGGGGCCCGTGCGTTCTAGCGCGAAAACGTAAATGAAAATGGTAGCATGAAGCCAGACGCCCTTTCAGTTTGTTCTCTTTCACTTTCACTTTCACTTTCACTTTTACTGTCAGCTGCCCTTTAATCGTGGTCTCGCAGTTCCTCCGGCAGGTCGCCATCCGGTTGACCCCAAGATGACTATCTTTGAACCATTAATCTTGTTACACATGCCGCTGCAATAGTCCTCTGGCGCGCCGTATATTCATGTTGTTCCGCTGCCTACCCGTTACTGTCCAACTTTCACTGTAAATGACTGGATAAAGAAGAGGAGACTGACAGTCAATCAGTCGACTGCCTTCCCTTCACATTGCCGACTGCACTTTGCAAGATCTATTCTGATCGCACAGTACTCCGTATACCTCACTGAACATCAGCGTGCATGCTTCCGTCCAATGAAAGCAGAACGAGAATTCAATCTCTTTAGTATTGTCCAGAGTCGGGAATTTCAGTGCTGCTGGAATTCTCTCCTCCACCAGAGTCCACCAGAGTCCTCCTGAGCCGCCATCCAGGAATCAACATAGCTGTCGGACTTTTGCTCCTACTCTATCCTCACCATGGCATCTTGGGCTGAGAGTCACTCGAATCACTATGTCGCTGCTCAAGGGTACAGCGACAAGCGACGACTCGAAGCTCCTCGGGTTAATGTTCCTCCGCCTGACCTCAACTACCGGAATGGCACGCCTACCTTCCATGTTCACGGTCTCCCCTACAATCGGACTTCCGGACAATATGGCCATCACGAGTTTCTGAGGGCTCTAGTCAGCTGCCACAGGTTTGATCTGGCACATTCAATGCTTACCTGGCAATATGAGATGCGGAGGAATGCTCAAGCGATCCTGCCTTTCCTGTTTCTGGGACCAAGCAGCGTAGCCCGAGATCCGGCATTCGTCTGCGATAGCGGCATCACTCTTCTTGTGGCTGCTCGGTCCAGCAAGTCAGTGAGAGCCCGCAAATCATTTCTCGACCCCGCCACCTTTGCCTCAAGCGCCGGCATAGCAACCTGGACTTTCGACTTCGATCACCCCGCCGAGTTCATATCATTAGTCAAGCCAGTCATCAGAGCCATCAACGAGCACCTTGAGGCCACCTGTGCTAGGACCCCGATACGGGACATTCACGACGTATGTGGCAAGGTACTTATCTTCTGCGAGTCCGGAAACGATCGATCAGCCCTATTGGTTGCCGCGTATTTAATGGTTGTCTTTGGAGTGGAGGCAATTGCCGCCATCCACATGGTCCAGTCTCAGCGCTTCTGCATCACCTTGTCGGACGACATGAAGAACGTTCTCCTAGACCTGCAGACAATCACCACCGCCGAACGCCAGGTCTCCGATGCGGACGCTGTGATGAAGCCCTTTGTTATGCCCTCCAACGATGATGGAAGTGTTGCAACCCGACCTCGGCGGCCTAGTAAGCGCAACATTGATGAATTATACACTTCGGATGATGATATGAGGAATGGCGTCGAACGACTGGTGGAAACTAACGTTAGAGAAGGAGTGGCCCCATTTGTGGACGTTGCCGATTGACGGCAGAGACTTACCAAGTTATCAATGATCTGTCGGTAAATTTGGCCAGGAAAAGAACACTGAGTCGGCTCGTTATGTGATACTCGAATAGGTGCAGCATCGCAACGCCATGCAGCAGTCGGTCTTGGTAGGTGTGCACGATGGCGTTTACTGCAGCAAACACTTCTGTCATCGGTCTTGAAGCCAGACACATCCTGGCGGCGGCCCAAGGGGCAAGAAGCGCCATTGGAACGGCGAGCAAGGCTTCTGGGAGGTGATTAAGCTGACCCCAGAGAGCACGAGAGGGCTTCGAAAGAAAGGGACCAATACGCACATGGACCGGCAGTGATTGCTGTGTACTGTTGCCGATATTGAAGGTGGATCGCTGGAAGGATTTTGCATTCATTAAACAAAGGTACTTCTCTGTCGCCCGCTTCTTCTAGGGTAGGTCACAATTTCCCAAATTTCAGATCTGGATGAGCATGAACTGACACGATTGCACTTCATGTGCAGAATGGCAGACTGACGGAAGAGGTTGCTCGCTAGATGTTACTGACAGAAAGGCGTGGGTCTGGCAAGACAGCGACTGTCCCACGAGTGCGGCTTTCGCTTTCGAATTTTCACCGATGGACATGAGCCCTTCACTACTGTCTTCGTCCCACGTTCTTTTTCTCCTTCTCCTTGTCCTTCTCCTCCTCGCTTCCTCCTCCTCCTCTTGCTCACTCACACTTCCTCCTCTTCCCTCCTTCGCATTGAACTGATTTCATGCAACAATGCGGCTGAGATCCAGCATCACGACGCCTACTCGTCTTGAGGACGAGGAGCCTGTCACTCCTAACAACCGCAATGGCACCAAACCCGCTCACCCTGGTCTGATGAAAGCCAAAGCTACCCCCTTCAACCCTAACAATCCTCCAGCGGCCTTCCCGTCTCTCCCACTGACATCAATGGCAATGTCTGTGGAGAACAAACCTGTGTCTGAAGCTACGACTACCGGGGACAATGAGACAGAGAACTCCCTCCCTGACCAGGGCAGCCTCGCCGGCATTACTTCGGACATTCATGGACAGGAAGATTCCCAGATTCAGACAAGCCAGATCGGTGTGAAAGTCGAGCAAGACGACACTCAGCAAGACCAGACTCACGAAGAAGTGACTCAGAAAGACGGATCAGCTGACGATGTCGTGGCGCGGGCGACTGCCAACCAAGACAGTGCAACAACCGCGACGTCCTCGACCACCACTCAGGTAACACCAAAATCCTCGTCAATGGAGACTGTGACTAACTCGTGCTTGGTAGACTGTAAGCAATAATGACCAGACTGCTGAGCGCGATTCGAACCCCTCCCAGCAGACACTGAGTAGTGGTGCGGCTCACGGAATTGAGAACCAAAATGCAGCAGCAACCACGATGTCGACAACTAATGACTCTCGTGTAAGGCAATCGTTCTTCGTTATCGAGACTCTAACTGATCCATGCATTGCAGGCCGTGCGGCGAGTCAACTGGAACGAATTGTCCCTTTCAATGCAGTACCATATCTACAAGGCTCTTAAAGAGTATCCTGTGCACCCGAGACACATAATTCGACTCTTGGGCATGAACCCGAGTCAATTTGCTCAGATCGAGCATGCTGTTAGCTTGAGAGCTCTGCATCCAGCTTCGCTCGTGGACCTCTGGGCGTTCTGTGCAAGTATCAGCATACCCATTCCAGGCATCCAGCCAGGCATGGACGGCTACCAGATCATTGACCCCGACGTCTTCAAAGAGTACGCCGCTTATTTCACCTTTACTTGCAAGTACGACTGTGCCTTCGACGGTGAAGTCCGCCTTGCCAGGAGGTTCTTGATGGATCACAATCTCTCACTCGCCTTTATGGGACAATGGGAGCTCGATCCGTATGGCAGCGCATTTCTCCAGTTCGTCCCTCATGTGCCAAGCACCCGCATGACTCCCTTGGCAAGAGCCTCAAATGTCCCACGACCATTGTCTGATCCAGTGCAGAATCCTGCTCTACTTCCGGTTCGCGGGCGACCTGGACTCATTAACCCTGTTAGGCCGAGCCAGCGAGCAGTCACAGCAAGAAATGCTCTTCGTCACCCAGCCTTGCGTGGTCAGCCTGTCCTCCCTTCTGATCCAGCCGCCGCTCAACACGCTCGTGAGTTGGTCGATCAGAGAACTCAGCCAGCAGGACGACAACGTCATCCCCTTGCTCAGGTCTCTACGCCTGGAGAGTCACCCACTCCTCCTCAGACCGGACAGCATGGCGCACAAGACATCGTCCAGCCAGTGCCTACAGTAACCAGAAACGCTGCTTCTCGACGAACCCGACAGTCCCGCTTGAGATCGTCAGGTGCGCCTTCTCCACCCGACCTGGCGAATGTGCCAATCTCCAGCAACACAAACTCTCATCAAGACCTACCATCTGGCTCAAAGTCAAAGAACGCGCCACAGCGTACAAAGGGCAGCCGCCCTCAAAAGAAGGCTAATGCGAAGAGAGGTGACGTGACCGTGCAGGACCAGTCGACCTCGAGCCCTACGTCGGCCTCTGTGCGCTTGGTTCTTAAGATCGACAAGAAAGATGGTTTGGCTCAAGTCGTTCGAGACGCACCGTCAAAGACAGCTGATGCCACTTCTTCGACGGGTGCTCTCAAGGGTACAGCGGCGTCTGATGTAGCCCAGAACGATACCGTCCACGCCCCTCCGACTGTTTCTGCTAGAGCCCTGCCTTTTTCTACCACGATGTCCGGCTTCAACCGTGGTCTGATGATGGGATTTCCTTCGAGCTCAGTTGCTGCCGGCGCAGCTGATAGCGTCTTCGCTATTCCTGCAATACGTGCTCCGGCTAACCGTGATGCAAATCTTCACCATCTGATCAAGGCCGCTCCGGAACATCCAAAGAGAAAGGCTTCCCAATCGGACATTCGTTCAAGGGCTAGCAAGGCTCCCCGGACGAAGGTCGCTGATACTGACGCGACCCCTGCACATGGACTCGTGGCTGCTGGCATAGACAATACTGATCGCCTTGATAGCGAAGCAAACGAGGCTTACGATTTTGGCAATTATCTGAGGGACATTGCTAGTGCAATCGATCACCGACCCCTACCATCTCCCACTTTCTCTGCCATTTCCGAGAATGCAGATCTGCCCGAGTTCCAAGCGCTTCTCGAACCAGTCAAACACCGCCTGCGTGGCAAGCCTGGCGAGGCCCTAGCCTTTAGCATGGTGGCAACTTCCGAGGGAGGAGATGTTGCTGTGTCGACACCTTCGACACCCGTTGCAGAGCTGCATCTTCTTCAGAATATCCCTTCACCTACAGCCAGCGGAACGGGTGAAAGTGTTCATGATGGCACCAGCAAGAAGAGCAGCATCCCGACCGAGACCAGCAAGAAGCCCATGAACAAGCTGCAGAAGCTCAAACTCATCGTCGGTCCGCTCAGCCAAACTCCTACCCTTCGCCGCTCAGGCCGAAACTCAGCATCTGTCCGTGGCAGTAGCTCCACCATGGGTACTGGAATGGTTGGTCATGCACGCACTCCTGCCACCTTGACCTCTACTACGCTCGAGGCCACCAAGGAGGAGGCAGTCAAGCGGCGGAGATCGGCTAGATTGGCCAGAAAGTCTTTGGTGAAGAATGAGGAAGAGAACTGATGTTGGCGGTCCAACGCCGCTGAACGGCTGATGGTTCTCACATCAATCTAAGTAAGTTGCAGAAGGTCGTTGAGTCACAGGAACACGTCGGTGGAACCGACTCGTGCAACAGAGTTTCTTGAATAACATTGTTGTGCTGTGTCGGGAATACCATCGTTGGTTCATGCGTGACACCCACAAAAACACATGTATTAAGTATTGATTCCAGCAAAGAAGGCGACAGACAGTGACCGTGACATTGGAGTTCGATCGATGGCGATGTTGACACTGGAGGCGGGGCCTGGTCAAAGACGACAATGACCATGACAATGGAGTTTGATGGTCAACGGCGACGGTGGCAATAACATTGGAGCTCGATGGCAACAGGCAACAGTGAACATGGCATTGGAGGTTTCATGACCGGAGGCAACAATGACAATGACAGTGGAGCTTGACGATCAACTTGGCACGGAAAGGGCTGAAGCAGTTCAACACTGCAAAGCAGACTTCATGTAGCTGCCTACCCCTAGCTAGCTAGGTAGTCCCAAGCACTGAGAAGCAAATGATAGGAAATCTCCCCTCACCAGCATCGGCCCTTGTGACTCTCTACAACTTACCCAGCCCCTCTCGCTCTTTCTTCAAAACGAAGAGATTCCTCGTCCCATCATTTCTTACCCGCCCTGCGCGCCCGATCTTCTCCCCTTCCCAGGCCGAAAACTGCCTCAACGTCTCCTCATCGCCGTGGTTGGCGACAAACCGATAACCGTTCCCCTTCAACCGGCCCACAATATACGCCCGCAGGGGCGCGCCATCGCGGTTGAACTCCACGGTATACGTTTCGACGACGGCCTCGGTTTCGCCATTCCCTTCCACCTCGACGCGCGCCACCACCTTCGGCACAGACAACCCCGTCACATACGCGGGCAGGGGATCTGCTTGCGGGTACGGCAGTCCGGCTTTCCGCCGCATGGTCGACAGGCAGAGGACGTGCTGGTAGGTCATGACGCCGCCGTTGGCGAGGACGAGGCCGTGGCGGCCGTGGCCGGCGCGGAGGAGGCGGGTCATTTCGGTGATGGCCTATTATACCGCGGAAAACAAGGGATGTGAGAATAGCGCAAAGAAAAAGGCTTCGCAAAGACAATACAAATGGAGGGGAAACCGCCAAAGAGAAACGTCTCACGTACATGCATGGAGTAATTGTTCCCGGCGCCGCCGAAGCTGGTCAGCCCGCCGAGGATGGTGAGTGGTTTTGGCCCGCGCGTGATTGGGAGGTTGAGATGATGGGCCGCGATTTTGGGGACGATTGGGAAACACCTGCGAGTGGCGAGTGGTGTGTTAGCGGATGCGCCATCATTGATCGTACAAAGCTAAGGAGAGGTGGATGAAACGTACGAGTAAAAGTCGTATAGGTCGATATCTTCCTTTGTCAAGCCGGATACGTGCAGGCCGGCGTCGATGGAGCGTGAGATGGACGGGCTGGAATGATAGTTCGGACGTTCCCAGACTGTATCAATTCATTAGACCGTGTCAAGGCAATACCAAAAGCCAAGGAAAGCAGGCGGGTGGGAATCGTACAGTTGTCGCTGTCCTGCGTGCCGGCACCGCCGAGGGCATATATCCATTTTGTTCTTGGAACGCCCAGTTCCTCCGCGTGCGCCACTGAAGTCAGCACACACGCGCCGGCGAGGTTGATTGTGTTGAAGGCGTTCATCAGCAGCGGATCTGTCGTGCCCGGTTAGCCGTACTCTACATTCATCATTCAGTCTGCCACAGCAGAACGCCACCGCGGGACATACAAGGAAAACAAATCATCCTGTTCCTCTTTGTGACCGTGCCGATCACCTCCTTGCTCGCGGCCGGCTTGCCGTAGTTCCACGCGTAGGGCTGCTTTTCCGCGACTTTGGCAAATTCAGCGTACAGCTGGGCCGACTCCTCGTGGTTCTCGGCGATGGATTGCCCGCGGTTCGCGCGGAACCCGTTCTCAAACAGCGGGTACACGTGGATCGGGGCACCGATCGAGTGCACGGCGCCAATGTCCTTGCCCAGATCTCGACCCGTGGGTGAGAAGACCGAGTTGACGCTCTCCTTTGTCCTTGTCCAGCCTGGCGGCGGTAACTTCTTGGCCGCCGCAAATGCTGACAGAGATGCCAGCGCCTCGCCGCCCGTGATGACGGCGACTTTGGTTTCGCCCTGCGAGATCCTCCGTGCGGCCTGGTCGAAAAGTTTGGCCGGCTTGTTCCCGCCGTGCTCGCTGTAGAACTGGTGTCGTGCATTGACGCCTAATTTTCGAGAGATGTCCCCTGGTAGATCGTCGTAGGGCCAGGTCCATGTGCGGACGACATCGATGCTGTCGATGGCGGATTGGAGTTGTTGGCGTTTGTCGTCTGGTAGACCGGTGTCGCTTAGCGCGGTGGAGATGGCGTTGAGCATGAGTGTTAGTGGTTCGTGGCCGTCGGCGAGGGATGTGGAGCGGTTGACGAAGTCGCCTACGCCGACTATGATGGGGATTTGGGACATTGTGCTTGGACGTCACGGCGTGGGTATTGGAAGCGAGACGGATCAGGCTGTTCAGAATCAGGGACGACACCTTTTCAGAACGAGAACATATGAAAGAGCGTATATCATATCATCGTCGTGCCGATATCAAGGTAGGTATGTTTCTGGGAAGCACTACTCGGCCATGCTCCATGTTCCATGCTGACAACCGCCGCAAGCCGAGGTTGAAGATGGCCGCCCGTCCCGCCGGAACAGCTTTGTACGCCAGGCAAGGCTGTCGACGGCAAGGCATTTCATCTTCAGACAAGCGTTTGGATGATTGATATGATGGAAAAGCTAGGTGTCTGGAGCGATCACAAGGTGTGTGTGGTGGTCGACCTATATACCCAAAAGATTCTCGTCTGGATATAAGCCAATTTTGCCCTTCTTGGAGATGGGTCCCCTCCATACATCCGCGGTTCATATCCCAGTGACAGCACACAGAGTGCCGCCAGAATTGATGTGTTTCCTAGCGACGATATAAAGTTGGAAAAGTGCTGTGCTTGACAGCCACGAGATCCACGAGCTCAAATGCTGTGTCCTTGTTTGGCGTGCCCGCACCAACCGAGGATGGACGCGCCGTGTCATCGTACTCGTACTCGTACTCCGTACTAGTACCCAGCTCTTTGCAAAGATCTTAGCGGCGATTGACGCGCTCCGCGTAAAGTGGGTGGCAGCGCGTTTCGCCACTTGTCGTAGTGTCGTCACCACAATTTTGAAGCAAGGGGTAAATCTGGCCGTCCCTGAATGATAACCGCAGGATGGGAGCCTCGAATCCAGGTGCTAGGCCAATGCAAGCCAATGGCACCCGCTGGCCCATAAATCGGCGTTGAAGCACAGCAAAAGCGAGGGCTGTGCGTTTGACGCAGATCTAGCTGCGCGTAACCGGCACTGTTTGCTGAGCAATCCTCCCCCGACGTCCTCAAGCCCCAACATAGTGGTGTACTGCTTCTTGCGTTGGCCAAGGCCTGACCTGCCACGGACATGTCTACAAGCTCGACCACTTCAGAGCCGATGTCACCAGCCATGTCGAATGCCAAAAGCACACCGGCATCATCACCAACGGATGCGAGTCCTAAGCAGCCGAAGTCAGACGCCAACGAGGAACCGATGGTCAAGAGCGAGAATAAGATGGGAGTGGATGAGGAGGACGATGAAGCCATGGACCATAAGTCTCGTGCGCTCACCAACCTTCTGAAGACAAGCTCTGTGTTTGTTGCGATCATGGCAGACAAGATGAAGCAACAGCAGGAGCAAAATCAAGAGCAGGCGAGAAAGGCGGCTGCGAAGCAAAAGAATGATGCAGCCAAATCTTCAGAGACAAAAAGCGCAACGAGACGATCATCAAGGGCGCATGCTGCTGGAGAGTTCGACAACGGGAAGAACTTGCCGGAGCAGGAGAAGCGAACCACACGAGGTCGCGGACGCCCATCCAAAAAGAATAATGCCGCCAAGAAGAACATTGTTGACTATTTCGACTCGGAGGCCGTGAAGGCCGCCAAAGACGGGCCCACAGTCCAGGAGGCGCTTGCAGAAGCTGCAGACGAGTATGAAGGAGAAGGACTCGGCGCTCAGGATCTTGTCGCCACCGAGCAACCCTCTCTAGTTACGGGCGGCCAGATGAAGAGATATCAGCTAGAAGGATTGGAGTGGCTGAAGTCGCTCTGGATGAATGGCCTTAGTGGTATTCTGGCGGATGAAATGGGCCTTGGGAAGACGCTGCAGGCCATCTCAATGATCGCGTTCTTCAAGGAGAACAACATATCCGGTCCTTTCCTGATTGCGGCTCCGTTAAGCACCGTGCGGAACTGGGTCGAAGAATTCAAGCACTGGACTCCCACCGTCAATACTCTTCTCTACCATGGCAGCAGGGACGACCGTGATGCAATGAGGCGAAAGAGGATGAAACTACAGGATCAGACCAAGTGGGACTTCCCCGTTGTCGTCACGAGCTATGAAATCTGCATGAACGACAAGAAGTTCTTGGCCAACTACCAGTGGAGATACATAGTCGTGGATGAGGGGCATCGCCTGAAGAATATGAACTGCAAGCTGGTCAAGGAGCTGATGACATACAATTCCGCAAACCGATTGCTGATCACCGGCACGCCACTTCAAAATAACATCGCGGAACTCTGGTCACTGCTGCATTTCTTGTTACCGGAGGTTTTCAACGACCTCGACAGCTTCGAAAAGTGGTTCGACTTCTCCAGCGTTTTAGAGGACAAGGAAGAGGCTGATGGCAAGTCCCTGAAGCACAAGAACAACCTGGTCTCCACCATGCACGCCATCCTCAAGCCGTTCCTGCTTCGGCGCGTCAAGACCGATGTTGAGTCGTCCCTTCCAAAAAAGCGAGAATACATTCTGTACGCTCCATTGACTTCAGAGCAGAAGGAACTGTACCGGGAAATTCTTGCCGGTACCAGTAGGTCATACCTCGAAGACAAAGCAGTTGAGCGGATCGAGGCAAAGAGCCGAACTGCTTCCCTCAAGCGCAAGGCCAATTGTAGCGGTCGCTCCACGCCAGCAAAGAGCATCAAGCCCAGTCGCGACTCGACGCCTGCATCTGTCGCGTCAAATGGTTCTATTCGGCGAGGTCGAAAAGCAGCACGCACCAGCTATCGCGATGTGACCGACAGTGAGTTCAACGCTCGTCTTCGCCGAATAGAAAAAGGTGAAGAAGGGCTCAGCCTCGATCGTGCATCGCCCGGCCCCGACTCGCGAGAAATATCGTCTGACGAAGCAGGAGAGCTCGAGCGTGTTCAGACCCTCAAACTCGCGAAGAAGGAGATGTCGTCCAAGAAGCTGCAAAACCCTGTCTTGCAACTTCGACTCGCATGCAACAGCCCGCACAACTTCTACTGGCCCTGGAAACCGACCACACTTGCCGAAGAGGAATCCGGTGACTTTCCACAAGTCGACGAAAGCCTGGTCCAAGCCTCTGGCAAGATCCTCCTGCTTGACACACTTCTGCCCCGACTTTTCAAGCTTGGTCACAAGGTCCTCATTTTCAGCCAATTCAAAACCACGCTCGACATTCTGGAAACCTACGCAGCTGACCTGCGTGGCTGGAAAGCCTGTCGAATTGACGGCTCTGTGGCGCAGGAAGATCGCTATGCCCAGATCACCAGCTTCAACACGGACAAGTCCTACAACCTGTTCCTCCTGTCTACTCGGGCTGGTGGCCAGGGAATCAATCTCACTGCAGCTGACACTGTTGTTCTGTTCGACTCGGACTGGAATCCGCAACAAGATTTACAAGCTATGGACCGCGCACATCGTATTGGGCAGACGAAGCCTGTGATCGTATATAGGCTAGCTACACGCGGAACGGTGGAGGAGACATTGCTCTTCAAGGCTGACTCGAAGCGTAAGCTCGAGAAGTTGGTCATTCAGAAGGGCAAGTTCAGGTCCCTTCTTTCGTCGGGTGTTGAAGTGGATGATATCAAGGGCGTACTAGTGGATGATGAGTTTGAGAAGTATGACGTCGCGCACTTCGAAGACGAAGACAAGGGAGCCACGCCAACAGGCAGGAAGAGACGAATATTAGGCGAAGATGAACTGAAGATCTTGACGGATCGGACAGATAAGGCCTATGAACGAGCTGAAAAGGGCCTGGATATCGGCGGCGAAGGACAGGCCTTCAAGGTTGCAGAGACTCAAAGAGGTCAAGGGACGACAGGCGATGTCCTTGATGACTTGACGGTCAGGAGAAAGGCGTAGGGGTCCACAGATTGTTTGGTACTTTTCACCAGCTCTTGGGTAGCTCTTTATGACACGCAGCTGTTGGATGGTTATGTTGAGTAATGAGCAATCTGGACAGCAATGTGCACCTGGCCGATCAGGCCGCATGATCCCAGTTTCATCTTCACATCTTGCAAACTTTTCGGGCGTGTACGGAGTAGTACTGTACGGGAAGGGGCCTCAAGTACAGCCTGACACGTGAGTAAGCGCAAGCAAGGCTGAAGGCTGCGTCACACCTTCCTTTTGAGGCAAATCTTCGGCGAGACAAGTTCAATTTTCTCTTCTAAACTTCAACGCGAGCAGGATCTGGCCAGCAGCTTCGGCATCCTTTCGAGTTGGCGGATGCATCTTGTTGTATGACATGTCCGGGTGAAGCCAACAGAACTCTTCCGGCTTGGGGGTTGCCTTGCGTGGCGCGACTCCCTTTTCTTGAAGAACAACTTGTCTCATTCCACTCTTCGACGCAGTTTGGCCTATCAGCAAGCATGATCTGAATTATACACATATTTGTGGAGAAGCGAGGAGAACTAAGATATTCACTAGAGCATAAGAGGTACAAGCCACCGTCACCCGGACTGGTGGACAGCCGAGAATGTGCCTGATATCGCGACCATCTCCGCAATTCAGCCGGACGGCATGGCCAAAAGTAGAAGTCCGTGCTTGGTCAGGTAACATGGATGTGTTGAAAGAAGCATTCCACTGGACCGAAGGCACGATCTCTCTTTCCCTCTTCGACCGTAGCCTGGTACCTCTCCATCGTGACCACACTGTCACTCTTGCACACCCAACCGGAGTTTTGTAGCCTCGAAGCTTTTGCCCTGGATCTCAACAGCCATGCTGCTCTCCAAGGATAATCGGCTTCATTATACCTACGACTCAGAACATGTTCAGATTGAACCATGGGGTCCGAATGCCCTCCGCGTGCGTGCCACAAGGTTCCACACTCTGCCACTAGAGAACTGGGCTCTGACCATCACGCCACCAAGGACAGATGTCTCCATCTCCGTTCCTGGCGACCATGCATCTATCACGAACGGCAACATTACGGCGACGATCTCCAGGGCTGGAAAGATAATCATCAAGGATGCCAAGGGCGAGCGGCTTTTGGAAGAGTATCACCGCAATCGTGCCGATGTTGAGGATCCAAAGTGCAGTGCCTTAATGGTTGAAGCACGAGAGTTCAAGCCGTTGCTTGGGGGCGACTATCACTTGACCTATCGACTTGAGTCTATCGACCGCAAGGAGAAGATCTACGGCATGGGCCAGTATCAGCAGCCGTTCCTCGATCTCAAAGGCTCTGACCTGGAGATGGCCCAGCGCAACTCCCAGGCGAGCGTCCCATTCATGTTGTCGAATCTTGGATACGGTATGCTTTGGAACAATCCTGCCGTTGGCCGAGCCGTCCTAGGAAAGAACACGATGAGCTTCGAGGCGTATTCGACAAGGGTCCTCGACTATTGGATCGTTGCATGCGACACTCCAGCCCAGATCATCGAGTCGTATGCCGATGTCACCGGCAAAGTCCCAATGATGCCGGAGTATGGTCTTGGCTTTTGGCAGTGCAAGTTGAGATACCAGACTCAAGAAGAGCTGCTTGATGTTGCGCGAGAGTACGAGAAGCGAGGCTTGCCATTGGATGTGATTGTGGTGGACTTCTTTCATTGTACACTCGTTCGGTGCTCGTTAGCAATTGTGTGAAGGCTGACGACATTATGACTAGGGCCAAAACAAGGCGAATGGAAGTTTGACCCGGTGTATTGGAAAGACCCCGGTGAGTCAGCCATGCGTAGGCTCCTGTCGACGTGGAAGGAGTCTTCGGCAGAGCCGTCGCCGGAACCCCAATTCCCGCTTGAGCCCTCAAAATCGAAATTTGCATGTGAATTTTCTTTCAAATCAGCGGACTCTGCAAAGGACCCAACTGTCAAAGTTGAAGAATGCAGTTCTGACGAGATGCCGTGAGTCTCTCATCACAGAAGCCATGGTCAAGGAACTCCGGTCGATGGATATCCAACTCCTCGTTTCGATCTGGCCGACCGTTGACAAACGCTCGGAAAACTACGACTTCATGCTGGAGCAAGGCCTGTTGATCAGACAGGACCGCGGACTGCGCATAGCTATGGATTTCCAGGGCGAGACGGTCCACGCCGACTTTACCAATCCTGCCACACGCGATTTTGTATGGCGCACGGCGAAAAACAATTACTACGACAAGGGAGTCAAGATGTTCTGGCTCGATGAGGCAGAACCGGAGTACAACGTGTATGACTTTGACATTTATCGATATCACAGTGGGACTGTGTTGAGCTCAGGAAATGCTTACCCGGTGGAGTACGCGAGGGCTTTTTTTGAAGGGATGAGGCGAGACGGGAGGCAAGAGGAGATCTGCAACCTCATCCGCTGTGCGTGGGCCGGAAGCCAGAGGTTTGGGACTTTGCTATGGAGTGGTGACATTGCGAGCAGTTGGGAGAGCTTTCGGGATCAATTCGCGGCAGGATTAAACGTTGGCATTGCGGGTATTCCCTGGTGGACCACAGACATCGGTAGGTCTTTGTCTCTAGTGTGGTTCGGAGACCAACCCTGACTCAGGCAGGCGGTTTTCACGGCGGAAACCCCCAGCATGCCGACTTCCGCGAGCTCTGCACAAGATGGTTCCAATATGGTAAGCTCCGGTCCAAGGTTTCGTCCCATCACACAACTGAACATGATGGTACAGGCTGCTTTTGTCCTGTCTTCCGCCTCCACGGTGACCGCGAGCCCAAGCAACCTCAACACGGCACGACTGGGGGCGCAACATGTCTCTCAGGTGCACCAAATGAGATCTGGTGCTATGGCGAAGAGTGCTACGAGATCATGAAGAAATATCTTTTCCTGCGCGAGAGGCTCCGGCCATATATCCGTGGACTCATGGCTCAAGCACATGAGAAGGGCACACCTGTCATACGGCCACTGTTCTTGGAATTCCCACGGGATAAAGAGTGCTGGGAAGTGGAGGACCAGTACATGTTCGGCAGCAAATATCTCGTCGCACCGGTCATGTATAAGGGCATGATCAAGAGAAAGGTCTATCTGCCCAAAGGTGCAAAGTGGAAGAGATTTGATGATGGCCAAGTTCAGAATCCGGATGTCCTCGAGGGAGGCGTGGTTACCGAGGTCGATTGTCCCTTGACTGTGATGCCCGTTTTTGAGAGACAGGATGCGGAATCACTGTCGACACACCATCATGCTTGAGTGTCATGGATGGCCTCGGAAGCGGAGGAGGACCCAGAGGCATGCATGTGAGACATTGTCAGATGCACTGGTCAGTGGCCATCAGCCTTGTAATGATGGGCAAGGCTGGGCGTAAATAGGGGTCCATACTTTCCAACATTACTCCGTACTCGCAACAACGTTCTCGGACAGTCTGTCGCGCTTTCTGACACTGGTCTGCCTCGTAACGTGTGTTGGGATCTTGTAGAGACTACTCATCCCATCCAGTCCGAGGGATGGACTTGGGCGCGGCTCCGGACTTCAATGTATTGACATTCGGCATCGGCCCAACGGATGCCGCGCCATACATGCTATACACTGTGCATCCCAGCCCGATTCTACTCGTTCTGGACGATTCCGGGTCATGGCGACATGAGGGCAGAGGCGACATATCGACTCGCTGAGTCAGCATGCTGCTTGATGCCCGTCGCTGGACTAGCTCCAAATTAGACTAGCTGCCGCTTTAGCGCAGAGCTTAACTTCAGCATCTTGCTTGATCGCTCTTTGTTATTGAGCATCACGCGTGCGTAACGTCGGGAGGAGCATGCCGAAGGCAAGTGCACGCGGCTGCCATTCTCTACTCAATGTGCGAAAAGTACTGCATGGTGTGATGTCTTTTAGATCTGCGCATTAACCTGTACGTTCATGTACAGGTGGATGATTGGACGGACTGTCGTCGCGTTTAATGAAGGACTTGTCTGCTTGTTCGCGTGATCGAACGCCAATGCCGAAGTCGAAGTCGAAGCCGAAGTCAAATTCGGACGTGGGCTCCATTCACGTACCACCAGCACCGGGCTATAGGTGGGTGAACCCGACTGAAGTTCAAGATTGTTCCAATATGCCCACAGGTTCACGAGCACACAGTGCTTGCAGTGGGTGCAACGGAAGTCATATTCAGCTCTGATCAAGGTCCGTCCGGGAGCGTCCAGCTTTCGGTCTACCTTCGGATTAGCTTCGGGCTAGCCTGGCGCGTGCCTTTCTCCTCTTCCACGGCTGGGAAGGAAGGGAAGAGGCGCCACCGTGCTGATGGCAGTTGCTGAGGGAAACTGGGATGCACCCGTCCTCACTCCTATTGACTGCTTTGTTTCAAGACATCGACTAGCATCGACGGGATTAATTCTGCACGTCGCTCACCCTGCTGGCTCTGGGTCCCCAAGTCCTCCCCTCGTGGCCAAGGAATGAGCTGTGGTTGCGATTGCCCGGGCGGTTACCTCTGCGGTACTGTACGAGTTGCAACGGAGTACACACCCTCACAAACCGAGCGACAGGCCGCATACGTTCACAGACCCAGATATCAACCTGGTCCCCAGTACTACTGTAACGACCTGTGCGAAAACGGAGGGGAAAGGCAGTAGAGCTGTCACGCCTGCAGCATCCTTGTACCGCACAAGGCACATTTGCTATACGCAATGATCACCTTACCGGTACGGCTCGTGGGTTCATTCACGTAGCCGATTCTCAGATGTTGTGCCTTTCGACAACCTGCCACAATCACCACAGGGTCTCGCTGGTACCCTCCAGCTTTCGCCACAATGCCTCGCCCAGTACCCTCCCGCACTCACTATGTTGCCACTTCTGGTACCCAGGCTCGGCCGGAGCGGCTGTTCAAAGTCAATCCTACTCCTGTCGTTCCGCCGACATGCCCCAAGAGATCGGCGTTACTTGCAGCCTGAACTGACCGGCATCGCCATCTGGATGTCGCAGTGTGTCGAGTCGATCCGAGTTTGAGTAGGCCTGCGAGACCCCTTCTACCAAGAGTCGCTGTCCAACTTGGCGCTGAGGCGATAGCAGGCCCTGGTCCCCATTCGACGGGATGTATACTCTTCTGTCGGTCTAGGCAACAGCGTCGCCCAATTTCAGGAGACTACCAACGCCGTTTCTTGCATCGGGTATCCGCATCCTTGGCACTTGCTGCATCCCAGTGTCGTCTTGGAGCCTCGTCGATGCCATCGACAGCCGCATGTCGGCTAATCGAATTGCCCAGGCCACCACGAGGTAGGTGGCGACGGCTTGCCAGGTTAGATCGCAATGGTTAAGCGGGATGAGCGGCTCTAGCCCAAGAGAATGTCTTCCTTTGTGCCCACGAGCCAATCGGTCTATCTGATCGCTATGTGGTCATGCGTGCCCCTACGGGGTCCACGCACTGCCCGAGTTCTGGGGCACACAACCAAATTTGGGCCACACTAAGCGGCGTCTTCCAGCCGAGCAAAGGGCATGCTCATACTGTTTTGGTGCCTGGGACCTGCCTTGACACCAAAGTCAGCTGGCGGAGACGCGCGCTGGTTAAACATTCATCCACTGTGCAGCGTCTCTGCGAGCAGTAACCTTGCGAGACTGTGAGCGCAGTAATTGTGGCCGTCCAGACGGCAGGGCAGGAGTCTCATTCAGCTTGTTGTCGTGTACGGGCTCGATGTTGGACGAGAAGCCACTGGAAGCTTTGGTCTTGTGCCCGGCCTTAGTCGGCAACAACAAGCGACGATTTTCACCCACTGGTGTTGGCAGTGGAACCCACCAGCATTGCAACGGCTGTGGTGTTTGATAGCACACGCGATAACCTACCGTACATTCACAGCGTACGGCAGCTTGCCTCCAAGCGTTGATCAGGATATGATAAAGCTCAACTGCTCACATGCTACGGCAAATCGTCGGTGCCGAGAGATGGAATAAAGGGGAGAACAGCTATTTTGCAGTTTCGGGCTGGACTCCGTGGGCCGCTTTGTTACAACATTTAGCCCGAATGTTCCCGAGTTGGAGCTTCAGATCAGATATAAAGATCGGAACAAATCGACAAGGGTCTTCAACTTCTTCCAAGGCTCAAAGCTATGGGAGAAAGGATATTGCCACCTCTCTGAGGAGCAAGTTTTGCAGGTGACTAGGGGTCTTGAGGCTGGCCTGGCCTGGCTTCATGCATATCGCCACAGACCACATGCTACTGTGCGCCTTCGATTGTGTGAGATCTTGACAATTCCTGATTGGCCCTGAGAAGGCATCCTTTAACGCCGCTGATCAGGGTACCGACCGCCGATTCATGGTCCAGACAATCTCCACCTGTTCCACTGCTCTGCGAGTATGGTCTTTCGATGCGACAGCAGCGGTCTCGCGGCGTTGTCTCTGCTTGTGGGAAATGGCTTGTGAGGGAGACCTGAGTGTTGACGTCCAAACTAGATCAGGATCTCAATCGAGGTAAGAGGCGAGCAGCTCGGCTAGGCGTACCGACGAGGAAATGGCGGCCGCTGATGTTGCCAAGCAATGCGCCAGTGACCTGTCGCTGGGTTGTTACGATTTCGGCTTATTTGTTCAGCCGGTATGGAGCGAACACCAGTCCTTTGGTATCGTTGTGGTATTCAGAGCAATAAGCCTTCGAGCAAAGCACGGTGCAAACCAGCGTCTCGTGCCCCTGATGCCCGGAAATTGCCATGCTTCTCTTGCCCCAGACCCCGGATTCTGCGAGGAGCCAGGTACTCTGGGCAGTCTCTTATGGAGACATGCGTCTGGGATTGCTCTTGGCTGGCGTCAAATGTTGGTCAACTCGCAAAGGGACTTGGACTGCAGTAACATGGGTGGCATTCGACTCGCTGGCTGGCGCTGTGCATCGTGAAAAAGACAGGCGTACTTGTCTGGGAAATCGTTTAGGCGTACACAGCAGGAATACGAGATACATGCAAGATAACCCGGCGGATGGTAATCAGCTGGCAGTCATCGCAGTCACCAACGGAAGATGGCGCCGGTGAACCTTCCAATGAGCAACTCCACCCCCGCATGGCACAGGTGCCGTTGCGGGCCTCCCCCGGGGCTCATTGGTGGGGAGGCCGCCTTGACATGGCAATCAAGCTCCACCGCCGGGCGCCCAGACTCTTGGCGGCTGTGGGTTGCAGCGTGCGTTGTGTACGGGCGGGTTCGTCCCTGCGCTCGCACTTTCACTCGCACCTGCTGCCATTCGCCTGCGCCCACGCTTTCTATTGTCCTCCACACTTTCGCCTTCCTCCAACCTGCATCTTTCCTGTCCTCTCATGCCGCAATCAGAGTTCCTCCAGTGCCCGATGCGGCAGCTCGCCGCCAGCCTTCTCCACGGACCAGTGTCTGGCTGATCGTCTGTCCCCGGTTTCTAGACCAAAACTTTCTGTACTGTGATCCTGGTCAGCCAAGGCCATGCACATTAACGAACATACGAGACAAGCACTATCCCTAGCCTGCCGGCTTCACTGCCGACCAGGGATGGTCTGTCAGCAGCCTGACATGCCTGGTTATATGTCCTGAGCCCTTGCCACATCTTATCAATGGTCCTCTCAGTCTTCACTCGACTCTTCAATTCTCTCAATCCATCTTCTGCTTAGCCTTTGCCTGAGTCTGACCCACCTCTCACACAAGACTATCAAGGACTTCATCACCATGAAGCTCTACGAGAGGGTCAAGGACGATGTTAGAAACGACGTGAACTGGAACCGGGTGGCACGCGTTGGCGCCCGAGGAATCCGCGCTGCTCCGTCAGCAGCAGGAAACTATGTCATCGAGAAGGTCCCCATTGTTGGATGGCTACCTCGCTACAACTATCGATGGCTCCTGACAGATTTCGTGGCGGGATTGACTCTGTCGCTCATGTTGATTCCCCAGAGTCTCGCCTACGCCAAAATCGCCAAAATCCCCGTCCAGTACGGGCTGATGTCCTCGTGGTCACCAGCTGTCATTTACACGTTCATGGGCACATCCAAAGGTACGGTAGTCTCGTCGGCTGCGGTACCCCAGATCACCGGACTGACACTGCTGCAGATATGTCGACGGGACCAACTTCACTGATTGGGCTGCTCACATCAGATGTGGTTGACGACCTTGTGGAAGAGGGCTACTCGCCCGAAGCCATCTCCTCTGCGGTTGCCCTCTCGATGGGCATCTTCATGGCTGCCATGGGCTTTTTGAAGCTCGGTTTCCTCTTAGATTTCATCTCCTACCCTGTCCTCACGGGCTTCATTTCCGCTGTGGCCATCACCATCGGCCTCGGTCAGGTTGACAACCTCATCGGAGAAGACAATGTCGGAGACGGGACTGCAAACATCATCCACGACGTCTTCACCAATTTTGGAACCTGCAACGGTCGCGCAGCTGGTATGGGCATTGCCAGTGTCATCCTCTTGGTCTCACTGCAGAAAGCTGGTGAACGATGGGGTAGCAAGAACAGGGTGATTTGGTTCATGTCCATCACTCGCGCTTTTATTGCTCTTCTCCTGTTTACCGGTATCAGCTATGCTGTCAACAAGGGAAAGGACGAAGACAACTACCTGTTTGACGTCAGCAAAGTCCCCGCTACCCGCATCAATGCCCCCAAGCCCGTGGACGCAGCGCTCTTGAGCAAAGCTGCCGGTCGCAGTATCGCAGCCTTCCTCGGTGCTTCTATCGAGCATATTGCGATTGCCCGTGCGTTCGGTCTGAGGAACAACTATGTCACAGACCCCAGCCAGGAACTCTGCTACCTCGGTGTGACCAATATCTGGAACAGCTTCTTCACCTGCATGGGTGTGGGAGGAGCCATGTCTCGAACCGCCGTCAACTCGCAATGCCAGGTCAAGTCACCGCTTTCCGGCGTTGTCACCACCGGCGTGATTGTCCTCGCTCTCTACAAATGGACCGGTGCACTATACTGGGTGCCCAAGGCAACCCTCGCGGCCATCATCATCACTGCCATTTGGCCTTTGATCGGCAAACCGAGCACCTACTATCATTTCTGGAAGACCTCGCTCGCCGACTTCCTCGCCTCGATGATCGCCTTCTGGGTTTCGCTGTTCGTCAGCACGGAAATCGGAATTGCCACCGCTGTCGGATTCAACGTCGCCTACGTCTTGCTCCGTCAGGTTTTCATCCGCATCTCCACCGTCTCGGCAGACTCACGCTCGGAGCTGGCGGCCTCGTTGGACGCTGCACGAGGCATGCCACCGAATATCCCCGCGGACACACGGGTCTTCCGCTTCGAGGAATCCTTCTTCTTCCCCAATGTCCAACGCATCAAGCGAGCCATCCTGGATACTGTGCAAACATACCATTCTCCAGAGTACAACTCCCGCAACGGCGAGGAGGCCGAACGCAACTGGTCGGTTGAGGGGGAACGACGCATTGCTCGCCTGCGCAAGAAGGCCAACATCGAGGGGTCCAACCTACCTCCCATCGCCGTGGTCATTCTCGACTTTGCCAAAGTGAACTTCTTTGACACCAGCGCCGTTATCGGTCTCAAGAACTTCCTCGCTGAGCTGAGGCAGTATGCCGGCAAAGGTGTGGAAGTCCGGCTTGTCGCACTGAATGACATGGCGCGAGAACGGTTCGAACGCGCCGGCTGGACGCTGCTTGACGCTGATTCATCCATGGATACCTCGAAGCCAACCAATGTCCGAGTGTTCCGCAGTGTTGGTCAGGCAGTCCAAGCGTCCAGGGCCGCCTCGGAGATTGTCGAGGTGATTGTCAAGAACGATGCGAGCAGTGACGAGAACACCACGGTCACCCACCGTGAGAAGATGTGATACCCCTATGATGGTTTGATGTGAATTTGGAGTTGTCTTCCCAGCCCAAGACTAGGTGTTGACTTGCATGAGTGTATGATTGATGACCGCCTGGAAGGATGATGGGATGGGACGAGCGGCGTACAAGCATTGCGGGAGCAGGCCATCATGCCTGGCAGCAGAAGAGAAGCACCGTCGGAGCAGAACGGGCGACGAGCTTCTGTTATATGAAGTCTTGTGGATACGTCTTATCTATCAGCATATACCAATTTCGTTGACCGTTGACTCTGATCCACCTGCCATGCTCGAAAATGAAGTTCTGAACGTTTAGCCGGCGCCGTGAAATCGCCGCACCGCCAGCCTGACCCGATTTTTCCCACAGGCAGCGGTAAGTGACTAACGATAAGCCACTCATCGACATGTCCAGACCGTTGACCGCCAGGCTGAAATTGCATGTGGTACAACTCTCCGTGAGACATCTCGGACACGTGAAGCTCGGCGGAAGAACGTATTCGCGCTGCGTTCTAGCAATGGAATGGATCTCCTGTGGGTATCTTGCGTTATTCCGGCGGATCGTATGGCTCTTCCACGCCAGTACGGCTGATGACTCGCCCACTGAGCGCAGATGTGATGCTTGACCGCGACGGACGCGGCTGATTGTTTCTCATCAAACAAGACATGATATGACATGACATGATATGACATGACATGATATGACATGACATGACATGACATGATAATCTTATGATAATGACAATGATACCTAGGTATATACCACAATGTGCCTAGGTAACCTTGGAAATCACCAAATAAAAGCTTTTAGCACGACTGGGGACTACTCCCTCGATAATTATGACATGGGCATCGATCGACTCCCTCTCTCTTTGGCACATCAGAAACTTGAAGCTGCTAATCATCCTCGACGTTTGTACCATGGTCCACGCGATTGAGATTATCACTTTAGCACATCAGAAAGCTGATAATCTCAGCTGTTTGCGCCATGATCCACGCGATCGAGATTACCTGCTGTGCATTGGTTAAGAGGATTGACTGTATTCGCTGCACAGAGCGGCCGGCGGGGGGGAACAACAAAGCCGTGGTTCATTAGAGGATTCAAGGGTTGACTGTAGTAGTAGTACACTCTCTATCCTTGAAGTCGTTCAAATGAAGCTTGGCGCTCAACAATGTAAGAGTATGGTAGAAGCGGCGACACTCCTCCTCCCGCTTGCCAGGAAGTTTGCCAACCGTTTGCACGATGTTCCTTCGTGCTTCAGAGCATCCCGTATACTGTCTGTACGTGGCTGTATTGGCCGTGTAGAGCAATAGGGGACCACAAAGCGTTGTTTCATTTGACGTCCTCGACGTATCCCGGGCACAACCGTATGTAGTAGGACCAAACTGGGCGCTTTCGGCTCGAGGTTTCATCATCCAACTGTTGTGCTCAGCACTCGCCTCTTCTGCTGCCGCACTTTCTACGGCAACCGAATCGCGCCCCCCTCTGCTCTCCAGAACACCCAAACCAAGCCCAGCACGACCTTGACCCCGCCGGCGATCCACAGCGGATCAGCGATATCCCCTCCCTTGGTCAGCACGCCGCCGAGACCCGCACCGAGCACGAGCGCCACCGCGGAAACGAATCTTCGGTTGCGCTTCGGGTTCTGCGTCACCGGCGCGGTGAACAGCAGCGGATCGAACATCAAGTCGCAGTACGTGCTGGTCAGCACGATCGTGGGCAATTCGTTGTACAGCAGCATGCGGCTCATGACGATCTGCCCGGCGGACTGGAAGGAGAGCAACCCCAGCGGGAGGAGGACGATGTAGTTTCGTGGGAGCTGGTTGCCTGCGTCCTTGTGGACGACGCCGCTGACCACTAAAATCCCGGCGATGAAGCAGAGCAGGGCCTGGAAGATGAAGCTGCCGAATAAAGTGCCGCGGCGCAGGGGGCCAAGCAGGCGACACACCCGGCTGAAGAAGTAGGTGCCCAGGCAGAAGCTGAGGATGGCCGTGCCGGATTTGACCCAGCGGTAGGGTTGGCTTAGGGGTTGGCCGGACATGCCTAGGCCGACGTAGACGGTGTTGCCTTATCTTCACGTTACTAAAAACTTCCTTCTTCATTCTCGTGGGTGTTTGCGCCGCCGCGGACGGAATGGCATCGCCCTCGCGGGCTCGCTGGCCTCGCTCGCTCGATTAACTCACCTGTCTGCATGCTCACGAAACAACTCCACACATTAAACACGGCGCTGTCCACCAGGCCGGAAATGAAGCACGTGACGATGAGGATCAGGTCGGCGTATTCCTTGCTGGCGTCTTCGGCGAGGTGTTGGCGCCAGCGCGCCATTCGGCCGCGTCGTTTGGCCACCTCGAGAGAGTCGTCCATGCTGCTGTCGGAGTGGACGTCCGTCATGACTGCGGAGCGTGGCGTGGCAGTTGTATCTGCGAGTGCGGGTACCGCCCGGTGTTGCGTGCTTGACGGTGAGAAGTCGAAGAAGAGGCCGTCGATGTACAACAATGATCCCAGGCTTCAGCTGCAAATTCAGCTTCAAGAAAGAGATTCCGAAACGAGACCTGTCTTGCGGAGTGCTGGTGGTGCATCTCACGGGGTCTCACAGGATTGTGTCATTTATGAATGCGGAGCTACGAGCTCTGCGTGGTGTCCACGTCCGGAACGGGCTCCGTGAGCCGGACGAGTGGTGAGCGAGCGAGTCACCGAAGCCGAAGCCGAAGCCATCTCACACACGCGCACACGGCACGGGGTTAGCTTGGATTGGCCTTGGTTGGGCTGATTAGGGCAGGGCACAACGCTGGATCGCCAACTCAGGGTCCGTGCGGCTAAATTTTGAACAGCGGACAGCAGGTGTTCGCCGCAAGCCCACGAGGAAGGCCCTGGCCGTTGGGAGCCTGGCTACCCCCAACTCTGGGCATCCCCCTCGGCATCTGAAGCCCCAGCCCACGCGCATGTTTCTCCGCATGGGGATTCCACGAGATCTGCATGCGCGCCAATCTTGGATCTGCTGCAGCTAGCAAGGATGGGGGGGGGGGGGGGGGGGGGGGGGGGGGGGGTGCCCGTCATCTTGACGGCATGGCACGCATGGCCGCGTGAACGATTAGCCTGGGTGACTAGCAAACTGGTTACCTGACGATACCGGGGAAATCGTACGGAGTACTTGAGTATGAGTACATGAGTACAGAGCACACTGCCGAGGTATTACAAACTTGAAGACTCCCGCAGGAGTTGGTACACTCAAGAGGCTTGTTCAGTATATCTTTTGCGAGTCTGCAAAGCATAATTACAATGTAGAAGGACGCACTTTGCGGGCCATAACTCAGCGACTGCGAACCGGCGGATCATTGTTTTGCTTGACTTCATGGTAGGCACCTCGGTGAAAAGCGATATGCGATGATCTGATCTGGCATGAAATGGTCGGGACGCTACTGTACGCCATGCTCTTCAGAAACATTGACAGTCTCACTGTCTGCACCAGGAATGCGACGACGATGCCCTGCGGCCGAAAGCTAAACCACCGTCTGTCACTTCCCTGCCAAGCAGAGCAGATACAGTTCTCCTACCATCTAGGATTCGATCCACGGTCTACGGTCTATGCAGAACGGCCAAGGCAATCGTACACTTCACCTCGAACGCATGGCCACGCCTAGCTACTGTACCCAGTAAATAGCTGCACTGATTCGAGAAGAGAGTATCGACAGCCAAGCCTATACCTTGGCCCTACCGAGTACTTTGCGTGCACTCTGCTTGACGCTCGCCATATGCGCAGGCAGATGGACGCTGGACACCCCAGACCGGAGACCAGACATTGTATAAGCATTCCCCCAATTCCCCAGTTCTTGTCTGCTTGGATGCTGGGATGCTTGCGGCCCCAGATCCGTGAGTTAATTAGACTCTCACTCTGCACCGCCCACGCGCAAGGAAACGAGCACACCCTTCGCACGCAGAATAGAGTGGACACGGTATGCAGTTATGGACAATGTAGTAGGCAATACGAGTGCTTGGCACTGCATTGTCCATCAGTCCGCCCAGCACCCCAGCGGAGTGGAAGCGTGCAATGTCCCACACGGAGTATCAGTGGCGATCCACTTGGATAAATGATGAACCGCCATACTCGGCCCAACCCACAAGCAGTGCAGCAGTGCAAGTAGGGCCCAGCTATCACTTCAGACAGTACGAATAGCTAGATTTTCGTGGCTGGGCAACAAGACACTTTGAATTGTCTTGTTATTTTCGACATAGTTCGTGCCTTGGCTAATTACTTACTGTTTACTGCCCACCTGGCTCCCTTACTGCCTCGTGCTCACGGCTCACTACTCTCTGGGGCGTGTGCGCCAACAGGCTTCGCGTAGAGAGGCCGAACCAGAACAAATGCAAAAGGTAGGGGAATTGCTCACGACTCCTTCGCGGCGAGGACACCAGGTAATGCCGCCCTCTAGTCCACCCCAACCCGCGCAAGACCTTTGTTCCCCGGTGTTCAATGAGGCTGATGTGACTGCCTCGGCCAATCTTGACCTCTCCAACAGTTCCCGCTGAGCTAGCAGAGAACCCGGGATGGGTTGCAACTGTCGACATGATGCACGATACGCGCGAAGACGAAGGGGCATTATTCCCGGACCGAGCTGCGACGACAGCCTTCATTTCAGGGATAAACTTGTGCACTCCAATGGACAGGAGTGGCTAGGTGCGGCGAAGATATCCCTCCGCGGTCAATGCCATTCAAAACGTCAAACAGCCCGAGGTGCGGTTTTCGAAGTGGAGTGGACGAAGCATCGGTAAGTGGATTGGCAAGCCTGCTCGGCCTGGCGAGCATGGCAAGGAGACGACTCAAATTGGTGATGGCGATTGGTGACTCGAGTGCGAACGAAGAAGGCGGTTATGCCTTATGAGCATCGGATTGGGGCTTGATGAGGACATTAACGGAAGCGAGAATGAATGCCGGCCCAAAGGCTGGATTACTTAGGGAGCGCACAGCCGGAGTGGCGGCGAACGTCTGCAGGTACGAGTACAGTTAGAGATGCCGCCGTCGCCAAGTATCGCGGACGAAACGCCGAAGTAAGGCATTGTTTCCTCTAAGACATGAGTACTCCGTTCTGTGTGGTCGTCTCTTCAGTCATTCACGGGATGGTCCTCCATCAGATCGTTCTCCATGTACAATTCATCACCCTGCCTGCCTGCCTGCTTGTCTCAGTCCGCCCACTATATTGCGCCAGTATACAGTACGGCACGGTCCTCAGCCTCTCCCGTTGCAAACAGAGACGCAGTACGGACAAAAGCATCATTCATTCCATCAATAGCACTCTGTAGGTGTCCTGTATGCTCTAAGCTGCAGCACTCGCCCCGGCACCCCGCCCTTGGGCTCTCGTTCGCTGCCTCTCCGGTCTTTTCAATGTATATCTGCATCGTATGTTAGTCGTGTCGTGGAAAAAGAGAGATGCCCACTGAGCAGCAAATCCAGTGACTCACTTTGCAAATGCTCTCGCCAGAGCCTTCTTACAACTCAACTTCTGGCTCCCGACAAACGAGTCCACCGTCACGGCAATGGCGCGGTCAATGTCCTGCGAGGAGCAGAAATCCGACAGCCGCATCTTGCAGAACGCCTCGGCGATGCGCATTATTGCCTCGAGATGGCGGACCTGTTGGCGGTATTATTGTCAGCATGGCCGACGGAGAAGGGCTTCTCATCAGAATGGATATACCAGAGGTCGAGTAGGGCAGTGGAAAGCGATATACACGACTCACCGTAATGGGATACGCCCCTGTGACCAACGACTCTCGCCTCATATCGGCAAATAATCTTGCGACTTTGTCCTGGTCGATCTGGTATAGCTTGGGCCGGCACTTCTCTCGTGCGTATAGGATGTATTTCCTCAGTAACTCCTGAGGAATGGCGCCCTCTTGCTGCGGCTGGTCGTCGTTCTTGGCCACGTTCTGCGTCTCGGGATCGTCTCGCATGGGCACGGTATTCCCTTCCTCGTCTGTTTCAATCTTCGCGGGATGGGCGCGCCCGTGGCTGTTGACCACGAAATTCGCGAGCCGCTCGTCCTCGGCGGGATCGACCGTGTCCCTCACCACGCACAGGATGTCAAACCTCGAGAGAATCGGCTCGGTGAGTTCCACGTTCTGACTGAACGGGACGGTCCCGTTATAGCGGCCTCCCTTGGGATTGGCGGCCGCCACGATCGCACACCTCGCCTGCAGGGTGGTGACGATGCCGGCCTTGGAAATGGATATGGTTTGCTGTTCCATCGCCTCGTGAATACTCGTGCGGTCTGCGTCATTCATCTTGTCGAACTCGTCAATCAAGCAGGTTCCCCTGTCTGCGAGGACAAGAGCCCCGCCTTCGAGTCCCCATTCTTGCGTCAAGGGATCTTTGCGCACAGATGCCGTCAAACCAACTGCCGATGCGCCCTGGCCAGTCGCGAAGACGGCACGGTGCGCCGTCTTCTCAATATACTTTAGGACCTGTGATTTGGCGGTTCCTGGGTCACCGAGGAGGAGGACATTAATGTCGCCGCGGATTTTGTGCTTCCCTTGTGCTTCTTTGCTGACGCCGCCGAAGAGGGAAAGCGCCGCTGCGGTCTTCACGTCTCTGTGGCCGTAGATGGACGGGGCGATCGAGTCGACGATCTTGTCCACAATATTGGGATCCTTGGAGAGCGCGCGGATCTGCCGTTCGTCCTCTTCTGTGAGTCGGAAGCCGGCCAGTTGGTCGTGCGTTTTGACCACATGGTTCGCTTCTAGCATTGTCGCAAAAACGGGGAATCCGTTCTTATTGTTGAGCTGCCCGCTGTAGTTGTTGCGGTAGATGGCCGTGACATCGACTTCCTCACCGGGCTTGGCCTTGTCGATCAGATCAGCCAGGAGGATGACTTCTCGGTGGCGCGGCAGCCGACCCGCAGGCACTGTCCCGGGAGATTCCTGCAGCGTCAGTTTCTGGTAGTTTCGATACACAGTTTTGTCGGTGCTCAGGGTGAAGGGCCCTCGGGACTGGCAGGCTTGGCAGAAGGTCAGTTTCACCTCGGCGGACGTGGATTCTTGAGCGAAGGGGCCAAGCGTGACGCCGCACTTCTGGCACCGGAATTTGACCATCTGGAGCTGCGGAAAGACACCAGTGCGGCGGGTGACGACACCCGACACGCGGACCAGGCAATTGAGGTGCGACTGGCGCAATTGTCTCAGCGTGTACTGGACTGGGAGATCGGAGATGCGGACATGGATCTCAGGGTGTATAAGCTCGTAGTTTGGGTAGTGCAGGCGGACGACCTCGAAGGCGGCCTTGTCAAAAATCTTGAGCATTTCCGAGGGTGCGTTGGCCAGGAAGTAAGCCAAGATGGCCTTTGTCGAAGCCAGATGGTCGTACGAGACCTCGAGAGACTCGGAGTTGACCTCGCCCAAGGTGCGGATCCGGGTGCCGTAGACGGACGTCCCGTTTGCATCGATGTATTCCGTCAGGAAAGATTTGAACTCGCGGGCGATCGTCTTCATCACAGAAGGCACGGTCACCCATTCGGTGATGTTCGAGGCCTTGACGTCCTGCAACGTCTCCAAGGACAATTCTTCTTCCATGATGTTTTCATCGATATCCATGTCGTCCTGGTCCTCGTCATAGTGATGTCGTCGTCTGCGAGGCTGTCTAGTCAAATCGATGCCTGCATCGTCGTCGTCATCCGGCATAAATGCAGCGGGCATGCGACGTCGACGAGCCAGCTCGCGATCGCGTTTGTTAAGTCTTGCCTCCAATTGTCGGCGGGAAGCGAGGTCAAGGTCGTCGTAATCGCCTTCATCGTCAATCATACGGCCTTGGTATGTTTCTTGCTCGCGTCGTTCACGCTCGTCGTTCATGAAATTGTCACCGAACAAGTCGATGCCGTCCTCGTCCTCTGCCATCTCGTCTGCATCATCAATGTCTCCGATGAGGTCGTCTTCTGGATCCAAGTCGTCATCAAGGTCATCCTCGTTCTCATTCGTGGGTAGTAAAGGGGGCGATGAAGGTATCGCTACGGTCAGTGCAGTCAGTATTGCATCCGCTTTACGACACTAGACTTCTATTCATGGATAGTGGCTTACCCGCGGGCGACGATGACATGATGTCGTCCTCATCTTCATCGCGAGCCCTCTTGCGCCTGGCCGCGTTGCTGGGGCCTCTGTTTGCCGCGGACATGCTAGGCCGAAGGGGTGAACTTTGAGATGTTGGTCAGCGTCGATGGTCGCCAACTAGCAGGGAGCCGAGTATAGCGATTGCGTATGCATACCTCATGATGTTACTTCGATCTCAGCTGGTCGTGTAGATTGTACAGCTTTGGTGAGAGCAAAGTGAGTTGAGCGCAAAGGCGGGTGTCAGAGAACGCGTAAAGTGGAACGCGTCGAACAACACGCCAATCCAAATTAGGAAATAGGAAGACTAGAGAGTCGGACTCCAGTCGTACTGTGTACAGCCGTGAGCGAGATGTTAGGATCCACAAGCGACATTTACAATCGACTTTTCCATCTCTCCCGACTCTTTCTTGCTCGGGGTCTTTATTCTCATCAACCGCAACGATGGAGGCGATCCCTGAGAACGAAGAAGTCAAGGTGTCTGCTCCCCGAGACTCTCAAACCGCATCGGAGTTCATCGACCAGCAACTGGCCCTTGAGGCTGATGCGCGAGAAGTCCTACCATATGTAAGCCTCGCCATTTCACATGTTCATCCAGCCACGGTCTCATCTAATACTGGGCAGAAATTTGACAAGTGCACCAATATCCTTGGACCCCTCCGACAGAACATCTTCGCCTGCCTTACGTGCTCTCCTCCGCCCGCGTCAGAAGCCCAAGTGTACACACCAGCGGGAGTCTGCTATGCTTGCTCCATCTCCTGCCACGGCGAACACACTCTGGTCGAACTCTTCTCCCGGCGTGACTTTGTCTGCGATTGTGGTACCAGCAGGCTTCCTTCAACGTCACCTTGCACCTTACGGTCCGATCCTGCAACCGGAAGCCGAGGTGTTCATTCGCAAGAGCCGCATAAAGGGAACCATTACAATCACAATTTTCAGAATCGGTTCTGCGCTTGTGCAGAGGAGTATGACGCCAATACGGAGAAGGGGACGATGTATCAGTGTTTGGGGCTGGGGACAGTTGAAACGGGTGGATGTGGCGAGGATTGGTACCACCCGGAATGTCTGATGGGTCTACCAAGGCACTGGTATAAGCAGCAAGAACCGGAAGCGAGAAACGACGGTGTGGAAAAGAAACTTAAGGATGCAGAGTGTGAAGAGAAGGACGAGGCCTCGCACCCAGTTCCCCAAGGGTTTCCGGACGAAGACGATTTCGAGGCCATGATATGCTACAAATGTGTCGAGTCGAATCCATGGATCAAGAAGTACGCGGGTACGGCAGGCTTCCTGCCGCCTGTCTCTAATCGTGAGAAATCGGCGGTCACCGGGGCAGCAACGGCTGAGCCTGTTCCAGCAGACCCCAGTGTCACCAATTCCCTGAAGCGCAAAGCATCGGCCGATGGCAACGACATCCGACCATCGAGTCCGACGAAGCGCGTTAAGGACGACAGTGCCACAGCATCACACGACGCAAATATCCCGTCAGGACTTGCTCGACCGTCTCCAACCAATGGCGCCTCTGTTGCAGATATTCCCCCGACGACTGCCAAACCCGCGGAAACCGACTCAAAACCACAACACAAACACGACCTCCTTCCCTCCTCTCCACCCGCCGGCAGATTTAGTCTCTTCCTGAAGGCCGATTTTCGCGATCACCTCTGTCACTGCCCCTCATGTTACCCGAACCTCATCCCACACCCTCAACTCCTCGAAGACGAAGACACATACGAGCCTTCTATCTCCTCGGACGGATCCTCACAGCATCACCCCAACGGCACGCACGGTGGCTCCTCGCGCGCCTCCCTGCTCGACCGTGGTGAAGCTGCGCTCAGCAATATCGACCGCGTCCGCGCAATCGAGGGCGTCATGGTCTACAACCACCTCCGCGACAAAGTCAAAGAATTCCTCAAGCCATACGCCGAAGAAGGGCGCGTCGTCAGCGCGGACGATATCAAAGCTTACTTTGAGAAGCTGAGGGGTGATTCCCAGGCGATCAAAGAGGCAAGGGACGATGCAGGAGGTGGCGATGGGGGAGAAGGAGATAATAGGAGAGAGCAGAGTGGGTATTGATTGGATCACCCGAGGCGCCTGAGAATGGGACCTCGACTTTGGAAATGTACGAGTACCATTCATTGGACTTGCATGTGGGTGAGGATCCCTACTGGACTTCTGTACCCCCCCAGGTGGCCTAGCTGCCATTGGTTACAAAGCAACATCCAGCCTGAGCCGATCGAGACCTTATCCAGAGTATGAAACATCGTCTTTGACTGCCTTTCTTCACGCCCGCGCGAGGTCTTTCTCTCTTCCTCCTCGTATTCTATCAGTCACGACCATGCCATTGTTGTCCGTGGCTGACGGAGTTGATCCTGCAAGGTACGCAAATGGGAGATCCTTTGGTCCAAGCACTCCGTAACTATCCTTGTTGGCTTATCCGGGTCAGAGATGCTCCGGTTTTCGACGTTACTTGGCCGACTGACGCTTCCGGGACCTGGTTCGACTAGATTAAGGTGTCTTATTTACTGGCCGTGCGTGTGATAGAGTTCCTGCCCAAAGTCAACCCCAGCGGAACTTGGAGCGGATCTTGACCTGGAAATCCACTTCACGCCGGTGATCAGTCTCTACTGCATGGTCTATTATCCTAACGGAGCAACCCTCCGAATCATCCCGACCGTCGTAAAGGCACCGGTACATCTGTATCCTTCCGCCTGCAACCCCGATCATAACTTCGCCTGTTTACTCACCCACGGCTCCCCCACCAGCTCCAACCCAGTCAACCGCTCGAGTTCTCTGACCGCGTCCTTGGTCTTTCCTAGTACGACCCTGACGGTCCGAATGCCCAACGACTTTGCGGTCTTCAAGTTCTCCCCGATATCGTCAAAAAACACGACATCCTCGGCCATGATATCCTGCCCCCACCGCTCGCGGATCAGTCTCAACGTATACTCGTAGATATCGCGGTTCGGCTTCCTCATGCCGACATGTGCACTCGACACAAAGATGTCAAACACGGCCTTGACGTCCTCCGGCCCGGGCTCGTTGAACGCATGGCCCTCCGGAAACACGGTCGTGTTGGACAAGGCCGCCAGCGGCCAGCCGTGGCGCTTGAGTTTCAGCAGCGCAGGATACATCCAGGGGTCCGGGTTGCGCGAATACCGCATCATGTTCCAGTACAGGGTCTCGGCGTCGATGGGCGGCACGGGCGGCGGATCAGAGACATTCAGTTTTTCGGCGTGGAACTTGGCCCACAGGTCCGGGCGTTCCAGGTCCGCTTTGAAGAGGCGGAAGTAGGTCGCGTCGTTGGGGATCTCGCCGCGCTCGAGCTTGTGCCAGGCGCCGTTGGGCGTCAGGGCGCGGATGCTGTAGTTGATGTAGCCCTTGGGGATGCCGTTCTGGATCTCGTAGTCCAGGATTGCTTGGAAGGGGGAAACTACCTTGTGGGGGTTAGCTGTTGTTTATCTCGTGTTTGGATTTATATTTAGATTTATGTTGGTATTTCTGGTTGCTTTTACTCCGTTTGGCACGGAAGAGGTGGCTACTTACACAAACGCCGCCAATGTCGAACAAGAGCACTTTGGGCCGGGACTGTACTGAAGCCATTGTGAGATGGGTAGCCGAGGAGTCGGCCACAAAGTATCAATTGATTGAGGGTTGAGAATTGTAGATTTATCGGACTATTTTAGGTCCTATCATAACCACGACATTTTCATCTTGAATCTTGAGCCATGCGAGAGGATGGAAATAGTAGAGAAGAACTACAGTAACTGTCTCCAGCAGTTTGTCGAGGCATGGATCTGCTTCCAGATTTGAGCCGAGGCTGTAAGTCGCTTTTCTGGCCGGAAGTCACCAATCGGTTAAATGCGCCGGAGTAGTTAGTTGCTGACTCTCTTCTATTCGGCAGAGTATTTAGTCCACTATATTCACTATCGTCTCATGTTCCCACCTACGCAAAAGGTCCGATCTATCGCTGTCCATGCGGCTGCAGATCTCTAAGCCGTCCAGGTCTTGGGACCGTTTACATTGATGCAACAGGAGCACCAGGGCGACTGGACCAGGGTATATTTTATGTTCAACGGCAGAACTGCCAGGGATCGGAGCCTTGTGCGCTGACTCGTCCCCAACGCGTCTCAAACGGAGGTATAGAACTCGAGATCGGGTGTGATACAGGTCGCAGATTATGAGAACTAAGGCGGAGGGTACGAGGACGTGATGCGCTCCAACTTTGTGAGTTTTAAACCCTTCGGCTCCATACAAGTGGGCTCCTCGAGGAGGTATCGCGGTCGAGGAGCACCAGCTAGAGTGAGATGCGCAATCCTCATTTTCTTCGCCTTGCCCGTATAGTAGGACGCACCACAGTTTTCGTAGCAGCGGCAGCCGAGCCAGGCGTCTCTCTGTAGACCAGGCCGCTCATATCGAAACCGTGTCGTATAGACACCATTAATAGCAGATACACGGTGGTTAGTCAGAGGCGATGCATAGACTTGGAATCCACGAGCAAGAGCATGGGGCGTGTCAACGTCAGCTCTGAAAGGATACACCAGAAGGGCGCTGACATAGATCACTCCGGATTCGAGGATTGTTCGTGTCACTTTTTTGGTGATATCAGTCCATACAGCCGCCAGGTATCACACTGTAACAGATGTAGTGCCGGGTTCCGTGCATTGGCAGGATGAAGGTCAGATTGGCGGAAAGCTAACGTGAACAGAGGAAGTTCAATAGTCGTCTGAGTTTAATAGCGACAAAATCAGGTCCAGGTGATAGTCAACATTGGGAGCTTGGGAGGGCATCAGCCCGGTCTCTGCCATGAACAAGATTGTCTCTTGTGGTACCTTAACTGAATGAGCTACTCATCCTTGCAAAAGAACGCTGACATGAGGAGAAGTTGTAGTTGTGGAAGGAAGGTCGATGGCTGGTCAACGTGTGGCGAGTGCAGTTACTTGGCCTCCACTCGCTCCAAGTACCTGCCTTCCCCGGAGTATATTTCTTCCGTTGCCGAGTCTGGCACCACCACATGAAAGATACCTCACTTTGTTCCCACTTCGTTCGCACTGACATGCCTGCTCGCGATGTAATCCGTGTGGCTCTTCTGGGGATCCACATTGAAAATGCACATGGCTTAGAAGGGTCCCAGGTATCGCGGGCTATTGTCCTGGGTGTCAATCGATGCCTACCTAGTGCACAGCTACTAATTGCAAGCTCTATCCTCGACATTGGGGAGACCCTACCAACTCTTCGGCACGTTCTCGATTTTAATCCTCACTCAGTCATCATTACTTGCAGGGCACGGACCCCGGCTTGATCTAGTTCCTGTCGTTCCGCACCAGACCTTCGACTGGCTCCACCCACGCGACCTTTTCTACACAAATTGTTCGAGCTGCGGCTTCAGTCAATCCGACACCAGCTCGAACTAGTCCACGGCACCCAATTCCAGAACGTGTGTGCTGGAAAGCCACTCGAAAACCGATACAGCAGGCAGCTGCAAGCCTTGCAAAAGGAGCTGTCCATCTGGTCTCCGCTCGCCATGCCTGTTGTGCGCTCATGCTTTGAGGTCTCCTTGACCGTGAACGTGTTTGAGAGTGTCGTCTTTCCGCAAAGCCTTGTCAGTCATTCATGTGGTATCCTATCACAACCTAGCGGGGGAGTAAGTACGTGTGCTCGTGGCCGACTTACATTTGACAAGGTCACTGGCAAAGACACAGAACGTGATCTTGCGATCATCCGTGCAATGGCAGATGAAATGTCACGTGTTAGGCGCTGGTACACCGACTCGACGTATGCCGCTGACACCGGTAATGAAGTTGTCGCCCTCAATCGAGTACTCGATAAGGACGGCCCCGCAGTAGCATGATGATGTGACTCTGGAGAGGTTTCTCATGATTGTTTCAATTTTGCCATCCTCCCTGGATCTGAGTCTTGTCGCTTTTCTTCGGTCCGAGCCCAGTGCTATGCTCTGTCACTTGGGAATGGGCAAACAACGGCAGCAGTGACGGTCGTAGACGTCTCTGCTGCACCAGCTTCGGCGACTCAAGTCCAACATTTCGACTCGAGTGGCATAGGTTTAGATAAAAACGCCCAAAGCATAGCTATTCATTGACCAAGCGACTACTCAACCGGTTCTCTGACCGAATGTTCCAGGCCTGACTGATTCTCCGGACTGTGCTTTGCTTTGGTCAGAGCCGAATGGCGTGGCCTTGGCTGGGGACGTGTGGGATATTGGCCAATGTGGGGATGAACGTCCTTGTTGCGTTCAGATGTAATTACTCCGTAGAAATTTCGTAAATGAGCTTCGCGGCGGTCGGACCGTAGGATTTCTGTTGTACATAGCTTGTGTGAGCGTGGTGTTATCGATTCCGGCTCCCGAATCTTACTGTATTTTGTCGTTCGCTTGCATTGCGGGCTGGAGACGCACGTGGGAAGTGCAGCCCTGCCACTTGTTTAGCTGTGCATTCTGTGCCCGTGCTGGGAGAATAAAGTTTTCTGGGGGAAGCCGCGCTCCTTGAGGGAGTAGCAGAGTGATCGCCAACCAAGACATTTCTGAAGTGCATAACTTGTGTAACTTAACGCGCGTCTATGCCCAGTCGGAGAGACACCGATATATCCCCAGTGAATCAGCCAGGCCTCACTGCCAACCAGATGCAAAGTCAAAATAACGCCCCGGAGGCTCTTGTGGGGTTCCCCGCGTTCAATGGTTGAGTCGCAGATTGTGGGAACGAATGAAGAGCAGCGCCAAAAGGCTGAGTGTTCAGCCTAGGCTCCTCGGATCCGAGGAAGGTTTTCACCTTACCTTCACTCAGACTTCGGCTTTCACTGGCGCAACAATCAAGAAATTCAGGTCATTACAGCCATCGGATGCTGCAACTTCGGGCCACTTGCAGGCCAGGACTAATGATAGCTTTCCGACTGACAGCTTGTGTCTCGCAAGGCGTCCCTCATTCGCAGCTCATTTGCTGTGGCTGGCCTGACGTCCCACGAAGCCATGACAAACCTTGCCAGCGTCCCACCATCATCTGTCTAACAAGACGATATCGACCATTACCCCCGCATACAGTGGGAAGGCTTAGCCTATCACAGCTACCCCAGGCTATGCAAACAAAGGTCTTAGGCTTCGCTTGCGACGCGGTATTATCGGTCTTTGCGATGCTCTTGCATACATACAAAGTCCCCTCTCGTCCTCTACAAATCGTGGTGTGACTGCCGCGAGAGCTACAGTCTCCATTGACTTCCTGTGCCGACACCGACTAACATGGCTTCCAACACTATATCGGACGCGCCGGTCGAGAAGGGAGCGCACTCCCATGGATCAGATTTCGTATCTATCGAAGAGAAAAGAGGAGCGTCAAGTGACAAGCAGATTGAGGACGTCGACACAGTCGACGGCAACCTGCATTACGATGAAGTGGACGAGGAGCCCGAACTCCATATGCGAACCTATGTGGCCCTGTTTTCCATGTTTCTGTTGAACATGGTCCAGGTTGTCGCTCTACAGGGGCCTCCTGCTGTGGTATGTGTGCCAACACGAAATGAGTTCATGCGACTACATTTGAATTAACGAGCCCTTCTGGTATATAGCTCGACTGGATCGGTGAAAGCCTCGAAAACCCACAGACGCAAACCTGGGTCCCCAATTCTTTGTCACTCGTACAGGCGGTGCTCGGCCCCGTCATCTCGTTGGCCTCCGACACCTTCCAAGCTCGAAAAAGCATTCTCGTCGGCTCATGTCTCACGTCACTGGTTGGAGCCGCCATCGCCCCAGGTTCTCACGGCATGGGTCGCCTGATTGCGGCCCAAACATTGATCGGCTTTGGCTTTGCAGCTGTACCGCTCGCCTATTGCGTGCCGAGCGAGATTTTGCCCCGGAAATGGAGGCCGAGTAAGTGCACCGAGCACAATACAGTCGCTTATGACAATATGACTCACGAATACTGCAGTGGCGCAAGCTTTCATGAACGTGGCCGCGGCTCTAGGTGCCATTACCGGCCCCATGGCAATTGGTGCTCTGACCAAACGTGATCCAGTGAATGGATGGCGAGACTTCTACGTATGTCAAAAGCACACAGCAGGATTTTATGCTGGACAGAGGGCTGACAAGAAACGTCCAAATAGTGGATCCAAACCGCCTTCTGGGGAGCCACGGCTGCCGGTATCTTCGTGGGCTACAGACCGCCCAAGCGACACACCCGCCTGGATCACCTTTCGGTCTGGCAGAAGTTGGGGCATTGTGACATCCCAGGCTGCTCCCTGCTCACCGTGGGACTGTCACTGTTCCTGACGGGTCTCAACCTGGGCGGAAACCTGTACCCCTGGACGAACTCGCGCACCCTCGCCACTCTGATCATCGGACTCGTCGTCCTGATAATCTTCGGTCTCTACGAGTGGAAGGGTACCAAGATGGGTATAATGAACCACGAACTCTTCCGTGGCGGTAAGGCGCAAGGTCGAACATTCGCCATCTGCGTGGGCCTGATCTTCATCGAGGGCATCATGCTCTTCTCGTATATTGTGTTTTATCCAGTCCTGTAAGTTTTCGCCACCATTTGCGCAGTACATCTCTAACCCATCCATATCAGGACAACCTCCCTCTTTGAAACGGATCCATTGTTGCTCGTGTCTCGCGAAATGCCATACTGGGTCGTCGGCGGCGCCTCGACCATCATTTGGGGCTACGCAAGCACCAGGTTCCGCACCATTCGCGAGCCCCTGTTCGTCGGCTATCTCATCTTCACGGGCGCCATCATCGGCTTTGCCTGTATCCAGCCGGATGACTCCACGACAACTTGCATCCTGAGCGGCCTCGCGGGACTCGGTTTCGGTGCCCCCTTGATTCTGATCATCACCGGCGTCCAGCTGTCGACGCCACACAGCCTGATCGCCACAGCCACAGCGGTGACGACCTCTTCGCGAGCAGTCGCCGCGACCGTCTTCACGGCCATCTATGCCGCGGCCCTGAACGACAGGATCGCCGCCAATATCCCCAGCGGAGTGGGCGGAGCTGCTGCCGGAGCTGGTCTCCCGGCCGCTTCGATCCCAGCCTTTGTGCAAGCCCTCGCGGGCAACCAACCTGACGCTTTGAGCAGCATTCCGGGCGTGACTCCGGCGATCATTGCCGTTGGCGTGACGGCCTTGAAACAAGCATTGGCGGACTCGATCCGCGTGGTGTACATCATCGCTGCACCGTTCGGCGCGTTGGCGTGCGTCATGTGCTTGTTCATTGGGGATCTGCGCAAGACGATGAATTACGTCGTCGAGGCGCCCGTCGAGGAGCTGCACGCGAAGAAACATCATAGGGAACAGACTGCGTGATGTGGTTGGGAGATAGCGCAAGGACAGAGGCAGCCGACGAGGCGTCACGGCGACGCGTAGTGGCCCTCGTCCCATGAGAGCTGATCTCTGTACCCGATATTCGCTCAGTTCAACTAGTTAGCCATCTCGCTGCCAGCGCTCCAATAAAGTAGTTGATCTTGCCTACGACTTGCATTGTAGAGTACGTGTGTGATAACGAGTGGTACAGGGGTTCAAAAGGGCAGACGAAGCCGGGCTCCGGCCCAGGGATTCGTACTTCGACTGGCATCGCATGGCGTCGCACCGCGAAGGATGGAATCAAGTGGCAGTACAAGATGTGTGCGCACCTTCACGACGGGACCTTGTCCCGCGCCGCCGTGGACACGTAGGTTGCAAGTAAGCTCACGGTATACAGTGTGCTAATATATGCGGCGGCCATGCTAACGCAGGCTGTGCATTCATAAACAACTATCCCATCGTACTCCGAACCATATATCTTCAAGACGTTGTGCCGTGCCCTGGACACGTAGAATGGAAGCAAGCTTGCGTATCCTAATGCGCCACGCGGCACCCTGATACATAAGCCATGCATTCACAACCATAAGGGGAACTATCCCATCGTACTCCGAATTATATCGTCCCAGCCTGCAGGATTCCAGGCCTGGATGGTCCTTTATTCGAATCTAAGGCCCCCGTCCCTTTTCAACAACCCACCGCCTCACCCGCTCTTTATACCTCGTTGCCCTTCGATCGCGAACGTGTGTCTGCATTTGCGTCTGCACGACGGCAGAAGACCGCCTCGACGGCCTACTCCCGGAACAGGTCAAAAACTCTTTACATTCCGCCCAGCTCGTGGTGGTGTAGATGACGAAATTGCCGAAACCGTGCAGTGGCATGCAGGCCGCCGAGGTCAAGTAGAGGCCGTAGATCTGGTCGTCGGGGGCGATGAAGTTGTTGTACACTCTGTTTATGGAGATGGGGACCTACATAGAGTGCGGGCGCTGCGTGTTAGTGGGATGGATGAAATAGGTATACAGCAGATACAGCAATTGGCCAGCTGGCTTGCGGACAAGCAGCAAACAGAGCAAACAAAGAATCAATGAGGCTAAGTGCATCATGTAGTATGTAGACGTACCCAGGTGATGAACAGCACGATGGTGCATAGAAAGGCGAATTTCGCGTATTTCCAATGGATCGTGTCGAAGCGGGAGGATGATCGTCGAGAGGGAGGAAACTGAAACTGTTCACTGGGCCGGAGCATCGCTTGGTCGGAAGGTGAGCGGTCGAGCGTGACGGTGGGGGAGACGGGCGACCAGGGCGCAGAGAACGAAGGGGAGCGCTCTGATGTGGATGAGTCGGGATCCTGTTTCTGGTCGTGCTCCTGTGAATCGTGTCCGGCGTGGGACTCCAAGTCGAGCGGCGCTTCGTGCGAGTGGATTGGGGCAAGTGGTTCGAGGCCTTTGAGTTCGGCGGAGGTGGATGCGTCATATTGATTAGTGCTAGTGGTAGTGGTGGCTGCAACCGCCGCCGCCGTTGGCCCCCAGTTCTGTGTCCTGGTCGGCGCGACAAAGGCTCGCGTGATGCTCGAGAACCGGCGCTCTCGTGGCGGAGGAAAGCCGTCTGGCCCGAGAGCAGGCGGGTCTTCTCGATGCAAGCCGGAGTTGGCTTTGGCGGTTTTGACCTTTTTGCGGACGAGGAGGATCTGTTTCCCACTCAGAGAGAAAAGAAAGATAGCGGTCAGGATGAAGCACCTATGTTGAACTCAAGTCAGACGCCAGATCCCATCGAGGCAGGCCGCCTATCGCTATGCTTCCACGACTCACCAGATTGGCACATAGAATGACCACAGGCGGAGAATGTCTTTCTCCCGGCCGATCCAACACCACATTGTCGCCGGCCCATACAAGGTCTTTCCATCGGGCCTCCAGCACAAGAAAACCAAAGCCGGAATCGCCGGCAAAACAAACGCGAGTAGCACCGCATAAAGGTCGATCTTTTTCAACTCCGTCGCTTTTCTCTTCGTCCGAACCGTAAGAAGCACATTAAACGCCATGATCATAACCTGGAGAACTCCGTCAGTATAGGTGGAAGCCACCTTCATTTTGAACATTTGGGCAATCGTACCAACAACGGATCCGTCATCACAAACCATTGTATAAAAAACCCTTGCGTTTGACACCAAGCAGAACTCCTGCCAGCTCTAATAGGGTACTGGCCCCAGCTATATGCAAGGCAACCGAAGATGTTGGCGATGGCGATGGAAAAGGCGAGTCGGTTGACCGGCTTTTGCAGCGGCGGGTAGCTGAGGAAGCTGATTATAGTGAACGACGAGCCCGATAGAGACAGACATGACGATACTCTGGCAGCGATGTCGAGGGCTTGGTACTGGTCGTGTGAGAACGTTTGATTGTACCCGGACATGATCGTCTCCACATTTTCGATGGATGGGTTAGAGCGTTGGCTCGACGTTATCGGGTGGCAGTACGGCCGGCGGCAGCAGCTGTGCTCGGTGTCAGAGGCATCGAGCCGCCATATGCGCAACGCGCTTACTGTAAGTCGACCAGTATCTACTTTTCTGTCGCTAGTCGGAGACCAAGGTAGTTGGGTTGAAGCGGCCAAGGCGTAAGGATAGAAAACAAAAGGAAGAAATGCCTACATGATCAAATTGGTCCAGCTGAGGTCCAAGGGACTTTGCCGAGATAGGAACCTGAAGGAGTAAGCCAGTGGGTGGTGCTGAGAAGCCCGTCAAAATGTGGGGGGTGAAGCCAACGATGTTGTCAGAAATTGGTAGCGAGCCTCGGAAGCGTGAAGGCGGGGGGGATCGACTTGCTTTGATGGGCTCGATGGGTCGCTCGGGCGACGTGCCCCGGAGCCTGACCATGGGGGATCACATCGGGGGATTATGCACGGGATACCCCTTAACGACTGGGGTTGATGCCATGACCAGTGCGTGGGCCAAGTGCGCTAGAGACACCCAGGCGACTTGGTACGCAATGGTGCGTATGCAACCCGTGTAGGCCGTCTTTATCAGCACACGGAATAGCTACTATGAAAAGCGTCAGTCAAATAATTGCTGCAGTGGTTGATCGCAGAGTAACAGCCGATTTCGAGTTCTAAAGAATGACACAGTAAGGGGAGAGAAACACGAGATTTCGGAGGCTGGAGCCATCAGTCAACGGGCCCAAACTGACGACATCAACCTCCGAACTTCAGCAGCTTCTAGGCCCGGGTTGACTGGACTTTGTGATGCCCTCCTAATGTCCTTTCAAGCCAGCGTGTGGCCATGTGCAACATGTCAAGCAGTCTGACCCCACCTGAGCTCGAGGGTTAGGACAAAGAAATCGAAACGCGTGAACTGTTGCCAAGACACTCACCCAACGCTCACTTCAGCGTTTTGCAGGCTTTAGGATGTCAAGCAAAACAAAGACGTGCCGGCGCTTCAGGAAAGATTCTTCCCAGCTTCTTACAATGCCCTGCGGCGAGCGACAGTTTTGATCGGATGAAAATAATTGTCTTTCATTAAAGTTGAGCTTTCAAGCTCGATCGAGTCTTGTAGTAGAAATAGAACTAGCACAGGACCAGCTGTGTCATGAGAAGTAGATACAGAAGAACCCCCTCCCCACCATAAAACACCATAAGAATGGGAATGTTAAAATCGTAAAACCATCAAGGGCAGCGCCGACTCGAGCACTCAGTGCTGCTGGCACTCTGGGTTGCCAAGGTCGTGTTCAAAGGCTGCAGTGTTAAACTCGGAGTAGACTGTGTCAATCTTCTTCTGCTCAACGTCGACGCTGAAGGTGATGAGTCCGAGCACCGGCATTGGGTTGTTGACCTTCACTTGCGGGTTCTGGATGCCGGTGGCATTCCAGCGCCAGGAGATCTGGTCACAGTTGTGAAAGGTTGAGAGGGTTTGGACGTCCGGTAGAGGCGGAGTCACGGATTGACTAGCAATGAAGGCTTGTAGCGAGGGGAAAGCGGGAGTTCCGAGCTGAAGGTAGCAGTCAGTGCTTGTTCTAGCAGGTGAAAGACAGAAAAGGTGGAAGAAATTCATCATGGACTTACAGGTCGATTGCCCAAGGTGTTGATCGAGTCAGACCAGACGACGAACTTGTCCGAAAGGATGGAGTCGGCAGTCTTGTTGAAATCCGGACCACCTGGGTATTCCAGCAGGTACGTGTAGCCATCGACAAGAGTCTGCACATCGTCGTCGTTCAGGCACTTGTTGTTCATGCCTTGACCATAGTGCCGATCATAGGTATCACTGTCGTCTCCATGTGCAGGTACTTCCGCCGACGAGGAGGACCAGTCACCTTGTGGACGAGCGAAAACCGCGGTCAGGAGGGCGAGGCCTGTAAGAATTGTGCTGTGCATCTTGGATTGGTGTCGAGTTGGTGCTGTACGATGACAAGGTTGAAAGAGGTGTTCAGAGGCGTGTCGATGTCGTCGGGAGGGCGAGAAGGTCTGTTCGGTCTGGAGATATTGTGCCCTGATAGCAAGAAGAAATCCTGTACTTTATATCTCATTCTCAAATCACAGCATGATCTTTCGCAGCGGTGCTGTGCCGGTTTGTTTGCCACGAAAGCCCGGAGATGCAGATCATCATCATCAATATGCGGGTTCCTGCAGTTGTCTCGAAGCTTGAAGGGTGGAACCCGACAATCACGATACGCATGTTGTCAGTTAGCCCAGTTGAACGACGCGTTGGTGCAAGGCTGTCAGCACATTTGTGGACACCAGTGGTGACTGGACCGCACACCATTGGATTGTCGGCACGCTGAACTCGAGTGCGTTGGAATTGGACATTTCGAGGCATCATACATTCTCAAGCGTGGCCTGCACGCTGACGTCTCGGGACCAATTTCCGGTCAAAAGACCCAGACCTCGAACTGTCTGGAAGATTGTGAGGAACGCCTCTCGAATTAGCGGTCTTGTTTGTAGAGCACCTACTGTACCTGCATGGCATCGTTAACTGCTGCGAGGCCGTGGGTGCGTCTTATCCCAGCAGACATATTTTCTGGTTGTTGCAACGCTGTCCGTCATCTTTGTTCTCCGTCAACAGCGATCTCGGAACATGCAAGATGCTGACCCAGACGTGCACTGGGGAATATTCGTTCCGAAGATCATTGGTGCCTGGAAATGCGCTATGTGCCCTCTGCTCCTTCCATCACCATACTTGGGCGTAGCAATAATGTCGAGGTCTAAATCTGCCTTCGAAAACTGACAACTTGTCAAGGGCAGATTGAGCGAAGCTTAAATTCGTCAACCTCGCAGATCGGGAAGTTCTGCTGAACATCACTACCCAGTACAGGACAGTAAATTATTGATGACTACCCAAGTACAATACAGACGGAGATGAACAGGCCAAGGGAAATTGAGCAACACATTCTCAGCCGCTCAGTAGCATCCGAAAACATTTTGGAACCATGGTTCTCCAACATGCATAATCAATATGCATGCGGGCGACTGAAAACTGGCGCAGCAAGCGGAGGGGGGACTATCGTGTACGAGACTGAAGCTCGTGATTCTTTCGGAGATCAGTGCCTGCATGCTTCCAGGCATTGCGACAAGCACTTCAAGACTGTTCCTGCCGGACATGTCTTCCCAATCTCAAACTCCCGTTTCTATCGTCCAGGTTCGTCGCTCTCGCTCTGACATCAAATGCAATTCACGTATGCACTGACCACGCCGTAATATGCGAATGTGGTGTCTAACTGGTCTGAACACGCGCAATGACATCTCCCACCTGCTGGATACGCTCGATCAACGCCTTACCATGCAACTTGGAAACAAGCATGAATCAGCCCATTACGCCCTGGCCAGCGCGTCTATCTTCTTCATCGTGTCGTTAACCTCGTTAAGAAGGGCTTTCCTGAAACCTCGGGCGTCCGTTGAGTCCACTTCGATTGCATCTGCCTTTAATATCACGTGCGTCATGACGCTCTCGCTCAATCTTCGGTGCTCTTTCTCTCGCTCCTGAGAAGATGAAGGCGGATTGTTGATGAACCTGCGACAAAGTGGCAGCCATTGCTCGTGGAACGTGTCTGAGAGAACTTGCAGCTTTCCCATCGGTGTATTGGGGTCCACTCTGGGCACTGAGGTGGGAATAGGGACTGACGACGTCGTGGGACGAGACGGCGCTGTTTGAGATGGTGCAGGATGAGGTGAAGTGCCTCTTGTCCGGGACGGCTCCCGTCGGATTGGGGCTCGATCATCAGACTCGGGCTTCAGGTTGCCGCGAGATTGTCGTTCCGAAGCCGTTCCGGCCGAAAGATGGCCATTAGGATGAAGGAAACTTGAAGATGTAGAGGGAGCCTGGTGCGTTCGAGGCAGCTGTTCGTCGCTACGGTGGCGAACGGAAGAGGGTGCTCGGGGCCGTCGCCGAGGGTTTGTTTCTGGAATTTCTTCGCCGCTCGACGAATGGCTATCTCTGTCACTGTAATCCAGATAGCCTTCGGTCTTGATGGCTGCCACCTCGCTATTCTGTTTCATGTTGTATCTTCTCAGTGGCCACGAATCATGTCTGAGATCGCGTTTCTTGTAGACAAGCCTGACCTTGCGTGGATCAGTCCCGAGAAATCGGGCGACTGCCTCCCGCAGCTGTCCAACATACGCAGTCTCTTCGCTGATAGAATATGCGGGGAATTCCACGGGGATTATTGACGCCATATAGCGCACGAGGATGACATCGGGGGCATCGGACTCTTCGGCGGGTTGCGTGTCATTTTGTCGATATGTTGAATGGCGATGGGAGTCTTGCAGCATGCCCTGATCGGCATCGATGTACTCGAAGTGACTGGAAAGGTTTCGAGCATAGGGATCGACAATATTGCTGGTGTACGGCGAGCCCCCATTGCGGCTGCCGCCGTGGGCGACGTAGCTGCTGTAGCTGCTCATGAGAAAGCGAGCAAAAAGGTAGATAAGGGAAAGGAGGAGGGCGGCTAGAGTAGTGTAGGAAGCTGTAGAGTACTCTGTCAGAAGGAGGTGGAGGCGGTCGTGGAAATCAGCAGGCAAATGCTGGAGGATCGGCTGTGCGAGGCTGTAGAGGTTTTGCTGGATATCGGAAGACCAAGTCTGAAGACTTGAGGAAGCCACGGTGAAAGATATCGCTCAACAACGGCGATGATCGAGTGTGAACACTGACCGAGGCCGAAGTCGTGGTGTATTGGAACTCGGCGGTGAAAGATGGTGGTTTGTGTATGAGAAAGGCAGGGCAGATCTCGACGTCGTCACCGAGGGGGAACGAGTATGTAATATTGTGGATCTGCTCAGCAGGGGATGGAAAGCTGTCAAGGAGGCGAAAAGGGTAACGCAGACTACGAGTAGGGTTGTAGATTCCTTTGAGGACACCGGATGACAGGCAGAGAAAAAGGTTGGATTGGTCGTGGTTGTAGTCCTTTCTGCAGGAGGCAGGTGCAAGGAATCGCGCAGTTCAAAAGCCGCAGTTCTGTGTGCGATGCGAGTTCTGTTAGGCTCACCTGGACTGGCTATTGCGGGCGACAGTGCGAAGGAGAACCACTAATAGAACCAGTCCGGATGACGCAGGTGCTCGGTGGAGAGAATGCGCCAAATTTTCCCCTACCCTGCCGGGCTTTTGGTAAGATCTTTGGGACTTTCTCGGGAATTTGTCGTCTGATTAAGCTCCTGCAAACCCTTCCGACACCCATTAGCTGATAAGAGCGCACTCCATTGTCGACGTTCTTCAGCAGCAGAATCAATCGCATGGACAGTGGCGCATCAGAGGTTGTGTCCACTGCAAGGGACAAACACACAAGTGAGCATCGGACCGGAAGAATATTCCCGCCGAGACTGAAGTGACCCGACTCAAGAGCTGAGCTGAGGTGTGAAACTCTTTGTCTTGCTGTCCTCCGCTAGTGTGTCCGTTGGTCTTCAGAATGTACGAGGTAGCACTCGATCTGATCTTTCAGCCTCATTAATGTTACACAACAGTGGTGGCAGCACTGCCACAGTGCCGATAGCTCACTGGTATCAGCAAAGTGTACGGAGTAGTTCCTCTGCTATTGCCAACAGTGCCTCCCGCGCCTCCGTCACTGCGCCTTCTAGCATTTAAACATGCCACAGATGGTGTTGCCAACGAGGCACTCATACGGGGGAAGAACAGAACTCGTTCAGCCAGATGTTTGACAATAAACTACTGTAATTTGTGACTCCAGATTCACATCATTGCACCCAACGAACCAGCTTCTCGCACGCACTTCGGCTGTCTATATCTGTTGCGGTTACTTATCAAATGAGGATTCCATGGCTCCAATGGAGTCTTTGTGCGCTTCCACTCCTATCTCTACAAGACATTGTCCAGGATGTTGCAGTGCTATGGTACGAGGTAACCTTCACTGCAAGTGGTACATGCTCTTCAATTTGTATCAGGATCATCCTTTGTCTTCAGGAATTCTGTTGAACTTTCGCGTCTCGTCTTCTTCCTCGGGCGAAAGCATAAGTCTTGGTCTAGGCCTTTCTCCAGAATCTCGACTCTTCAGACGGGCAATTGACCGTTTGACGTCATACTGCAGGCCCCCTGGTGTCTCTCATTAGTTCCGCATGACTGTTGACTGCGTGGGCGGGTACTTCTGGCTTGCGTCCGATATGTCCGGATTCTCCTTTTTCCACCCACGCTCCCACGTTGTCTGACTCGTCTCCCCCACGTCTCCCTCCAATTTGTAAACACGGGCTGCTCATATGGAAAGCTTCCATTTTCCCGTCCAAACAAGCTGCCCGCCCATCGGCTGTGGTCTCTGGCTTATAGGCTATTGACCAGAGCGGCGCAGGAGGCTTCCAATCTGTGAGGACTATGTACCTCGTACAGTGGGCTGGCAGACGCGAGCCGCGACAACCCCCTGTCAGCCCAACACGAGAAATCCGCACTACTGGTGCTATCTCCAGCTATTGTGGTCCGAGTGACCTCACGCATATGGGGGCTGCCCTGCGTCACTGGGCATCATTTTTCTACTTCCGACAGACAAATGAGAGACGTCTCTCAGGTGCGCTCCCGCGACATCAGATACCGGGGCTTCGTCATTCGTGCTTCGCGCCTGCTCAACATACATGCTGCTCCTTTTTGTTCAGGCTACGCCCAGCAGCTCCTTGTTGAGCTGGCGGTAAGTCTTCCGATAAGTCGAAGTCGAGATTTCGCAGTGCGACTTCCCTCATTTTGAGCATTTACGTGAGCCCAAGCTAGGGAATTTCATCCCTTCGGCGTTCAACTGGTTCTCATGTTGACCACAAACACACCGCCCGCTACTTCCCACTTCACCTGTGCTGAACCTATAAGTCAAGTACCTCAAATCATTTTTTCTTTGCTACTTGCAAGTCTGTCGTCGTTCCTGCCGTCGTGGAAGATGGATATCTACGACGTTCCGAACCTCCCCAATGTCAGCGAACCCCGAAGCCTGTCACATTCAAGTTCCCACGGCTTGGCCTCAGTCATCTTGTACACTGCTCTCGTTCTCGCTGTTTTTAGCGGCATCTATTGGTGTATTCAAGATTACCGTTTCTTCTTGTCCTTAGGACGAGGTGGTCGTAAGTTGCTCCCCCTCGCACTTGCTGCTCTATTTCGTGGCAGCAGTTCGCGCGAGGGTCCCTGACTTGTGGACTGAAGCTAATGCCTCCCAGCACCTTACAACATCGTTGGCTGGTTCAAGGTGCATATCATCATCAGACCTTTCACCCTTGCTCAACAAGACGAAACATGGACCGGCGATTACCCCGATGTTGGCGCTCGCAAAGAAATCATGGCACTGCCGCTACGCCAAGGTCCACGGCCGATCATCAGAGGCATTGCTCCTCAGAGACAATTCGATCAGCGTCCAGAGCCGGCAATGAATTTGGTAAGCTTCCACTCCTTGGCACCCATCCATCAGAATGCAGAAATTCCGCTCGACGGTGACCACCTCGGACTAACACATTGTAGCGTGTACTTGATATATTTTCATCCTTTGTCAAAGCCAATCCTCATCTGCTGCAAGAACGGCTTTCACATGCTGAGAAACATAACCTTGCGCTATTCGTCCATCCGAGCCTCATGTCCAAGCCCGACAACCTGCCAGAGATTGCGCCCATATTCAAGGGGGAGATAGGGCATATTCATGGCGAGAGCTCGTTACACCTCTACTTTTCACCTGCCGATGCCAAGGTCATCATCGAAAAGGGGTGGGCTGAGCGACATCGCTGTGCAAGGACTCAACCATGGTGGTTTGGCGGCATCAAGTCTATGTGGGGCATTGGAGACTCTTTCTTGATTGTGTATGCTCCAAGAAATGAAGCCGAGTTGGAAGTCTTGAAGACCTTGATCAGAGCAAGCACCATGTGGATGACGGGCGAACAACCAATTGTCAAGCCTTTAGCAGACAGAGAAAGCAGTGAAGGAGCACGCATGCACTAGAGATTTTGAATACGCTATGGGACGACGCCACTGGCCTCACTGTGTGGCACTCCACCGAGCTGCGACAGGGCAGGGCAAAGCAATAGGATGGAACGTGTCGGAGAGTGGCTGTTGCATAGAGCAGCAAGGAACTGGCGCGACAGCGAGCATTGTTTTTCTAGCATGGTGTTCAGGTGTCGGGTAAAAGAGCCGACAATGACGGAATTTCCCTTTCCCGTGCCTGGGTCTCCCCACGTACTCCGTACAAGGCCTGAGACTGTAACTCGGTTAAAAGCGGCGAGTCCGCCGATCACGACTTGTTCTCTCCGAGTCAATCGGAAGTGATTGATTTCAGATCTCAACATCCTGGATCCCACCCGTATCTCGTACGTGCGACGACTTGCTCGCAGTCGATCATACACATCATGGCCGCTACTGTCCCGCGCTATCGTTGCCTCAACGGTCGCCAATGGTCTTCACCATTCAAAGTATTCCTCCCGCAGGCTATACCGTCGACATCGCGATCATTCGCCACCACCACTGATGACATCCCGACGCCCAACTCGCGTGTCCAACCCACCACCTTCGCTGACAAGCTCAACGCCGGCCCTTCGTTCTCAGACTTTGTCTCTGGCAAAGAACCACCTCTACAACCATCCGAAGCGTATGAACTGAAGACCGCACTCGTGGGCCCAAAGGGCAAACAGAAAAGAATCACCCGCCTGCCAGAGTGGCTCAAGACACCTATCCCAGACACGTCGTCATACAAGAAGATCAAGAACGACTTGCGCGGCCTGAATTTACACACGGTGTGTGAAGAGGCGCGATGTCCGAATATTTCAGATTGCTGGGGCGGGAGTCGCAAATCAGCGGCGACCGCAACGATCATGCTGATGGGCGATACCTGTACGAGGGGATGCCGATTTTGCAGCGTCAAAACATCCAAGGCGCCGCCGCCGTTGGATCCGCATGAGCCGGAACATACCGCGGAAGCGCTGTCGCGATGGGGATTAGGGTACGTGGTCCTGACCAGTGTTGATCGGGATGATCTGGCCGATGGCGGGGCACATCACTTCGCGGAGACGGTGCGGAAGATCAAGTCCAAGGCGCCTGCGATCTTGGTCGAGTGCCTGACGGGCGACTACGCGGGAGATCTGGAAATGGTCAAACTGGTCGCGACGTCCGGATTGGACGTGTATGCGCACAATGTCGAGACGGTCGAGGCGCTGACTCCGCAAGTCCGCGACCGGCGCGCCACGTTCCGCCAATCGCTCAGTGTGTTGAAGGCCGCAAAAGCCGCAAAGCCTGGTCTCATCACAAAGACGTCAATCATGCTCGGGCTGGGCGAGACGGAAGAGCAAATCTTCGAGGCCTTACGGGAACTCCGTGCCATCGACGTCGATGTGGTCACCTTTGGACAGTACATGCGTCCCACGAAGAGGCACATGCCGGTCCACGAATATGTTACGCCGGATGTGTTCGAGCAGTGGCGAGTACGGGCGCTGGAGATGGGGTTCCTATACGTGGCGAGTGGCCCGTTGGTAAGGAGCAGCTATAAGGCCGGAGAGGCTTTTATCGAGAACGTGTTGAAGAAGAGAAGGGCTGGACGTGGGGAGACCGCGAATGCGGATCTGGCGAGGGAGATTGACGGGAAGGGTTTCGAGAGTGGGAGTTTGTGATGTCGGTTCTCGAAGGCACGACGGTCATGGAGTAATCTGTTGGAGGAGATGACATGCACCTCTCGCTAGTTATACATCAAGGACGTGCCTCCGCATGAGAAGGCCATTGTCAACCAATGGTCAAGTCATTCGATGGCAATACTACCGTAAACACCTGTGTTGATGATTTGTGCACCGCGCATCGTCGCCATTGGAGAGCAACCACTGTTCCTTGACCGTCACGCCACGCTAGGAACAAACAGTCCACCTACATAACAGGGTACCAGTTGAGAACGCTGCACTATGGTCTGCTCCCCGATTACAGCTGCCAGGCGCGACGGAGTTCCGACAGCTGCGCTCCTGGCTTCTTCGTAGCATTTGTATATCTGACTGCGTCTGATCTTGTCTCATTCCGTCTCGGCCAGCCTCTGCTGCCCATTGGGACACACACCCCTCACCCACAACTCCCACACTCCGGCGCCCTCACGTCGTCGATACCACCCATCCTCCTACCACTGCCACCCCCACCTCTAGCCCCTCCGCTTCCGCTTCCACCACTCGCTGCTCCCCCGCCAGAACCCAGTCGACCCGAGCCACCACCAACACCACCACCCCACATCGACCGCGCCTGCTGCGCACTCGGCCTGCCGCGCGTGTTGAACTGGCTATTCTGCGCCGCGGCATATGGGTCCAACGAGAAGAGAGACACGAAGTACAGGCCCAGAAAGTTATAGACGTCCGAGGAGAAGCGGGAGAGGCGGGCGGAGAAGGGGGGTCTAGAACCAACCACAAACGTTAGGACCGTGGCTACGAGGAGAAGGGACAATGGGAGGTGGAAGCCCCCCGAGAGAGAAGGAGGGACGAGGGATGAGAGGGGAGATTGCACGACACACGACATCGACGTACGATTCTAGGACATGTCCCGAGGAGGAGATGTAGGCTGGTTTGGTGGGCGGTTTGTTGGCCGCAGAGGAGGGAGGTTTGTCCATTGTATGTATGTGGTTGGGAAATGGTGGTCGAGCTTGAGTCCGATTGATGACGAGTAACACGGGCAAGGCAAGGTCGACGGCGAAATAGTTTGGCGAGCGAAAGAAGACGGCGTGACGTCTCAGTCTGTGTCTGGCAGATGGAACTCAGTGGGGGAGTGAACGAACATCACAGGGCTGTAACTCAGCGGGAAGAGGCAGCATCACAAGGCTGCGGTTGCGGGAGAGGGAGGTTAATTATTCCGTGCCGGGCTCGGAAGCCCGCAGTGTCTTCAAAAGCAGCGTCGCCGACTCCACGCTTCCTGCAGGGCCGTGTGTGTGGCTGAGCGGCCATTACCTAATTAGGCTCAGCTCGCTGAATGCTGGTTTTATAAAGGAACGGTACGGAGTACAGTACAACCCTCGGGACTACCTGGTACATATCTACCGTCGCATGTCCTTTCCCACATATATGCCTTGCGATGCCTTTTCCAGCCCGAGCCGGCTACGAACCCGGCATAAATCATGCTAAGAGCAACCTAATTAACTCCCCGAACCACGTTTCTCCACGCCATGCACTTGGATGGAACCGCGTCACTGAACCTTTTTTCCTGTTTTCACCCAGCCAGAGACATAAGAAAAATCATGCGCTATCGAGGGCACAGAAACATGTGTGACGAGTTCATCTACTGCTGTGCAGCAGCAGCAGCCCCCTCCCCTCGTATCCTCTTGCCTTGGCCACCGCCTTCTGCAATCTCACCATCCTCCCGAGCTCTCTTGTTTCCACCACCACCAGGCGTAAATTGAGCGGCCTGGGGATTCAACGCACCTCGGCTGGGACTCTGTGCCCCGCCTCCACCTCTGCCTGCTTGTTGGGGAACGCCGGCATGCACGTTAGGTCCTCCGCCACCGCCTCTGCCGCCACGAGGAGCTCCTCCGCGACCTCTGGGGATACCGCTTGCACGGCCACGCACGGACCCGCCGCCACGAGGAAGGCCTGACTGGAGTTGGTTCATCAATGCCGCGCCGGGTTGCTGAGGTTGTCGGCCAGCATCAGGAGCCGTAGACTGTACTGCTGGTTGAGCAGGTTGCGGAGGAGTTGCATGGGTTGCAGGGGGCTGGAATGGATTCGGCTTAGGTTGTTGTGGGGTAGACGGCACAGCGGCAGGTTGTTCTGGAACCGCAGTTTGGAGCTGCGCATTTTCCTCGGCTTTTGGAGCATCTGCCTTGGTTGTTGGGGGCGAAGGTGCCATGGGAGCTTTTGCTGGAGTCGGTGCAGGGGCAGAGGCATGGGCAGGAGGCGCCGGCTTGGGAACTGCTGCCGGTTTGGCGTTTTTGGCCACTTCCCAAACTTCTCCGACGGGCTTCTGGGGAGTCTCTTCTGCTGCTTGCTTGACGACCTCGAGCTTCGCAGTTGCGACGGCGAGTCTGCTCTGAGACATATTCAGCTTGACAGCGCCGCGCTTTTCCGCCAGCTGTTCAGCATTCTTCACCTGCTCTTCTATTTTCTTCGCTGACTCCTCATCGAAATGAAGTTTCTGTGTTCGAAGCTCCTCTTGATGCATGCTAGCCAACGATTGTCGCTCGCGGTTGAGATTCTCCTCATACTCTTTGAGGAGAGCCTGCTTTTCGGTCTCGAACTCCGCCTCCTTCTGCTTGATGATGCTCTCCTTCTGAGCATTAAGACGTTCATCGAGCTGCGTATCAGAGGCGGGAACAGATCCACTCGGTTGAGAGTCCTGCGACTCGCTGAGCTCCTTCCTGATACTCTCCCTCAGGCTTTCTTTCTCCTTCTCGATCCTGTTCTTGATAGTATTACCGAGAATGCGGCGTATAGTCTGGTGCTGATTGGCCAGCATCCTCGCCTTTTCGTCAGACAGAGACAACAAGACATCGTCGGGAATCTCCCCATTGGTGACAGCGCTCGTAGTCGGAGTCGCATCTCCGCTGGGCTTCTGTAACTCGGTTGCGACAGGTACAGAATTGACTCGGAGAGCTTCGATCTCTTGTTGATGTTCAGCATCGAGCTTCGCCTTTAGTTCTTCAAGAGCGGCAACCTTCGCTTGCTGGGCCTGTTGCTTAAACTCGGCCAGCCGTTTGTTGAGAACAGCCTCATTGGCGGCAACTCTTGACTTGAACTTTTCTTCCTGCGTGGACTTCAGCTCGCTAAGCTCCTTGTCCTTCTCTGCCAGTGACTCTTCCAGTTCTTTCAGCTTGGCTTCTAGCTCGGCAGTGTTGGTATCCGCGGTGTTATTCGTGATCGGAGCATCGGCTTCGGCAGGAGGATGACCATTGACCTGAGTGGTGGCTGCTGAAGCAATTTGAGCTTGAGCAGTCGCTAATTGCTCTTTCAGAGAATCGATCTCGACTTGCATAGCGTCTCTTTCCGCAACAACGACATCAAGCTCAGACTTTCTTTCGCGGAGAGCAGTGTTCTTCTCTTTAATGACGCCCTTGAATTGGGTCTCCAGTCTTGTCTTCAGATCACCTCTAGCTGTATCAATTGCCGCCTGCGCACCGTCGATTTGGGCCTGAAGTGCGGTTCGAGCATCGTCACGCTCTGTAAAAGCAGTTGCAAGCTCTGTGCGGGCCTCATCGCGTTCGCGTTCGAGGGTGGTGATCTTCTCCTTGAGAGCCTCGAGTTCTGCAGGATCGACTCTGTCATATTTGGAGAGGATATTCTGGGTACGTTGCTGCCAGTGATCCCTGTCCTCTTGGCTGAGCTTGAGTTCCCCTTCTCTCAACTCAAGCAGATTCTCCAACTCTGCAGTGCGAGCACGCGAAGACTGGATCTCGTCCTCAAGCTGCTCGACACGCTTGGTCTTCTCCGCCAAAGCTTGGGAAGCTTGCTTGGCTTCTGCACGCAAAGTGACACTGCTTTCTCGGAACAGATTCAACTCATTGAGAGTGTCCATCAACTTGTTGTGACTGAGAGCATTGCGCTCCACATCGGCTTCAGCGCGGCGCTGCTGGTCGAGCTTGAGGCGGGTGTCATCGAGTTGGGACTGAGCAAAATCCAATTGTTGACGCAGGCGCTTGCCTTCTTGAACCGAGAGCTGATACTGGACGTCGACAATGTCCTTCTCCCGCCGAAGATAGGTGATCACTTCTTGGAGTTTATCAAGCTCGGCAGACGGCTTAGTGTTGGTGTCCTCATTGCTGGCCTCCGCCAGTGCAGTACGATCGCGTTGCAGAGCTGTGATCTGTTGAGTTACACCCTCCAACTGGCCATGCAGAAGGTTGTTCTGGTGGGCCAGCTCTTCGCGGCGCTTCTTCAGGTCAGATAGCTCCGTCTCGTACCGTTCTTTCATTTCGTCCCAACTGGCCTGCTTCCGCTCAAGATCTCCCTTGGTCGTCTCGGTCTGGGTCCGCAAGTCAACCACTTCGAGCTTCAGTTGATTAGCTTCATCTCTGACAGTATGCAGGGCTTTGGCAGCCTCTGCGTGCTTAAGGAGTTCGTTCTCATAGTTCTGTTGTGCTTCTGTCGCAATCTGTGCTTGGACTTTCGAGGCTTCAAGATTGAATTGGGCTTGCTCGGCATTCTTCTCAGCCTCCTCTTTGAGCCGTTCGATCTCAGACTCGAAACCCGACTTTTGCTCGTCCAGCTTCCGACCAAAGTCTGCTTGTTCATCCCGGAGCCGCGAAAGTTCCTGGTTGGTGGTGTTGAGCTCGGCGGAGATGTCTTCCAATCGTTGTTCAAGGTCCCTGATCTTGGCGTCCTTTTCAGCAATCAGAGCTTCTGTCTCTTCGCGATATTGGTCGTTCGTCTCGCTCAGTTCTCGGAGACGTTCTTCGCTGGACTGACTAATGTTCTTGTAAACTTCGACTTGTTCGTTCGCTCTTTCAAGCTCAGACGTCTTCAGCTCAAGATCCCGCTTGAGCTCGGAGACTTCTACAGCCAACTCTTGTTCTTTGCTCAGAGTAGTCTCTTCCGCACCATTGGTGCCGTTCGCAGGCTCTGCAGGCTTGGTCAAGACTTCTAGGCGTTCCTCAGCAGAACGAAGTTCGACGGTCAGCTCATCAACTCTAGCTTGTAGGTGATCCCGGGCTGTCTTTGCCGACGCGAATTCTTCTTTTGTTGTGCCTAGCGTCGTGACAAGGTCATCGATACGTTTCTGGGATTGTTCGTGTTCGTATTCGCGCCGTAACGCAGACTTTTTGCTCTCTTCGACTTCCTCGTTGAGCTTCCGCTTGGTCGACTGAAGTTCGGACTCTAACGACTCTGCTTGCAACTGCAATCGGCGTCTCGTCTCAGCGTCGGTCTGCTCACGCTCGTTGACCATGGTCTGCAGGCTTGCATTGAGTTGGTCGAGGCGACTTCGCTCATTCCGCAAACATTCATTGTCCTCGATCAACCTTCGCTCAACAGTCTTCCAGAGATCTTTCTCGGCCTTGAGATTCGCAGAATCTCGACGCAGACTGTCCAGCAGGTTCCGAGCTTCAACAAGCTCCTCCGCAACTTGTTGGGTCTTTAGTTCTTGCTTTGTGGCGTTCTCCATTGCAGTCCATGACCTCTTCTGGATCTCGCCGTTCTCAGTCTTGAGAGAATTGTAATTGGCCTGCAGCATCTCATAACGTTGATTTGCTGCTGTCAACTGTCCAACGGTTCGACTGATCTCAGTCTGTAACTGCGCATTTTTCCTCCCCAACTCCGCAACCTGATTTTTCAGAGCACTGTGATCTGTTGAGGCTTCTTGTCGGTAAGAGTCGAAATGTTGTTGGAGGTCTCGAAGAAGTTTGGCATAATCGGCATCGCCGCCCGGCACCGACCCCGCCGGAGACTCTCCACTGGGAACGGGTAGTGATCGTGAGAAATCGTTCGGTTGGACTTGGCCCGGTAGATGGCCGCCACGCCGGGTGAGCATGTTGCGGAACATGTCTCTCTCCTTGATGAATGTCTTGGTTTGGGCAACCATTGATTTCAGCTCGTCTTGATAAGAGGCAATTTGCGCACGGGCTTGGTCCAATTCCTGGTTCAGAGCATGGTTCTGTTGCTCGTGTTGCTTCGCCTCGTTGTTTTCGAGTTCGCTAATCAGGTTGCGGATGGTCTTCAGTTGGTCCTCGTTCTGCTGCTGCAACTCAGAGATGTTCTTGAAAACAACCAAACGCTGATTGATCAACTGTTGGTTCTTCGACAAATTGGCCATATCTTCGGATAAGGCGGCTTGGGTCTGTCTTTCCAGTTCCTCAAAATCTTCCCGAGTCAGAGCCTCGCCTTGCTCACGGACATACTGTTCCACGAGCAGGTAGCGAATCTCCGAGCCTTTGTCCCGGAGCTGTTGGGCGAGAACCTCAACCTCTCTCGAAGCGCTCTTCAGCTGACCTTGTACATGCTTCAGTTCTTTTACTGCCGCGTCTCGATCACTGTTTGCTTCGTCAACTATCCTCGACATTTCCACGACTTCACTCTGTAGGCGGGCATGATCCTCGCGAAGCTCCTCGATCTCTGGCTTGCTGTTTTCGAGCTCGTCAACCATAGCATCGAGATTCTCCTGCAATTGTTCCCTGGCACGCTTTTCGCCTGCCAATTCATTTTCAAGCTTCTTGTACTCGGAGAAAAGTTGGGTCATGGTCATCTGTGACTTTCCGCGTGATACACTTGCGGGCGAAAAAATACCACTTGGAGTTCCAGGTCGGAGAGGTGTCGTGATGCCAGAGCCATTGGGTGCACGGTGAGGCGTGCTCGGTCGTGCGCGAGCATCCTCAACTTCGCCTTGCAGTCGTTCAAGGGACCTTTCCAGCTCAGCAACTCGCTCTTCAGCAGCCACCCGATCGTTGTGCTCGGTCTCAATTTCAGCTCGGATAGCACCAATCTCATCTGCGGCCTCTTCACGAGCCTCCTCCAGAGCAGCCGACAGTTCTTGGACGCGTTGTTTGGCGGTCTCGGCGGACGCGGCCTGTAGTTCAGCCAAGCGGTTGACACTCTCAAGCTCGACCCTGAAGGAATCCTCGGCGGAAATCTTGTCTTCGCGCATTTTCTGCATCTCCTCCAGCGTCTCTTCGAATTTGATAATCTGCTCCTCCAGACGTTGCTTCAGCGTGGACTCGGAGCGTCGCAGGGCCTCGACTTCAGAGATGTACTGCTCATTCGATCTTGAAAGCTCCGAAATGCGAGCATTCTTCTCCTTGCGGAAGTTGGTGTGCTCTTCCGCCTTGATCCTTCGTTCATTCTCCAGCCACTCATTGTTTTTCTTCAGCAGTTCCACCTCCTGCAGTAGAGATTGCTCCTTGAACTTGGCACTGGTGAGGGACGAGTTTGCGGACTGGACTGATTGTTCCAGCACCATAACCTGCTTTCGAAGCTCAGCAGCCTTCTGGTGCTGCGCGGACAAATCCTGAGACAAACTTTCGTAGGCCGTATTCTTCGACTCGAGAAGTGCAAGGGTGTCTCGGTTCGAGACTTCGAGGGAGGAAATACGCGACTTGAGCGTGTTGATCTCTGAGCTCTCGTTCGTGGTTGCGGCGCGACACTGTTCGAGCTCAGATTCTAGCCTTGAGCGGGCATTCTCTGCAACCACCGTTAGCCCATTTCGCAACCAGACGAGCGCATGATGTTGGTACCGGAAGTCTGCAACTCCACGCGTAGTTTACTTGACTCTGCAAGGGCCTTGTCTCGTGAATTTTGTAGCACCTTTGCCTTCGATTCACTCGTCCTCACAACTGTCTCTAATTCGACCTCAAGCTTGACCTTTTGAGACTTGTTCTGTTCAAACTCTTTGACCTTTGCCGCGATACCCTTGAGCAAAGAAGTCACCAGCTCGGCTGTTGGATTGGTCAGAAGCGAATTGACCGACGACTCAGGTAGTGATGAAAAGGCCGAAACGGCTCGAACGTCGACTTCGGCAGCCATGGCGCCTATGATCCTAGTACCGGGTCGATATACTTGGATGACGAAGAGGGAGGGTCAAGTTCAAAAGAATGCGCCCACCGCAAGCGCGCCGAACTTAGGGTGAATTGAACAAAGAACCGACGACCCTCACCATGGCGTAAATGACGCCTGCCCAAAGAGACGCTGAGGAAAGGAAGAGGGAGGGATTTGAGGCGGCAGAGGTGATGGGGAAACGCGTGATGGAGTCTGGAGATGTTCGAGAAAGAGTCTCGAAACAGACAGATGCGGGCAGCGCGGCGTGCGCGGGCAAAGTGAAGACTTGGGGCAGCGAGGCATCCGGTTAGGCTAGATGTACAGTAACAAGCTAGTTAGTGACCTTATGTAAGCTTCGGAAGCCTATCGCCAGCAGTCTTAACTGGCCAGTTGGTGCCTGGATCCCCACGCTCTCGCTTCACTGCAGTCCGAGTTACTGCTAAAACGTCTGGCCGATCGCTACAGATCAAATGATATCACACTGTACACCTTGACCTCAATTCCACATCACTATTGACTTGAAGAGCACCCCATTCCACTCTTTTGGGCCCTCGTTTTCCATCTTTCCGTCGGTCTCTATCTTCGCCCTGGCCGTGTCGCTGCGTTCGTCCTCGTCCCCACCTGTAACAAAAGTCGCCGCAACCGGAAGTCGCATGCAGAGCCATTGATTTAGGACCCCTACACCTCACCACTGGGACTACATTTCTGCACTTCAGACTACTCACTCCTCAACACCTTCACAATGTCGTCCCTCTACGCACAACCTGCGGAGCCCACGCGAGTTTACCTCCAGACTGACGTTGTCTACGCCGTCAACCGACTGAGGGAGAAATTCCCGCAGAGCATCGCCCGAGAAGACCTCATAAACTACACGCTCCCGCAGCAGAAGCGCGACGACGCCACGGTCCAACAGTTCCTCGCCCAACTGAGCATCAACCCCAAAGTCAACCACGACAAGGAGAAGGACGCCTACATCTTCAAGCCCGAGCACAACATCACGGACGCCGACTCGCTGCTGAAGTACCTCCAAAACCAAGACACCGCCATGGGGATCCAGGTCTCGAAGCTAAAAGACGGCTGGCAAGACGCAGAGGAGACAATCGACAGACTCGAGGCCGAGCACCGACTGCTCGTGACTCGCAACCGGAAGGACAACCACCCCAGAATGGTCTGGCTGGACGATCCTACGCTCCAGGCCCCGCTGGATCAGGACTTCAAGGACCTGTGGAATCAGATCGCCCTGCCGAGCGTGGAGGATACGATCAAGGAACTCCGCAAGATGAACCACAAGTCGACGGGCGAGCCGGCCGTCGTGGACACGGGGGTGAAGAAACCAAAGGAGAAGAAGAAGGTGAGGAGGGGCACCAAGATCACGAACACCCACATGCAGGGTTTGCTTAGGGATTATTCGGGGAAGAACGATGTGAAGAAGGAGATCAAGACGGAGAGGCGGTAGCAGGGCGCGGAGGGACCCACGGGGATCAGCCATTTCAACGACTTTTAACGAACTATTCATTTCTATACCGGACGGGCTCATCAACCTCACCAGTGTCTTTTCGCAGGGTTCACGAGGTCCAACACAGCACGGCATGGCAGGGACGGAAAATGTACCACAAATGATACCCCAATACAGCATCGGCGCAGGCAGGCAGGCACATGTAAGGTACACAGACAGTCAGACGAATCAATGACAGGAAATCCATGGCTCGAGTTTCCATGTTCAGTGCCCTACGTGGTAACCACATCAAGGTACTCCATAACTAGGTCTCATTCATCGGATGACCATACAGTGCATTACCCATCGCAAACACAGATCCCACATCAAGACATCCACGAAGCCAAATCAAGCTCGGTTCGGTCCGTGTCATTCTAGTTTAAATCTTCTCACTATTCGCATTCACGCCCACGTTCACATCGACCATCCCATCCTCTGTGAACCGGCTCATACTCCGCCTCCGCTCGCCGTTCAGACTCCTCGTATCCACGCTGAGGGCTCGTCCTCTTGGCCTCTCTGCCGGCGCACCTCCCGCCTGACTACGGGGTAACATCGGCACGGCGGCGTTGAAATAGCTTGCCGCCTCGCCCTGTCCTTGTGGCCTCCCGGCGGACGCGTCTGTCGCCTCCTCATATCGCGGCGGCGGAGCAGAGAACGATGCCACGCTAGCAGGCCGCTGGATCCCCATCCCCGTCCCCGTCCCCGCGAGTTGGAGGTTATTATCGTACCCGAACCCGTCTTGCGTTGAGCCGGCATTGTCACCGTCACCGTGCGGCGGTGGACCCCACATGACGATGGCGGGGCCCTCTGCATTGCCTAGGAGCGACTGATTCTGGTCCGGGCTGACGCCGTATCCGGTCGTGCTGGCGCCGTATTTGGGCGGGCCGTTGCCGTTGCCGTTGCCATTGCCATTGCCCGACGGACCATTCGACGTGAGTTTATGCCCCGTGGAGGTAGGGGTGGAAGCGAGGTTGATGGCGGAGGAGACGGCGCCGCGTCGCTGGTGGCGCATGCGACGGAAGAAGACGAGCCCCAGGATGCCCGCGACGACTAGGACTGCGATCACGATCCCGAGGATCGTCCACCTGGAGACACCGCTGTCACCGCGGTCCGCGAAGGGGCCATTGCCGTCGCGGTCGCCGTCGCGGTCATCGGTGCCGAATTGGCGGGGAAGGAGCGCGAGTGAGGGCGGTGCCATCAAAGAGAGTGTGTCGAGGAGTCCCAGCGCGACCAACGGTGCTGCTGCGCTTCTGGCTCCCCAGTGATCGGCAGGGGCGTGAAATCTTGCCTGTTCTATTGAATCAAGGTTGAGATGCCACCCGGTGAATGAAGATGGGATCCCAAGGTCGATTGGGGCAATATATGCCACTACTGTATACCGTACGGAGTATGTGTGTGTGTGCAGTAAAGAGTGCAGATCCAAGGATACCGTAACGGACCCCAGCAGATGTGATGTCGACCAGTGGCAGGTCCGAACGAATGTACCGCGTATTGCGGACTGCCAAATCCACAACGAATGATGCGGTGTAGGAGCGTATGTACGTATGCACAAGAGCAACCAAGCGAGTGAATGAGCGGGAGGAAAGGGTATCGAAAGATGAGAGGACGTCCTGAGTACAGTCGTCCCCTAGCATCAATGCAAACAAAGGCGCTACGCAACGAGGCTTCCTCTCCAAGATGTGGACTCCGCCGCGAGCCCAGACCCTAAATTGAATTCCGCGTCTCAGAAAGGATGGGCACGTTGAACAAACACAGCCGCGCCGAGTAAGTCAACGGCGTGAGGATTTTGAAAGTAGAGAGAGACGAGCAAAAGTGTCCCCTACCGGGTTCATCTGGGATCCCTCAGCAGACCGCTGGACATGACCTAAGCTCTGCATGCTGCGGGCTTAGCGTGAGGCTGTAACTACACAGAAGCTGGGGGCCGGGCGGTCGATTTGTGGAGTGTGGGATGTACAGGAGGAGTCGCCTTTGTCTGGGCGTATCACCGCACGTCTTCCTTCGGTAGGTGGCCTTACTTGCCCGAATAGGGGCTGTGAGCAAGATGAAGTGCGAAACTGCGGACATGCCCCTGGGTGCCCTGACTTCCATGGTAAGTGCAAGTACGGCGTAGAGTTGGCACAGCCGTCGAGCGGTCGCCAAGGTAAGGCAAGCGAACAGAAGTCCTGGCGGTGTTGATATACGTAGAAAGAATCCGTGATGCAAACACTACGATGGACTCAGGCTTGCGGAGGACACAGTACTCGTCCGTGGTACTCACATAGTCCTCATCTTATCGTCGAAATCATGCCCAGTAAAGCAAGCCTTGCGAGATTAGGCACCTAGGGACAGTATTGTGAGTGGGGCGGGGCCGGGCGGCTTGAGGCTCATCTTCCATCTTCATCTCCCTTCCTACTCGAGCCGCGCATAATGGCTGGAGGTCAACTCAGAGGTACGGAGTATCCCCTACGTACTGTATTGTGTACTCTGAGCAGGTAACTACTCGTACTCTCTGAGAGCTAGGTTCAGTGTCGACGTGTACGGCCAAAAGGAACACTGTATGAAACCACAACTAGCAGACCTCAATCTGAAGTCGCTGATCAGAGCACTCCTTGCTCGTCGTGATGTGAACTTAGTGCTGAGGTGGGCTGGGGTCGGCAAGGTGAATTGTCGGATTGTCGGATTGTCGGAAGACTTCATATCTGATAGCCGAACCCGAGACCGTGCTGGATCTTCGTGACCCTCCTCGCCCTGCAGAATCGAACCATACTCTGTACCATTTCTGGTGCTAGTATAGAGCACAGTAGGGAGTACCCCTGGCTCCATTATATAGTGTGTATTGTATTGCTTGCTGGTCGTAAGGGTTATCTCGCGTGCAGAGATCCGGCCAGTATATTCCATGGATATCCTGTAGAGACATCGAAGCCAGGTGGCTGAACTCATTACAGTAGACCCCATCACCCCGACTCAAACCCATGTGCTGGGACCGCAACGCATGCAGAGCACTCGGATTGCCACGGTCTGATTCGGGCTGTCGGGCGATTGATAGTATCTTGCCTTTGCTGGCCTCCAACTGGTCAACGGACGAGCGACGAGGCTGTGACTAAAGTATGGACAGTCATAGTCTTCGACGTTTTCCTGATGATGAGTTGGCACCCGTCCCGCCAGCCTGCTCAAAGAGTGTGACGCATCAGCACCAGCTCCAGCGTCAGTGAATGGAACGATATATGGAGACTCTTCCCTTGTGGACCGAGAGGGCTCGACAACAGAGCAGTCTTCCATCTCCCACGTATATTAACTCGACGGAAGTTAGGGAGCACATTGCCTTGGCCTCGACGGCGATAGTTAGTCAACCTGTTAGGTTCGTTTCCGCGTCTACACCCTCATCCACGGCACTCTCACAATGTGTACACTATGCTCTCCGTGCCTCAATGCCGCCCATTGACTTCACTCGCTGCGCTGACTCCATTGACCCCATTCATCACCACGCCGTTGCCATGCATTTGTCCATTACCCGACTTTTGCCCCTCCTTCTCCCTCCGGACATATTCGACCAGATCCTCAATGGTGCAGACCTTCAGCCCCCACTTGCGGCCGAATTCCAAACAAGCATCCCGCCTCATCATGCCTGGCTCCCTCATGATCGTCTGGCCCGGGACTGGCTCTCCATCGTCGACCATCTCGCAAATCACCCCGGCCTTCGCCTTTCCGGCTAGACGACAGAACTCGACCGCCGCCTCGGTATGACCGGTCCGTTCGAGGACGCCCCCATCCCTGGCCCTCAATGGAAAAACATGCCCCGGACGCCTGAAACTCGCGGCCGTGGCTTTCGGGCTGGCGAGCGTGCGACACGTCAACGCACGATCATGCGCCGAGATGCCCGTCGTGACACTCTCGTCGTTCGAGTCGATCGAGATCGTGTACGCTGTGCGGTTGGGATCCTCGTTGTCCACCACCATTTGCGGAAGGTCCAGCTCGGACGCGAGCTGAGAAGTGATCGGCGCACAGATCAAGCCGCTGGTGTAGCGGACCATGAAGGCCATTTTCTCCGTCGTGACGTCCTGGGCCGCGATGATGAGGTCGCCTTCATTCTCACGGTCCTGGGAGTCGAGAACGACGATGAATTCGCCGTTGCGGAACGCCTGGATGGTTGACTCGATCGAGTCGAACCCCTTTGCGAGCGTGCTTGGAGGTTGCATCGTAGCGGACAAATACTGTGGATATGTAGGGTGTATTGCGTTTCTGCTCTGTCTGGTCTTGTCCCGTACAGAGTGCACGCTGTTGTGTAGTTATTCCTGTGGTGTCAAAAGAAACCAGGCTTGTGCGGCAGAGAAAATTCTTCTTGGTTCCTTGATTCACACAGGTTGGTAGACTGAGATCGCCAGTTTAGTTCGCGCGCGACGTCTTCAGCTTCAGGAAGTTATTTTGTGGGCGCTGAGGTATTCTTCCCACTTCCGTAAGTTGTAAAGTTGTGAGGGTACCCGCCTGCAAAGCGACAAGATTTTTGTGTCTGCCTTTGCTTAACAGATCCAGCCCTCACCAAAAATCGCAAACCCGTCGGATTGGCAGGCCGACTTCCTGTAGATAGTTAGAAATAGAAGGATTTCGATTGTGCGTTCGCGGTCCTTTCTCTTTTAATTTACCATCGTTCTACTTGGGATGCAGGAAGAAAAGAAGCGTGAGCGGGCATGGGACTCTCCGGAATCATATACGACAGTCAGGGCCTAGGCGTGGCCGCCGTCCTGAAAAATTCCCCGCCTTATCCGCTGCTCCTGCCGCGGTACATTTGTCATGTGCGCGAGAAAATTGGTCAGACCGGTAAGCGGAAGTCATGAGATGGGCGGAATGATGGGAAGGAAAGCAATTGGATGCCTCGGCCGGAAGGACTCGGGCGATAAAGCACAGAGGGTGGGCAAGAAACGTTTAGAAGGCCTGAGAAGAAGAGCTACACGGTTAAGCATGGCCGAGCACGGTTTCCGAACCGTCGCCCAGAGTTAGGTTCAAGGCAACCAACGTACTGGGTATTCGGTGCCTTGAGCGGCTGTCTCTACTGACTCGCCTTCTAATGCGTCTCAATATCTGCTCACAGTCACAACGCTCAATTCTTTCCCCCAAACTCACCAATGCCTCGGTAATGTACAGTCGTCGTCTCGTAATAATTCATTCCAGCTTCATCTGGTCTCAGTTCTTTTCGATGTGCCGTGTAATGCAACCTCCAGGTATCGTAATGCAGCAATATCACACTGCTAAGACATCGATTTTCCGCCCTCTGGGTCCTCGAGTCGGTGTGTCGACCTCACCAACATCATCTTCATTTGTTTGCTGGCTTGAGTTGGGCTCCTGCGCATAAGAGAAGCCGCAGCTATCTCGCACTCGCTGCCAGACCTGTACCATGAAGGGCAGTCCTCTGGGCTCGTCCACCTGACCAGACTGCTGGAATTCGGTAATGACAACAGTGTCTCCATCCGGCTCCGGCTGTACCTCAAGATCGACCGTGCAAGGACTGGGAGGGAAGAACTCGTTCTCATCCCGGCAGACCTCCATCTTAAGCTTGCTGCCAGTCCACAGCCCTGGTGTGAAAGGAGAAAAGGCAGGTCTCTTAGGTGTACTCCACTTCTTCAAGATCAACGGCTCTCTATCAGTGTCAGCCAGAATGGGACTGCTAAGTGGTGAGATTGGCGGCCGCATAGGTGTTCCTCGCTTCCTTGAACTCGGTAGGGGCGACTCGTTGTTGCCTCTGATGGGACTTGTGAAGGGCGAAACCGGTGGTCTCCTTGCTTTTGCTAAGGGTGAGAGTATCGCGCGTCCTGGGTAATCCTGAGGTAGTTTGATCTTCTTTGGACTTATCAACCTCCTTGACAGTATGGCTGAAGGGTTTCCTCCATCTGCGGCATTCGGGGAGGGCACTTCGACAACGATCTTTGCTTTCTTGGATGGTCTGTTCTCCTTGGAACTCTCGTCCTCGATCGATTTCCGCTTCCGCTTAGGCTGTGCTGCTTTCGAGACGGCCATGTCAATTTCTCCTTGTCGAAGCCAGAGATCATGTCGGCGCTTTTTCAAATCATCCACCCAGTCATCGCAGTCCATGGCCACAAAATCATCGATTATCCCCTCCCAGACGCTCTCTGCGGGTCGAGTGCGATTGACAAATATGACGCGTCCCTTGTCGTTCTTGTGCGAATGGACGGCTTTTGCAAACTCGCGCACAATCTTCTGCAAACCAAACACCTTCAAAGATGTCCCCATTATCACCAGCACCTCCGGTCGACAACCAGCATCGAAAGGAATCAGCGGAGTGAGCAGCGTGTTGGAAGGATGATCTTCTCCGTAGAGTACGATGTTTGGTCGGAGAGAACCTACTGCCAGACCTCGCTTTCCCGTGGCCTGTCGGTCTGCGCTCTTCTCTTTGCATTTGGGGCAGCTCGGTGCAGCTCCTTCCAGGTAGATGTCAGTCTCCTCGTCCCCCCATTCATATTGAGTGGAGCACATCGTGCAGCGCAACTTGTCCAGGTCACCGTGGAGCTGCACAACTTCACATCCTCCGTCAAAGTCCGTGGACACAGTCTGCGCAGGACGTGGTGCTTCGTAGTGCTTCTTCATGAACCGCCGCTTGTTTCCCTTGCCGCGCCGCAGGTCCGTCACAAGGCCTTCTCTTGCTTCCAAGCCATCTATATTCTGAGTATAGCACCTCATCAACCGACCACCATCGCGGAGGACTCTAATGAATTTGTGGACCGAGCTAGTCGAGCGTACCTCGTCGCGTATCTTGTGTCGCATTGATGCTATGAACTGGTAGAACACCGTCGTTGACTCGGCATTCTGGAACACACGCGAGTCAAACAAATCTTGTCCTCGTAGCCTGGACGAAGGACTTGAAGACGCTCTCCGGCTTCGCGACTGCGAGGAGAAAGGTTCTCCATCCAGACTCAGGTCGGCAACTCGACTGTGCGTGGGCGTGGAAGGCTGCGATGACGGTGGTGTTGGAAGCATGTTTTGGCTCGGTATCATGTTGTAGAGCCCATCCTTGGATCGGAAGTCCTTTGCACAGTCAATACCTCTCCACCAGACGAATCACGTAACCCACGGGAATGCCACAACTGGTGCTAATGCCTGCACCTGTGACAAGTAGGATCTTATGCGACCCTGCTAGGGTATCTGCAATCTCCTGCAGAGCTCGCTCATCCTCAATGGTCACCTCTCGGAGCCCCATGGTTGAGTCTACGCCGTGATGCTCAAAATGTCGAGCTCAGATAGGATATCGACGAGATGGATTCCAGCATCAGGCAAAGTACGCGCGGAGGCTTATCAGTGACAGAGAGTCGACACGAGGTATGCTGGCTGGGGAATCGAGTCCCTGTGGGCACCAGCACCGTGTCAATCTCGCGTCCGTAGCGTCCGAACCATAGACGCGTGGTAGTCGTGAAGAACTGTGAATAGCACGTCCCTTGGGTCACAATAAAATGTATGAAGCCTTCACAACTTGTGGACTGTCACCCACAGACTGCGGGTTCCCTCGAGTAAAGATGTAATCCAAGTGTTTTCATTGTCTGATGGGAGAGCTCCGATTTGTTTACTGGCCGAGGTTACGACTTGCTTGTTTGACCACGCGAATGGCTAAGATCGGCCGCTAACCACTAGCGCCCGTTAATTCTCCGCACGAATCACCAGTCAGACAGTGACGTGGTGGTGCCACAATCCTGGGTGAAGTGGTAAAGAGGTGGTTGTGAGACAGAAATTATTCCAGCAGTGAATTCAGTCTCGGCCTCTTCGCCAGAGACTCCCACTCGGCTTCAAAGTTGACGTGTGACCATCCCATGCAGTCCTCCACCGACTTGCGCAACTGCGGAGGACGGACACCCAAATCAATCACATCCTCTTCTTTGACCTTCTCGTGGACTTCAGCACCCAGCAAAAACAACAGTCGTGACTCCTCTTTTCGCCGTGCTGCTGTGTCCATCCTCTCCAGATACTCATCTTGCTGCTCATCAAGATGCCTTGATCGCTTGAGCCGTGGCGTCGGGACCTCGGAACGTCCTTCCGATTCAGAAACGTCGTCTCCCGTCTGTGTACCATGTGTGAAGTCTTCATCGCCTTCCTGCTGACGCGTGGTCTCGTCCTCCGACCCTTGCATATCATCTTCTTTCTCTTCTCCATTCGAGTGGTCACTCGAACTGTCTTCACTCTCCCTTGGCTGAGATGACTCAGAAGTAGCTTCCTCCTCTCCGCTGAACGCTCCTGGTGCTGCCGAAACGGATCTGCTCCTGCCTGACTGGGACAAGGATTCTTCTACCTCGCTATAGGGAATTGCATTCTTCCCATCGACACCTCTCCTATGCGCATCGTCCACAATCCTCAAGCCATTGCTCCGTCCCAGCCCGACCCAATATGAGCGAGCGTTTCTCTTAACACCAAGCACGTCCAGAGCAGCGGCGACGTCTTCCAACTTGACGCTCCCACTGGGTCGATACTCCGTGGTCGTGGAGGCACGGAGTCGTGACTGCGCAAGAAAAATGCACGACTGTACTAGCCGGCGCAGGAGATTGACAATAATATCGTACAAGAGCGTTACGCAATCAAGCGTCACGCTCGGACGCTCGCCATCTTCTGCTATATTCTGCCACGAGTTGGGGCTGTCGGAGCCTCTGTTCATGAACAACCGCTCGCTGAGCTCCAGGAATGCTGACAGATGGAAGAATGAACAAGCTTGCTGAGAGAGCGATGACAAGTCATCATCGGATACCAGGTCATGTCCGTTGGGTTGCATCTCGGTCTCATCTGCTCGCTTGTCGAGTTCCACAGCTACTTCATGGTCGATCAACCACGGCCCATTAGCTTCTTTGGCTGCCACAGCATCATACTGTTCTTGGAATGCCAATAGTGCATCCGCAGCCCGATTCAGGATAGCCTCGCAGTCTGGGCCAACTTCAATGGCAGCCGGGATTTCGGCATGCGCGACATTCTTGGGCTGCGCTTCGAAGCGTTGTCGATCAGCCTCTAGCTCGCGTAGATTGTCTAGATAAGCCTTGATCTCGACCACCGACTTGGAGCCCACCAAGCCTGCAAGAGCTGGCAAGTCATGTCGACCTTTCCGACAAAGCGCGTGGTAAAGTTTTGCCTTCTCACCCGGTTGCCACAAAGTCGCACCAAGCTGGGTGGGGGGCAGTTCGCCATGGAAGTAATCGTCCTCTCCTGCCTCGAAAGTGTTCTTGAAGAGGTCGAGATAGTGGTCGTGATAATGTTTGCGAAGTCGTTTCCATTTTCGCTGGGGGAAGGAGACTGAGCGAGAAATATCTGGTCTTGCTTTGGGCCTGGTCTCTAACGCATGTGAATGTGCATGTTCATGTTCACGGGCACGTTCATTTCCGTCTAGTGAGCGATCTTCCGCATGCAATTGATCTTCGTCCCGAGAGACGTGACCTTGGTCGTCACTTTCATCCGGGCTGTCGTCGAGATCCATGGCTGATTTTTTCTCTCCAAGACATGAGTTGTCGCGTAGCTCGGACGCGCAAGAGAGAACATGGAGCAAAGGCCATATCACTTTTGAAATTGGACGTCTGCCAGCATTCTCCGCCTCTGAAGCACGCCGTGATGGGTGTAGCGAAGCAGCCGGCAGAATGAAGCAGCCGCCGAAACCTCGAGGACGAGTCTTGGCGCAGATCTCGATCTCGCACTGGAAGCACATCCCCATTACTCGGCGCCTCTCGCTTCCCCACCTTTCGCAGCCTTTTCGCCCGACGCAATGGTTCCTCTGAATTCGTCCCTCTTCGTCATCTCTAACCACGCCGGACGGAGCGACGGTCGGACATCCTGTGGGGAAGCACCTCCATCGTCACACGAAGAGTGTACCTGCGCAGGTACCATGCAGGCTCGCTACGAATGGCGCTTAGCGTGTCCGGTAATATCGAGCGAGGGAGGGGCCACCTTGTTCGACTTTAGTATCTACCTGTCGCAAGACCCTTACAAGTTGACTAGATTCATGCGTGTACCCTTTATTTATGCAGTTAGAATTACAAAACCCTAAAGCTAAGACAAGTACATCCTCGAAGGGCTCTAAATCCGAAATACATCATACACATCTGGACGTAGGGCCGCGTAGGCTAAGGGGGAAACGAACACGAAGTATAAAAAGAGGTCCGTACTCTCAGGTCGGGTTCTTGATGTACTTCAGTCAAAGGACAGCGACTCGACTTTCAGTTTCGTAAATCTCATACTCTCCCCTGTATCTCTCACAATGCTGGTGTTCGTAACATGAGCCACGGGGTTCATTGGGCGCGCCACGGTCGAAGAACTCCTGAGCCGTGGCCACCAGGTTCTCGGTCGCGCACACAGCGATGCCGCCGCCGAAACAGTCAAGCAACTCGGCGCCCAAGTCCACCGCGGCAGCCTCGACCACCTGGACAGTCTGCGTGCCGGCGCCAAGGCCGCAGACGGGGCGAACATCTGGCCCGCGGTCCATCGACTAGATGCGGCGGTGATGTCCCGTCTCGCGCTGTAGAAGGGCCCGCACGGCGCTATCTACCATGCTATTGCCGAGAAGGGCGTTCCGATGAAGGATATCATGACGGTGATTGGCAAGCGGTTGGACATCCCCGTGGTGAGCACGACCGTGGGGGACGCGACGCCGGACTTTGAATTCATAGCGACCGCGCTCGCGGGTGATAATCCTGCGGCGAGTGAGAAGACGCAGAGGGAGCTGGGGTGGAACCCGATGGGCAGTGGTCAGCCGGGCTTGCTGGCGGACTTGGATACCAACTACTTTTGATTGAGGCCGCGACAGAGGGCAGAGGGGGGGGATACAATGAGATAAGTACTTGCGGGTTGCTTGTTTTTTAGGCTACAGTGTGCGCAAGTGCTCAAGATAAGCACCTGACACTTGCGAGAAAAGGAAAGCTGGGATGAGAGGCGGACTTGCAGCACGGCGTAGTACAACAACAAAGCATAGTCCCCCGTTTGGTTTAGCCTTGGTGTTCTCTTTACAGACTCCCGTGTCATTTAATCACAACGTCACCGAGGCTCATACGCGAAAGGCTCTCCAGTTTGTGCCTCCTGGCTGAGGCTGATAATGATCAATGCGAGAAAATGGCCAGTGCCTCGATTTCCTGCAGGGACCAGAAGTCCCACATTGGGGCACATGGGGTAACCAGGGGTAGCTCACCGCATTGGGGGAGGGTCTGGCCTTGCCATGTGGGGCTAGGCTGGGACTGTGTGGACTGCTCTTGTATTCAGATGGATCTTTTCCGGATGCATAGGTACCGTATATCACAAGAGGCGTCGACTATCTCCCAAGACACTCTTACTTCTCCCGGTTGTGATCTGTGCTCATCAATTACGACATTGTTCCGAAATGGCATCCAGCAACCTGCCCCAAACACCTACTCTGCTAGAAAAGCACAGTGGCGTTCCCACACGATTGGTCGACCAGGCGAAGAGAGCAAAAGGGCTGCTCTTCTCAAGGCGAACCAAGGGCGATGTCGCCTCAAGCGCACCTCGTCGATTGCAGCTGCCGCCGGACACGACGCAAGAAAAGTTCGACGAAGCCATCGCGCAGTTACGGTCTGTAGTCGGCGAACAATATGTGCAGGTCAATGACGCGGCGCTGGTCGATGGATGGTATATGGAACATCCGTGAGTCCGCTTTCGCTTCTGCAGTCTCTTATGTGCCGTCTCGTCGCTAACGTTTCGTCCAGCAACACCCACGACAGCAATCATGTCGCCAACCAGGACGCCTTGGTCGCCAGCGCGGTGGTCTACCCTTCGACGACAGGGGAAGTCCAGGCCATCGTGCGGTGGGCTAACGAGTGTCTAATCCCGCTGCATCCCATATCTATGGGGCGGAATCTGGGCTACGGCGGCGCGGCACCCCGCGTCTCGGGTTCCGTCGTGGTCGATCTAGGCAGGCGGATGAACAAGATCCTCAAGATCGACGGCCAGAACGCCTCCTGCCTGCTCGAGCCGGGCGTGTCGTACTTTGCGCTCTACGAGGCAGTCAAGAAGAGCGGGCTCGATCTGTGGATCGACTGTCCCGACCTCGGTGGCGGGAGCGTCATGGGCAACGCCCTCGACCGGGGCGTAGGCTACACCCCGTACGGCGATCACTTCGGCATGCACTGCGGCATGGAAGTGGTGCTGCCGGACGGAACGCTGCTGCGGACGGGCATGGGCGCCCTGCCTGGAGAAGACGACACGGACAATTTGACGTGGCAGTCGTTTCAGAACGCGTACGGCCCCGCCATTGACGGCATCTTTAGCCAGTCCAACTACGGGATCGTGACCAAGATGGGCTTCTGGCTCATGCCGGCCACAGGCAACCAATCTTACCTGGTGACCTTCCCCCGCGAAGACGACTTTGAGCAGATTGTCGACCTGATCCGCCCGTTGGCCGCCAGCCGCGTGTTCGGCAACGTGCCCCAGCTGCGGCATGTCGTCCAGGAGCTCGCGGTCACGGGCAAGCCTCGAAGTCATTTCTGGCCCGAGGGGAGCGATCGCGGGGGACGGCTGCCTCGGTCGGTGATTGCCCGCGAAGCCGCCAAGATGCCGCTCGGCGACGTGAGTTGGATCTTCTACGGCTGTCAGTATGGGGACGCCAAGACGATCGAGTCGCAGCTCGATCTCATCAAGTCGACGTTCGCAAAGATCAAGGGCTCCAAATTCTACTTGCCCTCTGATTTACCGCCGGACCATTACATCCACGACCGCGCCAAGGTCAATATCGGGGAGCCTGTCCTGAAAGAGCTGGACTGGCTGAACTGGCTGCCGAACGCAGGACATATCGCCTGCAGCCCCATCCTGCCGACAAGCGGCAAACATGCTCGTGTGATGATGGACATTGCCGAAAAGCTCTACGCCAAGTGGGGGTTCGACTCGTTCAGCACGATCTGCGTCGCTGGCCGCGAGATGCACTTTATTGCCGAGATCGTGTTTGACCGCGAAGACCCCGACAGCAAACGCCGCGCCGCGTGCCTGATGCGCGAACTGATCGATGAGGGCGCCAGGAAGGGCTATGGCGAATACCGGACGCACTTGTTGTATATGGACCAGGTCGCCGGCACGTATAAATGGGGCAATGGTGCTCTGGGCCGCTTCAACGAGACCATCAAGGACGCGCTGGACCCTAATGGCATTTTGAGCCCCGGCAGGAACGGCATCTGGGGCAAGCGGTGGAGAGAGAAGGGCTGGAAGAGCGGCGAGGTCGGAATGCCTAGAGAGGTGAAGTTGTGAACTTGCTGGCACTAGAAGACAGGACCGTAGTCACCGCTTGAAAATATAGACAGCTCGAGCATCAAGCGTCAAGCTCAAGCTCACGTACAAGTACAACGCACCCTTGTTCCTCGCCTCAACGTGTAGATCGTGCTACATCCTGGTGGGCCAGCCCGCTTACATAAGCCGCATATCTCACGGACCCACAAAAGATGAATTATGCTGCAACAACACGCAGCCTTGGGACTAACTTCAGTGAGTTACACACGCCTATGTCGCCCTCCGGTACTGGAGCTCTCCAGGCTGGAACTACGAATACGGGGCCATATTGCCAGCGATCCCAGCACCGCCACTGAACCAGAATTACTCAGACCATGACTTCAACAACCTCAACCATGGAAAACCCACGCCAACGCTCACCAACGCCCAACGACACGCACCTCTGGACCGTACCCCAAGAATCAGCCCTCCTCCAAGCAATCACCCGCTGGAAACCAGTAGGCATGCACAAACACTTCCGCATGATCGCGATCCGCGACCACCTGCTCAGCACGGGCCTAATCGCCCCAGAAGACACCCACACTTCCACGGCCGGGATATGGCGCAAACTCCACATGCTGTACGACCTAGACCGCCTTGATGAGCGGGAAGACAGTATCGTCGGGGATGCCGCGGGCATGGGGAGCACCAGCACCTCGACCTCAACTTCCAAAAGCGAACCGGACGATTATTGGCGCGAGTTCGAGCTGCCGCGCGCCGACTTTGAGGAGCTGATGTGGCAGAAAAGGTTTGCGCCAGAGGGAGCCAGCGCGGTGGGGAGTTCGCGGCCGCAAAGCCCTGCGGGGATCGCCGCTAGGAGAGAGAGCACCATTGCGGACACCGACGAGCCGCGGAGTTCGCCTGTCAGTGCGTCTGGCGGAGGTTCGACCCGGGGGAGAGGACGTGGTAGAGGTGGTGGTGGGAGGCTGTCGAAGTTGCAGAACGAGGTGGAGGCCGAGGGTAGCAGGAGGGGGAGTAGGAGGACGAGTAAAGCGCCGAGTATGAGTGCGGTTGAGGTGGCAGAGGATGAGGGTATGGAGGACGTGGATGTGGATGATGAGGTGGAGGCAGAAGCCGAGGAAGATGAGACTGGCGAGGGTGAGAGTGAGGAGCAAGAGCAAGGGGACGAAGAGGAGGCTGAAGTCAAGCGAGGTGGCGCGACGAAGCGAGGAAGGGGTGGACGGAGAGGCAGAGGGAGACGAGGACGGCGGAGATAGGGCAAGCAACATGCAACATGCAACATTCCCTACGGTCGGTGCCATCCAAGCTGGTCAATACGGAGGGAGTACGCTGGATATCGTTGCTCTGTCTATACGCCCATAATGCCATGCGTGTTTGTACAGCCGCAGTTACAGTCACAATCACGGTCGTTGTCATCGGACGTCGCAATCTCACTGGTGGGTGCCTGCCCTGGCGTGAGCTTCGTTATCTTCGACCCAAGCCCGCAAACTACGCCGTTGCACTGTTTTGCTGTCTACCTTTCTCCTTATCGGTGCCTCTCAGCTTCTTAAAGCAGCCAAAGCTGTTCCTGCTGCCCTCTCTCAGCTTCTTCAACACAATCCTCATGTCTCCTAATTCCTGTTGCAACCGTGTTCGTGCTTCGTTGGTGGTCCTCTTGTCCAACTCTGTGTAGATCTGCCCTTGGATCTCCCCCGCCTTGGGAGTGGCGTATTGGGCCATGGTCTGAGCAATGAATTCCGTGTCAAGAGTGGCTTGCATCAACGCTGGCAAGGTGTAGGTGTTTGGCTTCCGCTCTTTGAACCCGTCAAGGAGGGCTTGAGAGACGTTTTCGAGCAGGTGGGACAGAATCTCGCTTAGCAGTGGGCTGCTGTAACCTGTGCTCGACACTGTGGTAGAAACCTCGCTGTGCACCTTGACCAGTTGCATGAGCGCCGCATAAACATAGGGCTGGACTTGCACGGGTTTCGAGGTACTGGGCACCCAGCTTGGAGAATTGATGCCATCTTTGATGATCTTGGTCAATTCGGCGACGATCGGGCGAGTATATGCATGGAACAACTTGGCGTCGATCTGGCCAAAGACGTCTTTTATCGATTTCGACTCGTCTGCAAGTTTCACGGAGAATGAGGATTCGAACAATTGAATGAGCGACGGGACCTGCTCGTTGCGTAGGGCTTTGGTGTTGGACATGGTCAGCAGCAGGCGCACACTGCGACTGGAGGCATTGATCGCGTCCTGGACCAGGATGTCGCCCGGGTCTGCGCCGGTGTTCACAGAGTTGAGGCCGGCTGATAACACCCATTCATCCTCGTCACCTTGTTCCGCCACCTCTGTGTTGTCGAGCATACCACTGACTGCTTTGTAGACTGTGCTGACGAATTGTGTTCGTATCATTTGCAGGAGCTTCGATGGTGGCGGAGTGATAACCTCACGCGCACCGGGCTTAGTGGTCGTGTCTGAGAAGTACAGTACTTGTTGCATCCCCAGCAACACCTTTCTCTCGAATGCCTCGAAGTATAGTGGCATTCGTGTCTGGTCGCGCTTTTCGGGTGCCCGGATCCAATCTTCCATGGACTTACAGCTTTCAGCATCCTTGCTCCAGGCTTCACAAACAGCTCGCATGGAACGCTCCCGAGCTCCGGCAGTCATTGTCTTGATCCTCTCATACATGGCGTTGTTGCTGTTAACTGGGCCTAGAGCCACCATCTCGTTGGCGGAGATTGCGACAAGGGTGAGGATTTTCTGAAGATATTGCACAGCACTCAGCGCGTTGGAGTGAGGTGGCCAGAATGCAAAGTCTTCCCATGGCTCGCCCTTCTTTGCTGCAACAGGGACGTCGTTGGGGTCAAGCTTTCCAATGCGGCCGTCGGTAGGCGAAAATGCCGATGCCGGGTAAGGAGTGGTTGGTGTTCCTGCGGAGCCAGGCACTGGGGAGAAGAGAGACGAAATATCTTCGGCGGGTGGATCCGCAAACAGTGAAAAGACAGCATCCCGCAGCTGGCCAACAAGTTCAACAGCACCGTTTCGAAGTCCATTGATATCTTCCTGGGCCATCTGAAGGTGTTTGGCACTCTCTCCTTGATAGCCAGTGGGCAGGGATTTCGTCTTCGTACCATCAATGAAAGACTGTGCTGACTCCCAAAATTCGACGACCTCGCCTAGTAGTCCGCTGGAGACTGACAACAATTTCGTGACGTAGGTCAAAATGCAGTTCCAGAAATCGATAACATCATCCGTGTCAAGAGCCTCTGGACGCTCTTTGGAAGCCTGGCGCAAGAACGCTGCAATAGTCAGAGATGATGGACGTTCTGCGAGTGCCAAACGGCGGCGCAGGATCTCAACTTCGATCCTCGATCTCTCTACAATCGCGGTAATCTTGTTCTTCAAGTAGTCGTACTTGCTTAGGAGATAGACCCAGATAGGACTGTCATCCACGCCTAGGTTTAAAAGAACGCTTATGAGTTCAATATGTTCTTCCTTCTGAGAGACGCCGGGTAAAGGCAAAGCTGCTGAGGGGGTGGAAAGCCTCCGCCAGACATCCTTCTTGAACGTCTTGATTTGCTCGTCGACTTTGGACCACATCTTGCCAATGATGATGACCCAATAAGTCTCGTCCTTGGTGAATTTGTGGCCGGCTTGCTTCGTCTTCTCAGCCATGGCCTGCACCTCCGCCCTGTATCGACGAGCGGCGTTGTAGTGCTCGCGTATACTGTCGTAGTCTCTCTGATTGACGGCGTTTTCTAATCTGTTGGCGAGCACCCAGACTTCTCTGTCTTTCTCAACGGAGCCTAAAAGAACTTTGAGATTTTCTTCACGTTTCTTCCCGCCTAATGCTGGTCCCCAGGCATCTTCGGCTTTCTGGGCAACTTCTGAGAGAGAGGTTTTGACGCCTTTAACACCATACTCTGTTTCCTTTCGTAGAGCATTCTTGCCCGGCGGCTGGGACTGTGCCGCGCCAGTAGCGCTGCCAGTGCTGATGTTGCGAAAATGGATGCCGCTAATTCGTCGGGAATGGCGGTTCGAATGTGACGGCGAAGGTGGGACGTTGGCATGAGGGTCGACGCCCTGACCGCGCATCTCGGTGTACACATTGTCAATTGTGGCCTTCGCGCGGACGAACCGCTCGAAATTGGACTCAACCAGATTCTTCAACGGTGCTGATTGCTGATCTATGGATTTGGCGAGATAATTCGAACCCGCCACAAGGTCACTTGCAGTGTCTTGGTCATGAGTTGTGGCCAAGAAGGCTTCCGGGGCAAACGTGGTGGACGACAGCATAAACTTGTTCTTGAGCCGTGTATCCGCATCGACCGGCAGTCCCTTTTGCCGCAAGTTGGAGAGCACAGTGCCTGGAGCGCCAAGAGGATCTGGCTCGTCCTTCTGAACCAAGTTCGCACGGCCATCCCCGGTTCTCTGAGAGCCAGGCAACAGACTCTTCCTCTCGCTGGCGGTCCTCTCTAGCGCACTATATCGGGACCTTGAGCGTCTCACCCCGCCAGCGGCGTCCTCGTCGTCATCGCTGTCGAGTTCTTGCGGCCACTCTGTAGGATATGGATTGGAGATATTGAAGTGGGTGACGACGTCTCGATCTCGACCGGCCATAATGAACAAAGGGCCGTGGGTGACCAAAGTCACTGGCGGAATCGCGACCCTACACAGTAAGACTCGCGAGGAGGTGGAACGTCTTGGTTTCACGTGATTGTCTAAGCAGCTTTCGGCGTGGTGGCTTGGCGTCGTTTTTCGCGGTGGAGCTATCGGAAGCTGCCACTGAAGCTGTGATGTAACTGGCGCCTTCCCGCGCCATTGGACATTTCAGAAAAAGAGCTTCCCTCCCGTCGCTCTGCAGTCTACACAGTACCCACCACCTGCGCTCAACCGGCCTCTAAAGACGTGCGGTCCCTCGATGGTATGAAAAGGGTGTCTTTTTGAAGTTCTCCCTGCTGTCTATCGTGCAGCTCGCCCACCATGATTGCTCCTCGAGCATTCGCTGCTCCAGCTCGCCAATGCTTGCGAAAAGCCTGCGCTCAGCCGATACGGGCTCCTATCTTCGTTCAGGTACGCAGCTAATTCTCTCCGGAATCTCGCAATCGGAATGACTCATGCTCTACTGCTCAGTTCCAGCCTAGGCGCTATGCCACAACCGCCGAAGCAGACAAAGTCGCGAAGTTCAAGGGCAAGAAAGGATCAGACGGAAATTACACTGTCACGTTAATAGAAGGTGATGGCATTGGTCCTGAGATTGCTCAGTCCGTCAAGGACATTTACAAAGCTGCGAAGGTGCCTATCGTATGGGAACCGGTGGACGTCACCCCTCGCCTGAAGGAAGGGCGGACGGTCATTCCAGACGAAGCAATTGCTTCGGTACAGAAGAACTATGTGGCTCTGAAAGGGCCTCTGGCCACACCTGTCGGCAAGGGTCACGTTTCTCTCAACCTCACCCTGCGGCGGACCTTCAACCTTTTTGCCAACGTGCGTCCGTGCCGAAGCATAGAGGGGTACAAGACCCCGTACGATAACGTCGATACCGTGCTTATTCGAGAAAACACCGAGGGCGAATACTCGGGCATCGAGCACGTCGTGGTTGACGGAGTCGTGCAGTCCATCAAGCTCATCACTCGTGAGGCTTCCGAACGTGTGCTGAGATACGCATTTCAATATGCTCGGGACGTTGGCAAGAACAAGGTCCGTGTTGTACACAAAGCTACTATTATGAAGATGTCGGATGGTCTCTTCCTCAGCACCGCGAGAGATGTTGCGAAAGACTTCCCCGACATTGAATTTGATGCCGAACTGCTCGACAACGCCTGCCTGAAAATTACGACCGACCCAGGTCCATATTCGGACAAGGTCCTTGTCATGCCCAATCTTTACGGCGATATCTTGTCAGATATGTGCGCAGGTTTGATTGGTGGCTTGGGTCTCACACCCTCCGGAAACATTGGCGATGAGTGCTCCATCTTCGAGGCCGTACACGGGTCCGCGCCCGATATTGCTGGCAAAGGCCTTGCCAACCCGACGGCTCTTTTGCTCAGTAGTATCATGATGCTACGGCATATGGGCTTAAATGAGCATGCCGAGAAGATTGAGAGCGCTATCTTTGCGACGTTGGCAGAAGGCAAGACTTTGACGGGTGATTTGGGTGGAAAGGCCAAGACCCACGAGTACGCAGCTGGTATCATCAGCCACTTGTAAATGCGCCTCCGCATCCAAAGTTGAAGGGTGACGGCTGTTAGAAAGCCCTGAAAGGCAGGAGTGGTGCGAGGGGAAGAAGTCTGGCTCTGTACTCTCAGTTGGGTTATGGTTGGTGTGCCAGTCTATCCGATTAAAGCGGTCCATGGAGCTTAGGAATGCAAATACATGGATTGATTAAGCGTCAACCTCCATATATGGTCTTGACTAGATCATACTATGCTCCTCAAGGGGAGCCCGTATGGAACCTGTATGTGTACGCAAAGTAAAGGGACCCCAAGAGCTTCGCCCGCCTACTCGCTGCTGTACTAAACCAGCTGTGATTGGACGATGTCACATGTAGTATGCGCTGAATACGCCGTACTTCCTTGACTGTCCACGCAGTATGGCATGTGCCCCTCAATCCTTACGAGTACCACAACCATGTCAGATCGTGTATTATGCTAGCACCGTCAAGATGGTTGCAGAGGTTAGCTTATACTTCACGATGCATCTTGCATTCACGACAAGCGCATCGGGCGCTGGCGACGGTTGTCAAGTCGCCACTGCCACCCGTGGTCCGTGATGAAGCGATCCGACTACGAGAGTATCAAGAGGAATGCATTCAATCGGTGCTATCTTACCTGAAGAAGGGCCATAAGCGCCTAGGTATCTCGCTGGCCACTGGTAGTGGCAAGACGGTACTCTCCGAGACTCGTCGCAAGGAGTGGATGCTAAGTCGGACCACCAGGTTATATTCACGCAACTAATCGATCGAGTCGAGCCACCCACCAAGCATGCCCAGCAGACTCTGATCCTTGCTCACCGGCGAGAGCTGGTGGAGCAAGCCGCGCGACACTGCGAGCGAGCATATCCAGACAAGAGCATCGACATTGAGATGGGAGATATACACGCTTCTGGGGCAGCGGACATTACAGTCGCCTCCGTCCGCAGTCTGGTCTCAGGTGACCGGCTGACCAAATACAACCCGGATCGCTTCAAGCTGGTCCTTGTGGATGAAGCCCATCACATCGTGGCACCGGGCTATCTGCGGATTCTCGAACACTTTGGCCAGGAAGAAAGACGGGACACTGGCCCGGCATTGGTTGGTGTCTCGGCGACCTTCTCTCGCTTTGACGGCCTAAGACTCGGCGCGGCTATTGACCATATTGTCTATCACAAAGACTACGTCGACATGATCGGTGAGAAGTGGCTCTCGGATGTCATATTTACCACTGTCAAGTCGAAAGCAGATCTATCCAAAGTCCGAGTTGGGAACGAAGGAGATTTTCGGACAGGCCAATTGTCCAAGGCCGTGAATACGGAGATCACCAATGATATCACAGTCAAGGCATGGCAAGAAGAAGCTGGCTATCGGAAATCGACACTGGTGTTCTGTGTCGACATCAACCATGTGACCAGCTTGACGTCCACGTTCCGCAGACATGGCATCGACGCACAGTACATCACCGGCGCGACGAAGAAGCGGATACGAGGCGAGCGCCTTGAAGCTTTCAAGAACCGCGAGTTTCCTGTCTTGCTGAATTGTGGCGTGTTCACTGAGGGCACCGACATGCCCAACATTGACTGTGTGCTGCTGGCTCGCCCGACCAAGTCGCGGAATCTCCTTGTACAAATGATCGGCCGTGGTATGCGTCTACACCCGGGCAAGAAGGACTGTCATGTCATCGACATGGTGGCTTCGCTAGAGACGGGGATCGTCACGGTTCCCACTCTCTTCGGCCTAGATCCATCAGAAGTGGTCAAAGCCGCAAAAGTGAACGACCTGAAAGAACTCAAGGACAGAACGCTGGAGGAGGCGGCGCTCTCTTCCGAACCAGCGAGCGGGCCTCCATTGCATAATGCAACATCTAGCGACCATCAACTCGACTTTACGCGCTATGACTCCGTGCACGATCTTCTCGAGGATACCTCCGGCGAACGGCACGTCCGTGCAATCTCTCCAAATGCTTGGGTACAGATCGATTCTTGCAAGTATGTCCTGGCGGCAAAAGGCGGCATATTAACGCTGGAACGCCGGCTTCCCACCACGTCCTCTGCCTCCAACAGTGCAACACCCTCACCAGAATCTGACTCGGCTACCTTTGTCGTCATATGGAAACACACCCTCCACGCGGTTGAGAAGTCCAAGTCTCCGTGGTCTCGTCCTCGCACAGTCGCCTCCGCGTCGACCCTGTCCGACGCTTTGCATGCAGCGGACACATTTGCCGCCAGCAAGTTCGAGCGCATCTTCATGGCCACTTCGTCTTCATGGCGCAAGTCTCCGGCATCGCAGGGACAGCTTGATTTTCTCAATCGACTGCGTGAAGTCTCCGAGGAGGAGCCGCTTACGGAATGGGATATCACGAAAGGACAGGCAGGCGATATGATTACCAAGGTGAAGTTCGGCGCACGAGGCCGTTTTGACAAGTTGATGCGCAAGAAGCGAGGTGTTGAGAAAGAGGTCGAGAAGATGGAGAAGGTCAAGGAAATGCGGCGACGCGAGACAGTCAAGGTAGGTCCTGTACAGCTCTAGATCTGAAGGGAAAGGAACCTTGCACTCGTCACAGCTCCCTCGTGCGCGCTTGCTGTTCGCTCTATGTACTGCATTACATTGCCTGCTCAGCAACTGAGTCTCCAGCCCCCAGCGAGGCAAGGAGGGATCATGATAAGTAGACATCACGGTCTCCTCGAAAATGGAGTACAGCAGCACAGCCAGCCTACGTTGGAGCGTTTCAGGTCCATTCTTGGCCATGGTGAACGCGAGCGCATGGCCTAAAGGGACCACGCGTAGAACTGCCTTCTGCCGGCCGGTGAATTGTACTCCTGGTAAGACCGTAGAGAGAAGCACATCGAAATACGAAATCTTTCGACTCATTGTCATGGCCGTGGCGAACGATGTTCACTGAGCGAAAGAGTAGGGTTCTTGGCACGATAGCGCGCCATCCGCTCCTGGAGATGCGTTGACCTACGCGTGACGCGTTGGTCAGATTGCAGTTGCAGTTGCAGATGCGGTCGCTTTTCCCATCGTAGTCGCCATCGTCCTTGGACACCGCAAGCAGGTAACCACGTCAGGTCTAAGGGTTCTCATGTTTTCAGAGAGAGAGAGACACAACCATGTCAGATCCCTCACAATGTCCCTGCCAGATCAGCCTGATCCATTCTCCGCCAGTGCGATCAAAGAACCTGAGCCTTTGCTGTCCCCGCACGACGGAATATGGGATGGATTCCGGTTCAACAAGTCACTCGAGAGCCGACTCTTTTGGTTGAATGAAGGCGAGTCAGAGAGCTTGCCGGGTCTCAGATCTGAGGTATTCCAGTTGGATCTACACGATATCCCTCTACCAGAGTTGTCGGATCCAGCATCCATTTCCACCTCCGACTCCGAGAACGCCTATTTCCAGAGCCTGGATGGAGATATCCCCGGGGATGAGGGCGAGGACGAGGAGGGAACTACGGACATATGGGCTCTCCCAGAAATACAGAATAGGCGTCGTCACAATCCATTGGTCAGCTGGGACGATTTCCTGGACACAAGGCATCAGGAACCGCCGTCAGGATACCTTTCTGAAGCGGCTACCGGTGTACTCAACGTCATACTCAAAGCCAACAATGAAAGTAGTCCGCGGCCTATCAAACCTGACGTTCTTTTAAACGCAGCCTACGAATTGTGCTTGGGTCGGGATTCGGTCCTGTTCAGTTGGGATGAAAAGAACCGAGCGTTTGCGCCTCAGTGGCAGAATGTCGCGGCACATGCATACAGCCCAATGCTGGTGCAGAGCTGCTTTGAGGAATTCGCAGTTGTTGGAATGGCAATCAAGAACCTCTCACACTCCCTCCGAGAATTGGACCAGAGCTATTCCCAACTGTCATCTTCTCGAGTCGCAATTTTATCAGCCTCCCGATCCATACTGCATGCCGTCCACCGAAACCTCTGCGATGCCAGACCCGACATCATGTCACTGCTACAACTGAGAGGCAGGATCGCCAAGATACAGACGCTTCTTGATGTTCTAGGTCAGTGTCATGACGCCCTGGATCAACAGCACAGACAAAGTCTGGCTGTGTGGAGCTTGCTTCAGAAGGCAACCACTGCTTCTCTGGATTATCCAAGCCTCAACGGAATACTACAGCTTACTGTATCTTGCACCTGCCGGCCCTTTCTAGCTGTCCTGAGTGCGCAGATCGGGCTCAGCACAGACCAGCCCACGGATGCTAGGCTTTCTGAGGGAGAACCGTGGAAACTGTTGCTCGAGTCGAGCGTCAGGAGCATGATTCAGGAAGCGCAAGAGAGCTTGAGCTTCTTGAGAAAGCATGCTCCAGCTTGTTGCCTCCTCTCTACGACGGCGTTCAGATCCTCACCTCTAAAGGCACTCGAACTCGGCTTCCATTTTCAGGCTATCTGCCAGCTGCAGTCTAGAGCCGTAGCCTACGAAGACGCGATGAGGTCTCTGATAGTCTCTGAAGAGTCGTCAGCCTCAACGAGTACGCTTGACACACCTATTTCTGAAAGCTTCGGACTTGGAGATTCTGCCGTTGTGCAGAAAGTGTCAGCCAATCCATTCCGGCTCGAATCGAACATCTTCAACAGCAGCGCCCACTTACTCGAAGAGATCAAGGATGACGGATTCCAAGACCAGGTTGTAAGCTACCTGGAAGGGCAAGCTGTGGGTGGTTCGAGGCTCCCCATTGGTTTCGAGGAGTCTCTCAATCTGTCCACCACTCCACTCATATCAGCTCAACATCGGCTTCTGTCTTATTCGGTCTTGCGCTTGTTGTTTCAGGAGCAGAATTTTCTAGGTCATCTCGATCTGCAACGGAGCTTTCATCTGCTTCAGAATGCCTCCTTCTCTTCAAGGCTCAGCACCGCTCTATTCGACTCGAATCAGAATAGCGGTGAAAGTCAAAGAAGAACAAGTGCCTCTACTGGTCTTCGACTGCAGGCACGAGATAGTTGGCCACCTGCTGGGTCAGAAGTGAGATTGGTGCTCATGAGTATACTATCGGACAGCCTGAGCCTTGCAAATGGCCCTTTGGACAAAACCATCTCCTTTTCCATTCGAGATATGCCTCTTGAAGAGCTGGAGAAATGCAGAGATGTCGACTCCATACACGCACTTGACTTTCTCCGACTTCAGTATACGGCGCCAAACGAGATACTGGAAGCGGTTATTGCGCCAAGCATATTAGCCAAGTATGATCGCATCTTTCAGTATCTTCTGCGCACGATGAGAATGCAAGCCTTGACGCAGAGTATGTTGAAAGACGAGATTGAGCAGACGTCTGATAAGACCACCGGACGCTCATGTGACAAGATCATTGTTGAGATGCATCATTTTATCTCGACCGTGGCTGACTATAGCCACAATATTGCAATTGAAGTTTACTGGCGCAAATTCGAAGCAGTATTGCGTGATGCTAAGACGCACATCGTCAATCAAGATTATGAACAGACATTACGTGCGGTCCAGAGTTTGAATCACCTGCGTGCCTTGCACGAGCGAACCCTCGATCTCATCCTTCACGCTCTTCTGAAACAAAGACAAGCTCGAACAAGACAGATCTTGGAGGAGGTTTATGACGTTATTCTTCGATTTTCCGCCGAACGACGAAAGAAGTTTGCGCCAATTGCGCAAATCAACAGTTCGATTGACGGAACCATGAAGCGCTTACGAAACGACTTTCGAACCAAAGTTTTGCAGTTTATGGATGCCCTGCGCTCCGGAAAACAGGCTCTCGACGTGACAGGAAAGGGGGAATTTGAGCAGCTAGACGACTCTAGCGACGATGTGGATATGTTTGAATGCCTGCTCCTTCGGCTGGACATGTCTGGATATTGGACCAGGCAGAGAGGCCGTGTCATTACGACGCAAACCGACCTGTCATGATATGATGATGTTGAAATGAACCTTTGTGGGGAACCAACCAAGTTCGCCCTATGTATGCTACACGTGAATGATACCCGTGAATGACCACCCATCCACCATGCTACTGTATGTGTACAGGTCACGCAGTCCCACGTTGGTTCGATAATGAAGAAGGGTGCAATGCGTGAATGATTCGGGTCCATTACTCCCTCAGAAGACTCTCCCCAAGACGGCCATCGACACCTTGACACCGAGATATCCTACTGCCACCAACACACCGGTCGCCACCACCAACGTGTTGAAATTCCTCCTCTCAATTCCCACTTCCTTGCCCTTGACCTCGACGTCATCGCCATCACCTTTCCCCGTCCCCAGCCCCAGCTCCGGCACATATTTGAACTCAAACACGGTCTCCTCGCCGCCAAGCCCATACTTGCCCTCGACAATGACGGCCCAAAACACCTTTCTGAGCGTCTCGATCTTCCGCCGATCCAGCGCCGGCACGGCTCGGTACGTATAACACAGACAGCTGAAGAAGATGCACTGGCCCGCCATGAGCGCCCAGTACCACCACCCGGGGTTCCCCAGGCCCAACGCATCCGCCAGGTCGTTCCCGTTCAGCCAGCGCGCATTCACCTCGAGAAAGCTGCGGCTCGCGTACGTGGGCGGCTGGTTCTCGAGGCACCGGATGATGTTGTTCGCGAGCACCTGGCTCGTGTTGGACGGGTTGATTTCATTGAGCAACAAACTCTCCATGACGCGGCGGGCCGTGTCGGGCGTCTCGAACCACGTGGTCGGAGTGCCCACGTAGTGCGCGATCAGGCGCCACAAGGCAATATAGTCCGCGCTTTCTTGCCGGGTGAGCCAGATCCCCTGCCGCGGCAGGCTGAGGAAGATGATGGTCGCGCTGAACGTGCCGATCGTGGCGATGCAGTCCAGGTCGTTGATCGGCACGCCAAACCGTTCGACGTCGTAGTACGACGGGTGCGCGCTCGCGAGACGCATGATCCGCCGTCGCACGGCCGCATGTAACAGGCGCACGCGCAGCGAGCTCGCGAAGCCGTCGCCCCCCGGCTTTATGGAGGTCAGGTCGCGCGTGCATTGCAGGATGTGCTGCGTCGTTTCGAACAGGCGGTGGCGCGCCACTTTGGTCGAGAAGCCTCCCGTGCGGGCGAGCACCTCGACAACCCTGTGCGCCCCCATCCCGCCTAGTAGCGATTGGTAGGCCAAGCCTGTCAGCGTGGCCGCGCCGTAGCGGTAGAAGACGTCCTGGCCGCGCGCGATCTGAGGCCACGATACCCAGTCCGGGGTCGTCGTCACTTCGTCCCATAGGCGCTGGAGTTTCGGGTGCGTGTGCCTGTTGTCCCGGAGGAGGATGTACAGGTCGCGCTTTGGTAGGCGTGGCGGAGAAGAAGAGGCTGCGTCGGGATCACTTGGGGATACGGATGATGTTGTTGTTGATTCGGGAGCGGCGTTGTGGCCTGAGGGTTCTGAGACCGGCGGTTTGCGGCTCATCTGGTCGAGGATCTCGTAACATTCTTCGCCTAGCACGTCGTAGCTGAATTTCAGGGGCTGTGCCTGCTCCGGTGTCAGGTGCTCGGGCGTCAGCTGGAAGGTGTAGCCCCAGCAGGTCCTGGTATTCTCGTCACGCCGCCGGAATGGGTTCGGCCACGCCATGTTTGTGGCGATACTCTGGAGAGATTAAGTGGCCCGTTGAGAATATGCGACCCCGTTGCCCTACCTTGTGGAAGTATTCGTAGTCATTGGGAACGTATGCCGGCAAGGAAATTATTAGCACGACGTGAATCTGGTGGTTTGGAGAATGGTCATGTGGTGAGCCGCGGTAAATAGTAATTGATGTCGATGTCAATGACGACGACGTGGGATTCGTCCGAGTCAGCGGCTCGCGTGTATCGACGAATCATGATTCAAGGTGGACCGTGGGAAATTGGGTTTCACAGACAAGAATATTTCGAAGTCCGCACGTGAGATCTATTATCCAACAGGCTCTGTGGTAGATGATGAACTCGCAGTCAGGGTATAGACTCCTCGAGGCTTTGAGGGCCGTGCCAAACCGCCACGCCCGTACCACAATACCCGCCCTTCCCTTCAGGCCGCAAGGCACATCAGTATCATTGTCCCTGCCATTCTCCTCAAAAGCATGCGTATCCTCTCTTCTGCCCGCATCAGAGGACGTCCACATCTGCAAGAAGCGTAGATATTCCTCTCAGGCGGCAACTCCTTTTGGCCACGACGACAGGCGATGGGTCGAGAAGGAGAGGGACGGACGATACGCGGCGAGTGAAAGGCCTGCACCGCGACGCGATGAGACACCATCAACGAGAAGAGATGACAGCGACGTCCAGGAGGAGGGTGGCGGCGGCATAATTATCACATCTGACAGACACAACTTCCGAGACAGACAAGGACGTCCGTGGACAAGAGAGAGTTCCTTAACAGGCCAGGCGGAGGGCGCAGGAACACGTGCTATAGGTGTCGGCGTCGGCGTTGGTATTGGCAGATCGTCCTCGGCAAAGAACAAGAAGTCACGTATTGGACTTCGTGATCTGTCAGTGAAACCCAAGAAAAAACTCGAACCATGGCAAGCTCAAAAAGGGGCGCTGGAGAAAAAGTTCGGGGATGAAGGATGGAAACCACGGAAGAAACTGTCACCTGATGCCATGGACGGGATTCGTGCCTTGTATGAAGAAGACTCTGAGCGATGGTCAACCCCGGTTTTGGCTGAGCACTTCAAAGTCTCGCCGGAGGCTATTCGGAGGATATTGAAGAGTAAATGGAAGCCAAAAAGTGACGAGGAGGCGCAGAAGAGGAAACAGAGGTGGGCCAGAAGGCACGATCGGATCTGGGACCATCAGGCAGAGCTGGGATTGAGACCACCGAGAGAAAAGGACAGAGACGTCGAGGACCCCGACGCCTTTGACGAGGAATTGAGAGCGAAGGAGATGCTGAACATGGCACGCAAAGCTTGATTTCAGCTTTGTTTTGTTCTGCGGCCGGTCTCATTGATGAAAAAGCTAAAGCTATTAACTTGTGCTAAGAGGAGACTCTGTGTCTCGCTGGCTGCTTTGAGCAGGAATGAACGACAAGCGCTGGTCACCTGGACGCCACTGTCTGATGGTAAAAGCACCGCAAACAATGTCAACAATAAAGCTCTGAGCCCGGCCAGGTCTTGTCGAAGTCGCAGCACCGTTTGGTCAAGCGAAATTGGTCATCTCTTTCCCCACTGCTGAAGGCCATCAATGTACGACAGTTATTCCCGTTTTGCTCTTTGCCGTCGATTGCTTGCTGTGTACGCATGTGCTTCCGTCTCCTTGGTACCGCGTGGCATCGTGCTGACAGAGAGTATAGCGTGCTGCGGGTCGCGGTCAGTCTGGAACGGCGCCAAGCTCGATGTCATACTCACTAGGCTCCGCTTCCTGTAGGGTACGTGTACGTGTCAACGACAACGACAACCTCTCACCTTCAGCGTACTTTGACCACCGCCCACGACTCCTATCACTCCCAGTCACAGCCCATCACCTCACATTCGGCTCACAATGACAACAACAGCGACCATCCAGGCGACGCTAAGGATATGCGGAACCGCCAGCCACTAACTGGCTTTGGTGTAAGACACCTTCTTGTATTCCTCGCGTGGCTTCCAGAGGCCTGTGTCGGCGTCGTACTCCATGGTCTCGCGGCGCTCAGGCATGGTCGGTGGATCGATCATGTAGAAGATGGGCGTGAGATAGTACAGGACATTGTCGAGGAGTGCAAATCCTGGGAATCCGACCGACTTCACCAGCTCGATCCAGACGTCATCGTTGAAGATGACCTGACCATCGACAGTCGACGCCTTGAACACACCCACGACGCGATAGAGGACGAGGCAGACCGTCACCAAGAACAAAGCGAGATGCCAGAGAATACCCTCGCGTTGGTGGACCATCCAGACACGGGTCAGAAGAGCAGGGCGGGTGGCAACATCGCGTTCCTTGACACCAATCTGTGGCTTGTCTTCGACACCGCTGACACCAAAGCTGAGTCTGAGACCACCGAGGCGTTGGGGCAACAAAGTCTGGAGAGTGTCCCGAGAGAAATGATGGCCCATCCAGACACCGGTTGCGATCATGCGGCGAACCTTGAGGTAGCTGCCTGAGAAGATGGAGTTGAAGTCTCCGATCAGGCCGATGACACGAGAGATGGCAAGACAGTACACAATCTGCTTCAAGCCACGAACCTCAGAACCGCCGATGACGGGGCCACCCAACCACAAGCAGACAAGGGTCAACAAGGTGTTGATTGTATGGGTGATCGTCATCGTATATGGACGGCAGGCATGATGAAACATGGCATAGCGTTGAATCAAGCTTGCACCACTCAAGGCCTGCGCATTCAACGTGAAGTTGTAGCGCAACGCATCACGGATATGACCAGTCCACTGTTGGTTGTCAGTCATGGAGCCCGTCTCAGGTTGTTGGGTCGAGCCTTACCCATCTGCGACGTTGCTTCAAGTGAGTGATCAGACAATCCGGTTGCAGGCCCCATTGCATCACACCAGGGATGAGGGCGATCTTGTGACCTTTTCCGTGAAGGCACCAGCTGGTAATAAGGTCTTCCGTGATGGAGAACTCTGGGAATCCCTTGATATCGAACCACGCCGCAGTGCGGAGAATGAAACCACTTCCGGGGCACCATGCGGCATTGACTCGGTCTCGATTTCCATCCTCAGCACCAGTGCCAGTGGTATTGCCTTGATTCAGAGGGTCATCATTTGGGACATTGTAATGGAACTAGGATGGTCAGCACGTGGCGGATTCAGTCAATCTGGAACTTCATACCTGGGCCGCAGTCACCATTGCGAGATTTGGATCCTTAATCGCGTGAGGGACCAGCATTCGAAGAATGTTCGGCTCAGGCATCATGTCGGCGTCGAAGATTGCACAGAACTCGCTGTAACCAGCAGGGGTCTTCTCAACATAGTCAACAAGTGTCGAGTTAAGGTTTCCTGCCTTGTACCCATGGTGTCCAACGGCTGGCTTCACTCGAGAGTAGTAGTGAAGGTTGGTATATGTTCCCTGCATTTGTTGAACTTTGTTTCGAAGGCTCAGAGAGTTTCCATCGTCTGCGACAATGATGCGGAACTTCTTGGCTGGCCAGTCGATCTTGCATGCGGCTTTGACTGTGTCCAAGACCACATCGTCAGGCTCGCCGCAGCAAACAACAAAGATATCGACGGTAGGGACGTTGTAGCCGAGAAGTCGGAGGGATGGACGAGGATTGCGATCACGGGCGAGAGTGATCACAGTCTTCCAGAGTCCCTCGGTGATCGTTCCCACTCCAGCAGAGTCAGCCCAGCGTTCTAAGCACCAGTATTGAAAACTCACCGTTTTCATTGACCTGGCCAAGGGCACAAAGCATGGCGGGAGACATGAGCTTGCTCGACTTCGCGTTGGCGCACAGCAAAGCGAGGTAAACGACGGTGTTGATGACATTAAGGGGTGTCAACGCGTCAGACAGGAGTGTTCCCAAAGTCACTGGCTCAGCCTTCTGCTGTTCAATCATTTCGACACCGTCAAGGTAAGCGTCAGCAGCTGCGAGCCAGACAAGTGACTCCTCGCCATTTGGGCCGGTGACGACGGCATAGTCACGAATGACTGGAAGATTGGCTTCAGCAGGCGTATTAGGCGGTGCTGGCGGTAAGGTGAAACCTTCGTCTATTTCAAACTCAATGGTACGGCTGTCTTCACCCTGAGGTTCAGCGACGGTGGATTCTGGTTCTGTGCCAGTGGTTGCGACAACAGTGATGTGGTCCTCGACTCGGTCAGCAACAGATGACGTCTCTGCGCCGCCAGTCAAAGAGTTGACTTTGTCTTTTTTCGGTCCACGGTGACGCAGAATTGAACGCTCAGGATCAGCCATGGTGAGGTCCTAGGCTTTCAGCGGTCAGCAAACTCGTCACTCACGAGAAAGAGGTCACGACTTACACAAGGGCTTCCTCGATGCTGATGAAGGGAGCGAAAGGGTATAGGATGTGTGATGTTGAAGAACGAAAGTGAGTGCGCGTCAACAGAGTCGAAGCAATCAATGACACAACTGTCGCCAGCGACAGTGTGAAATTAATGTCTTGGGATCTGAAGATGTGCCTGAAGCTTTTTGAATGTGGGATCTGAAGAATGATGTGTTCTGAAAGGTGATGGTTGAGATGAAGATGGATGAGGAAACAGATTGGAATGTGAGAACGAGAGACGAACTGGCACAAGTCTTCACTTTGAAATCCGCCAACCCAAAGGGGCAGGGGGAGCCGGGTTGCCTGCGCTCTGCTCTGTTTCGGGCCAGCAAGAAGGCAGGCGATGCTTCAGTGTTGGGTCTTTTATGTCTCCCTGTGGCTTCCAATGTGGTCTCTCCTTCCTGCTGCTACAGGGAAAGGCACTCCCCAGCTGTTTGTCTGCGGTGTTCACAGGGTTTCCAGCGGGATGCCTCCAAACACGACATCGACTGTACGGAGCCTGCATTTTCCTAACGACAGTGTTGGAAAGTCTTTGTCCCCCTCAGTCAACATGCCGGACCTCGATCGTCATTGTCCTGGCCAAGGTAGAGATCTAAGCTGCATCTCTTGTCATTGCAGTCCTTGCATCCACCCGAAACCCCAGTGAAAAGCAGACCTCCCAACCGATTTCCTGTCTAATTTTGGGATTACCAACTCCACTGCCCGGGTGGACTTCCTTTGCTCGATCCCCGTCTTGCGTCGAGATGGCTTTCGGAACTGCACAGTCTTTCTTCAACATGAAGTTTCTGTCGGCTTTATCCTGGCGAAAGGCACAAATCCTACCTCCACCCTCTGGTTTGGATCAAACGCTAAATCTTGAAATGTTGCCAGGCTCAGTCTCATTGAAATGAATGCCACACGGAACACGAGAACCGTTGATGCGCTTCTTCATCCTTCCGGTCTCCCTCCAGCCTCGAAATGCTCTCCTCGTCGCTTTTTCTTTCGTTTGGGCAGGGCTCTGAAGAAGGCCTCGTCAATCTGATTTCAGGAAACAATGTCGACGTAGTTGGCTGTTGCTGAAATGCCAAAGATGAGGACCATATCTCAGCAACAGCATTGCGAACAAAGGAACATGGGCGCTTCTCAACTTTGTTTGCGCTGGCATTGACGAAGACAGCAGGCTGGCCGACTTGCCATTGGCAGCAAGACAACACCTAACTGCACGAGACTGTGGCAATCCATGCTGTAAGACTTTTATGCCGCTGAGAACGTCTCTCATAGACACCAACCGCCTATAATCTGTCCCTTCCGAATCCCACCTGAATCGTTATCAGGGCCAAAACAAGCAGAACGAGAACATGGTGGTATAAGAGCTTTAAAGATATGGAGATGGCTGGCAGGGGGTTCTCTCTACAGCCTTTGCACCAGATCATCATCCTGACAATTGGAGGTCTGCGACCTCTGTGTGGAGTCAGGATGTCCGGTAAGAGTTCTTCTCCAGCATGAAGAGGAGGGTGTTAGTACGCACAGTGGCCAATGTATGGGACACTTCAGCACAGAGGCTCAGGATTGGACAATACCCGGGCCTACTGCGGTACCTGAAGGGATGAAGTGTACCAGGCTTTAGACGCCGCTATGTAATCATTTCACGAGCTGGGACTGGCTATCAACCGAGCTAACATCGCAAGAATGGAAAGCTGAAGCAAAAGACCATATAAAACGCCGCGCTGGCAAGGCACTTCCCTTTAGAGTCATGTTCCGCAACCAAGCAAGATCACAAGGACAGACTGCGCAGTCGCCGAGATGATGGAAGGAGTGCAGCTAATCGGAAGCGCAAGCTCGCCGATACAGAAAAGCGTCTCATACAGCAGAGTCCCAGAGAAGTCGCCTGCGCTCTGAACCCAGTTTGTGGACCTGGGAAATAGTTGTACCACATCCAAGCCCACACCCCCTGCAGGACGAGGCATCGCGGCTTCATCCGTGCCATGTAAAAGGAGCCAGGTACTTCGAATAGAGTGTTCATTAGTCCAGCGTGGGAGATCTGTGCCCAGTAACGGCTTGCCCCATGGGACTGCGCCGCCTACTAACAGATCAAAAACGACGTGTTGAAGGTTGACCAGGAAAGGCTAGCGTGACTTTCCCCGGATGCTTCACAAAGCGAGATGCCGCACTGACGGCATATGCATAACCAGCCTACCAATATAGTTCGCTTCAACCATGTAGAGATGACGCTCGCTTTCGTTCACATCAACAACCCCTTTTGGTAGAGAGCCTGATTCCTATTAGAGCGCAGGTCTCCGCTTATTATGACCCGCACCTAGACCCGCTTCGGTAAAACTGCGGATTTTTAGCCTTGTGCAGCCTTGTCTTGGCACAGCAGCGCAAAGCAAGCCCTGAATACCGCGACTGACCAGCAGCTTCAGCGGCTTTGGTGAGGAAGGGTGTATTGTGGCTATCCAACTTGTGCTCTGTAGTTCAGTCCGAGTTGTCTTTCTCCTTTGCTGAAGTCAGAGCTACAAGATTTGCTGCGACAATGGTGAACGTTCTAAAGCGCATGCGCCATCTCCAACCAGTGAGTTCTTCCCTCTAGATACCAAGAAATGGGCTAACATCGTGCAGAAAGTGAGTCCCGTAGTCTGTTCCAGTTAATGGGCTAGTGCTGACGAGTACAGCTTTTTGCGATCCGCCATGGTGAAGGCGCTGCTATTCTCCCTCCTCCTCCCTTACCCCAGTTGACGCGACTGAGTCTGCAATACGATCGCCAGCAATGGAACAAGAGCACCAGGCCTGCAAGAATCTTCCACAAAGAACATCTGCCGCGATTAAAATATCACAATCCAGGTCTACCCATCACAGTGGAACAGGGACCGGGCCGATTACAATTGACCTTTGAGAGTGCCGACCAGGAAGCGTTGAACGAGCTGGAATCGACCTCTTTAGAGACAAGCAGCGATGGAGAGTACAGGGCGACATGGTCACCAATAGAGGCAAAGTCTCAGGCGGGTTCTGAAGCCCCGACACCTTCACCAGCCTCTTCGGCAGGATCTGCCTTCACCAGAAGCGTCGAACTGCGCTTAGGTCCACATCAGCCTGGCAGCCTCTGGAATTGGTTTCAGACCGCGACCAAGTGTGAGCCTTTCCCGGAGAACCCAGAAGAAACCGCGCAGATGGATAGGCTCAAGGAATTCTTCGCCCAAGCAGAAATTGATCGACAACGGGTCAAGGCCGGTATGGACGCCATCAGGAAACAAAAGGAGGAGCTGAAGAAGGCAAGGGACGCCGCAGCGAGGATGGCAAATGAGGAATAAACCCGAGCATCTTGATCAACTGTTCGAAATATTGTACATTACAACAAGACATCCCAGCAGAGGATGCTCCTAACGAGAGGGTGATGGTCATGCCATTTTCTCTGGGAGACGAAGAAAATGCGTAAGTCACCTGGTTCTACAACGAGAACCGGAGATATTCTGTATCAGAAGAGCCATCAGCAAGAAAACCGATGGATGGAATATGGAGACATTTGCCTGGGCTGATGAACATCGAATCAACTCTGTACAAGGTCCACGCAAATCCCAGCCCCGCAGGAAGTGTCCAAACCTGAAGTGTTGGAGCAGAGTCACACGATATGGTGTCTATTGGTGATACCTCGAGCTGATTAAAGGGTGCTTATATGGAACCTTCAATAGCCCTCAAGGCGCGATCGCCGCACGACACTGAGGTGAAGTCCTCACGGGTGATCTGGCCACCCTCTTCAAGCACGTATGCGAGAGCTTCTGAAGGTACCCGCGTCTTCGATCTTAACCTGTGCAAAATTGATCACTTTCACCTCCATCCCAGTTCAACCTCCCCGGCTGACTGGAATATCCCAGTTGACACTCGGACTCTGTTTGAGATGGCAAACAAGAGAGACTGGAACTGTGTCGTGGAACATCACTGACTGTGAATATGACTAGCTCATATCACATCTGACAATCAAGCTCCTGTTACCTGCTGTCACCGAATGGTCCCGAGCGCGTTTGCTGCGCCTTTCCTAGCCTATATAAGTCCCCCACGCTCCCAATATTTCGTTCCACGGCTTACCAGCGAAACTCGTCTATTCCTGCTTTGTTCACTCACAATACTTACCTCGCATATAGTTCGTTCCAAACATGGCACGCAAACCCACCCATCAGGGTCCACCATCTTCTGGAGGTCGCAGCACCAGTTCATCGGACGCGTCAGCCCCAGCCTCTGTCGAGTCAGTGCATTTCTCACCAACAAATACGGTCTCTCGCGACGCTCAGGATACGCAGGAGGATCTTCAGAATCCTCCCTCGGACACGGATGAACGTGGTTCAGAGCCAACTAGGGCTGCGCCAGAGCCTATGCCGCACGACTCTGACCAAACTGGGTATTTGACGCACTGTACGCGACTCATCATTGATGGTCGAGTCTTGGTTATCAAAGGGCATCGTACTGTCTACATCGATACTGGCCGGCACGAGACTCCAGTCACCGTCACCGTCACGAATCACGCTGAGCTAATCGGAGACCGCTTTCCAATCGTCTGTGAACGATGCAAGGGTTACGGGAAACTGCCGTCGGTGCAACGGACGGGCGGAGGGTTTGTGCGCTCGGCGATTCCTTGCACTGATTGTGAGGGGCTGGGGGCCATCTTTCGTGAGGACCACGATCGACTTTTGCCAGCTGCCGAACCGAGACGTGGACGCCATTCCAACTCTGCCCAAAAAACAGTGCAACACTTGAAGGTCAAGGCAGCCATTTTCGCCAGTCTCGCGCAAAGTCCAGTGAGCAGGATGGAAGAATGTCCTCGGGCAAACGCGCTGTTGCAACCAATGGAGAGTCGCAAGCTGGAGAAGCTCATCGTCAGCAAGGATATGAGAGTTCTACCCATTCCACATCGAAAGACAATGCAGCCACTGGTTCACGCCAACCGAGAGTCGCCACCAATACATCCATCCGCAACAATACTGGTGCGTTGCAGGACGGTGGTCGCTCTTACGGCGATGCTATCCCGGTGCGCCTGAATGCTCAACATTGTAATAACTATACAGCTGAAGAGGATCCACGCGGTACACGAGCCTTTCATCCCGACCGGTCTGTCCGATGGCCTATCATCTCTCTATGGCCGTGCGGCAACCTTCAGAGATAACACTAACCCACTATCGCCATACCACACTGATCGATACCTCCAAGCAGTTCGAGATCACGAACAGCAAGTGAGGAACAATATCTTGACGCGTATGGGTGAACGTGCAGGTCGTTATCAGGGGTTACTTAATCAGCCTGAGGTGCACCGACTCGCGCCGGAAGAAAGGCCATACAACCGGCCCAGGACAGCCAGACCGGCACGATTATCGTTGATCGAGATGAATCGGTTGACTGCGCGAGAATGCCGGGCCTGGGCAATGGGGATTGTCAAGCTGGATATGCTGGACGGAGAGTCCATCACGGAGCCGTTGCATGAGGAACGCCAGGGAGAATGACGGGTGAGCTACAAGTCAGTGAGATTATCGTTCAGTTGCTGTCTTTTTTTCTGAACGAGTAAATAGGCTTTGCTGAAGGAATCAAGCCAAGGGGCTCTAAACGATGGGCGATGTCGCTGCAAGTTTACAATGACAACCGAAAGCCAGGAGCGCAGGACAGTCAGATCACGGCTGCCTCGCTTCTGCCTGTGTACACCTTGCCCTGAGTTGGAAACGAAGCGTGAGCAGACGGTGATGTCGGCGCTTGAACACATGGAGCTTTCCTGTGCTGTGCTACAGAGGAGATGCATGACCACAGCGAGAATAACTTATGTGGCTCCAAGCCTACCTGCATTTGTTCAGCCGGTCCTCATCTTCTGTCCGGATGAAGTACTTGAGTAATAGCTCTCTGAATCTCATTCACCCAGCACTTCCAATCTTCCTTACAGCTCATTCCGTGACTGTCATTCAGCATCCTTGCAAGTAGCATTTTCAGCGTTTGTGGGCTTGCTTTCAACTGAGCTCGAGATCTCGTTTTACTTTGTTGCCAAAGTCAAATTTCGGCAAACTTGAATTCCAAGGTTTTCCTGACTTCTGTCTCTCGTTGTTCTGAGCTCTCCTTTCCATGTATTGCCGACTCTCATGTCTCTGACCCTTTTTCCATGAGCTCTGTTTCTCAGAGCTCTCATCTCAATGTCTAGTGATCACCTTTTCTTTCCCCTCACTGCCGAATCAGACACAGATTGTAGGAACAGCCCATTTACTCGACCCGAGTGTCCTTGTCACCCATAAACAAGCGACTGGGTAAACAGCCCGCCAGGCGACAAAATGTCGGTCGGTAGTCGCCCCGACCATTTTATTCGTACAGCACAAGAGACCAAATCCGCATCACAGTGACGGCACAGCTAGAGTAAAGATCTCCTCGAAACCGTTCCCTCCGCGCAGTTCAGTAGTATCGCCAGGTCTTCCCTTGCCTCACCTCAGTCTTTGTCTTCCCGCTTCTCTCACCCTCCCTGTTCCCCTCTGACTTCCTCTCTCGCTCACTGCGGTCCTCCCTCCCTCATCCACGCCCATCTCCCTAACCAGATCCTCCCCCGCGAGCAATCCCCCCTGCACGATCCTGCGGAACAAATCCTCCGCATCTCCATGCTCCGGCTCCTCATGTGGTCCTTCACCAGCATACCGCGCTACCCACCCAACGACCACCCCCATCCCGCCGCTCGGATCACCCCGAAACCCAGCGCCCCTACCTACAATCCCAGCTTCCACGCCCCAACTCCAGGCCCGTAAATCCACCATCGCCACCCCAGTCATTTGCACGGAAATCACCCCGGGGTTCATGAACGAATCGTACCCGCACCACAGCAGATCCACGCCAGGCAAAGCAACATGGCGAATCACGCTGTCCTCCTTGTCGAGACGACCGCATCGCTCCGAGGGCGCGTGCCTCTCCGTACGAAAACGAGGGCCGCCATGAATGTTACGTCCTGGGCGTGGGACTACTCCACGTCGAGACCCCGGCCCCGATCCTGGCCTCAATACTAATGTCATGACATCCTCTATGTCCGCTCCATCACGGTATTGTCGCGCGTTCGCGCGACCCGTCCTGTACGTCACGTCGTGGGTGTGGTCATTGTGAAGCACATGGCGGGTAAACCCCTGCTGCTGGAGCAAAGGCCAGCTCAACTCCGAGTACTCCGCCTGCGGCGTATACTCGACGTTGGACAGCGTCATGACAGTCACATCAAAGAAGGGGCACCTCCGCTTCGGACCAGGCAGGATGGGCAGGACGACGGTGCCAGAACCTCCGCTTCCTGCGGCTCCTGGCCTTGGCTCCCTGAAAAGATTCCGATCCACGCACTTATGCGCCCGGGACGACAGGTTCAGAATCCACGGCGTGAACTTGATGGTCTGTCTATGGTGCGTCCTCCCCAGAGGTGGGGCCGGGAAGTTGAGCGGCCTCTGGCGTGAGGATGGCGGATAAGGCCACGTCTCTGGCAGGGGGATATCTCTATCTCTTGCTGAGATGGGATGTGTCGGTCTGCGTGGAGGTCGGACGGGGCCGTAGATGGTCGTGCCGGGGATGACGGGGAAGAAGCCGCCGCCGCCTAAAGGGGGCATGCTGCGTATCGTGGTTTGATGTCGATGTGGATATGTCGCGCAGTCTGTCTGTCTGAGGGGTGGGTATTAATCTTACGGCTGTGTGGATGTCGGTGTATTTAAAGGGGGGCCGTGGACAAAGAACGAATGCGTCAGTATCAGGTTCGGATTCAGGATGCTGAACCCCAGCAGAAGAAGAAGAAGAACGAGAGGGTGGGCGAATTATGAGGAAGTGATTATGAGGAAGCGAATGAGGATCTTAATGAGGGTCTATGTACGAGGTATCGCGTTCTTCGTTTTGGCCACGGGGGAAGGATGAGATAGGATGGTGATACGCAGTCCACAACGACGTGATGTTCAGAACGACGTGATGTCCAGAACGACGTGATGCTCAAGGCGACGTTTGACACTCTTGGACGCTGATGTCGCTGGTGACCATAACGTGAACTCTAGCCTAGCCCAACGACAATCAGTGATACACGTGTGCCCTCGTCTCCCATCCTCGCTTTCTCACTGCGGGCCATGGTTCACTCTCACACGAGACTACCTTACTCAAAGGACCAAAAGAACGCCGTACTCCGCAACTCGAGGCCCTAATTGTAGATCATCCGCTACGGGCCTTACAGGTGGGAGGCCTTGAGCCGTGAGCAGGGAGGACTGCAAGATTTCTTGTCAGTGACCACTATCGTTCAGTCTCACGAGACTGTCCTGCTCGACAACCCAGAAATGCCAGACGGGCGCAACCTGGGTTCCTGTCACAGATCGTCCGCTGCGGCATTGCAGGGACAGGCTATGATTCGTTATCGAGGAGGAACTGAACACTGAGGATCGAGTGCTCAGTACTCTATGTCTACTTCCCGCTGGACCTAAAGGTACAGCCCAAGCACCGATAATATACTCAGTACACTGCACGGTACAGAACTGTGATAGATTCCCTAGGTAGTACTCCAGCTCCCAGCTTCCGGTCCCAGTCTCCGGTTCTCATCCCCCATTCCTAGTCATAGGTATGCCGTAGCAGACAGCTCCCCAACCCTACTACACTACATAGTACCATATCAGCGCCAGATCGATTGATCCAGTCAGTATGCTGATCTTGGTACTGCCCAGATTCTATCATGTCAACGCACACATTCCATCATCTTTGCTCATCAAACTCGTCAACCTCCAAAACCACCCGCGTGGGATCATCAGCATGCACGATCCCCGTCCCATGGAATTTATCCAGCTTCATCTTCCCGAGCATCAGCTTCGGATAATCCTTTTGCAATAGCGTCAGGTTGATAATGTTCCTGGCCTTGTCCGTCTTGTAGTAAAACACGTCCCGCAAGCGGAGGGAGCTGATTTTGGGATTGTTATTAATCGGTATGACAACGTCGCCTTTGCCGAGGACGATGGAGTCCTTGGTTTTGGTCAGGTCTGGCGTTGTGTCGTCGTCCATGGTGAGGTTGAAGAAGAGGGATTTGTCGTGGCAGTAGTGGTGGGGGCTGGAAGACCAGACGACCCATCTTTCCGGTGTCGATGTCGAGGGCATGGTTCCACAGATCAGTGTAGCGCGTCAAGAGTCGAGATACGGGGAGACAGGATTGGTTATATGGTTTTCAGAGGATGTGGGTGGGTGGCTTTAGGAGTCTTGGTTCGGATTCGTGCTGAGGAAAGGCCTTTGATATAACACAGGTCCACGGCACGCACTTCGCTGCATCTTAGCACCGCGGACTGTTGTTTGATGGTATGACTGACCGGCTTCGTTTCGGCTGACTGATGTCCTTCGCGCTGACGGAGCTTCGTCTCGTCACTGAGGAGCAGGCATGAATGACATGTGACACGGCTAGCAAACGAATCACCTCTTTGGCTTGTGTCCACGGATTGCGTTTCCCTTCTCCCATTGCGCCGTTGTTGACAGCCTCGAGACTGTCGGTATCCGTTTCTGGGGACTGTAGGCTTCATGTGCTGGGGAAACATTGCCCAAAACGTGCTTGGTTGAGAAATTGAACTCTGCCCATGAGACGTACAGAATTTCCACCAGGTGAAATCGCACGACATGCTCTGGTAGCGGCGTAACGTTGCCGACAGACCCTTGACCTTTGATGCGGCGGTTTTCATGCTCTTCTGAGGGAATGTGGTGAAGTCTGGGAGGCAAAAACCGCGCTACTGGCGGATATACAATGAAAGGTGTGAGGCGACACAGCACTGGCACGGTACCGTGGAACGATATTGAGCTAGCTCGCCGCGGATATTGGAGGCCAGTAGTTGCGCCGACACGCCATACGAGGCGGGCTGTGTACTGGGCAGCGTGTCCAGTCTGAGCACATCACACATACTGAGGAAGTTGAAAACCCCTGCATCAAACGAGCCTGCGGTATAGTTCTTCTAGCTCTTTGAAAGACCGACCTGGGGACTTGCGAGAACTTCGCTGAAGTCCAAAGGTAGGCGGGCGGCGTGTTTATTGGGCCCCTTCGTGGAAGTAGTCGACAAGTGTGCCATCCCGACCGAGTTGAAATTCATTTAACCACCATCGCGGCGTGCTGGTAGAAATTTCACAGCTCTTCGGCCTTCATCAGTAGCTCCTTCCCCAATCGCTGCAGGTAGACCTTTGCAACATCTTTCGGGATGTGCTCGAGTAGCATATCGGCGCCTGGCTGGCCTTCGAACGTTGCAGGCTCCCCAACTGATTTGCCAAAACAAGATGTGAACCTCTTCATAACGGCCTCGAGGTCTCGTCTACTATCCTCGTACGCCTTGAGCTCAGCTGACCAGTTTTCGTCCCGGGTTGTAGTTAGGGCAGAGCGAGGCAGCATCCTAAAGGATACCTTGAACGTGATATCGAGTGGATTGAGTTGATGATCGCTTTTCCCATTGGAGCTGGGTGGGGTCTCATTGTCAGTGACTGCATGCCTGCCACCGATGAGTGTCGAAAGTGGTTCAGTAGCTGCTGGAGAAGACCCCTCAATGTCGGTTCGGATTTGTTGGGGACCAATGGTGCGGTTGGGACCGCGGAGGACCACACTGGCACGAGACCAGAAAGGTGGGATATACAATGCATCTCCTGGTTGCATCATAGCAACGTGAGTGCTCGTGCCTGGTATAGTGTAGAAGGAGTGTTCCTGCAACAGCGTTGGATCGCAGAGAATATTGAGGTCGCTGATGTGCGAGCCCGGAGCATATCCGAGCTTGTGTTGGTTGAAAGGAGGGGACAAGAGCACCTTCCGCGTGCCTAGTTGATGGAAGATAATGGTTCCTGTTGCACTGTACCGAAGCTGGTGGCACGTTCTCCTGGAGATCTGAAGCTGCACGGATGTGATGAGACGGTCTATGCTGCTCAACTCGGTGGGAAGTCGAAACAGGTTGGCAAGCTGCGCCTTGTCGGCCTTGCCGGAGGATAGAGCACAACTTTTGATCTTTGCATTTGGTGGCGGAAGATTTAGTATACTCGAGGATATGCCTGCCTCGTCGAGAAATTGTGTCCACGCTTGGTTTGCATTGGTTGGGGATGTACCGGGAGTGATGTCTTGCTCCAGATAGAATTCGTCCAAGAGCACATTCCCAAGAGAGGGTGAGGACCAGAACCGCGCAGCAGGCCCGCAGTCGAGGCCTCTCATAAGAAGAGGCTGTGATAGACGAACCGCGTTGTTGAACTCTTGTGGGCCGGTCAGTGAGGTCGGATCAACTCGAATGCCTTCCTTCCGCCTCGCACCAGTGTAGTCCCAATCTGAATGCACTGGCGGCAGCTTCGATGCTTGGCTGGGGACAATGATCCAGTCAGCCGAAAGACCCGCCTCTTTCTCGTAGAGGACCCAAATGCCTCGGTTGAAATAGTCTCCGAAGTTGAAGCAAGTCGCGCCGCCGCCCAAGATGACATAGGCACCGGTCTGCGTCGGCCGGGTGGAATGGCCGATAAGGAACGGCCGTGGACAGTCCGGCGAGCGCGTTGCCTCGATCGTATTCACTCTGAAACTGGGTTCCTTGCGCTCCTCGTCGTGCCAGGTGGAGAAAGTCCCGGTAAGGCTTAGGACCTCGTACGTTCTGGGTATGCAGCCACCTCTGGCTATTCCGCCGATGATCAGAAGATAGTCCTGTACGAAGCCATAAGAGGCAGCGAAGCGTGCGAAGTACTGATACGAGCCGATGCTTGTGTCCAGCGCATGAGAAGGGCGGAATCTAAGGGCCAGTACCTCGTTATCGCGGATGACAAGACGCCACCGCCAGAAGCCTTGACAGATCACGCCGTCCTGCCTCATGCCGCCGAATAACAAGCCGTGATTGAAACCCAGGCAGACAAAGTTCGGTCCAAATCGAGGCCTGGGGTCCGAGCCAAAGATTCGTAGCACTTGCCAGCCATTGAGAGGCTCCCATAACAGCACGTCAACGGCAACCTTCGTTGGGCTCACCTTGCCGCCAAAGCAAACAGCACCGAAAACGTTCCCAGGTAAGGTCACCGGGACAAGCCTGTGCCGATAGCGTCCCTCTGGCAGATCATGTATGCGATACCACGTATTTCCTTTCTGCAACCAACAGTCTTTCAGAGGCTGACTCGGCGAACGACGGCCGCCCACCAGCATATTATCACCATTATTTAGAGAGATCATCATGTGACAAGATCGGGCACCCACCTCTGGCGGAAGCACTACGGGTGTCTCGTCGTTCAGGTGTCGCGGCCGGCAGACTGCACTGGTAGAGAGGTATGAATTCGACCCCTTACCTCCAAAGATTGCTATAGCGTCCTGGTCCGGTATAGGATAAGCTGAGCCATGGTGGCGACGGCAAAGATCTCCTGGGTCACCATAGTGCCGAAAGGCAAAGTGCTCGGAGTCTGGATTGCACGGTGATGACGTCCGTGCAGAGATGTCAGAAGCATCGCTGGAAATCGAGTCGCGTCGGGCCATGTGGACTTTGCTGGGGAGGACTGGCTGATTGCCGTTACGTGCTACGACCAGGCAGTAGTGACTGGCCCAGAGAGCAAACTCTTCCCAATCATCGAATGGTTCCACGTGGTCCAACTTCATACGTTGCGAGGGCGACAAGAAGCGCGGATCAGCCCACAGCTCCCATAGAGACTGGTGATCTATGTGAGCATACCCGGCATTGCTGAAACGCTGAATTTGGGCACGGTCATATGGGTATTCGAAGATAGAATTCAAGGGCGTACCGAGGCCCTTGTAGTGATCCGTCATCTTCCGGGTAAAAGGGTTGTCAGGTTGATCAGGACTGCTAGGCTCCACAAGACAAAATGTGACATCTGATGTGTTGGATGGTTAGGCAAGAGCAGCACAACTGCACGGCATGATAAGGAAGGAACACACCAGACGATAGTCCTGCACACCACCAGATCAGCGCGTCAGCAGCCTTGACAGGCATAAACGAGGTCGAATCCTCGGCGATGCACAAGACCGATGCTTGCTCAAGATCAACCACTGACTTTAACAGCCTTTCCAGTCTTCGGATATTGCGTAGATCACAGCCGATGGCGGCATATTCTTCACTATCGAGCGCAACGGAAGAGTCGATGCCGTTAATACCAGACGCTGTCTCATGGAGGAGGTCTCTCATCTCAGGCCGGTGTATGATGATGTCCCGCTTCGCCTCGATCAAGAGCTCATAGTCGACGTCGATGAACTTGGTTTCGGAGCAGAGACCGCCCTTCTGAGCGAGCCACCGGAAAGGCAGAGGGTCACTGCTATTCTCAGCACCACGACTAAGACAAACTGTTGGAATGCAGTCCATAACTTACTACCCGCAACCAAGATTGATAATCACCTTCCTCTCAGCGGCTGCATGCTCGAGGAAATTGCGGACTACCCAGCTGACAGCCCGCATACGAAGCCAGTACCCTCGGTGGATCGCTGGCGTGGCGCGTTGAACGTCCTTCACAAACGACTTGTAGAAGTGCGGCCGTGACAAATAGAGACGCTCAGTGCTCGCCTTCAGAGCTGTGGTAGCATTGTTGGTCTTTCCGTGGCCTGTCAGCACGACTCGGCCCTTATGCGGGCATGAACTTTACCCAAGACAATCAGGCTCGCGGATCAAGGTAGTATACGTACGGCCATGATAAGACCAGCGTTCCTTTCGAGGGGCATAGCATCGTCGACATGCTTGGTGCCATTGTTCTTAACCGGCAGCGCTTCGACGACATGATCCTCGCCGTGGCTGTCGGATGATAAAATCATTGTTGGGTGGGATCGGAGAAGGAACGCAGAACCACATGTGCTTCATTCGTCTTCACGGCGGCAAGAGCAGCCGCAGGCCGCGACACTCAGACTGCACTCTGAATCTGATGATGAATGTAAGATTTAAGCAGGCGCATGTTGATCTCGATTGAAGTCCGGACTTTGACTCGCATGACTAATCCGAAGCCGTTCTACTAACCTCACTAACATACTCGCTGTTGTGACGTCGTACGCACCTTCGCCAAGCATTGCCCGTACGGAGTAATCTGTGTCGACAACGTCCACACCCGTTGAACAGCCATTGTATATATAGTACGTGATAGCACTTGTCTTAGCAAATTTCCCCTTCTCCGGCACATGGCGGACTTGTACTTGACATGAAATTCCACCCAGTGCTTGGGTGGCTGAGTGGTCACACGATGTCTCCCTCCATACCAGCAGCAGGCGTCCTCCTTCGGAAGTCCCCGCTACCACTTCTCAAAGAATGCTCATTCATTTGGAGGTTGTCTTCTTGGAAATGACAGGTTGCTTGTCGACGTTGCTTTGGCCTTGCCTGACCGCGCCCTCCGCAACCTTTGCATTGACCTCACCATCGCTAAAGCCTCGCTTGACCTGCTCCATCTCGGCCTTCCCAGGCGCGGTTGCGGTCTTAGCGTTCCGACCATATTTGCCGGCTCCCTACTTGACTGGACCTTTATCTGCCTTCACGTGCGCCTGGCCCGCTTTAACAGGTGTATGTATGCTCGGAGTTCCCTGAACCTTTGCAGCCGCTGGCCGCCGCTTATCCTGTTTCCGATAAGTGGAGGTCCTTGGCCGACCGAAGATCGAGTCCCAGAAGCCAACCTCGAGTGAGGCATTCGGCTTTCGCGCAACAGGTGCACTCGATCTTGAACCGGGTGTCTCCGGTGCCCTGGCTGACCTCTCGTCAACTCGTGGAAGGCTTCTATACTCCACGTTGCCCCATCGCGAGCGCGCGGCCTTCTGGGGATTAGACAGGGATTTGGCGTGTGATGGCTTCGGTAGATCGGCTAGTACTTTCTCGCCCACTCTGTCTTTAGAGCTACGGACGCTTCTCATCGGCGTGGCTGGGACTGAGGTGGGTTGTGAAATCCACATGCCGCCGATATTCTGGAAGCCTGGAGCCGTTTCCCTCGCACCTGGTGCCAAGGCGTTGATAGTGTGTTCTGGTATAGGGGTCGGCCTCGTGGGAGTTGCCGCCGTTGTCGGAGTCGATCTCTCTGCAACGACGGGATTTTCTGTTGATTGCGCTATTAGTCTCATGACGGGAGCCTGGGCCCCTCTTGGTGGCTGGCGTTCAGCATCCATTGGACCCCTAGCGACGGCTCCCTGAAGCGCTTGCGGTACTGCAGCGTTGCCGCTCTCCGGAATACGTGGGCCGGTGACCCATCGCTGTTCCCGCGGACCATGGGGAGCCTTTGCACCAAGGATAAAAAATTGGCCATCTTTTTTGAGCACCCAGTTTTTGTATCTGTCGATCTCCAAAGTGCAGCCGGGAGTTTCAAGGAGCTTCGACAGGCTGATAACGACAAAAGGCCTATTCAGTAATTCGGTAACGAGGGCCGGGTTGTAAACAACATCGTCGAGGACAAGGCGGACGCCCGCTGCCAGGCCGAGTCTAATCCGACCGGTCCCGAAAAGATTGCCCTGGGATGGATCGAATTCTGCGACACCCGGATCGGGAGAGAAGGTCTTATAAAACTCCAAGCTGTTGGAGAAGTGATGCTTGAGCTTGGAATCGAGTAGGTCTCGGATCTCGTGGAACGCATCATCTGGCAGGATATCCTGACTGATGAGGTTCTGATTGTTATACAGTACTGCCATGCCTTGAAGTTATGGGCTGATGGCGTAGGCGGTCTCGAAAAGAAATGGTGCTGGTTTTGACCGTGCAGAGGAAGACAGTTCCAAAAAATGGAATAGATATCCGCGCGACATGTCTGCTTGTCACTGTTCGAATCGTTTGTCGTGGCTGGTGTTGGTGAGGAAGTGATGTCTCTCGTGTGATGGTCAAACATGCGACTCGCCTGATTCTTAGTCGAGGACATTCCGAATCACCTGCTCTTTTGTTGGCAAGCATGTTCAAATTGCCTCACCTAGGAGGGTTTCTGCAATGCTTTCAGCAGCCTCCATTGCTTGAGACGGTCGTCCCAGTCCAAGCCCTTCGGCCTTTTTGACTCCCATTTCGTTTCCTGCACCCCGCGAAATTTCGACTGGTATGGTTTTGGTTGAGGCCTTCCGAGCCGTTTCTTCTCCTCTTTGGCGCCGCGGATGAGCCTGGACATTCAGTCTGCCCTGCTCAGACAGTACTTCCCAGCTTCCCGTCCCCAAGAGAACCGGCATGCGATCTTCCGCGAAGTCTTCTGAGTATGGGAGCCTCTCTGATGGCTCGAAAGCCGGTGAGTTTGTCGAAGACGGCGAATCCTCAATTTCAGCCCTCATTTCCTTTTCATTCTTTTGGACTTGGCATCGACTCGGCACCCTTGCGTCTCAGCAGGACACCCAGCCAACGCACGCCATGCCCGCTTGATTCGGTATCGCTGCGTGTTCGTTGGAATTGATAGAGGCAAGAATGCACGGAATCTGGAGAAGTGAATGGCCCTCCGCCTTGCAAACATCAGCAGGACTAATCAACTGCGTCAAATGATCGAGAACTATGAGGGAGCGATTCGAGAGCAGAAGAGAGACAACGGGCCCAAGCATACCGACTATGCCGGCCGGTGCTCACTTTCAGGTGTCCAAGCCACTCAAGGAAGCTTAAACTGGGCGGACACAAACTTGGTTATGAGATCTCATTACTGCACAGCTCGTTGTTTTGCGCTGTGTGCTGTGTGTGCAAGTGGAGAGGGCGGCTTCTGCCTCTTAGTACCGTAGGCGCAGAGATCCGTTTGTAGCAAGTCATGCAGACTCGGGTCCACGTACGACCTAAGCGAAAGATGTATGCGTTTAGAGAACAGGCATCAAGTTGAGCGATCCCACGGCCAACCGTAAGTTTCATCGAGCACCTGCTTCAGCTGCTATAATTGGTTTTTCTTTTTGCTTACTGTTCATCTTTCATCCTCGACAGCGTAGCCTTCCCAGCCCTCGAGTCATTCTGCCGTCCAAGCTGTCCTGTAATCCACTGTCCTATCTCCGCCATCTTGGGCAAATCCACACCCGTCTCACACCCCAAGCTGTGCAAGAGATGCAACAGATCTTCCGTGGCGACATTGCCCGTCGCGCCCTTACTGTACGGACAGCCCCCAAGTCCACCGACGGAGCTGTCAAAGATCCTCACGCCGTGCTCGAGGCCGACAACCGTGTTCACGAGCGCCATGCCGTACGTGTCGTGGAAATGCAGCGCGAGATCCTCGTTCAGGATCCCAGCCTCCTTCAACGTCTCGAGTAGTTTCCGCGTCCTCGGCGCCGTCCCCATGCCCGTCGTGTCCGCCACAGAGACTTCATCGCATCCCATCTCCAGTAGCGTCGCGGTGATCTCGGCCACCTTGTGCGGATCCACGTCCGGCCCTTCGTACGGACAGCCCAGCGCGACCGAAACGTACCCGCGCACCCGAATGTTGTGTTGCTTCGCGAGCTCCATGATGGGCTTGCACCGCTCCAAGCTTTCCGCGATGCTGCAGTTTGTGTTCTTTTGCGAAAAGGTTTCCGTGGCTGCCGCGAACAGAGACACCTCTGTCAAGTTCGCGGAGTGAACCTCAACATTCCGCGCTGCCGGGGACTGTTGTTCGGGCGAAGGAGACGGCGAGGGAGGCGGCGTAGGATAGCCCGAGGGATTCTGCGCCCGCTTGGCTTGGAAGATCTTGACGAGATTCTCAAGGCCTCGAATATTGGGCACGAGGTAGTTATATGCTATCCCGTGCGGCGCGGCTGGTGGCTGCGTCAATACCGTTTCCAGTATCTCTGCCGTCGATGCCATCTACACGCATGCCCTGCTCAGCTGACTTTATCCATCTATGAAGCTGCGGCGGCCACTCTACTCACCTGTGGCACCCATTTCGCAGGCACAAAGGATCCCGCCTCCATGTGGGTGACGCCCGTCTGCGCCAGCCGTCGGATCAGCTCGAGCTTGGTCTCAAGAGGGATGGTGCTCTTCTCGTTCTGCAGGCCGTCTCTGGGTCCCACCTCGACTATTCTCACGTGGTCGGCGAGGCACTGTCTGGAGGTGCTGAAACTGCGGAAGGACGGTCTCGTGAGGGGCCGAGCGAGGCGCGCGGGAAGGGACTTCATTTTGAGGAGGCGTTGCAGGGACGCCAGTCCTTCCAGGACGAAGATACGTTCAGATGGAAGGCAACTTTGCTACTTTTGTTCACCGAGGAAAGCAAGGAAAGGCGCCATTGAACGGTGCACAAAATGAGTTCGTGAGCAGTGGTCTGATGCGTGCGGAGAGGCCGCAGTGAAACCGAGCAGGGCTGCGGAGAAGGAGGCCACGAGGGTCCGGGGAAAGCCCACGACAGTCCGACATCGGTCATCTGCTGAGTTGGGATGCTAGTGCTCTCGATGCTACCAGTCCATATCATACAGTACATTCAGGTGTAACGGTCCCGCATGGTCAAGCCTTCAACTTGAATCGTCCTTTCTCAGACGCATCCAGACCGCGAACTGCCATCACGCAGATACTCGACAGCATGAGCAGACCAAAGTCATACCAGATCAATGTGATGTATGCTGTCGGATGTTGCCCTTCTGCCACCAGAGCACCACCAACAGGCGAGCCCCAGAGAGCCCCAAGGCCGCGGATGAAGTAGATGAACCCATTGACCGAGGCGTATGCCTGAGCGCCGAAGACTTCTATCACCGTGGTGGGAAAGAGGGAGTTGTAGCCTGCACATGTCAATGGAAGTGCAGAGATGTCGGCATCCACTCTTACCTCCAGCAAAGAGACCATAGGTGACCACGAATGCGATCCAGAGCCGCATGTCATCGCCGTAGGCGCTCGAGAGCCAGAAGGCCACCACGCTAACTGCGCTCCCAAGCACGCTGAGCACCAGGGTGTTCTGTCTGCCTGCAACATCGGCGATGAAGCCCATCGCGATCCGACTCACCGTGTTTACAGCGTTGTTTATCGAAAGGAGAGCTGCACCGCTAATGGATAGAACTGTCAGCTTCAGCCGAATGCATCACTCGGCACATGTCTTACAATGCAGCAGTGTAGCCCAGCCTAGTACTGAACTCAGGCAAGAACGTTATCGGCACCAAATTTCCCGCTGCTTGGGTCATGGCCGCTATGGCTTGCAGGATGAACGTCGGTCGCTTCGCAAGTCTGATATCCACGAGGGTGGGGCGTTTTGAGAGGCTCCTGGACGGCGGTGTCCCCAGTACGACCGGAATGCATATAGCAAAGTTGACTAGGCCAAAGACCCTCAAAGTCCAAGCTGCTCCCAGCTTTGCCAGCAGGGCCCGTGCAGCTGGCGCGTACACCAATCCACCGACACCGGCACCCGAGAGGATGAACCCCATAGCTGACCCGCGATGAGCGTCAAAGTATTCCGGGGCCACAGCAAGCACGGGAAAGTATACCAGCGAAGTGCCAACTCCATAGATTAGGCCTTGTGTAAGAAGGAGCTGCCAGACCTGTGCATGCGCCGTTAGAACCTGGACACGGAACACCTCAGATGGAAATGCACACTTTGTGACAAAAGCTCGCAAGCACGTAGCCCAGGCCAATGAGGACAGCGCCTGACCCTGTAATCCACCTTGGATCCTTCGACCGCGCCATGATCGGATTCACCACGATGCTTCCACCCCAAGTCAAGCCAGCTGCCAGAGTCCCGACAAACGCCACCATTGCTTTGCTAGAGACCTGGTCTTTCGGCAGGAATGGATCTTTCGGGCTGCTTCCGTCCGCCAGGTAGTAGTTGAGAAAGACCCCGTAGGCTTGATTCAGCCCGATGGTAACGAAGACAACGAAGAAGGCACAGAAGAGTATGCTTGTCTGCCTTCTTCGCGAGATCGGTCGCATGGCTGGTTGAGCATCGGCCGGGGTGACCACCCGTTCAAGCTGGGAGTCATCCTCGGAACCGTGCAGTTGAATAGATTCTCGTGATGCGAGTGTAGTCAATGCGCCGGCCGAAGTCATTGTGCCAGCAGTTATGGTGGCTTCGAAATAGCCACATTCCCATGACGAGAAAAAATAGAGACAAATACAGGGTCCTCGGGGTTAATGAGGCCGTTGGATGCGGAGGACGAAGGGCGTGCGATCTACACTTAGTGCATCACTAGGCGAAACCCGGCGAGAAGGCACAGGCTCCAAGGAATCGGATCTGATGCGGCATTATTTAAGGCGGGGAAGTTGAGTCCCATCGAGGACTCGGGACGGCGACTCCCTGAAGAGACGTCATTTCCAGGCCGAAGAATAGTGAACACCGCTTGGGTGACTCAGAACACAAAAGCATGGCTACAACAGGCCGTGGCTCCTACGTCCCTCGCGATCGAACGTGATCGCTCGGGCATTGGGTGCACCTCATGGCACAGGCGGCAGGCAAACTTCACAGAACATGACCACAGATCTGAACACCAAGATAACATTTGAAAGGAGCTGCTCCAATCTTGTCTGCACGCATTCTCTCGCACCGTTTAGTCTTCGTCCTCATGCTTGATTGCAACAGGCTCCCGTCTAATCGCCTTTTTGGCCTTGATCATGTCCCTTTCCTCCGTCGCAGTAGGTTTCGGTTTCAAGACACCATTGACGAGAGCTTCCCAACTTTCACGCGCTTCAGTCACTGAGATGTCGAGGCCTTCTTCCTCCTTGTAGTTCCGGCAGAAAGTCTTCCACAACATCTCCTCCAGCTGCGCCTTGGTCATGTCCATGATTCGGATCAGCTTGATATCCTGTCGCTTTCGGTCAGATATGTACTTGTACATCAGATCCTCGGGATGCTTTTTGTAGTATGCATCTGGAAGCTGCACACGGAGTGTTACTGACAGATAGGGCATAAGAAAGAGGGATAACTTACTTCCATGGTGCCGGACGCTGCATAGTTCTCCTTGAGCCTGATGAGACGGACAGCTAGGCGGTCGATGAGCTGACGCCGCTTCCTCAGGACGTCGACGTCCTTGGCTTCGCCCATCCTCTCGATCCTGGTGTCTGTCAGCCGTTCCCAGTCCTCGGCGATCTCTCTCCAACCCTTGCCGTCGATCCCTTTCTGCCACAACATCTTGTCCCACGGCTGCGCCTCTGCAGGAGTTTCGGGAATCTTTGGAGCTCGCTTGTAAGAGGGCTGGGGTGGGGGTGGTGGAAGTGTCTGTGGGCCCTGCTCCTGGTTGGAGTCGAGCTTCTGCTTCTTCTTCGGTGGAGGCTTCGTCTTGAGATCATTCTCCTTCTGGAAGGCGGCAACCACAGAAGGGAGAGAGGGCTTGGGGTCGTTCTCCTCAGTACGAATGACGCGAACAGGCGCTGGGTTGATCATGCCATTTTTGCTTCGCCGGTCGATAGCATTCAAGAACTTCGGTGGGCGGGGACGCAGCTTGCGCGGGCTTGCAGGTGCGCTGGCACCGAGATGGTCAACGAGGGAAGCATTTGAGGCAGGGGTATTCCGTCCAGCCTCTTGGCTTCTGCCGTCGGCCCTGGAACGCTCCATATCGCACGCAACCGGGGGAGGGTACACTGATGCGTAGCAGGTTGATAGTATTAAGGAGAGAGAGAGAGAAAGAGAACAACTCTGGCGGCATAGATGAAGTAGGGGAGGGAAGCAATCGAAAAATGGAGTTGGACAAAGGTGGAAGAGCTGGTTGAGATCGCGGTGGCAGATCAGGTTCTTTTGTAGTTGAAGTTGCGCGAATCTCATAATTCTCACTGCCCAGTAGTCCCTGTGAAGATCGGGAGTGACAACAGATTCGCGAGATTCACTGCCCTCACAGTCGAGCATGCAAACCAGTCCGTGTCAGTACCTGCGCAAACGAGGCATTTCAGGCATCTGTCTGACTCTTCTTTGTCCCGCCAAACAGGCACTCCTGTGAGGATACACTGGTTAGCCATTGCCAATCTCATCAATGGTCGCTAACTAATGCAGAGATACTTGCGTGGACCAGGGTCTCATTGTCAGGGACTGGCTCAGTCAGTTCTCAACGATGCCGCAGTGAACGAGCAGCTGGCGTTGAGACCATGCCATCTCATTGAAGATTCAAGCTGGTTGTCGTTTCAAAGAAGCTCCCTGAGAAGTTGCCTCCGAAAAGCCAGCCAAGGTAGTGTTTATCCACAGTCTGTTTGGGCATTTCTCACTGAGCCTTCACGCGACACTCAGCGCCATGTCCTTGTTTCATGTTGTAAACCCGAGATGACTAGGCGTGATTAATACTCATGCATGAGATCCGGCGTCTCGTTGACGCTCAATTAGGTCTCACCCAGATTGTCGGGTGATGTGTACATAATGTATCCGAAAGTCAGCGAGGTCTGAGATCGCCGTCACATTGGATGTCAATGCTTGCCAAGGGCCTAGGCGATCTGACCAACAAGATCAAAGAGGCATTGCTGTGACACTGGCCACTCACCGTCACCAGCTGAGATTCCCGAACCCCCAGTTGCCAAAGTTCTCGTCTCGCTTCGCTTCGCGCACCGCATCGCCGACTACCCACTGCTCTACGGTACGACTGCTACGCCTCAGTCCAGTCACAGCTCTAGAGTCAGCCTCGTCCTTCACCTCCCCTAGACACCACATCTACCAGACCCTTAACCTACTATCGACTTTGCGTTCGCTGGAAGAGCGTGCAGTATATCCCGTTTGCGGTGTGAGCAATAAAGGAGCAATCTCGCATCCCGCACAGCCACAGGCACATGGCAGGCGCATCATTCAACCCACCTTTCCCTTTCGTGACTTCAATACGGTGGCACTAGCTGGTTACGCAGTTTGCCTCTCTGCATAAACGTGCACACGCACCGTTATCTTTTCGACCAGCCGGCACGCGCATAATTCTTGATCATGCCAGTGATCGCGAGATGCTTGAGCGACAGACCGCATACGTATGTTATGAGGGGTGCCCGAAGTTCCAGATGAGTGTCGATCTTCAGCCGCGCTGCTCTCTTCAGGAGACTATAAGCGCCGGGCAATTCTACGCTGTGGACGAGTCTACCATCCTCCATCAGATCAAAGACGCCTTTGAACCAGAGTTCGAACGACTGAAGGCGGCAAAGGCTGTCGAGGGGACAGAACAGCAACGCGCAGCCGCCACCGGACATGGGAACGACCCAAGCCCCTCGCAAATTCTCTACGGGTGTAATTACGATGAGGTCAACCGGACACTAGTCGGGATCCTTGCGCTTCGGTGGATTCACAATCGCGACTACGAGCGCTTTATACGGCCTCAGCCTCCAGAAACCCGGCTCTCCAAGGAATCGTTCGAATGGCTCTATCAGCTCTTTGCCACCGGCATCAGAGACCTAGATGACCTCTTCGCGCTGGTTTTGTCCATGGTCATTAACGACTTGGGAAAAGACCCAAACTTGGAGGAAGACTACTACTTCCATACTCACAATCGCTTACCGGACCAGAATCACGACTCGCTCCTGCTAGAGTCAGCAAACGCCGGCATGGTCCCCGCCCTGGATTACCTGAATCCGGAAAAGAGACAGGAGATAATGCTCGGCCTGGAGCTCGGATCTGAATTGAACGCCGGCCAATTGGCCCAAGCTGAGAGCATGCCCGTTAACCTCGAAGGACTACTTAACATGCGTGGCAAAGAACACGCATTCGAACTCAAATTCATGGAGCAGATCCTTGATGTTGCCGGCGCACTAGGCCATCTCGACTGGAGCGGGTCGAAGAATTTCATCGAGCCCGTCTTCCAGGCCTTCAAAACCGTCCACGAGGTCTCCCTCGACATCATAGCGGGGAACTCCAACCCGAGGCAAGGCTATGACAAGGTCCTCACGAAGCGGGGCAACATGCTTTCCATCAAGGGGTTTCGCAGGCTGAGTGTAAGCGACCGAGAAGAACGGGCCTTGCTCAGACTGCTCACCATGGGCCGCACGGCGGACAAAGAGCAGGCCGAGCTTTTCCAAGAAGCATTCCACGCGTTAGATGATCACAACAAGGAACAGCTCGTCACAGGATTGAACGTGGATGGGAACGTCAACGAAACAGCCGTTCTACCTTATTACATGCCAGCCATAATATCCACGACGTTAGAAACCACGAGAGAGTCGGACAGACAGACAAAATGCCGAGCACTGACCTCATTGATGAGGTACTTGGCCAAAGTTCTCGGGAGTGCTGCGAACGATCTGACTGGGTACCCTGAAGGCACTGTATTCAGTGGCGAGGTGCCAGGAATCATCATCGAGAGGAACATGTCAAAGGCGCAAGATGTGATCAACAGCCCGGAGTTCAAGACGAATCCTGATCTCCTAGACGGGCTGCCCATACCGGACGGACAGATCCTCCAGCGACGAAGGACCAGCCAGTCTTGGTGAAGGGACAGAACAGTTGGTCAAGCTGCCGATTGATAACCTTGACACCTTCCAGGGCGCTTGCATTCTCACCGTGGCCGATAGCAACCGGCCGTTGTGAGACTCGGAGACACATATCGAAAGTCTGTAGCTCAATAGATGGGCGTTCCATATGGCTCAGCGACGGAGAGTTCAGCATCCGGATGGTTCCGGGGCTGACTGCAACGACTAGCTTAAGCGGGAGTCTCCCCAGCAGAAAGTCTCCCAAACAAAAGTCTTTGAAGCAGAAGTCTCCCAAGCAGAAGTCTCTGAAGCAAAAAACTCTGAAGCAGAAGCGTCTCGACCAAACCGCTCAAGCGAAAGTCTTTGAAGCAGAAGTCTCCCAAGCAGAAGTCTTTGAAGCAGAAGCCACTGGACAAACCCCTGAAAGGGAAGCCACCTGAGCAGGAGCATTCTTGAACGGAAGTCTCTGAAGCAAGCGGGAGCCACTCAACCAAAAGCTCATCTAGAGAACCATCACACTCTCAAACTCTATTCAGCTCTCATGAGCCACTTCTTGCCACGAAGAATGCTCATGCCTACGACAGTACAAGCTATAAGTACCTGGTCTCCCTACCGCGCTCCTTCAGCTCGATCTTCACCAGCGAATCCCCCTCAGCTTCACCGTCCGCCAACAATCTTGCGTAGGCCACAAAGCGACAGTCCACAAGCCACCGTACTCTACCACATTCCACCACCTCACTCACCCACTACTTTCCAACAATACCTCCAACAACGTCTCCAACAAACAAACCCACACCATGTTTTTCGCGATCCTCGCTTGGCTCGGCTCGCTCGCCGCCCTCGGAGGCTTCAACGCCGGGACGGTCAAAGGATAGATGGTGCTTATAGAATCGACGCTGAGTCGTATGCCTACCTACCGGCCGCCCATCGAACCCCACCACCACCACTACTCTCTTGCTCTTGCATTTTGCCGCCGATACTGTCTCTTATTTCTTGTCCAGCCTAGCATCAACCTCTTTCGCGTTAGGATTGCCGGCTCTGAGTCATCATCATCACCACCACCATCACTACTTTCGGTCCAATACGATGGTGATGGCGCGCTCCCTTCCATTTCAACGATCTCTCCCTGAACGATATACAACCATGCCGGACTTGCTGGCTAGGCGTGACAAGGGGTGTGCATATATAGATGCACTGCGAGCTTTGGAGCGGGGCTTGCCATGTATGGACTGCAATGCACGGTTGCTGGGCTGAAGGCTTCACAACGTGGACGTCGAACGATCTACATGACAAAAAGTGGTGCGTTGGTGGGGGTGGATGGTCATGGCCAGGTTCAACCCGAGGTAGCGCAGGGTTCAGGCTCAGTCAAGTCACGGCTTATGTAGGTAGTTAGCAGTAGCAGGAGAGGTAGATCCATGGTTGACTTCAATTTACGTACACACCTACCTAAGGTACCCGGCCGCCATGGCTCTGTGATCGTAACCTGTGGTCTGTGGTCTGTTCTGCTTGGTCCCCACGGTTCAATCGTACTGTGCGCCGGCTCACTGTAGGGGATCTTGTCCTGCTATTTCTCATATATCTCGATCTCATGTATTCATGTATGTGAACTCATTCCCATCTCCCATGGGCGCGTTATCCTTGCCGGCCAGAAAAACGAACCAAACCACTCTTCCTACATGACTTACATACTTATCCTGCTATATCTCACTTATCCCCGTCTCAGTATTCATGCCTCCGTGCATGATACCTCATCCGTATCTCTCATGGGCACGTTATCATTACCGACCAGCAACAAAGAACCAGCTATCTGTCCTCTTCCAACATAACGTGTTTATACAAGATCAGGTAACGGTACACCCACCGACTGGGTGCTCTCTCACTATCCATCATGCAACAGAACCCCAACCACCAATAGGATGCAGGTGCTGCCCTGCCTACACGGTATTCCTCCTCCCTTTCTGTCTCTCCTTGCCGAACAAATCCCGCCAAAACTCCCGGAACCCATACCCCTTCTCCGCGACCTCATCGCGGATCCGGCCCTGGTGGCCATTCCACTCCTCGCCAAACCGGCCGAGCACACTTCCCTCCTTGTGGCTCCGCACCTCGACCCTGATCTTCGCGGGCCGCCGACTGCGCTCGAGGATCTCATCCCCCAGTAGAGGGGCCACGTCTGCGAAGCACCGGTCCAACTCGCGCTGTAAGGTGAAGTAGGGCTTTTGCGCGATCTTGGGGGCCATCAGGTTGTACGACCGCGTTAGGGCGTTGAGTTCCTGGATCGCGAGCGTGTGGTAGGCCAGTTCGGTGTTCTGCCACGTTGGGTCGCGGAAGGGGTGGGGCATAGGCAGAACAGACGAAGGAGAGGGAGAGGGAGAGGAGGATGCGGACGGCGGTGTCCGGTTTGTAACCGCTGATGCCGCCGCTGTCGCGATGGGAGCGTCCTCGGCGGGTTGCTCGGTGATTTTGATTTCGAGTTGCTCCTGCTCCTGACTCTGGCCAGCAGGCTCTTGGTTATGGTTGTCTCGGTGTCGCTCCGGCTTGTCCGCCTTGTTCTGTTGTGACTCGGCTTCGAGCTCCCCCACTGGCACGCCTGCAGCGACCTTCTCCTCGACGGTGACGGTCGTCAAGGTGCCGTCGCTGGCTATACTTGAAAAGTTCTCGACACGGCGCAACGGCCTCGGATTCACCCGTTCTTCCGCCAGAGCGTACCCCCTTGCCCGGCGGACTTGATCCTGCACCGATCCGCCCCTACTGCTTATCATCCTCGCGGCGTGTCTTTTCCAGTCATTCCGCAACCGTCCTCTGAAGCTGGCCACCGCCTTGACGAGTTCCTGCTGTTTCTCGATCCACGGAGGGACAATCTCCTGCTTCTGGATGATTTTGTTCATAAAGTACTCCGTCGTGTCCAAGAACGGGCTGTTGGCATTGTAGTCGCGCTCCACGTTGATGCCCTTGCCGCGCGGCAGGTTTCTGAATTGCCCTCTCGCAATGGCGTCCTCGATGCGCTCGTTCGCAAGGCTCGTCAACCCGGTGATCGTCGTCGGCATGGGCCGGGCGCCCGGCGAGAAACGATCTTTCATTTCTTTGCGCAATTTCTCGCGTTCCTGTTCGGACATGTCGTTCTGTTGGCTGAATGCGTATATGGAGGTCTTGTCGCGCGCGTTGGCCAGCCGGTCCGCCGCAGAGATGTTCTTCTTCGGCGCGGGCCGCAGGTTCACGGGTTGAGGGCGAGGCGGCCTGAAGGGCGTGCGGAGTCTCTTGTGGCTGTCGTCGAGCATGCGGAGGGCCGAGTCGTGGAGGGATTCACTACCTGTCCATGGGTCTGCGCCGGCGATGTCGCGGGTGCCTTTCCCTGCCGAGCTCTGAGATGCATATCAGTACCGAGTGGTCGACTGGAGGGAAGTGGCATTCAGTGTGCATACAGGCATGTTCACTTGGCTTGCCGCGCGTTGGTTCTGAGCGGCGAAGCTCGTCTGAGCTATCCTCTCTTCCAACTGTTGCTTCAAGTCCTCTGAGAAACCAGCGTCGTGCATCAACTTGCGGTCGGTCTTGCTCCCGGTGTCAATTGTCTCCTCCGCCATCTCGGCCAGCCTGCGGGACATGGCTCCTTGCTCTTCTTCGGCCTGGATGCCGTCCTTCGACTGATGTGGCACATCCTGTTTTGTGTCGGTGGTCGCATCAGCCCGGGAGACTGCAGTCGTGCAGAAAGGGTGGCGACTGCGGCGAACCGGTCTGGCTTTGGGCTCGACAGATGTACCCCGCAGGTTCTGTGCGCGCAGACATCGGGAGCAAGTCCACAGGCGGGAGCCGGAGCTGCTCATGGTAAGCGAGGGGAGAGGACGAGGGTGGACGATACGAACAGAAGAGAAGACAAGCACAGAGAGAAGCACTGTGAGTAGACGATGAGCATTGAAAATGAATCTTCATGATTTATTTGAACGTAAATGGTTCGCCCCCAGCACATGCAGCCAACATTCTTCTCCGCATCATCCCGTCCAATCATTGACAATGCATGCAGAGAGACTCCATAACTCGTACTGCGTAGATCATAGAAATACGAGTGCTCGACAGCCTCAGAATGAACAGAGTGTCATGCTCGCTGACTTCCAGCGCCTGTCGCTACTATCTGCCGTGTAATAATGGTATCTCGCTGTGCCAAATGATGCTATCCAACCAGATTTCAACGTATCCCAAACCACCTCCGAATCCGTCATGTCTGCGCATATCTGTGTGGGCTCACTTTTGTCCTGCCGTCCATCCAAGCCTTCTCTGGTTATCGGCTCCACTCATCGCACCGCTAACCGTGCGGATCCTCTTCCTGTAGAAGCAGAGCAAGCTGCTCACATATATACTAAGCACCGGCGGTGGCGGCGAGCTCCGTGGGGGCGGCCGAGTCGTTGAGTTGCTTGAACCACTCCGCAGGACTGTGCCCGACTCCTTCGAGCATGGCACTGCTTCGGTCGCCTGTGTCGTTGCCAGGCACGTGGTTTTCCCTCTCGTCCGAGGATTTGACCGAATGAACAAAGCCAGCGTAGCCTCTCAACTCTTCTCCTTCGGGTTTCAAGGGGGGTCTAGTGCCGGTAACGTGGGCTGATTTTTGTTGTCGTTGCTCTTTGCACCTCTTCTCTCGGTTTCGCGCCTGCATCTCAACCATTTTGTCCCGGATCTCGAATGCTCGCTTGCGGTCCGCCAACTCTTCCTGCAGTCGCTTGCGCTTTTCCTTGCCCGTTCTGCCTACCCGTCGATTCATGATTCCGTCGTCCAGGAATTCCGTCTTCAGCACCATGAAACTGACGCCATCATGAGGAGCTGGGTTCACACCCTCTTTTTCACGCTCAGGCCAACTTCTACTCTTGATCCCGTAGCGCGCGCTGTCCGCATAGCTTTCCAGCTGTGGTAGTACGACCAATGTGATATGCAGATCTTTACCCTCCGATACAGCTGCTGGCTTTACCGGCGCGGCCAAACCGTCGATTTTGGGATTCTGTTCCTCGATCAACCTCTCCAAAATGGCGTCGTTGGGACGCGCGGATTCGATGAAACCAGAATGCATGGCTGCTGCGAGTGGATCAGAGTCGTCCGTATAGATCCCAGAACCCCAAAGGTATTGCTCGCGACCTATAAGATGTCTTTCTCTTTCCCGTAGCCACAGCCTGGACACTTTGATCGTATAAGTACAGTTGACCTGCTCGGGATCTGAAAAAGAAGGCAGGAGATTCGGCCGTATCGAAACATCAAACTTCTCCTGATTTGGTAGGATACTGTTCGGCGGCGAGACCACTGGGTCATACTTGAAAATCCCGAGATGACGACGTCGATTGCGGGCGGCTTGTGCTACGACAGTGGATATCTTGATCGTCTTCTTGGACTTGTTGAGCTGTCGGGCTGCTGCAGAAGGAGGTAATTGGGAATGAGAACTCTGGAGTAGTTGTGATGGGTTGGAGGTGGGAGTGGCCGCACGACGACCGATATTAGACAGAGGAAATGCAACGTTCTTCCTTTGTTCCGAGGGGGCATCATCAAGATCGAGCTTGTACGAATGTGCATACTTGCTTCTTTTGCCTCGACCAGGGCCTTTCTTGACGTCGCCCACGTCACTCTCGGCTCGGTCGTTCTCTTCCATCGCCTTGCGATTTCGCTTGCTGATGCCGGACGTGCTTCGGGACATCTTCAACAGGTTCTCCTCGCTCAAGCGAGCACCGCCTTCATCGCGCTTGAAAGGGCTCGCGGACAAGGGCTGAGCTGTTGGAGTCGGACCTGCTGAAACAGATCCCAATCCACTGCCGATACCAGCGAAGACCCGACCGTGCTCAGATTTAATGCCGCCATCCGGTGCTGGGGTCTGAGCTTGTGCTCCCTGGACAGCCTGCGGGACAGGCGAATATCTCCCCCTTTTGGATTCGCTTGCCAATCCAAGGATGGTTCTGTGTTGCGACAAATCTTCGCTACCTTTGCGGGCTGGATCATCCAAGGGCCCGGAAGCGACAGACCCTGCAAACGGCGAGTAAGCTCGATTGTTACGAAGGCGATCGCCAAGGACCGATCGGTCACTTTGTGATTGAATCGAGTCTTGCCGCATCATGTTCTGGGAGCCGAAGATTGGATCTCCTTGTTGGTTCAGTATTCCTGCTAGTCGACCTTCACCGCCATTCAGATGAGGTCGTCTTAGCTCTGGGGAAAGAGATTGGGTCAGAGGGCGTTCCAGGGGAGCCGACATCGGTGGCGGCGCAGACGGCGGGACCCGAGACAGGGTTGAGAAGCCGGGTGGGCGGGTGTCATAGTGACTCGTGCCGCCATTCGGGCGAGGGGGTTCTTGTCCGTGCATCAATTGCTGAGCCGGCCGGTCAACTGGCGCCAACGAGGGTGGTATGCTCTCCGGTCGACTGAGTGGGTGAGACGTAGGAAACGAAGGGGACATGTGGGTTGCTTGAGGTTGACTCTCTGGTCTCTGCAAAATGCCACCGATACTCGTGCGTCGAGCTCGATCCCCGAACTCGTTTCTGTGTCCTGTGACAGGACCGAAGGGAGGGGTGTATTTCGATTCGTGGAAAGTATTCGGCTGGGGCGGCTGTGATCGTGGGTTCGGTTCGTAGAAGGGGCCAGGGCGCTGAGTCATGGTCCCTGAACTCGACCGTTGGGCTCTCACCCCCAGTGCCTGTCCCGCAGCTCTGTCAGGAGTCTTTGACCTCGGTTTATACGCATATTCAGTTGTGGTCGTCTTGCCCGAGTACTGGGGAGGCGACATGACCGAGCCGAGTGACATGGACGGCCCGTGATGTGAAAATGGCCCAGACTGCGTTCTCGCAGGTTGGCTGTGATTGTGGAATGGGTCGTGCAACGGTCTTTCTGGTTCGGAGCCGAGCATGGATGATATCGACATGCTACTTCCTGGTCGCTTATGAGGGGGTGGCGGCCCGTTGTTCGCAACTGCTGGGCCAGAGTTCTGTTGCATCGGAGGCTGCGAAAATCGGGGGGGAGGAAAATGCTGTGGAGATGGCGGCAGCATGGTGCGAGGAGGACCAAACATCAGCGGTGTTTGTTGATGCTCGGGGTAACCTAAGAAGATGTGTTAGATACAGGTAGCTAATGTATATGGTGGGCCGGACATGAAGTGCGATGTGAGTGGTGAAAGCATGAAGTAATGAGTTGGCGCATGATCAACCACAAGTGTCCGACCCGGATTATTGCCCAACTGCGTCAGGAGAGTGAACACGTACCAGTGAATGCACGCGGAGGGCTTGGAGGTCCATTGAATAGAGGCGAATGCCCGGGCATCGCCATGATGGTCTGAAGACCTCGTTGTCTGCGGCGTGCGCCAGCAAGAAGTCAACGACGTTCAAGTGCTGGGCGATGATCAACAGGGAGCACCAGGATGCGGAGGCTGCAGCGAAGTCGAAGTGGATACTGCCGCGTCCCGAGTTGCAGACGAGATCCGATGTCGATGATGCAGAGAGGGCTCGCACGATATGTCCTATACAAGCACAAGAGCAACGTGGAATCGTTATGTCGTGAATACCAAACGGGAAATATACGGAGAGATATCGTGCATCGTGGACAGACGGGACGAAGGATGAAAACGAGGATCGAGGGTGAGGATGTGGATGGATCATGCGAAATGTGATGTGGATGCCGTGTCGCCAGCGATTTTGGCATGGGGTGGATCGCCAACTGTGGAACCAGGGCAGCGCGACAGCTTTCCGGGGCACCAGCCAAGCAGGAACAGCAGCATCAAATGGAGCTGTTACTGTGTACTGCCCGAGCACGATGCGTGCTGGGACGAGTCCAAGGTGACGCCTGTCATCACCACCCTCCCACCAGTGAAGAATGCTCTCTGAAAGGCTGGCTCATCCACCAAAACAGGGATCCGAGCTCAGCTGCAGGTCGAAGTTTTCTCCACTGGAGGAAGCAGAGGCACAATGATCGCGATGGCGTCTAAAGTAGCCTGCTGTGGATGCTTCTGCTCGTTAGCTAAAAGCTTCCAGGGCTAAACACTGCTTGAACGGGCGCCTGCCCGCCACAGGAGAGCCGCAGCTTGCCAATGACGTTTCTTTTCCGAACGGTTCTGGGCCCTGACATGGCTTTGCTGGGGCCCGAGGTCAGTGTGCAAGGATCAAGGCTTTCGCGTTGCGAGCTTGTGACATGGGAAGTCTCTTTGTGAGGCTTCTGAAAATCATCGTTTTGCGAACGGCTTCTTGACACGATGAGCTCGTTGTCGAGCTGCGGTCATGCTACAGTAGTTCTGGTGACTTTTTGCGACTGCGACTGCGACCACTTCCGTTCAGTGCCGCTGCTATGATTGGGTTTGTTGCCAGTTGCTACCTTCTCCTCCCGTCATCTGCACGCTGACAAAACAAGGGTTCGCAGGGGACGTGCATGACACGCCACCGAAGGGCAACCCCCCGAGTAGATATATCCCCAAAGAACCTCCATTGGCGGTGAGGTGGAAATTCCATTGCGGGCATCTCGCGCCTCGCACCACTTGCATGTCTATCACAGAACTTCGTCCTGGTGCATATAGATCGGTACGATGATAAACACGATGACGATAGACCCTGGTCCGGATCGTTCTTCCTGCGTGGCAGGGATATCGTGGCACCGCTTTCAAGCTCCGTAAAATAATCATACTTCAATCAGTTCCACCAGTAGTCCCGGTCTGACGGAAGTCTAATGCGGCTGACCTTGTGTCACAATTTCTTACAATAGTCCCTTCCATGGCGAACTTGCCAGTTACATAACCAGACCTCGAACGCCATGCCGAGAAACCCTGCGATACAAATCCCACCAGAATCACTCACCGTGGTCGCAGATAGAGAAAACTCCCGGTCTTCCTTTGGTACGTTGTCGCTTATCTCTGCAAAAGTGTTCACATAGACCAGACCCCCCAGCAACCCTTCCCAAAAGATGATGGCAAAGACGACGTATACACTCGGAATGAAGTTGAATAGCGCATGGAGCGTCAACGCAACCAAGTTGACCACCTGTAAGAATGACGGCAGGTATAGATTGTGAATGCGCAGGAATGGCGTCGACGACCGTGAAATGAAGACACCTGCTTGGTAGATTGCATTGTAGGTGGGATAAAAAGCCCGGAAATGCTTGAACGGGCTTTGCGCAAGGGGAAAAAGAAGAGTTGGCGAGACGCCCTGGTTAATGGTGTACTCGGCGATGTAGACCAGGAGCAAGGGGAGCATGTATGGGAGGAACAATCCTCTAGCTCGAGCCAAGTTGCGCCGAAACAATGACGAACCAGACGTCTGAGGCTTTCCTGCAAAGGCCGGCATCGGGCTACCCGTGGGGGAAAGCAGCCCCTCCCTTTGCTCATTGTCGTCGTCTCTGAGAAGAGAATCGTCATCGTCCTGGGTCCTGGAGTGCAATCGAAGGGGCTCCAAAGGAAGAACCAGGAAGAAGGAGAACAGCATTACTGCGGGCAGGCAGGCGGAAGCCAGCAAGGTGGTGTTGACACTGAAGCCAAGCGTCGTAGTAGCCAACGCATATGCGCCAGCTCCTATCAGACCTGCGCCACCTGTTCCACTTCCCCATGCGGCGAGACTGAATGGACCATAATAGTGAACCAGACCCAGGAAGCTCAATTCGCCTCCACCACTGCTCAACGACGCCAACACTACCCCAGCCAGCTTCGTTGTGATTGTTCCACCATCCGTGTAACCTGGCGTGAGCGCAATCAGGAGCATTCCCGCGGCACTCAATGCCACAAAGACCAAGATTCGCGCCGAGTAGGGGACGACGTGGATGAAGTACGGTGCGCATAGCTTGACGCCGAACGAGGGAATCACGTCGGCGAGGAGTACAACTCCTTTAGGCACATCAGGCCCGACCAGGTCAAGCGCAGCGGAGAGAATAATCACATAGAGGACGTTATTGATCAATCCTGCTCACAGTCAGTATCAATGGCCAAGGGACTGGAGGAATAGAGCACACTCGTAACTTTGTCCCTAAAAGATCAGGATGCAACTTACCAAAGAGCCAGAAAGCAATGCATACTCGTGGAGAGGCACCACTGAAGGTGTGCTTGAGACGTTCAGCGAACAGGGCCCATGACGACGAGGGTGAGCCAGGAAGAGGCAGTGCCATCTTGGTGGCAACTTTCCACAAGAGCTACCTTGACATGACTTCCAGTTTCCGGAACAGCCTGGAACCAGTTTGGCTCTTAGTATTTGATTGAGGTGAGGGACAAGAATAACGGACCGTGAAGTAGCGATGAACATCAGTTCCAGTTAGGATCACGTGCGAGACTCCGCCGCACGCCGCCTCCGAACTCTCTTTAGTCTCTCTTGAACGAGACGAGAAGACTGGCCTTGTTATGCTCCTCTGATTCTACATCGATCCTACCACAATGGTATGCAACTCCAGAGACAGACGGCCACTGCGCAAATGCGCCCTTCAATTCGCAATGCTCGCCCATCATCAAATTCTTCTCTACATCGAATTTACCGATCAAGAATGCGGAAAGTAACTGAATTTGCAATATGTTGGTTGTGACTTGAAGCTCAATTCAGCTGAATATATTCGCGGTGAGCGGATACGCAATAAGGCGACTTGTCTCTGCGGCGAATGGAAGCGCGGTCGATCTATCTGATTCTACAAAAAGGATGTTTTCACTTGCTGAAAAAGAGGCGTCCCGAGATATTCTTGAAGCTTCAAGACCCCACGGTAAGTTCACATGCTCAGAGTAATGCGGTCAAGGGCGATTTACTGTAGAATAGAGAGGGCTACTGCCGAATAACTTGCCTCTGTCGGTACGTCAACACAAGATCACACCCATAAAGGAAGGCCGCCTCGCTAACGCAGCAGCAGATGTGGTGTATTTTGAAAGTGTACTCCGTGCAGTCATGATATATGGCCTGATCAAGCACCTACCAACCTGGAAGTCAACGCCAGCCAGATTGGTATTATGGCTTTCGATCCATCCAATTACAGTCGATTATCACCTGAAGGTTGCTTCTTGCGACTGAAGTTTTCCATTGTGCTTTCAGCTTTTCCCCCACAGCGCCTCGCATTTCTAACCATGTAGCATTTCAACGGGGATTTGGTGGTCCGAGATCGATTCTCGGACTATGGGCACTGTTTTATAGACAGAGACACAGAAAGAGAGGGAAGATCATGTACCCGACAGGAGAAATCACCCCGGACATGCGACCCCACTGAGGGGCCTCACAATGGAGAGTGGTTGGAGTCGACATACCTGGTATTCAGTCAATGACGAAAGAGATATAAACTTGCCTGCCAGGAGACGGCTTGTAAATCGGCGTGAGGACATAACTCTTGTTTCTATCACAGATTTTCCATTAAGCACATTCGAGATATTCAAATTACCTTCTCATCACCATGGCAGCATCGGGAAAAGACGTCTTTCTCATTGGACCCGGATTCATCGGCCGCGAGGTCCTCGATGTTCTCCTTGGCGAAGGATACACAGTCACAACCCTTACTCGGCGGGAATCCTACGCAGCCGAGCTTCAACGTTCTGGCGCCAAAACTGTCCTCGGCAATCTCGACGACAAAGATACGATTGTCAACCAGACCGTCGCAAGCGATATCGTCTTCCATACTGCCACGGCGGACCATTTGCCATCGGTAGAGGCTGTCATCGCTGGGATCGAACAACGAGCCAGCCAAGGCAAATCCACGATATTTATCCACACAAGCGGCACTTCCATGCTCAGTGATGACGCGAAGGGCAACTACAAAGGTGACAAGATCTACCACGACGACAAGCCAGAGGATATCGACGCCCTGCCGGACTCTGCCTCGCATCGCCTAATCGACCTAGCGATCGTCCGCGCACGCCAGAAACTCGGCACGAAAGCAAAGTTGGCCATCATGATCCCACCGTTGATATATGGCGCGAACCACCAGTATAAACGGCTGTCGATCCAGCTGCCGACCCTAGCACGCTTCGCGATAAAGCATGGGTATGCCGGCCATGTTGGAAAGGGTGAATCATTGTGGTCAGAGATTCATGTTAAAGATCTAGCTCGCGGCTATGTAACCCTCCTTCACTGGCTCGAGAGCACTGACGCCTCCAAAGTTCTCGAAAACCCTTACTTCTTCTGCGAAAACGGGTATGAGTTCGCCTGGAAGGACGCAGTCGCTGTGATCGGCAAAGTCCTCTACGACGCTGGGAAGATAAAATCCTACGAACCCAAGGAGATTCCTGAAAGTGATTTCGACGATCTGTTTGGGAAATATACAGCTTGGGTGGTTGGGTCCAATTCGCGGAGTAGAGCAAACAGACTGAGGCAGCTGGGATGGGAGCCCAAAGAGAAACGGTTGATGGAGTCACTTGTCGAGGACGAGATTCCGTTGATCATGGAAGAGAAGGCAGAATTCTCGGGCTACGCTGGTGTTGCTGCCAGCGGTAGTGGATGAGCATAAGTTGGTACCTCGTCTCCGTAGAGATGTCAGAGTGATAATGAAACAGACTATTGGGTGCTTACGCCAAAGGGGAATGGTTTGCCCTCTCGCCCTTGGCTATGAGGCTGGCCTGCTGCGTCCGTTTCTCCTCCGCTTCCCCTCGAAATGCGGAGAATGGAACGAAATGCGTCATACCACCGAACTGGCGCCGTTGCTAGTAGTGTGTTAGATCGGCGATAAGATAGTGCTGTTTTGTCGTGTGTTGTCAGTAGATCTGCTCTCAAGCTGTGGTCGTACCCAAGCAATGCAGCCTGCCTCGATGAGACGTGCACCATGTTGAAAACCGCCCTGCGACAGCGAGCTGTTCGCCTGTCCTTTTCCCCGCGAAGATGGGCGTCAACAGAGGGGGCCGAACAACAACCATTTCCTCCTGACAACGAGTGGTCCCATCCTCCCAGCAAGGCCACTATATCGGACGAGGAGATATACCGGCTAGCAGCGAAGCCTCGCCGTCCACTGACTCTGGCAGATCTAGTCAAGTACGTACCATGAGAAGCATGCCATATTTAGCACACCGTGACTGACACTGACCAGACATGGCAAGCCACCGCTTCGAGACGCCGCGCTCCTCTCGTCCGCGAACTTCACCTTGTCGCTCCTTCCAGCCCGCCTCGCACATCGCATTCAAGCACTCCGGAATCTTCCCTTCATAGTGGTTTCGAATCCCAATGTCTCCAAGATATACAACAACTACCTCCACTCCCTCTCAACGCTCGAGCCGTTCTACAAGAAGCCAATCGAGACGATTGAAGATGAGAGGAAATTCACAGATGCTATGGCGGATCTCGTCCGGACACATTCGAACACTATTCCTACCCTTGCACAGGGATTTTTGCAGTGTCGAAAATACATCGAGCCCGCTGAAGTCACCCGGTTCCTAGACCAGCATTTGCGTGCCCGCATCGGCACAAGGCTGCTAGCTGAGCAGCACCTTGCCTTGCACATGGCGTCAACGGCCGATGCTATCAAGGAGAAACCTGACCCCACCCACGTCGGAGTCATCGACCTCGCCGTCAAACCCGCAGACATCGTCCGCCGCTGTGAAGGGTTTGTAGCCGAGGTATGCGAATACAAGTACGGGGTACGTCCCTCGCTAGTGATACAGGGAGACCAGGCCGCGGAGTTTGCGCACATTCCTATGCATCTAGAGTACATCATCACAGAGCTGTTGAAGAACGCGTTCCGCGCGACTATTGAGAGTGGCAATGAGAAGGAAGCGATCGAGATCACGATCGCTTCTGCGCCGGACGTCGCCATCACGAAGCTCGAATCTCTAAAGAAAATGTCGGTGAGCAAGGAGAACTCGTATGACTTCTCACAGGAAGGATTGGAGGAGTATTGCTCGGACGCCGATGATCCCATGGGGCCGCTCCATTCGGCAGTCCCGTGTATAACGTTGCGGATACGTGACCGCGGAGGAGGCATCCCACCCGAAGCTCTCCCCAACATCTGGTCCTATAGTTTCACCACCTTCAACAATGAGGAAGCCGCCGCGGCCACCAGTGACAGCCTCGGCAGCGAAGACGACGCCGGTCTAGGCGTCCTATCGAGTACTGAAGCAGATCAGTCCTCCATCGCAGGGTTGGGCTATGGGTTACCCCTGTCGAGAGCCTATGCCGAGTATTTTGGCGGTGGCATTGCTGTGCAGAGTATGTACGGATGGGGCACGGACGTGTATCTGACGTTGCAAGGTATTGCCAGTACCAAGGAGCTCAAGGAAGCTCCGACCGGGCTAGAGGAGCTCCAAATGGAAAACGAGAAGGAGGAACAGAAGGAGTGACCGTCCCCGTCCGATATGGGTGGAAAGCCACCGCAGCATTGCAGACAAATTGCCCAGGGGAGTCGCAGAGAAGGAGGAAATACACGGCAAACCGAAAGCGCAGATCCACTCCTGGCACACGAGGGCCGTCGTATATGTCCAAGCTTGACACAGGCCTTCCCTTATGCCTATCTGGCAGTGAGAAACACGATCGCTCCCAGCACTGGTATGGCCTGTCTAAAATCAGGTAAAGACAGCATGGATCTTTCCACTCGCGCGATCCGCCAACCTCTCTTTCATCGGCAGGCCGTACATCTGCTTGACCCACCGGCAGCAAATGCTCCGCGTGTCCTTTGGGTCGACAATCTCCTCGACATTGAAGACCGTGGCGGTCCTCACCGGGTTCATCAACCGGATATACTCGTCCTCCAACTCCTTGTACCGTCTCTTGACGGCCTCGGGGCCCTCTTTCTCCCCAATCTGCTTCAGCTCATGGCGATGCCCGACCTCGATGCCCCCGTCAAGAGGCAACGAGCCCCAGTTCCCCGACGGCCAAGCAACGCGCATCCACGGCTCGCGGCTGTCGAGCATAATTCCGCCGGCCACGCCGTACACGCGCCGAGTGATGACGCTGAAGATGGGCGTCGTGGTGCTGTAGTACGCCTTGCCAAGTTCGACGCCCCATTTCATGGTGGCCGTGCGTTCGGCGACGGTGCCAATAGCGTAGCCGGCTGGAACAAGTCAGTACAACATGCCGTATCTAGCAGATAGCATAATAATATAGCAGGGGGGTAACAACCGAGACTTAGCATAGGAAGATAGGTGAAAGGACAGGAGAGCGGTGACAACTTACGAACATCCACAAATTGCACAACCGGCAGATTGAACACATCGCAAAACTTCAACATCTTCATCAACTTCTGGCTTCCCATGGCGTCCAACGCCCCACTGTTGACCTCGCAATTGAGACTCAAAATGCCAACAGGCCGCCCACCCAGCCTGGCGAGGCCCGTAATGCCAGTCCGTCCCCAAAGGCCACCAATCTCGAACCACGAGCCCCTGTCGACGACCGACTCGATGATGGTGTATGGATTATACGACCTGCTCTTCTTGCGCGGGACGACGGACCTGAGTCCCACATCCTCGCGGTCCACCGGATCCGCGCACGGCAACACGCAGGGGGGCGCCTCGAACTGGCCACACCGCGGCAAGTAGCCCAGCACGGTCCTAATCTGGCGGAAACACCCCTCCTCGTTGGCCGCCAAGTTGTCGATCGTCCCGTTGGTGCAGTGCACGTTTGGCCCGCCGAGGTCCGCGAACGAGAGACCCTCCTCGAACGTGGCGCCCTCGACGACTTTGGGACCAGCGTTGAACAAGCTCCCAATGTCGCCGGCCATGACGCTGAAATGCGTGCTCACGACGCGCGCGGCGCCCAGACCGATGGCCGGCCCCAGCACAGCGCCTAAATTGGGGATGCCCATGTTGAGTTGCTTCACGACAGTCCTGAGGATGGTCACATGCGGCATGTAGCTGTACCCGTTCGTCATGATGGTGCTGACGCTCCCGCCGCCGGAGGAGCCGTCGACCAGCTTGACCACCGGTGTTTTCAACCGGAGGGCCAACTTCTCGCCGTACAGCGTCTTGATGGCCACGGACCCGTCCGCGTGCCCGCTGCGGATGCTGAAGTCGTCGCTGGTCAGGTAGATGGTGCGCTTGACCCCTGTGGCCACGTCCGTCACGCGCCCGAACCCCTGCGGGTTGTTGGACGGGGTAAAGGCCCGCACGTGCTCGAGCTGTGGGTTGTGGGCGTCGCGCTCCCACTCGACCGTGCCCGTCACGGAGCCGACCTCGCGCCACGTGTCCGGGTCGAGGAGCTGCGCGATGCGTTCGCGCGACCACAGCTTGCCGCTGGTCTTTTGGCGCTGGTAGCCGCGCGACGTGAGGTCGGGTGTTTGTGCGATCCGGCGGAGCGTGGAGAGGTGGTTGAGGATGTCGCTGTAGTCGGCGGGTAAAGAAGATGAGAGGTCGGAGGAGTTTTTCTTCTTGTTGGCCTTGCGTGGTCGTTTTGTGTTGGGTTGTGCCACGCTTTCGCTTTGCGGTGGAGAGATTTGCCATGTCAGCTGCGAGAGACGGCTCGAGGCGGTGCTCCCCGTCGATTGCGAGTAGACTGGATCGTCTGCTGGCGGGATGCTGTCCTTCGCTGGTGTGGACATCGACTGCGAGTATACTGGGTCGTCTGCCGCGGGGATGCTGCCTTGCCCTGGGTTGGGAGCACGTTGATCAGGCGTGGGTGGAGGTGGCACCTGCTGTCCGTACACGGGGTCCGCGACAGTATTGGGTTGTAGAAGACTACCACTGGATTGTGAGTATACCGGGTCGTCTGCTGGGGCGATGCTGGCTTTCTCTGGACCGGGTGGAGCGCGCTGACCAGGCGCGGATACGGATGGAGGTGGTACCTGTTGTCCGTACACGGGATCGGCGACGGTCTTGGTTTGTGGGCTATTACCACTAGATTGCGAGTATACTGGGTCGTCTGCAGGGGGGATGGTGCCTTGCCCTGGACTGGGAGCGCGCTGACTAGGCGCGGACGAAGGTAGAGATGGTACCTGTTGTCCATACACGGGGTCTGCGACGGTCGTGGGTTGTGCACTGCCACTGCGGCTGGCGGAATGTGAGTAGACCGGGTCGTCGGCTGCCGAGATCTTGCCTTGTCCTGGGCCTGGATCGGCTGAGCCCGAGGCAGATGGTACGGGTTGAGGTTGTGCATACACAGGATCATTGACCGTCGCTTTCGCCGCTTGAGGCCGAGGCCGAGGCTGAGGCTGCGAATAGACTGGGTCGTTCGCCGCGTCTACCTGTCCTTTGCCCTGGTCAGGTGCTATTTGACGAGGCTTGGCCTCTGCCTCGACAGGCTGACCATATACTGGGTCGTTGATCCGGCTCGTAGGTGTAGGCTGGCCTTCTTGACCGTCCGGGCCTCCGATGGGCGCCTGTGAGTAGACAGGGTCATCACGACCGGGGGCACTTCCAGAGCCAGTAGCGGGCCTTGTATACGACTTGCGAGAACCCGGTTGGCGTTGAGGTTGAGGTGGCGCGCTCGTGGGCTGAGAGTAGACCGGATCGTTGATGGTTGAGACCTGTGCCTGTCCTTCAGAGTCATCGACCCCGACGCCCCATGACGAGGCATCGCGCTTTTTCGAACTCATGCTGTTCCAGATGGTGAGGACTTTAGCTTTGATATTGCTCATGTACGGCGTATGTCGACGGACGCCAATGCTGAAGCAAGAATGGTCAACCGAGCAGTCTGATTCTTAGGCAGCTCCCTCTCAGCTCCGCTCGTTCGACGTTGTTGGGCTCTTCCTTAGGATCCTGGCGGCCTACCGGATACCCGTCGCACGTCAATCCATACAAAGAAAAGCACAACATCTGGAGCTGGATCGGGGAGGTTGAAAGGCATGGCAAGGCCCTGGCAAGAGGCTAATCCTCGGTTCCCTCCACATTCTGCGGAATCCGGAGAACAGCCTCGGCTGAGGGGGTGTACATACCCGGGGTTCGAGTGGCCCGCGTCTCGACGTTAGCCGGAGAATGCATCGTACGTTCGGCTCGTCACTGTATCATCGAGGCACTGTAGACAGGGTAGACAGTCATCTCTCTTTCGCTTCGTTTCCGCTGATATAGTCAAGAGGGTCTCGCGCGGCAGTGCTGGCTTCATAACTAGAAGTTGCCTCGCATAGGGGCACAGGGAATAGATACTGTAACTGCTCCGCGACGCTACGCTCCGCAGGACAATGCCATCAGCACCGCCCCAACGACCCATCACCCGCATCCTGATCGCCAACCGTGGCGAGATAGCCATTCGGATACTGCAGTCGTGCCACGAACTGCCCAACCCGCCGACAACGTTCGCGCTCTACACGGACAATGACAGCACACATGTCACCCTTGGGCGACCACACCATGCAATCAAGGCGCCCAGCCCGGCATCATACATGAACATCGACTACCTGATCGGCGTGGTGAAGCAGAACCACATCGACGCCGTGCACCCCGGATACGGCTTTCTCAGTGAGAGTGCCGAATTTTCGCGGCGGATGTGGACAGAGGCGGGCTGTATGGTGGTGGGACCTGGGTGGGAGGTGCTCCAACGCACGGGGGACAAGCTGATGGCTAAGTCCCTCGCGGCCGAGTGTGGCGTGCCTGTCCTCCGCGCGATGGACCAGCCGACGGGCAGCGTGCAAGACGTCAGGAGGTTTGCAGGGCAGGTCGGCTACCCCTTGATGATCAAGGCCGTGGATGGCGGCGGAGGCCGGGGGATTCGACTCGTCAGGAGCGAGGACGCGCTCGAGAATGCCGTACAGAGATGCGTCAGTGAATCGCCCAGTCGGCTGGTCTTTGCAGAGCAGGCCGCCGTGGATGGGTACAAGCACATTGAGATCCAGATCATCGGGAATGGAAAGGGTGGAGTCAAGCATCTCTGGGAACGAGACTGCAGTGTCCAGCGGCGGTTTCAGAAGATCGTCGAAGTCGCCCCTGCGCCTGTTGCAGACCGGACTGTCGTCGCCCAGGTCATCGACTCGGCCGTGAGGATGGCCACGCGGCTGGAATACTTGGGCCTCGGCACCTGGGAGTACCTGGTCAACGTCCATCAGGGCAAGTTCTTCTTCTTGGAGATCAACCCGCGACTGCAGGTCGAACACACCATCACCGAATGCATCACGGGAGTGGATCTGGTCAAGGAACAGCTGCTATTGGCTCAGGGGAGGCAGGACCTTCAGGGGATTCCGTCTGGAAACGCGGACCAGGCACCACCACACTCGGCCTCGATCCAGCTGAGACTGTGTGCCGAAGATCCGCTGTCAGGGTTCTCTCTAAGCATCGGGAAGGTCACAGACGTGCAGTTGCCCACGGGCAACGGAGTCAGGGTGGACAGCCACCTCTCGCGCGGAGGCGTCGTGGGATCAGACTTTGACAACATGATGGCCAAGATCATCATCACTTCCTCGACGTTCGGTGACTGTGTCGTGAAAGCGCGACGAGCCCTGGAAGAGACAAAGGTCGTGGGGGTCAAGACGAACTTGAACCTCCTCAAGGCTATCCTAACAGACAACACCTTTGCATCAGGCGAAGCCGATACAAGGTGGCTAGAAACGAACCTGGAGGGCCTCGTCCAGTCGGGTGAACAACTGGCCAGCACAACCGACAGGCTCGATTCCTCCATACCGACACTATCACTGGGTAGCAGCAGCCGCGCACCGGCCAGTGCTCCCTCGGCCGCGCCCTTCAGGAAAGGTGACGCTTGGACCGTGGTGCTAGAAGACCCCAGGACCACGTCGCCGGAAACAGCGAAGCCGCCGGCGCATCATCTCGCCATTGAACGGGTCACGCGCAATGAATTCCCGGACGCCCTAATCGCCGACGTCTCGTACACCGTGCCGGGCCAACAGCCTCAAAGCTACAAGATGACACTCAACAGCACGACGGCCTCTGCAGACGCCACTGCATCAACTCACAGAAGGGGCGACCCCGGCAACAAAACACATATTATACTACCCATGAGTGGGAAGCTGGTCGAGGTTCTGGTCGAGGAAGGGGATGAGGTCAGAGAGAACGAAGTGATAGCATTTGTCAAGCAGATGAAGATGGAGTTGGAAGTCAGAAGTCCCAGGGCAGGTGTCGTCAAGTGGGCAATTAAGCTAGAAAACGAGGAGGGCGACGACGTTGCTGAAGGGACTTTATTAGTGGAATTGGAAGAGGAGAATGTACAGATGCCCGAGATTAGAGCCAGGCTGTAACAGCATCTTGTCGTAGAATAGAATGTTTGTCTGCGACAATGGTCGAGCCTCAATCTCTCCGAGGTAGCTGCTGTTCTATCTGCATCCCCGAGTCAAGACTCTACAGTACGCGCAAAGCCAAGACATCTATCGTCTCAAGAACTCCTCGACCTCAAACCCGACCCGTCTCTTCGCCTTCTGCCAGTTTTCCACCTCCTTGGCCTGCTGGGCTGGTGTCGTTTCCTTGCTTTGCGATTTCTCCTCACTGCCGACCCGCCCAGGCGTCGAAATGGCTGAACCCACAATCCCCGTCTTGACAATGACCGTTCTCGAATCATGCAACCGAATCTCCACTCCCGTCCCGCCACTATGTGATTGACTTGATGCCACGCTGGGAACTCGTTCTCTCGCATTGGGAGTGGCTGCATTCGCGACACCGGAAATACCTGGAAGAGAGGCCGGTTTACTGACATCTGAACCCTCAGCTGGCTCTTCATCTACACCACGAATGACAATAGTTATGTCTGGTCCAACACTACCTCTCCACATGGTGGCGAACCATTGCCAATGAGCTGGTGGGGAGAAACTGTCGTGGATGGGCATGCTGATTGAGCTGGCGTCCACAGTCGTGAGTTGAAAGTGTGGCACAATGGCTATGGGGATGGCCGTGCTAGCTGGGCTGTTGATGGTGTTGGATGCGGCGGGATGTGGCGAAGGTAAGTTGCCGGTGGTTATACCGACGGGCGCAGCCATCCCAAATGAGGTATGCGACAGTGGTTTCGACGTCGAGGCTTCAGAAGGCAAGGTCGAAGCCGGCGGCGGTGTGGGTGGAGGAGGAGGAATGCGTTTCGAGTTCGGAGGTCGCGCATATGAGGAAGCTGGTGGACGAGTATCAAGGCCGGAGGAAGTGGGCTCGTTGCTTGTCCAAAACCCTGGAGTGCTTAGACTTCTGCCCTTGTACGACGTCGAGTTGGAGGGAGGTGACATGGCGGAAGGGTCTGCAGCTCTGACGAAGGGTGTCTTTGGAGAAACAGCTGAGTCGAGGTTGTCTGCCTCGGTGTCTCTGCTCGGGTCTGACTGTCGTGGTGCATCACTTCGCATGAGCATGTCTGGTGATTCTGAAGGTCGATGGTGCTCTTCGACTCCACTCATACGACGGTTGGTACGGGTGTTGTTGACCGTGGTGACCGGTCCACGGCCTGCTCTCGAAGTGATATACTCGACTATCTCTTGGTTCACTTCGTGCCACCGTGTCATAAGTTTCAGATATGCGTCGGTCCCCCTCTTCTGTCCTTCAACGCCCGTCCTGGCCTCATGAAGGAGAGTATAAGGGTCTGGACCATCGAAAATCTTGACTGCGAACTTGCCCTCCTTTTCCAACTGTTCAGTCAAGGAATTGGTCATGCTGTTGACGCTGGTTGCATCCAGGCCGTCCACAGCAATGATAGCTCCGCGCACCTCGGGCTTCGGAGAAGTGATACCAGGAGGCGGCAGCGGCCCAGACAGCTGAGACAGGACTTTGATCTTGTTCAGCACTGGTATAGACATGATCATGGCCTCAACTCCCGAGCTTTGGACCTGTGCCATGGATGCTTTAGTAGGCGTCTGCGATACCAACGTTTCAATAGGAGGCAAAGCCACGCTCGACCGGTTTCTCTGATGTGGATGCGGTGGACGGATAGGTTGGAGTGCTGGAGGCCGAGGATACGCTCGAGGGGGGGATACCATCTGTGGTTTGGCAACCTGGACATGCTGGATATGTGACGGATGCAGGACCTCCTGACGGACATATGCACCATTGCTTGTAGGGGAATGGAGATATGAGTACGTCGCTTCAGGGTAGACTTCTCGGGCAGGGACGTAGACACCATTGCCCAAGCGACGTCTCTTGGCATCTTGGGATTCGGCGGATGGAGGAGTAGGTAGGGTTTGGCCCGCAGGCGGAATGGTGTATACCAATCGGGGATCGACTCTCTGGAAGCCGGCATGCTCCGGCGAGATCCGCTGACCTGGTGGTCCAGCACTGACGACGTAGCCGCGCTTCGCAGGGACATTAACAGCCATGGTTTGCTGCGCGGTGGAGGCTGGTGGTATATAAACTGGCGTTGGGTTGTTGTAATAATTTATTGGCTTCCCGCCACACTTTGCGCAAGGCTCTTGGGGTTCGGCGGACGAGGGACCAGACACAGACGAATGGTTGCTGACCCGGCCGTTGCGTCGTGGATGATAGCGATAACCTGGGTACTGTTGTTGATGCCGGGCTTTCTCTTCCTGAAGAAGGAGAGAAGTCAGCATACAAAGATCTTTATGTGGTGGTTAATGATAGTAATCTTTATTCCCACGTACTTCCGCAAGCAGGTTCCATTCCTCTTTGGCCTCAGCGGACAGACCACGCCATTGTTCGCCAATAATCTTTGATACTTCCGGATTCGGAATTCCTGGGTTCTGGGCAATGATACTGGACTGTTGATGTTGGCGGAATAATATGAAGGCTATGGGTCATCAGCGTCTTCCCGCATCGCGATTATGCAGGCGGCCTCACAATTTCGCGGTCTTGGTATCTTTGGGCTGGCCGGACACAGGCACAGATTCTCTTTGGGATTGGAATTACTCCTTCCAACAGGTGGTTCAGAACGGGCTTCCGCCATTTCCAGGGAGCGTTCTCGAACGGGTGGGGAAGCCGAGCCAGAATGACCATTTGCAGGTATCTGCAATTCTCCTATATACTCTTGTGAGGTAGCAGCGGTAGACCTGGAGCCCCTGGAGGCAGACACGTGGTCTTTGTGCTTTGGAAGACCATCGTCGCCAGCAGAATCTTGATCTTGAGATCGGTCATGGAACAAATGATGCTGTGAAAGGGACGAGGTACGACGCAACGCGGGATAGCGCTCAGCCGCAGGCTTGGGCAACAAGCGGTACCATGCTGGAAGGTTGGGAAGACGAGAGTCGCTGGAGGCCGAAGTCATAGCGCAAAGAAAGGAATGCTTTGAACCATGGCCGTGCGACCTCTTGTCATGAAGGACGAGGGCGAATAGAAGGTGGGAGAGCCATCAGTCTTTGTACAGCATCAAAGAGAGCACTTACCATACGCGCGCCACCTTTTCTGCTTCTTTGTCTCTGCAGGTTGAGTCTGTGACGGGAAGCATAGTCAGTAGCCATGGCGATGAGGCAACATGCGAGGCTGGGGACAGCGAGGGCCGTTTCGGTTTGCTTTGTTCGCAGATGGTCCCAATGCGGGAAAATGCGTCACCAATCACCGTGCACCCGAAACAATAAGCTGAGGAATGCAGAGGAGCGTCGAGGAGACAAAGAATGAGTTCATCTAGTGTCGGTGCGGTGGAGTCGTCGTGGAGGCTGAACGCTCAAGGCACCGTTTCACTGCGCTCAAGGTCAGTTTGATCAGTGGCTAGGCCACGGTTGGGAATTGTCAGTCAGGCGGGTTTGAAATTGACTAGATGAGGAAACCATGTGTACATATGCCACGATGACCTGAGATGCATTTCAGTAAACTCAGACACTCGTGCCAGATGGAGATGACGCTCGTGTGAGTTTTGGCTGACGAGGAAAGAATTGGCGCCTCGTATTATGTAAGGCCCAATACTCCGTAAGACGGTGATATTTACTGGCTCCAAGCAACCACATGATAATGACTGAATCAAAAAGTCCCCCGGCTTGGTTTGTGCCGTCAAGAAACGGCTTCTTGCCAGCCGACGGGAGCTAGATGGCGGTGGGATTGTACGCGGTTGCCATGGGAGAGATCACAGGCAAGCATCAAGAGGCTTCTCTGTGGTATTTCAAAATGCGTAGTCTTCAGATTAAAAAGCCGTGTCACGAATTCGCATATTTCATATTCTCGTCGCTCATACTCATACATTCATGCTCACGTCATTTTGTCTATCATCCAAGACCATCAAGATGCATTTTGCTTCGAACGATTCAAAACAAGACGGAACCTGCCACCCGCACGCCGCCTGTTATTTACCCGGCAAAGATGCGGACGTTCAGGTCAACGCTGGCCGTAGCAATGACACAGCGCACCTTGCCACCTCCGCCACTGTCCTCCTTCTTTACGCCATTGGTGATCCCATTGGATTCTCCATTCACCGGTGCTTGCACTGGAACGTCAGGGGCCCACCTGATGCTGCTGATGAAATGTTGATGGGCGTCGTCAACCACCTTGACACATTTGCACTCCTGTGATAGATCCCAGCACCGAATTGTCTTGTCGTCTGAGATTGACAGGAGGTAGCGTCCTGCCGGGTGAAAGACAAGACCACGAATCCAGTTGTCATGGCCGACTAGGGTCCTGTGGCATGTTCCCCGGTTGTCCCAGATTTTGATGACCTTGTCTCTGCCGCCCGTTGCTAAGAATTCGCCGCTGCTGCTTGTCGGGGGAGGCTTCTTGTAGCCAGCAATGGTCGCTAGATGGACGTACGAGGATCCAGGGGCAAAAGCCACACATTCGACGACGTGTTCATGGCCGAGAAATGTGATCTTGACTTCTCCTGAGCTCGCGTCCCATAAGCGCGGAACATTGTCGTTGCCAGCGCTCAGCAACCACCTGCCATCTATCGACGGCACAACTGCTCTGACCCATTCAGTGTGACCCTTGAGTGTCTTCAAGCAGTATCCTGTCGTTACGTCCCATATCCTCAGCGTTTTATCTCTGGATGCGGACACCAGGGTGTTCCCGGACAACGGAGCGCCTGCCGCGCCGGAAGGTATGAAACGAATAGAGGATATGGAATGATCGTGACCTGGTAACGTCCGAATGTTCTTGTACTCGTCGCTGGGATCCCACAGCCGAATAGTAAGGTCGCTACTACAGCTGGCCAGCAGCGTGCCTCCACGGGGACCGCCAAAGTCGACGTCCAGCACTGCTTTGGTATGCCCTTTCAGTGTGCGCTCCAATTCGCCTAGTTCCCAATCCCATATCTTTATGGTTGAGTCTTCTGAGGCGGAAGCAAGTGAGGAGAAAACCGGGTGGAATGCCACTGAAGTAACGGGCAGACGATGGCCTTGTAGCGTGTGTCTGGCGGGTGCTTTGGGAAGCCATGTCTGGGGGTCAACTTTTCGGGAGGACGACAGCGGAGTAGCAGAATCGATCTCTTGCTGAAGGGCTGCGTTCTTTGCTTCGAGGTCCATGATCTTCTTCTGCAGTCGGACCACCGACGTCCATTTTTTCTCGAGGAGGGTCTCGTACTTTTTGGCCGTGGCATCGTCAAATGTGTCGGTCAAGTTGCATTCCCGACGCACCGCATTGGCACTTTCTGTCATGCCAATGGACAGTAAGTAGGAGATCATGGACTTGTGCCTGACAGAAGGCAAGTTAGTCACTGCTCGAGACCAAACCCACTGGAGCAGACCTACAGCTCCTCTGCTTGACGAGAGGTCAATAACTGGCTCATGTCGGGCATCCGCAGGCCCGCCTGACTCGCATACGGTGTGTAAACAGCCCTTGTGACTCGTACAATGGCCTGCCAACTGAATACAGGGGGTAGTGATTGACGACGGAGAGTAGAAGCACATTAGGAGAGGTGCGAAAAGGTGAGGGAGAGAACCGGCAGCGAGCAGTGTGGAAGAGCGAGGGTACAGGAGTGACCATGGAGTCTGTTGTTGTCATAGGCCCAAGACAATTGTTTATATCGCAACTTTCACTGCCGCCTTCTCCAACAATCACAACCACAAACAAACTCACGTCGTCGGTACGTCCTTACAGACTAATCGCTTCCCAGAATCGAATCTGACGCGTCGCATACCTGTCGCCTTCATCTGACGCTCCTGCTCCGCCGCTTCAGATCGCAGAGACCGCAGGCGCGATTCCATCAGCCCCAAAAGACCTCATGCGCATGACGCCTGCTCAATAACAGCCGGTAAGCCCATACTTTCCCAATGTCATGTCTAGATCCGCGACTAATGTTCTCTGACAGTCCGTTTGCGCGTCCCAAGAGCGAGAAGTCTGGTCCTCGCCTCCTCTCTCGCCTCCGCAACCGTATCTTCTCCCCGACATCCACCATGGCCGACGGGGAGGAGGACTTCTCCAAACTGCCCCTTGTCGACAGATTCAATCACAAGAACTGGAAGGCCAGAAAGGGAGGATATGAAGCTGCCGCTGCAGAGTTTGAAAAGACCCCAGACGAAGCGGATCCCGCCTTCCGACCCTTTCTACAGGATCCAGGCCTGTGGAAGTCGGCCGCTGGCGACTCGAATGTTGCTGCTCAGCAAGACGGTTTGGCTGCCTTATGCGCCTTTCTGAAATATGGCGGCGTTCAAGCCGCCAGGACTTCGCGAGGTCACACCCTACAACCCATCTACGAGAAAGGCCTGTCGTCCACAAGACCCCAGGCCAAAGCCAGCGCTCTCGAGGCCATCTTGCTCTACGTGGAACTTGATAAGTCGGAACCTGTTATTGAAGAACTACTACCCGCGCTCTCTCACAAACAACCCAAAATAATCGCTGCGACCCTCGGCGCAATCACCGCTATTTTCCACAACTTTGGGGTCAAGATCGTCGAACCCAAATCGGTCCTCAAGGCTCTGCCCAAAGTTTTTGGCCATGCCGACAAGAACGTCCGAGCAGAAGCCCAGAATCTCACGGTCGAGCTGTACAGATGGCTGAAAGACGCAATGAGGGTCATTTTCTGGAGTGAATTGAAGCCTGTCCAGCAACAAGATTTAGAGAAGTTGTTTGAGAAAGTCAAGGAAGAGCCGCCACCGAAACAGCAACGCCTGACAAGATCACAGCAGGTAGCCCTGGCCACAGCACCCCCACCAACGATGGGTGGGCATGAGGACGGCGAAGAAGTAGCCGAGGAGGCAGAGGAGGCGGAAGAAGTTAACCCTTTTGACCTCGCAGAACCAGTAGATGTCTACTCCAAGATCCCTCCCGACTTCCACGAAATGATCAGCTCAACCAAGTGGAAGGACCGCAAAGATGCCCTTGACAATCTGTTCAACATTCTCAACACCCCAAGAATCAAAGAGGCCCCGTTCGACGATCTAGTGAGAGCGTTCGCGAAGTGTATGAAGGATGCCAACGTTGCTGTGGTCACTGCGGCAGCCAACTGCGTCGAAAAGCTGGCACTCGGTCTGAGGAAATCCTTTGCCAGATATCGTTCCACCATTATGTCGCCAATGATGGAGAGGTTCAAGGAGAAGAAACAGTCCGTGGCAGATGCGTTGGGTGCCGGTCTCGATGCTGTATTTGCTTCGACGTCTCTGACCGAATGTCTCGAAGAGACCCTAGGCTTCCTTCAGAACAAAAACCCCAACGTCAAGGCGGAATCGATAAAATTTCTGGCGAGGTGCCTTCGGACCACAAGAGATGTACCATCAAAGGAAGAACAGAAACGTCTCGCAGACGCTGGCACGAAATTGCTAACAGAATCGACCGAGAACCTGAGATCAGGCGGCGCAGAAATCCTAGGAATATCAATGAAGATCATTGGCGAGCGTGCCATGAACCCATACCTGGACGGACTGGATGAAATTCGAAAGGCCAAGATCAAAGAGTTTTTTGATACCGCCCAGGTCAAAGCGAAAGAGAAGCCGAAGCCAGCACCAGCACCCGCAAAAGGCACGTCAGCGGTGGGCAAGAAGGTGCTCGGAGGCTCCAAGAAACCTGCTGCTGCTGCTGCTACTACTAGAAAGCCAGCCCCTGCAGCGGCACCGGTGGAGGACGCTGCACCCCTTCAACCGAAGCCGACCGCAAAAGCCGCACCCAAACCGACCGGTCTAGCTCGCCCAGGACTCGCACAGCCCGCGAACCTTAAGCTTGGTGGCCTCAAGAAACCCGTGCCTGGTGGTCTTACAAGTCCTCGGCGCGTGATTTCGCCACCAGCCAGCACAGACGGGGACGAAGAAATCGCAGCACCTTCGCCCTCAAAATTCGGTATGGGACGAGGAGGCCTTGCCGGACGACCTCTGGCACGACCAGTTGCCGCTCCATTGTCTCCCCCAACTGCCGCACCAGTCTCAAGCGGCCTCTCGACGATAGAGCGAGCCGAACTCGAAGAACTGCGAGGGGAGAAAGAACGCTTAGCAAGTCTCGCAGACAATCTACGAACCAGTAACGCCAAACTTACAGCTGAAATCTCCGAACTCCAAAACCAGAACGCCCAACTGATCGAAGATCACACACGAGACGTGCTGCAGATCAAGGCGAAGGAGACTCAACTAGTCCGAGCAAGAGGCGAATGTGACGTCCTCAAAGCCGAGATTGAAAGTATCCGTAAGGAAAGTGAACGATACAAGCGCGAAGTATCGCGGCTAGGCCGGGAAAGTATCGGCCGCGAACGAGAAGATATGATGCGTGGTCGAGGCATGGATGATCCTGCCGACCCTGGAGCTGGAGGTATCTACGAAGATTCAGCCATGAACACCAACAGCCGGTATCCTGCCAATGGCAATATTGCTCCCCCTCCCCGACCGACTAGCACAGCACTCCATAGAACGGGGAGCTCGGCAAGTACTCAGAGCGGACGGGCACGGCCCTCGAACCCTAGCGCCAAGTCAAGACCACAAAGTGGATACGCGTCTCAGGGAAACCGTCTCGATCTCTCCCCCAGCGAAGAAAAGGAAAACCATGGCCTCGGAATGGATTCCCTCGGTGTCGCGAGACGAAAGATTAGTCCGCCAGTCATGGCAAATGGCGCGAGTGGGAGGAGTAGCCCACAACGACCAGCCTATACAACGATGAGCCGCGAGTCGAGTGATGCGGGCGCCGAAAGACCTGGGGTAGGGAGCAGAGAACCTAGCAGTGGCGCGAGGCCGGAGGAGAATTGGAAGAGAGCGGCCGAGGTGACGAGTCAGCTGAAGGCCAGAATCGAGGCGATGAAGGTATGTTACTCTATCGGACTAGAAAATGTTTTTCGCATCGGAACTGACTTGAACTGCGCAGGCACGACAAGGTTTGACTCGGCACTAATGATGGATGACCATCTCACTCCCGACGGTTGTTCATCTCAGGCCGGCTTGCACTCCACTACTTAATCACTCTGCAAACCCGCCTAAGCGGCCTCCAGTTCTGACGACCACTGGAAGATTGTTAATGGGAATATTGGAGTCTTGGATCCATGGTCCTCCTACCATGCAAGCGAACCACAGCATAGCCCCAGACAGTGAAGATTAGGGCTTGGGCTCCCGAGGCGGTTGATGATTGCACAGGGGTTGATCTCATGACGGATAGCTCGAATACGTTCCCTTCAGCGAGCGACCTGGTGCTTTTATTCCCAGGCGGATGGACAATAACGCGAGTTTGATTCCCCTGAGGGCCTGCCTGCGCCGAGAGCAAGCGAATGACTTTTGACGACTTCCTTCCTTTCGGATCTCTCTCACTTTGATCTCTTGACAGCCCGTGCATGCTTGTTCGTGTCAATGCCGACCGCATTATCTCATGCGCGTACTCCGCATCAGGATACTCGCCCGTGGGTGGCAATCATCGCGTCTTGGGTGATGTTGTCTTGTCTTGTCGTAAGGTGCTATTCGTCCTCCTCCAACAAATACATTGACAACCTCGAGTTTTCGCCAGCCCGTCGCCCGTGAGGCACGCCATATGCTTACATATACCACTGTAGCTCACTCAGCTTGCCTTGTTCCGTTCCGGCCTCGGTTCACGTGCTGCGTTCGTTGCCCTTCCTGTGTTTGCTGAGACTGGCAATAACCATGGCAATTTTTTTTGAATGCATTGAGTTGACGAGAGGGGGGCGTATAAATGGTATATCTTTCTGCCCTCAGGTTTGAGGGTATAAGAGGAAACAAAATCCAGGCTGAATAGAGACAGGAGGAGAGGAGGATCGGTGCAGTACAGTAAGGAAACTCGGGACTCAACACCGGAGATATCAAGACGAACGGATAGACAGACAGAACATTGGTATCATTTCTCTGTTGGTGCCTTTTTTCGGCCGGACGACTAATCTATCACCTTGATACTAGTTGGAGGAGACATTGGTCCTTGGACCTGGACCTGCAACAAAGCAGGCGACAACTCAACTAAACTGGGGCGAATTCAACGGACTGTAAAAGGACTGTTCCATGCAGGTGGGTCTGCAATGGTCGATGCAGTCAGGCAGCAAAGTATTGCCCCCTTTCCAGATCACCGTCCCCATTGCCCGCTTTTCCATCGGCGTGCTTGTCTCTTCAGGGGTCGGTTCTTTTGGTCTTCGTCTTTGTGGTTGGGCAATAACACATTGCGGCATGTCGTGTCGCAAGTCGGGAAGCGAAGAGCCACGGCCACATCCGAGACGAGAGGATCTCTTGACAGACGATAGAGGACAAGGGCCGGGCGGTAAACACGATCGAGCGACGCTTAGATCTTGATCGCGCTCTCCACGGCCTTTCTCTTCTTGGTCTCCCTAGCCTGGGCCTTGACACCCATGATGCCACCACCCCAGTGTCGGCGGTGCTCCTCATACTTGTTGGCATAACCCTCGTTGATGGCGTTGACAAGCTTGCTCAACTCGGACTTGTCCTCGCCCTTGACCTCCGTGATTGCGAGAACAGCGGCGGTCTTCTTGTGCACGACCGTCCCCAGACGGGCCTTGCCCTTGATGATGGCGTAGGGGACGCCCATCTTGCGGCACAGTGCGGGGAGGAAGACGACCAGTTCGATGGGGTCGACGTCATTAGGGATCAGGACGAGAGAGGCTTTCTTGGACTCGATGAGCCCGACAACGTGGTTGAGCCCGTACTTGACGGCATAGGGTTTCTATCGTGATAGCGAGGTCTTAGCTTGGGACTACCACGACGAGAGGGAGGCAAGCTTTGCCGGTGCGTACATACCTTGCTCACGTCCTCCTTTTTCTTACCCTCCTGCACGGCAGTGGCTTCCTTGTGCAGGCGCTCTTTTTTCTGAACCTTGGTCTCAGGTCGGTACTTGTTGAGCAGCTTAAATGCCTGGGCGGCCGTGTTGCGGTCAAGGGTGTTCTGGAACTGCGCGATCGCAGGGGGGACTTTGAGACGCATGTTGAGGATCTTCTTCTGGCGTTGCAGACGGATATATTCGGGCCATCTGTCCCATTTTGTCAGATTACATTCACGTTCGGGTGTGTTCTTTTTTGCAACCAGTGCGGTTGGAGTGAAGGTCGGGGAAATACGTACTTGACCATGCGAGAGAGGTTGCGCTTGGGTTGGATGTCTTGACCGATGCCGAAGTTTCGGGAACGTTTCTCGAGAAGGGGATTCTACCAAGGCACATTAGTTTAACCGTCTCTCCTAATTCAGATCCTAGCCCGTTGAAGTGACTTCCATGTTCACTAGGGCAGTAATGGAGTGGAACATACCTTTGCAGCCTTCTTTGTGGCACCGGCCTTCCCTTGCGGGAAGGGCGCGGGCGCGGGTTTCTTTCCCTTGGGTGGCTGTCATTGAGAAGAGAGCGAGTCAGTGAACATTCTGACCCAATATCTCTGAACTCTAAGGAGAAGGGCTCTCCAAGCAGTGGCTAGCTGCTGAAGGAACCGCTTCTCCAAGCCGAGTCATCACCATAAGAAACAAGCAAGGCATGATTGCGCAGCTAGAGACCATCGCTGAGGACTCATTGAAGAGGTCATGTCAACGTCTTTTCGCTGGCGGTCACTTGTTCCAAGCAGGTTCTGGCGGAAAATTCCACGATCGCGGGTCGCGTTTTACGGCGAAGAGGCGCCGAGACAGGAGGACTGCATTGCGAAAGAGAGTGGACGTGTCGTTGTTAGCTTACCATCTTGTCTTTTGGGAAGAAAAGGTTGACTCGAGGGATGGACGACGGTGAGGTTCAAGAAGCGCGGATCGAAGAAGTTTCAATCCCGGTCTTGCGATTTCGAAAATGAGGAAGTGCGAAGAGTGGGATGTCCAGAAGCAGCAAGGTCTGTCTTGGCGGAAACAGCGGGCTATATCACGTGATGCTGCATATGCAAGGCCACCAAGGCTCGTACGGTCAGGAGTCTAGAAACACTAATATGGCTGTCAACTATATGTCTGAGATACAGCAAAAATGTGCGCCTCGTTGACTCAATCACACCCGGCGCAAAGCAAGAAGAAAAAGCTATGATGGATGCTTTTGTAAACCACTCCATTCTATCTACGCAGGCGGATGGTGAACTATGGCTTTGAGACTGAAATCTGCACATCCCATTCCCAGGCCAAGTCTGCTGTACCGCAACGATACAGTCCCAGGGCCGATTTGAGGCCGTCCTCGTACTTCACAGCGGTGTGCATGCCATTTTGCCGACGCCTTGAATGCATGCTCTTGTGTTACAACCCCCATGAACCACCGTTCAATCCTGCAAAAAGCCACCCGGAAGAACGCCATGCTGATGCATTTCCATATTCCGCCTTGATCACATTCCCCCTGACTAACCATCAATGCTTCAGTCACCAAGCACACTTCAACGGAATTATGCGAAGCCAAAATAATCGGCGCCGAGGTTGATTGCCGTCATCAGATTGTTCTTTAGGGTATCGTAGTCATCGTAAGCGGGCAAGTCCAACTGGTTGAAGCAGGTGTGGCTGGTAGGAAGGCGAGATTGACTTGGATCCCTGCGAGTCTTTGTTAGTATTCTCGCAAGCCGATGCAACGAGTGTAGAAAAACTTACTTGTGGATACTGAACAAGGTGTTGCCTTGCATACCTTCGAGGTCTTTAAATCCGTTGAGTGGGACCTTGCTTGTACCAGTGACGAATTGCAGCAACTTCGCTCGCTCTTCATTGCTCATGCCTCTGACAATGCGCCAAAACCATATGACCTGAGGGCTGCTGCCATTGTAGTTGTGATATTCGGTGTGGGCTTTCCAATCATCAACGTCAATCTCCGGCAACCCGGAAATCAACAGTTCGAGTTCTTGTTCGTCAAAGATTGCGATCAGCTCCGCGGGGACGATGTCGTGGAAGCCCTTCACGAAATTCTCGATCTGGTCTTTGACTGAAGTTGTAAGACGGTAGCGGACTTGTGCATTGACGTATTCTCTCTTGTTCTCCTCGGTCACAGGAATGTTCCGACCATTGGGAATGAGGTCAATGACTTTCTCTACGCCGAACTGTTCTTCAATAACAGAGAAGTCCTCGGTGATGACGTCGGTGATGTCGTTCTCCAGAATCCAGACCAAGCTCTTGTAGTAGTCGAGATCCATTGACTCAAGATCCTTGAGATTTGGTTCCTTGCCGAGGAGACGCTTGTAGACAGCTCGGCTGAAATGGCAGTCAAGCACGCGGCCTTCGTGTAGTGCCTTGCCGATAATGCGGCCAATAAACTTGAAATAGAGCAGATGTTCGCCGTTGATCCAGCTGAGAGGGCTGGGATGGAACGTAGTGCGGTCAGCAGCGACGGGTTGCCACAACGCCCAGTCCGGATTGAACATGCCTCGAGCAAGGACTTGAAACCATTCTCGTGTAACACCGCCAGCATCCACGCCTTCTTCGCCATTGAAGCGAATGTTGAGCTTGCCGTACTTCATCTCTTCGGCGGATTTGTAATACAAGGCCTTGTATGAGTCCAAGAAGACTTGGTCGCGGCGGACATTGAGCTGTAGCGGCGGTTGGATATGCCGCTGCTGATGCAGACGAGAATGAATCAGCTTGGTGAAATAGGCGCGCTTGTTGTCGAAGTCAAGTACTTTGGGATTCTTGACCAACAAGCTGAAGCTGCCATTACCCTGCATCAACTTTGGAGACTGGCGGATGATGTCGTTGAGTATCTTGCGGTGCTCTGTTGTGAAGTTGAAGAACAGCTCTTGCAGGTCGTCCATAGCTTCCGGTGCAGGACTTCCAGGTGCTTGCTCCTTGATCTGACGGGCCAGCATCGAGTCTTTGAGAGAAGTATTCTTGCAGACCACCATCAACGACTCAATCAACGGTAAGAGAATCGTAGCGAAGCTGGCGATGTTCTCTTTCTCACGGACAGTGGTCAGGCAGTCGCTCAACTTGGTCCACAGTGGTTTGAGACCTAGGCTATCATAGGAAGACGTCAGGATGCTTCTGACGACGGCATTCTCAGCACCATCTTCATTCTCAACTTTCGGTGCAGACAGATAGTCCAGGGCTTGGAGAACTCGTAGCAGCTTCACCTGATCGGAGCCTGAGTGGGAAAATTTGGTAGACGACAGGGCATGTAGGTCGGTAATTGACTGCGCTTCTTTGAGCTGGGGCACCAGTTCGTCCAAATCTCTGCAGATCGACTCCGAAAGTTCCTGGATGTGATGGATCAATTCTTTGCTGAAAACGTCGGACGTGCCGGGTATGCTTGAAAGGTTGGACAAGGTTTCCAAGGTGGAGTGGAAGGTGTCACTATTGCACTCAGGAGCCACGAAGATGCTTACCACGAGCTGCAAATTGTGCTCCGAAATTTCTGGAGGATCAAAAATCTTTTTCGCTTTGCCTTCTTCGGTCGTTAGGTCTTCGTTGCTGGTATTGGCAGTCTCGTCGGCTGCGGGGGCGGTCGTCTCGGTCGGCTGAGTTGCACTCCCAGAAGCTTCAGTCTCGCCAGCAGGTGCTGGAGCATCACGAATCTCCACATCCGTGTCTGGTTGCGCTAGTTGTGCTGTCCTATCAGATGCTGTGGAAGCGGCACCTGTCGCGGTGTTGCTTGCTTCGGTACCGGCGGGTTTGGGCTCATCCGAGTCCTTGTCCTTGTCCTTCTTCAGAAGATTTGGCAATGGCTGAGTAACCGTAGACAAAAGCTCTGCAAGTGACTGGAGGCAGGAAGAACTCTCCACAATCAACTTTCGGTCTAACAGGCCGACGAGATCGTTGATAGGGTATCGTGCAGCCTTTCCTTCTTTGACCTTTCCTTTCCCCTTCTTAGAGGTCGGATTGCTGTCGACCTCGCGGACGAAAAGAGTTCTCGTATGATAGTTGTTCTGGCATAGTTGCTTCAGAGCAGAGAGACACTGTTCTACCACAACAAGGGGAGTGACTTCTTCGCTCACGCGACCTGCAGGTTGCATGGAAAGTGTGCGTTTGAGTGGCTGAGGCGTCTTCTGCGACGCTGTGGCCTTGGCTCTCAATGACAGGTTTGCCAGACTGCGCTCAACTGCCGTCACGTCTGTTGAGCCTTCTTTGAGAATGACAAGAAGTAGGTGGACCACTTCTGATCGTGTGAGCCTGTTTCCCGAGATGTTGCGAAGAATGTGCCACAGATTGGTGCGTAGTGATCCGCCTTGCGGGAGGAACATGAGGCGGAGCAAAGTGGCAACTCCAGATTTGTCGACCATCTGTATGATTTGTCGCTTGCTGTCCCGACCGCCTGCGTCTTCATTGTGTCTGTTATCACGAGGATCTCTATCGCCTCTGACGTACTGATACAGACGTCTAGCATGTGCGCGTCCCTCTGCAGCATGGCGCGGATCCAGTTGACGGAGAATCTCCGGTGGCTGCTCTGCGAGAATAACACGTCGGAAGGCAGGGTCGAGAGTAGCCAAGAAATTATCGTTGTCCATCTCTTCTGGCTGTGCCGACGCACCACCGGTTGCTGCAGCTTGTCTGCGAGCTTCCTCACGCTCCCGTCGTCGTTGTGCATGAGCTTCCTGTTGCCGGATCTCCTCTCGTATTTCTTCTGGCAGCGCGTTGAGGAAGTCTGGATCGATCTCATGGGATTCCGTTCCTTGTTCTCGAGCTTCTTCGCGGCGAGTGGCGTATTGCTGCATGATGACTTCTTCCCGGAGTTCCTCTGGTAATGCTTCGAGGTACTCGACATCGATGTCCAAACCAGTAATGTCGAGTTGACGGCCTCTGATGGTGGTGAAAACGCGAGGTCGAGCTTCGGCGGCAGCTGAATCGGAAGCAGCACTCAACCCAGCATCGGGAGCAGCGGCCGCGCCTGTGCCTTGAACATCCTCCATGGGATCTGTGTCGCCATCTCCATCCTGTTGGTGAGCCTCTTCTTGGCCTCTAGCCTCGGCAGCAGCGGCAGCCTCAGCTTCAGCCCGTAGCCGCTCCTGCTCCTCCTGCTCCTCCTGTTCTTTCTTGCGGCGTGCTGCTTCGACTCTCAGTCTCTCTGCTTCCTCGAGCTCTGCTCTCGCTTCCTCCTCGCGCTTGCGCCTACGTTCCTTTTCTTCCTGTTGAGCAGGCGGAACCAAAACAGACATGACCCACACCTGGACGCGCTGGAGCTTTTCAACATAGCCATTGCCAAAGAGAAGTCGTGCCTCCTCTTGCCAACGTGTCATTGTGAAGGCGGGAACAAAATTGCTAGCACGCTGAGAGTCTTCGCGTGACGTGTGGCGGTGGTGACGCGGATCCCAAGTTGATGGTCGCCAGGGATCGCGAAGGTCTGTAAGAGGGGTTGGGATACGGAGGCGCACTTGACCACCCTCTATCTCACCCCGCTGTATTGCCTGGAAGATTGCATCAAGCACAGCTCCATGCCCGCCCGTGCCATGACCATCAATGGTCTG